ATCTCGCCGTTCCCCGTCGGATGTCGTCGTGGTGGGGGAGAAGTCTGCGCAGATTGGGTGCCCCCGTGGTACGAGCTGAAAACCATCACCACTTTCACGTTTGTGCTGGGGATCCCCTCAACTCTGTGGCGCACGCCTTGCCCTCTATTTGATCACAACAGAGAGCAACTACCATTATCGCTGCCGGAGCTGGTAAGCTATGTCAAATAGTACAAAGGAGCTCCCCAATGTGCACAGGTGCAGGACGGGTCTGTAAATCGTATGCAGCAGCGGATATACCTGTCCGATCCATCAGAGCAGCGGTCGATGCACAGCCGCGTGCTGATATACTTGTAGCGCGCCCCAGCCCATTGTTAGGTGCCCACGGAGTAGGGAAATCAATCGAGAAAGGTAGCATTACAGATTAATCTAATTCAAAGTGCAATCTCTCGTCTGCGCGTGGCTGTGCAATATGGAATATGGCCGGGTGCCTTCTTGGAAATCCATCGACGGACAAGGCAATGATGTGGCCCATGACGGTGCCATCTTCCTAAGTGTGTCGTATTGTCTTAGGCCCTGGTGTCCACAGCACAGTCGCATCAACATGCTTCACGTGAGTCCCCTCCCATTGGCCAGGACAAACAACTTTTTGCTCATGAACATCTTGCTAGGTAATATCGCAGGACTCAACTTGACTGGGCAATGGCATGGCTTCATTGATCATCACTGAACTCAGACACTGCTCTGGTGACAAGTCTGATGACACAAGATGAGCTAGTCTTCAAGGGCTCCGATAAAACGTCTACTTTGCAGGGCAGAGTTCTTTGGTCTTAGGGCCATACAGCCTGTCTGATCCGGCTTTATGCTTCCCAAGACACGTCGCAAGACCTCGAAATGGTTGCAACCCATGTGGGAATGAAGTGACTGGACTCATGATTTTCACGGAACAGCGGGTCTTCGCGCCGAAAGAACTCACAGGCTCCAACTCAAGCAATCAGAAAATGGCAGTTGCCAGTGGCCCGAAAGGTCGTGGCAATCGGACCAGAGGGGTGGGAACCGGCCCAGGCTTGCCAACGGGGTGCCGGACTAACGCTTGGATGGTGTGGGATTGGGAACACAGTACAGTATCGCGGAGCCTTTCGATCCAACCGTGTGCCCTTGTCGCCGCCGCACCATGACCAGCCTGACCAGGTGGGGAAGGTGACTTGGAATCCGAGCTGGGCTGGTCAGCCATCGGCTGGGGAGTGGGTAACAGCTGGCCCCCTGCTGGTCAGGCTTTGCTTGCTGTGTAGCTATCAAGGAGCGATCAAGACGCAGCCGTTGGATATCCGAGTCTGGGAGAGCCGTCCAGAGCCCCGGCCGGTCTTTGGCGCGGAGGTTCCTATTGGCGAACGCTGCAGATACCACGTACGACACGTGCTGAGCCTTGATCGATGACGCTCACGGCTCGACGCGGTAGAGAAGTGTGCTCATCGACAGCCAACGGTTGCGCGTGGTGATGGCGAGGATGCAGTTGGCGAAGTGGTGTACTCTCGTTGTTGGCAGGGAATCGTTCACGGATGGCCAACATGAGAAGTGCGTGCGATGTGTGGGATACACCTGGCAGCATTGATATTGTTTCCGAGTGCTGTGGTGGCGGCTTCTGGCGCGTCTCCATAATGGCCATCGTGCTCTTCTGGGCCGCAGGAAGGCGCGCGTCACGAGCAGCTGATGGATACTAGCGTTCGCGGCTTCCCAAAGCAATCCAATGCCTTGCCCACATACGACTCGTCACCTCGAGCGGGACGATGCTGGCATCCTCCTGCGGAGCCATATGCAAAACTTCGAACGCTCTTTGCTGGCTCATCAGCGATGCTGTGGTTGAGATGGTATCGACGGGGCGCCCGGATCCAAGCCTCCACCTCCTCAAAGGCTTGTCACACACCTTTACTGACCAAAAGCCCTGATGCATAACCCGCGGTCAAGGGTCCCTGATCCCAGTTTCTCGCGTGCTGGTTGACAACCACGACCCTGTCCTGTCAACCTCGACCATGAAGCAGCTGAGCCTAAAATCCCCGTTGAACCGGATTGCCGGGTTTGACTCTAGATGCGCGACCGCTCAGTGCGCAGATTCACGACCACTAGCCAGCCTCGTGGGGGATGACACTGCTGCCGTCATGATATTGAGATCATGCCTACCTCTGTCCCAGCCATTACTGGCCGCCACTCCAGATCTGAGACACAGACAGGACCTCGGTCTACTAATCTATCATAGTACGGAGCGGCGCAACGAGTCTCGGTTTTACTGGAAAAACTATCAGCAAATGTGGAGTGCGCCTCTGCGAGGCATTTCCAAACTAGGGGTTGTTGCGGTGATCCATACCAGGCTGCGTTCCCTGGAGGACCTCGATGGGGTGCTGACTTTGGCTATGTTCGCCCATTGGGAGCGGCATCACTTGGTGTGCGCCAGCTCATCCCTGCACGCCAAGCCAGGCGCTCCAAAGTGCTACCACGCTGACAGCAAAGCAAAGCACAGAGTGGATCGTCACCTTCACAAGATACACACGAGGAGATCTGAAATATTCGCAAGACTGAGATGCTGCAGCAACAGACTCATGCAGAAGCTCAGTTCTGGACGATATGCAGATGCACTACTTGCGTGCAGCGCGGAGACCTCGGACGCCATGTCGCTGTCCTGCAGGCGAAGTGGCTATTGCGCTTTGCGTATTGTCCTATTCACTCGCCGACCCCATGCAAGTCGCCTTCAGACGGTCCCGGGGTCGGGCTGAGGGACGGCTTGAGCTTAAAGTGAAGCACTTATGCCCAAGTCCCGCACTAAGCCATACCTGCCAGACGCAAGGGGGCCACCCTGTTCAACGGTTCAGTAGTGCTGCGTGCTACAACAACGGCACTACCAACAAGCCCCAACGATGATTGTGTCGGCTTGACTCGTTCTGGGTCCTTATGAACTCTAATGTGAGCCGTGACTGGTGGCCCCAGCGACACGTGGGCACCACGTTGTCCCTTTCAGAGCAGAGTTTCGTTCAGTGCCACCTGATCGTCATGGTGCAGCTTCTTTCGACGACCGCGTTATGGTGGTGCAGTGCCCGCACCTTCGCCGGTAGCGAGGTTTGGGTGCCTGAGTGCTAGGTATATCGCACGGCGCCAACGACCCTACAAGACAGTCGAAGCACTCCACGTTGTTGAAGCTCGTGCAGGTTGCAGGTTGCAGGGAGGGCAATACCTACAGCATACAGCACCGACCAGAGCAGCCACAATGGCAGGCAGCCCTTGCATGGACGGCGGGACCAGGCCCCCCCAGCAGTCTGCGGGTCGGGCTTCTTGGACAACTGGGGGTTAATCTCCGCGAGCACGTAATCCTGGCACTGGTCTCAGAACGAGTTTGAGACGGACTAGCTACAGTGCAGTAACCTGGTCACATCGACTATCTGTGGCCCCCATGCCGAGGTAATTGAGTTTCTCTGGCGTGTCGCCTGACAGGCATGAGACGATTGCTGTCGCCAGCCACAAAGACCTATCTACCTGGGTACGTATGCGAACCACGACACCACCCGCACTGCGACTTGACAGACGAATCGTGTACTGTATATCTGGTTTTGCGGCTCTGTCCTCGGTGTGGCCAACTTCCAGGCCCTACGACGCAAACAGGGATCATGGCTGGGCATCCCCATGGTCGCGGCCAACCCTTATCAGCTGGGTTGCTTGCCGGAGCTAGGGCTGGACCTTGGCGGTGCTGCATGCGGGATAACGGAGCGGTGCACGGCATTGTACATGGCGAGATCTGCTGACTCCAGCCTCAGGACTAGCATGCTCAGCATTGCTGTGCTACAGATGCCCAGAGAGGATACCTTGCGCTGTGCAGCTTCGGCACGCAAATCGCCGTTGAATACCTTGATGGGTCTCCTCTGGAAATGACCTTTCGACTGAGCACGCTATGCGACCGCAAATCGACTCTCGCGCTGACCAAAGCCAACCAATAGCAGCTAATCTACGGAGTGGTGTTCGCAGGCAGTTTGCACACCGCTATCCCGGCTGTCTCGCCCCCAATCAAGTCATACGAAAACATTGGAGCAGTGGAGGATGGCCGCAACTCTTCATGGTGCACGGGCTTTGCAGAATGCTCCCAGTCCCAAGGGAGGGCTCTTCGACGCCACAGGCGCGTCGAGCGGAGGCGCGGTGCGATGTTCCAATGAAGCGTGATCAGCACAGGGCGGCAAAGATCTCTTGGTGACGACACATCTACATAAAGGCCTCTCCTGGTTCCTAGCATGCAGCCACAAAATGTGTTAGCAGACATACGTTTCGCTCGGCACGATCGTCTGATTGACATCATTGCCAAATTTGGATGCTGGCCGACTTAGCCCATTTTGCGATCTGAGGGTGCAGGCCTGGTGTGGCGTGGCCTTGCAACCCCACGAAGACAGGCTCAAGGTCTGCACGTTCGACAGCTGACCCTTGTTCAAGATCAGATATCCTTGTGCAGTCAGTGAAAGAGGGCCCCACAGGTATTGTTGACCCATGCCTCTCTTCGACTATGATTCGAACGACGGTACTCCGTAGTGGGCGACGGCGCCCGCGGTAACATGATGGATGATGCGCCAACGAGGCATTCTAGAAATGCCACCTGTTGACCGCGTCACACAGCTCCACCGCCGCGCGAGCTAGCTCGAAACATGAAGTCTTGCTGCGCGCGCCACTTCTCATCTCGCATGTGCGGTGCGAAGCCGAATAACATGACGGGCAGATGGCGCCCAGTTGCAACGGAAGGATCAAGGATCATCGCTGTAGCCGCGATAGAGGTCGGCTGACTCCTTGCAGGCCGGATCTCTATTACTGAAGCACCTGGCGGCGGACCAGCATTAGCGTCCTGTCTCACCACGACACGGCAAAAGCGTCGCCGTTGGAGGAGCGCCTGTAACACGTGCGAGTCAAACACGGCTGGGGCCTTCCCCATCGTCGGCAGCGCCTGTCACGGATCTGCCGAGCGACAAAAGTACGCCGCCGACTGCTTGGCTGCAGCCATGGAACAGGAGTGCCCCTCATGGTTTGGCCATTGCGCAAGCGGCGGCGGCACCGAGTCGAAACCCTCGTCGTCAAACCAGAACGACGGCGCGCTCGAGGCCGTTGAGGAAGGGCGACTCAGGGTCCAACATTTGAACAACCATGACGCGCATGTCGACAACTGCACGAGCGAGGTCCAGGACGGCCATGCAGACGCGTCGCAGTCGCGTGCCAGGGAGCACCCCAGCCATGTGCGCGCCTGGACATGGGACGGGAGAGACTGGGCCCGGCAGGCTCACCAGGTGCGATCCAACCAACGCGTGCTGGGCCAGTGCCTAGGGTAAGGGGAAGTGACGAGAAGAGCTTCCACAGCACCTGGCAGGCAGGCATCTGGGAGTATTCCAGAAGTCGAGGCGCGGGGCGGCGGGCAGCCACTGGGCAAGGTCGAGGACATGGCCAGGTGTGCCAACAAGGACAGGGGTGGTCGCAAGGTTAACCAGGTCGGGCCTGGAGCTCGCAACGGGAATTGCAGGGGCCATGTGGACGTTTCACGACCTGACAAGGCCCCCGATTTTTGGGGACGAGCTGTGCTCTACAGCAGCTTGCCTAGGCCGAGTCCGGGCTAGCGCCATCCTCCACCTCATCATGACATTCTGGTGGCACTAAGCACCACTCACCGATTTTGCGTCGCCTCGCTAGCCCTGTTGTCGGTGCTGTTGCTGTGTGCCGAGCGATCGCAGGCTGCTGCGGGCTCCGCCGCAGCTCGGCACCTGCACGAGCAGTGGCCCCGAACGCCAGAGACATTCTCTAGCCCTCGAAACTTGCCACGTTCTGCACTGTCTTAGACATGCTCCTGGTCGCTGCTGTCTCGCCCGAGCAGACCACGCACACACAGACACAGACGCGCACGCGCGCGATACCCGCATGGCATGGCGTGGCATGGCACTGGCACCGTGATATGACAACCCCTGACCAGCCTCGCTGCGAGGCCAGGGAAGAACGGCATGGCCCATGGGTGAGCTAAAAAAGACGTTGGAGTTATTCTCTGCTAGGCCGTGCTAGCGCCGCTGTGTACGAAGGGGTGGGGGCGACCAACGGCGGCGCACATCCACATCCATCATTGTGCTGGCCGGACACGCTCGTGGTCCTGACCCACCTCTGGAGAACGTCGGGACAGTGCTCGCATCTGGTGGTCCGCCCGGCTGTGTCCAGCAGAGAAAAGCATGGAGCAACAAGAGCGGTTGCGCCTCGGAGCCAGCCCGTCTGTGCCGCGCACCAGCATGCGCGCACATTTCCCTCAATGTGCGGCCAGCCACCCTGCATCGTCGCCTGCTGGCACATGGTTGATTACGCGGTGCTCCAGAGGCCATCTCTGCCACATCGCGAACAACCAGCGCCGCCCGCCGGGCAAGCGCGTCGACTGTCGTCGTTGAAAGACGAAGCTGGCACCCACCCCTGTGTCGACATGGGCTGTCCGGCAAGACTTAGCTCCCGTTTCTTCTACAACGCCCCCTGGACAAAAGCCAGAACGACGGGTGTCCCAGGGCGGGACGCGCGCTTCCCTGGCCCTGGTGTTCGCTTACCTATTATGGGAGCAGCAGGCTAACGGCGTGCCTGGTGGCGGATGCGCTCGAGGCTAAAAGGCTTGGAGTGGGGAGTCTGCTCATTTTGGTGGCTGCAGACACGCCTGCGGCACCGGGTGTGATGGGCAGAGGAGCCAAAAGTTCCACCTAAAGAGGACAAGTCCCAATCTCGCGCCCTGGCCCCAAGTGGCTCTGCGGGTAGCGAGCCATGCCTAATTTGAGGACTCCAATGCTTATCAGGAACAAGTTTGGCTGGGGCAACGCAATGACAAAAGAGCGCAGCCAGGCATGCAGTCAGAGAAATGAGGTCACGAACGGGAATTGCGAGTCGCCCGCAGCCGGCTCACGTCGGATCCTGCTCCGCATGGAGCTGCTGCTAATACTAATACGACGCTGGCGTTTTATGCTACTGGTTGCTGCTGCTGCTGCTGCTTTTGGGACGCTCGTGCCTGCCCCGTCGGGATGCGAGCTCGCCTAAGGTACGGAGAGTCGCAGGCGAGTCGGCAGCATCGCGTAGTCGGTAATTAGTGCGTGTGATTAATCTGTCGACAGTGAAGCGTGTGGCGCAGGACGTCATTTCATCTTGCGAGAGGAGGCAGGCAGGCAGGCAGGCCGGCAAACAACGAGAGATCATGTACGTCGTATGCGTGCTGGAGCAAGTCCTGGACGAGATACCAGGTGGTACCTGCGGCTGGCGCATGTGACGGGAGCGAAGCTGGAAGGGACGGCATGGCATGGCATGGGCGCGCTTGTCAAGTCAGTGGGTGGCCACAGGGGTGGCGGGAGGTACCCCGAGGGACCTGGGGTTCATTTGGGGCCGACCGACGGGAGAGGCGAAGGTCGAGCACAGAGACAAAGCATCACACCACGAGGAGGAGGAGCACGAGGAGACAGGCAGGCAGGGCAGGCACAGGCGCCGAGGCATCCATGGCGTGGCCGGGAGGAGGGCGAGGGTGGTGGTGCTCAAAGTGGTGGTGGTGGAGGTGGAGCCGTCGCAGGCAGGGTCGCACGCACCCACCACACCGCCTTGTTCTGCGCCGGGCGACCGGGCCCCTTGTCTGCGGCGAGTGGGCTAGCACCGGGGGTCAGATGCCTCATTGGGTTGCCCGGCCCCGCCTCGGCTGCGGCGTGTGGCGCCCCCATTGGCCGGCTCATCTTAGCCTGCAGCAGCGTGCCCTGCCTTGTTGCCGCCCCTGTCACGTTTTGCCATCCCAGCCCGTCAAGCACCCTACTAGCGCTCTGGCCACGCCTGCTAGCGCCACACCCGCCCGCCACGCTGGCAGGGGCCCCCTATTTCCTCCTCGACCACTGCCTGCTTGCCCACACGCTTCTCCTGCCCCTGCCGGCCGCCACTTGTCTCTTTCTGCTCGAGACCTCCTTTAGTGTTGTTGCGCAGGTGGTGGAGTTTCTGGCAGGTACTTGGCTGTGTGCTTGTGCTCTCGATGGTTGACTGATTATTGATGATGGGTTCTTGTCGGCGGGTTGGGGGCGCGCGCGGCAGTCAGCACACACACACACGCAAAGAGAGTGCAGGTCATCATCATCCCTTCGAGCCAGTCACCTCCCAATCCTATTCTCCATAGGTTCTTCCGCTCTCTGGCGTTTTTGCGACTTACTGCGTGATGCCCACCACTCTGCGCTAGCTCGTCGCATCCTTCATGCACCAAGCACAGGCATCATTATCTGGGTATTGCACGTCCGCTGGCGCCGGGCCAAACGAGCAGCCATATCACTGCTGTTAATGACAATTTCCCTCTGGGGGCCAGCCGCGGGTCCCCTTGTGGCAGATAGCTCCGTGTCAGTTGTTGCTTTAAAGCCCCAAGGCGTGGCCGCAGAACAGCAAAAACTCCGCCTGCCCTCGCCGGCTCCAGTTTTCGCGCCCAACCGGATCCCTACCTCCTGCATTCTCTTCCTCTCTACACTCACAACCTCGTGCTCGCCGCGCACACTCCTGGCCCTGCCCTCACCTCTCTCTCAAATATCCAGCACCCTGCTCTCTCGCGGCCGTCACGCTTGCCAATCCTCGCTCCGATCTCCAAATCTCTGGTCGGCTGTTTTCCTCCCAAAGTGGTGCGTATACTTTTTCCATACATCTCTCTTACCCCCCGGAACCCTGGTCGCCGCCCCGTCCCATCTCCTCTTGCTCCATCGGGCACGCGCTCCAACAGGTACCCGTACATCTCTCACGTCCTCCTCACGCCTCCTGCTGCGTTGCTTGATCCAGAGATCGGTTGGCTTGGTCAGCTCCTGGCCACTCTCGGGTCCCGCTTCCGCCCGATCTTTTTTTGCCGTCCTCTCTGCCTTGAGTGCCTGGCTGCCTGCCAGGGCGGCAAACAGCACATAGTTGGGCGAGTCGCGCAGCAAGGACAGAAAAAAGACCGAAAGGGCAAGAAAAAGATATTGGGATACCTTCTGTTCACCATCATCATCAACATCCTCCTCCACCTACATCCGGCTCTGCTTGGCCTGCTGCCCTGTCAGAGTGCCTACCCTGCCTCATCCTCACACGCCTCCGCCGTGGTTACTACGTATACTGTGGTGGTGGTCGTGGTGGTTCCTCTCATCTCTCTCCACTTCTCCGTCTTATGCCAGAGCCCTGGTCTGTCTGATTACCAGGCCCTGTCCGCCTGTTCCCTCCCCCCTCCACCTGCGCCCCCCCTCGTTCACCAACGCCGTACCCGGTCCAGGTCTCTCGCTCGTCTACAAGGGGGGCTGTCGCCTTTCCCCAAATACCTCTCCCCTGCGCCTGGAAAAATAAAAACTATCGACGCGTCCGCCTTCAAGTCGAGACTGTCATCCCGTGGTCGTCACTGTTCGACACTGGCTTCATCGATAACTCAGGACTAATGGTCGTCTCCTCTATGCAGCACCATCCCCACCACTCGCAGGGACCGGCGCCTCCCCAGCATCCCCGACCATCGAGCATTGTGCACCAGCAGCACCACGCGCCGCCGCCGCCCTCACAATACTCTTCCTCCCACTCCATCCAGTCGCCATACCAGCAGTCTAGCCACGCGCAAGGCGGCCAGCACTCCCAAGACCTGCCCTACTACGCTCACCAGAGCCCGTACAGCACTCCTGGAACCACTAGCGGATACACTTCCGCAGGTAAGTTTGCCCTTCGTTTTTTTTGGTTTTTCTTTTCTCCTGCACGCTTTCTGTACCGCCCGCGGATATTTTTGTTCTCTCGACTGGCACTTCGGGATGCGCGCGCTCGCGCGCGCGCACACACGCGACAGACGGCGAAGCACGCTTGAGCTCCAGGCATCGCAAGGGTTTTCTCTTCTTTCTGTGCGACCATGGTTGCTAACACGAGGTCACAGACACATCCGACATGATGGCCGCAGCTCAGATGCCTCGTCCGTACCCGCCTATGTCGTATCATACGCCGCAGTCCAACTCGCCTGCCTCGGTTGCCTCGCCGTCTGGACATGATCAGCACCGCAGCATCTATGGCCAGCCGCCGTCGCAGCTTCACCAGCAGTCTATGTACTATGGCTCCCAGCAGCCTCAGTATCCTTCAATCCCTCAGCAGACTGCGCCATCTCCGTACCAGAACCATGGCCAGCAGCACCAGTCGATGACTTCGCAGCCCGGCATGATGATGTCGCACGGCCAGCACCAGATGTCTCAGCACCCTGGTCAGCACAGCCAGCAGGGTATGACTGGCAGCCCCCGCCACGCGAAGATGGAGCCTCAGATGCCTCCGCAGCTGCACCGGCCTCCATCAGGACCTCTGGGGACTCCTCAGCAAAACCAGAATGGTGGTCAGCTCAACACTCCCACTGGTGCCTCGACACCAGGCGGGATCAACAACAATGCGGCCCCCGGGCCTATCCCAGCCACCACCCCCCTGGTCGTGCGGCAAGACAACAACGGCGTCCAGTGGATCGCGTTCGAGTACTCTCGCGACAGAGTCAAGATGGAGTACACTATCCGTTGCGACGTCGAGTCTGTGCTCACAGACGACCTGCCGGCCGACTTCAAGACGGAGAACTGTGTCTATCCTCGGGCCTGCTGCCCCAAGGACCAGTACCGCGGAAACCGCCTGCAGTACGAGACGGAATGCAACACTGTCGGCTGGGCGCTTGCTCAGCTCAACCCTAGCCTGCGTGGCAAGCGTGGTCTGATCCAGAGAGCCGTGGATAGCTGGCGCAACAGCAACCAGGACCCGAGACTGCGGAGTAGACGCGTCCGGCGCATGGCCAAGATGAACACGCGCAAGGCTGTTCAGAGCCCACACCCGCACATGGCTGCCCCTAACGGTCCTGGGGGCCTGCCCCCACAAGGAGCCATGGGCCCCGGTGGTGCGCCGCCCATGGGTAAGCCCGGCATGAGCCACATGGGTCCAGGGATGCACCACCAGCAACACCACCACGACTCGGCCGGACAAGGCGGCGGAGACGAAGTCGGTATGTTTCACCAGATGTGATTGATTGCGTTGCTGTTAGTGCAATTCCATGATACCATCACCATTTATACCTGTTGCTTGTTTTTTTGGTTGAAGTTTTCCACACAATGGAAGGGGTTTGGGTGTACCTTTTTGTGTTTTTGTCTTCTATTTTTTCTCCCGTCATCTTCTTTCTCAATCTTCTCATAAAAAGTACGCGGCCATTTAGCCGCCGGCGCACAAAGGAATACCGGGGAAATCTTGGCATTAAACTGTACATTATGAGTCGTCTTGTACCTCTGCTAGTGGCCGTGAAGTTTCGCCCGGCTCAAGCCGTCCTTGACGGACAAGAAAATGGTCAAGGGATCAGGACAGGGCCTCGAATTCTGCACCCACGCTGCACATACACAACCAAAAAAACAAACCTGGCACAATTTCTACTTCAGAGAAGAACATCCCAGATGCAAATCCCCCCCGAGATTGGAACTTTACCATTCATCACCTGACACGGAATTTTGTCCTCCTTTCCCCTTCCGCCCCCTGGCCTGGTCCCCTCCCTCAAAACCCTGTCGCTGTCTGGTGTCTTGGGGCCCGGTCATTCCCAGTTCCCAGATAAACGCGCATCTGCCCTGCCTACCTTCCCAATACTGCTACCATATAGCCCCACACACAATCTCCATGGGTCGTACAGAGGAAATGCCTGCTAACATACCTGGTTGTTTCTTAAACAGGGGATGGAGAGTACATGGATGATTCCCACCATCACCACCACCAGGCACCGGCCGGCGGCCCTGCTGGGTCCGGGCCTTCGGATGACGTGCGGTCGGCCCATGTCTTTACCGGCTACCCCCAGCATCACCCGTATCCTAGCTCTGCCTCCAACTCGTCGGGTCCCATGCCCCCGATGAGCCATCACCAGGGCGGCCATGACGGAGGGCACCCTCACCACGGCGGGCACCATAGCTCTGCCGTCGCCGCCGCCGCCTCTTCCTCTGGCCGGCGTCAGAGCAGGGACCTGGACAATCCGGCCGGCTTGTTCCCGGACCTGCCGGCAGATAAGAAGCGCAAGTTCATCCTGGTTGAGGACAACAAGCGCAACTGCCGGCTCCGGGTCCGCGTCACGCTTGAGAATGTCGACACCAAGGAGATCCCAGACTCTTTCCGCAAGAGCTCCTCCGTCTTCCCGCGTAGCTACTTCCCCCGTGAGATGCAGAGCCCGCCCCCGAGCGCCACCGGCTCGCGGTTCTTCCAGGACGACCTGAGTGACAACGAAGCCGAAGACGACAATGAGGCGATGGAGGTCGAGGGCGGCCGCACCGGCCGGTCCCGCGGCAAGAACACCCGCAGCGATAGGGTCATGGTCAAGGTCCCTCTAGCCGGCGGCGCCGAGGGTGAGGTTGCGATCCCGCGGACACGCCGGGCCGCGCGCCAGTCCGAGGTCAAACTCAACGACCTCGGGTACCGCATGGCGTGGTTGCAGAGCCGCGTGTTCGCCGGACGGACAGTCTTTTTGCAGAAAGCTCGTACGTTTCTTCTCCATAATCTTAGCTCGTCTTCTTTCCAGTCTCGCCCAAAGCCAAGTTGCACGATGCTGACATTTTGATTTATCGCAGTCGACAACTATCGCACAAAGACGCGCACCGCGATTGAGACTGTGCATGGCCCCGACGCTGAGATCGACCCATCGCACTATGTGATGCGGCCTGGCAAGCGCCGCTGGACCGAGCGCATGCGCCGCAGCGAGAAGCCCGAGGATGACGAGTAGAGAGACGGCTCAGCAGGCTTGTTAGTATCTCTCCGTCACCCAGTATCGTCCTTCTCGAGTCGACACATCGGTGCCTCGCGTGTCGCGCGGGCATCGTTGTGTTTTTGTAGATACGACGACGCCATCGCTGCGTCGTTTCCAATCATGGCCCTGCTTTGTTTCCTGCTTTGCTGTGGTTTTCTGTTTTTTCCTTTTCTTGATGACATAGACCTATCGATTTTCTTCATGAGATGGATATACCTTGGGGTGCCAGTTTTGCTAGGGACAAAAGAAAAAACAAAGCCGGGGATGACCGGAGATGATAAAGGGGAATGACGTCGTCCGTACGCTGCTGGGTGTTCCGGCGGATGGTGTTTTTATCCCTTTTACGGTCTCGGGTTGTCTTCCGGGAGACGGACATAATTGTCTCGCCACCACGCTCACGCGCGCATGTGGGGGGAGCTTGTACATGCTGTTTATGGGACTTTTTTTCCTCTCTCGTTTTTACTCGTCTGAGGTCCATCTCTTACATATGTTTCTTCTTGACGACTTCTCCTGTCCTTTTCGGGGTACGCATTAATACAGTCATTTCTGGCTTGAGCTCTCACTGGAATGATTTATGAAGGCTCGCAAGTCTTTGGTGGGAAATCCCGGCTGCGGCTTGGTCATCTGTGCTGTGCATTGTCGTGCCGAGGCAGTGTTGTCCTGCTCTTGCTGCCGTGAATAAGATGGGCGGTGGCCCGGGCGTGGCTGCTGTGGTGATTTTTGATGAATCCTGGCCGGCGACGACTCTTGTTATGTGTGGTAACTACTGGTTTTGTCCTGCTCTGTGGCATTTCCCATGTAACGGGCGGTTCGAGGCGAGTCAGCCGCAGCATGGATCTGGCTGGCTGGCTGGACCAGATAGCTGGGTGCGGTGCGGCGCGGCCATGAACGGCGGCCGTGGCATGGGATGCATGCAAGTGCAACAGCGATCTGCACCAGCCGGGGTTGGGAATTGGGTGGTGGTGGCGGCGGTGGTGGTGCATTCTTGTGGTTCACGCATGGCGGTGGGTCCCCCGTGCGGCGGCGCGCGCCGTTACGCAGGCGGCTTGCAAGCATCAGAGTTGGGACGGATTCCAAGGGTTCGGGTGCTGGGAGTATTAGAGTGTGTGTGGTGGTGGTGGTGTGGTGGGGACGGACGGACGTGCACCCAGGCCAGCACGCAGCGCGCGAGCGCACGCACTTTGGAGCGCCGCACCGCCGCCCGCCAGCCCGCCCGGGGCCGTGGCCGGGGGCCGGGGCCGTGGTCCCTCTCGCCAGCCGCGCACCACCACAGCAGCCGGCTCTGCGTGGAACACTTGGGAAGGGGGCCCGGCCCTAGACACGCATGCTCACGCAACCTTAATTGAAAAGCCTGCCGCGCCGGGCCCAAGGGTCGCTAGCCGTGCGCTTATGTGTGTTCCCGGTTCACACCATCAGCTATCATTGCCTGCCTGCCTGCCCAGGTGTATACTCCTGCCCGACCCATTGTTTAGGCTATGTTCCGTAGGCCGCGGGGCGGGAAGCCCTTGCCTTGCACTGCTTCCCCAGCCATACGGATTGCATGGTCTCGTTGCTGGAAAAACAGCACAGGCACGGCCACTAACGGCTGCATGGCGCGGCACGACACGCTACTCTGCCTCTGTCTGTCCAGGTTGTCGGCACGGCCAGCCTTGGAAGAGTGCAAACTTCAGGCCTGATCTCTCGGAGTGCTCCGAATGGAGATGTCTCTGGTGACACAGTTTCGCTGCTGCTGCTGCTGCAAGGCAATAATAGTGTCCTTGGCACCCACGCGGGGGGTGTGGGCGTCCCGTTTGTGGCGTAGTGTGTGCGTGTCCCTTACTTGCTTCTGGGCGTACCGGCTGAAGCTTCCCAGCTTCCGTGCCGGGGGCTTGTTACGTCTGTCTCACGATTCGCGGGCAGAAGCAAATGCTGCTCTGGTGCGTGGTGGCGCAAGAGCCAAGGAATTAGTCGTCTGGCAAGCCACGGTCGCGGAAGACGTCACAGTGGCACACGCTGTCTCACCCGTGCCGTCCACGGAGATCTCTTTGATGGGAGGGCGTGCGCGATTCGGCAGCGGGTCGAGGTCGGACAGGAAGCAATGTCTTTCGGGGATGCGCCCGGCAGCGGCCGAGGTGTTGCGATTGGGTGCGTGGCGGTTTGGGGCGAGACAGGCTGAAGAAGAAGGCGTATGCCAGCGGACGGGTGGTCTCACAGCCACAGGAGGCCCGCCGTCCCACCGTGCCACGAGATCTTGGGAACTTTGCGAAGGTTGAGCGGTGCAGCGTAGCGCGCCTTGGCGCACAGCATGGGCATATTGCAACCTTGGAAGGCACCGCGGGGATGCGAGGGGAAACAGCATCCAGCACCAAGCTACGTTGGAAGCCACACACCTGGGGGGGTGACTTGGAACCTTCCTTGCTTTGCTTGCAAGTGCCAGCTCCCCCAGCTCCAGACATTACGCATTCTTGTAGGAGTCCTTCACTCACCACGACCACCTAAACTTCTCATCTACACCCACACCTCTGACCACCCGTCAATTGGCACGGCGGTCGGCACCGTCTCACCCGTCGTCTCTACATACGCCGTGCTCGCTCGTCTTGCCCGACAGACCACGTTTGCGTGCATCCCAGAGCCTGCTGGAGTGGAGGGCGCTTCCCACCTCAGCTTCACTACATCCTGGCCGCGCAACTGTACATTTGTGCTGGGCAATAGTGCGTGGAGGACGGCTGCCATGTCGCACCAGCACGTTCGAGGACATGCTGCGTCCCATGCAGCCTCCCAGACAGACCGTGACAGCAGTACGGCGCCTGGTCACAATGGCAGCACCAGCACCGAATCTACCCCCCTGCTGCCCACGAGCATGCTCGCCAATGTCGCCCACGAAGGGGAGAGCGGAAGGTCTGGCTTCCACCCGCGCCATTTCTTGCACGTGCTCTGGCTTTCGTCGTGCACTGTGTCATCCTGGGTCAACGTCCTTTGGCCGTTTGTGCCCGTCGCCATAGCGCTGAACTTCGTGAGCGACGCACATCTCTGGATCTTCGCCATGAGCTATGTTGCCATGGTCCCGTCAGCCAACCTCCTCGGCTTCGCTGGCCAGGAGTTCGCGCGGAAGATGCCAAAGGTCGCCGGCATCCTCATAGAGACCACCTTCGGCTCCATTGTCGAGATCATCCTCTTCATCGTCCTAATTGTGAAGCACAATGTCGAAGAAGGGAATGGCGACGAAGGCAACCTCATCCCTATTATCCAGGCGGCTATCTTGGGGTCCATACTGACCAACCTCCTGCTCTGCCTCGGCCTCTGCTTCTTCTTTGGCGGCATTCGACACCAGACAGAGAAATTCCATGCCATTGTGTCAGAGGTTGGCAACGGGCTGCTCCTGGTAGCTGCATTTGGCCTGCTCATTCCTAGTGCGTTCTACTCCGCGCTCAAGACTGAGACGGTACCCTCTCTAGACCTTCACGTCCTGCACGAAAAATTCACCGAGGGCAAGTTGCAGGATGACGTTCTTCGAATCAGCCAGGCGACCTCGATTGTATTGATCATGGCATTCTTTCTCTATGTCTGGTATTGTGCTAGCAGCCAGCATAGTCTGTTTGATGCCGTCATAGAGCAGGACGAGCATGGTGACACGGATCGCGAGGCGGACATGGCCAAACCCAAGTTTACACTGACAGAAGCACTCGTGGCCATTGCCTGCTCCCTAGTCTTTGTCACGGTTCTTCTCATTATACTTGTTGACAAGATTGAGCATGTAGTCGAGAGCGGCGTGCCCGATCAATTCCTTGGACTGATACTCCTTCCACTTGTCGAAAAGGCAGCTGAACACTTGACGGCCGTCGACGAGGCTTGGGGTAAGATCTCTCCTCTCGGGATTCTTCGCCACAACTATTGCTAACACAACCGCACAATCTTCAGATGGCATGATCAATGTCGCACTATATCATTGCCTTGGACCATCAATTCAGACTGCTTTGTTCAACGGTCCTCTCGTGGTAATCGTCGGTTGGATTTTAAAGAAGCCCATGGACCTGAATTTTGAAATCTTCATGGTGGCACTTTTGGTCCTGTCGATCCTCGTGGTCGGCAATTTTCTGCGCGATGGCGAATCGAATTGGTTGGAGGGTGCGCTCCTTGTGGTCAGTGCTTTATTGTCATGTCTGGATCATGGGCTGGGACATTCTATACTGACAACCACAGATCGTGTACATCATCATCGCCATCGCAGCATGGTATTATCCGAATCCGGATGTCGCTACCTCGAACGGTATTGAGGGGCTTTCCGAGGGTTATGTGGCCATCAGTACGGAGAATCTGAGGAGGATACAACAACTTTTGGGGGAGACGAACAACCAATGAGTGGAGCTGAGGCTCGAAAACCTGCTTCCTCAAACTTGTCGTTTGCATACAAGCCCAACGACTTCAGAAGCAAGGTGCGGACCAGAGGATCAGAAGGTTTGCTGACAACTCTGGTGGCTGCCGCTTAATGGCAAAATTTCCTTTCCTCAACATCATCTTCTCTTCGCATAATAACTCGTTTGACCCACTGTTACTCATTTCCTTCCACGGCACGCGAACACCGACCACCGCACACTTTGTAGTGCAGGCTGCCAGATGAGGACCTGCTGGTGTTCCCCAATGTCTAACGCTCTGAGCGGCTTGTGACGCAGACGCCACAACGTCCTCACGAGACAGTCCGTCTTCACGAAGCAACAAGTTCTTTCCCTAACGCATGGGTGTGGACAGCATATCGAAAAATCACCAAACAGCCACTACAGAGCCAATTGCTCGAATCAAGGTTGAACTTCCCGCAGGTCAGATACAATGGCAAACGCATCTGCCACGCCCAATCATGAGCTTTGCGCCTTGCCCAAAGCGACAAATGACATTACATTCTTCTCTCGAACGATTCCCGACATACCAAAGAGGGCATTCATAGTCGGCCTATGCTCTGTTCCGATATCTCGAGCTCAGCCAGATGACCTTGGATGGCATATTACAGACTTCTTGGCTTGGAAAACACTCTTCCGTGGCCGCGGATCCCCCAATTCGCAAGCATGGTTCGCAGCCTGCGACATCGCCCAATTAGTCAAAGCTCGGCCAGAAGACTATACTCATGGTCCCGAAAAGACTGTCGTCAGACGCGCTCTCAGGCCCTCTTTTGACAACATTCCAGGCGTTGGATTACGTGCCAGGGACGATTATAAATACCCTGATTCGACAGATAGTTTGACAGAGAGATTCTTGAGCACCGTTTCTCAATTTTCGCTAAAGGCATCGAAGGCTGGCATGCCCCTGGTCATTTTCCTTTGCGGCCCGGCGAACCTAAATCAGGACATTTACCTTGGCGATGCTGAGCATCAAGCTTGGATCAGAAGCAACGACATCCGGAACGCTATGCTTGACAGTCACATCATATCTGTGGTCGTCACCCCGTCGCCGTTCTCCCCAGGATGGCAGATTAATCCATGCTTCAGTGCCGAACTAAGTCTCAAGACAAGAGCTGCTGCCGATGTCTTCTTAGCGATGCAGTTCGGTGGTCTCGTCAGTCGGGAACTTCTTAAGAGCTGTCTTGGGGATGACGGTCCGTGGCTTAACAGGGTCATGCTGGACATGGATACCGCCCCGATTGTGTCAGCCTTGGGGCCAATCGAAGCAAATATTGAGCAAGTGGAGGCTGCGCGGGCTGTTGTACGAAAGCTCAGCCAAACGTTGTCAGGACGTTCTCTTGGGCCAGGCGATCATCACGCGTTCAGCTTTGAGACTGATGATGATGATTGGGAGAAATATATCGGGCCACGCCAGGGACCTCTACTATCAGAGCTCAAGATGAAATGGGACAGATTGCCAAAGCTTATCCGTCAAGGTTCACTTCCTTTGGAAGGTCTCAGCCTTTTGGGGAATGCCTTCGGCGGCCTCGTGAGCTCTCAGACAGAGCACATGCGGCTTCTTGTGGACGAGACGGTATTGGCACTCAAGAAAGCGGCGGCGGCACCCTCTTCCGACGGGGTCTTGAAGTGCGAGCTTGACTATTTTTTCAGCCATGATGGAGAAGAGTCTACGCTTTCCGAGCTTTTCTATTTCCTTGAGCACAGAGCTACCTCTGCCGTCCTCGGTGACGTGCTTTTGAAACGCCTTGGCCTGTATGAATGGGCACCGGCTCCTGGACGATATCACGAATGGAACCCCGTGGCGTGGAAGGCATCTCGAAATTTGACGCTCCAGAGCGCCGAGACCAAACTAGCCATGGCCCTTGATGCCATACTCGTGTTTCCCTCAGAATACCGCCTTCCCAAAACGCTATTTCAAGAATTCAAAAGGGCTGAGCATCACCCTCCAATCTATTGCCAGTACATCGCGGCGGCTGTCACGGCCAGTGGACGGTGCCCCGATTCGGTAATCACGGAGATCCACAAAGGTGAGATCCTTCAATAACAAACCCTACAGGCTTATGCCCATGCTGATACTCATTCACAGTGCTTGAGGGGGTGTTCAAAGAGCAAACAGCAAGGCTGGATCGCGCGCTCGGCGATCGGGGAAGCTGCGTACTCTGGCCCGATTCGAAGAGATATCTCCGAAGCGCAGACGTTGGTTCGTTAGCCCATGGAGCTGACACGAAGGAAAGGATTGAAGTTATTCGCCCTCGCGACAGCGACAGCTGCTCGCAACGAGCATCTCAGACCTTTTCCACTGTCATTGCATCGCGCTCCTCTGGGAATGGCTTGGCGTCTTCTGGCGCGGAGAACTTGCAGCTGCAGCATCTCCAAACGTCAACATTGCCTGCAGAGCATTCTTCTCCACAGCCTGTATCGAACCAAAGTCAAGCCACCGACCTGCTCATTAGCTCTCAGGAGTGTTGGGCGCGCATTGCGCAGCTCCAGCGAGAGTTGCGTTCTGTGCTTGACGACGACGATGCAGCCAAGGCGAAGTGGGTTGAGCTCGTAGATGCTGTGAATGCTGCACTATCGCCGGACCAACAGTTTACCTTGCCTGACCCGCGAGGGGAGGTGCAAAGACAAACATGATTTTAAACCCGTGGAGGGATGCAGGCTCGAGAGGTCGATGGCAGGATAGTGAATCCCAGCATGGCAGGCCACCGGATTGCCACGTCACAACAAGGATGTGGTTTCATTAGCTTTAGAACACCATCAACGAGATAGGGGGGAAGTCATGGCTAAGTCCTTGCAAGGCGACGCGATAATCTTACCCATGAAAAGCGTAGATTTACACGTTAAGTTTGTCGACATCGTGCTGTGCCGTTGACAAGGGTCAAACACGGCGAAACTGCCGAGCGGTAATTATGAGTCCAGACCGGGCGATGCCTGGCGCGGCCTTCCCGAAACGAACCGGCCTACCATCTCCAAGCTCGAGACGACACTTCCCGGGACCGCACGAGGCTTTCCGTCTCGGCAGGATCCGTATGCAGCCCTGCGACACGCAGACTGGCACGGCCGCATCGGCTGAACTTGCCAGGGGATAGGAGCAAGGAGGAGGAGACGGCAATTGCCTTGATGTCCCACGACCCACCTTCTGCATGCGGCTTATGGGCAGCGGGTGAGAACAGAGTCAATGCGGGTGGCACACTTAGGGTCGCCGAGTACTGGCTAGGTTCTTCACAAGATTGGGTGCGCTGGCATGCTGGCCGAGTTAGTGGCACTGGTGGCGATGGCGGTGCGCGATGAGCCGCGGATAAAGGCGTTTGTCCCGGTGATTGATGGCTTGCGCCACAGTGGGTGCAAGAATGAGAACAAGAGTGAGAAGGGGTGATGCATAGGATGGAAAGGGCTGGTGAGGATGAAGGAGCTCGATAGACTTGACGATGTTATTTCGTGATCTCAGCTCTTGTTGTTGATCTAGAAGACTCTGGATGTGACGTTTTGATGCAGATCCCCCGGGCGATCATCACGAAAGAGCTTGGACACACACACACACACACACACACACACACACACACATATACATGAAGGATCGAGAAACAAGGCACCATGAGAACGTCTCCCTGCCGTGGGCTGACAAGGGGAAGGTGAAATGATGAGGTAGGAGGTTGAAGTCCGGCCCACCGCCACCACCACGCGGCGCGGAGCTTAGCATATGCTTTTGACAGTTGCCACCTGCGCCATCCTGCGCTTATCTCTTGTTCGGATGATTTATCCCTGGTCTTCTTTTTCTTCCCGGGGGCTTGCAATTGGGGCGCTGTGCCGATATGCCCTTTCAGGCGGCTGCCGCCAAAGGTACTGTCCTGGCCCAGTCCCGCCTTCGGCAGCCGGCTGCCGACAGAGAGACATCTAGGGGCTTGCCAAGAACATGCGGGTGAATCGGTGTGGACTTTTGCTTTTTTTGAGAGTGTTTTCTTTTGTGTTTTAGAATGGTGATGGAATGGACTGGCCACGCGGGCAAAGATGGCTGGGCGAGATCACTCCCACGAGGGAAACGTTGTTCTTGTCTTTCTGAATGCCGGGGCCATGGCGGTACGTGTCTGATTAGGTAGTGTGGGAGTATTAGGTGTTGAGTTGTGGTGGTGGAATTGCATACCCTTCCGCAACAAGAGGGCCACCGTATGAGCTCTGACGTTTTGCCTTGAGCAAGTAGTAACATAAACCCGGTGGCAATCATGGCCTAAACCCCAACAGCAGCCGTCTGGCCAAGACCAGGCTGGCCACGACAAAGATGCCCACGATCGCCTACCCCCGGCGATATCAGATCAGATTTGGTGGTGAGAGAGTGGTGATATCACCCGCACGTGGCTTGACGTCGAAGCCCTCGTCCTGCAGGTTCGCTTCAAAGGCGCCATCCGCGGAGACGCCCGCTAGCCGGGCCTGTCGACAAGTCAAAAATGTCTCAGAGCTCGGGTGCCAAGCAGCCAAGGTTTTTTGCTCGCTGTGGGGAAAATGGAGGCGCCTTTCCTCCGGGCAAGAGACAGCGCTAGCCTGAACTCTTTGTTGTCAGTTTAGACTTTTTGTGACATTTCCCGGACGCCACAAGCGGGCGATGGATATCCCCTCCCCTCCTCCCCCTCTTTAGGCACAAGGGAGCTCGACGAATGTGGCCAAGGTGAACGCCATGCGCGGCTAGGCTGTCCAACCACGCAAGGGGCTTGCACGGGGCTGCTGTCTTTTCCCATGTGGGAACGGGGTGACGGGACGGGGACTTTTTCCGCATGACAGTTACGCTGTAGCTAAGGTAGCCTCCGGGGCCTGTCAGGGTCAACCTTATCTTGCTAGGCTGGTTGCCGCTGAATAATATGTTCCGAGATGGTTTTGTTGCATAGCTCTCTGTCAGGGCCATCTTTGTCGCAATCACCCTCCATTTGCTTATGATGCCAAGAAGTGCAAGAATGCGCACTCGTCTTGCACCAGATAAATAACCGGGTGTTTATCACTTGAATGTTGTCCTGCAGGGAATCTCGACATTACAACTGGGGGGCACAATGAATGCGTATCAGGGCAATCTCCCGCAGCCACTAGATGGATAAACAAACTACAGATCACCCGGCCCGGAGAGATATGTAATCGACATGAATAGATGGCAACGCCTGGACCGAACCAGGGTCCCGCATGCCAAGCTTTGGCCCAGAGGATAGGCTTTCGGCTTGTTGAATGCTGTCTGCCCATCGATCTCATCGGCCCCTCCAGATTCCCAGGATCATCATGAAATTGGGTTTGGGGCATCCCGGAGTCGCCGTCGAGACCCATCATCTCTGTCGGGATGGCACGCCGTTGCAACAACTCCTGGTCGAGTATATAGCATCTCGGCCTTGTCCTCGACAGGACACTGGCATCTCAGGATCATCAGCAACACCTTCAGCTGTTTCATCCCCCGCTGAGCTCTGTTGCCCTCGCACGTTGAAGGCACACGACATCGGATTGGTCCAAGTGTCCCTTTTCATTCCAAACATCACAACAATGAAGGTGCAGGTTCTGCCTGTCATTGCCTCGTGTCTGGCAGGCGTCGACGCCGCTGCTATCGGCGGAGGTGCTACGTTCGGCTTGGGCTCCTTGTTCGGCGGCTTCCTTGGCGGTGGTATCGGTGTCAACGGCAACAATCTGGACGTCCAAAGCCTTCAGGTGACACTCCGGAACATTGCGGGCACCCTGCAGGACGCTGCCAACCCCATCCGCAAAAACTTCTTCGGCTTCGGATTTGAGTATCCTGCCCCCTTGACAGTCGCCGTAAGTGTCACATCGCAATATGTACATTGATTAGGATTGGCATGCTGACAGGTAACATGATCAGCAATTGGCCTCTGATCTCTACGATGTTCAAACCGCGGTGTACAGTGCTCAAGTGCTCTTGAATAGGGTGGCCAACCCTCAAGTTCCTACCACCGCGCAAGGCCCGATCTGTACTCTTGTTGCCAACGTGAGTCTGACTTGGATATATCATATTGTCCTTGTGTGAATCATCATGCATGCTGACAAAATACTCGCCACAAACAGGTCCTCAACGCCGAGAATGCGCTCGTCACCAAGATCAACAGCAACGTTGCCACCGGCACCAGCGCCATCGCTAAGGACGTCTACCTGCCCAATTTCGGCAAGGTTCTTGGAGACACGAGCACCAGCATCAACTCTCTCGTCAACTCGATCACGGTTCTCACCCCTACCTGCCAGGCTGACATCAGAGAGGCCCAGGCCAGCATCTCCTCCCTCCTTCAGAACCTCGTCAACACTGCCCTCGCTTTGCCCGGCCTCATCATAAATGGCTTCGCCAAGATCCTGCTTCAGTTTCTCAACCTTGGAGGCGTCCTGCAGCCGCCTCCGCCTCTAAGCACTTCCGCCATCCCGAGTCCTTCGCTGCCTTCTTCGATTCCTGGAGTGTCACTGTCTCTGCCTACAGCAGGGCCGAGCACCTCGGGCCCGCTGCTGCCGCCGTTCTCCACTCCTTCCCTACCGCCAGTCTCACTGCCTTCGATTTCCCTGCCCAGCATCTCGCTGCCGCCGGTGTCGCTTCCGTCGCCTTCTCTTCCCAGCCTATCGCTGCCGCCAATCTCGCTGCCTTCAATCTCCTTGCCCAGTATTTCACTGCCGCCTATCTCACTTCCATCGCTGTCGCTGCCCAGCATTTCGGTTCCAGCAGCCTCTGTACCGTCGCTTAGCCTCTCGCTCCCGCCGGTTTCTCTGCCTTCGGTTTCTCTACCTTCGCTGAGCCTCTCGATCCCAACATTTTCTCTCCCCTCGCCGAGCCTATCATTGCCGCCAGTCTCTCTGCCCTCACTGAGTCTCTCGATCCCACCGGTATCCTTACCATCGCCAAGCCTATCGCTGCCCAGCATTTCGGTTCCACCGGCCTCTGTACCCTCGCTTAGCCTCTCGCTCCCGCCGGTTTCTCTGCCTTCGGTTTCTCTACCTTCGCTGAGCCTCTCGCTCCCCCCAGTTTCTCTACCCTCGCCGAGTCTCTCGCTGCCGCCGGTCTCTCTGCCTTCAGTTTCTCTACCTCCGGTTTCTCTACCTTCGCCGAGCCTCTCGCTGCCACCCGTTTCCCTTCCCTCACCATCGCTGCCCAACCTCTCGTTGAGTCTTTCGCTGGGCCCTACGCTGCCCTCAATCTCGCTGCCTTCCGGCCCCGGTGCCTCGAGCTCCAGCCGTTCGGTACCACCGGTCTCGCTTCCGTCAATCTCGGGCCTACCGACGTCTATTTCCAGCATTCGTATCCCTACCTTGTCTACCAGTACTCGTATCAGTCTGCCGACTCTGCCGATACTTCCATTTTAGGCGGATGCTTTCTGGAGAATCAGGCACCACCCAAGCTGAAAGCGCGCACATCATGATAATGAAAATTTTTACGACACTTGACGATTTCTTCCAATTCTTTCCTATCTCTCAAGGTCTGCGCCGTGCGGTGGGACAAGATGATTGCCTTGCTGGGGCTTTGGCGTGGGTTGCTGAAATGTGTTTCTGACGTGTTAGTTCAATTACCTAATTTGACGACCCCTGGGTTGGGAAACGAATACTTTGTGTAATGGGTTTTCTTGAGACACTCTTTACGATAAATATTCAGATGATGGGAATATATGCCTCACAATTTTCGCAAGAGAGACATAGAGAGAGAGCGGAAGAGACTCGTACTTTGAACTGTGATTGGTCGAGATCCAGGAATACGGCCCAAAATGGAAAGTGGGACCGCTTTGCGCTGTGTCGATGCGTGGCCATGGCTGACTGACCTGCGCAATGCGGTTGTACGAGGGGAAGCCCGGTTTTGTTTTCATTTCTGTTAACAGCTTTGATCTCTTGAGGAATGAGCAGAGAAGCATGACGGGTAGCATGATCAGCGACGATGAAGCTGGTGGATTGACTGGGAGGAGACGGGTCCGATCCCCACGCATGGGGTATTACGGTGCATCGCTCTTGACCCCGCCAACCCAGTACGTACTGTAGCTTTCCCCCTTCTGGTGACGTCGACTTTTGTGTCTTAACTTGCAACCCTCTGTCAACCTTTGGAACCCACCATATCCCCCACCACCACCACCACCGGACCCCCCTCGACTGCGTCACGTCTCACGCCCACCACCGTCGCCAGGATGGTCTCGAGCCGCAGCAGCAAGGGCTTCTGCGAGGGCGCGCCCTCGTGGACGCCGGCCGCCTACATCTCCGACCGGGCCCTGCACGACCGGGCGGCCAGCCTGCTCGAGGGCGCCGACGACGTGCGCGCCGCGACGGCCGCCTCGTTCTCGCTGCCCGCGCGCGACAGCTACGTCTACCACGCGCACCTGTCCGTCACGCTCGCCCAGGTCCAGCACGCCGTCTCGCTCGGCGCCGCAAACCACCTGCACGCCTGGTACCGCGACCCGGCCGACCCGGCCCGGCCGGCGCCGCCGCCCCCGCGCGCCGACGTCGACGCCTACCTCGCCATCTTCGACCCGGCCACGGCCACGGCCAACGCCCTCAAGGCCCTGGCCAGCAACGCAAAGAAGGGCTCGCTCCGCGCCCGTGTCGCCCAGAACCTCCAGGCAAAACGCTTCCTGCACCCGGCCCTCCTCCCGCAGCTCACCATCCCCAAGCGCAAGCAGACCGCCGCAGCCGCCGCAACAACCCCCGCGAACCCGTACCTCACCTTCCTCGGCTGGGCCTGCCGCAACCTCGAGTGGTGCGGCCCAAACGACCTCTCCGAGACGGCTCCCCCGACGAGCCACCCGGTCCTGCCCTTGCTGATGCACCACTTTGGCTGCGTCTGCCCGACCTTTGAGAGCCTCGAGATCATCCGCGTCCTCGCGGCCGGCCGCGAGGTCATCGACATGGGCAGCGGCAGCGGGTACTGGACCTTTATGCTGCGCCAGCACGGCCTCCCCGGGGGCTGCCACCCCGTGGACAACGCCCAGAGCAGCTGGCGCGTCATGTGGGTGGACGACACGGAGATTGCCGACGGCGAAAAGTTCTTGCGGCAGAAGCGCGGCGGGGCCCCCGACGCCGTGCTCCTCCTCGTGTACCCCATCGTGGGCGGCGGCGTGGCGGGCGGCGAGGAGGGCGGGTTCACGCGCAGCCTGCTCAGGGCGTACACCGGGGACACGCTCGTCGTCGTCGGCACCCAGAATCGCAACGGGTACACGGGCTTCCGTAGCCAGAGCATGGACGAGTACATGGCTCGCGAGCACGGCAGCGAATGGACAAAGGTGGTACAGATTCCACTGCCGAGCTTCCCGGGCAAGGATGAGGCCATGTTTGTCTTCCAACGCGGCCAGAGGGCCCCGCCGGCCGTCGAGGCCGAGCCGAAGCCTACTCCATCGTCATAACACGTCGTTCATCTCGACGCTGAGACTGCAGGGCCACTGAAGGAGCTCCAGGGGGAGGAGAAATCACGTGCAGCAGCTCTGCCATTGTCTACGGTGGGGGGCGAATTTAATTCCAAGCTCTGCCAGCACTACGGCAGCCACGCAATAGGATCTAGCCACTTGACGTCCGGCAACCCTTTGTCCGTCACAAACACATCGACGGGCTTAAGGTACGGCCTCGCCTGCGTCCAGTCGAACACCTTGGTGATGTTGCTGGCCCTCTCCGCTGCATCGTCATACCCCGGCCCGAAGACCTTGTGCACCGCCATAATCGTGCCCGCCCCAACACCGTTGTTGTTCGGCGGCTTGCCCTCCCAGCCGGTGTACCCCGCGGGCAGGATGCTATCGTCAAAGTACGACTCCATGATGACGCTGCGGTGTATGTCGTTCCAGGGCCGGCCCAGGGAGCAGCGGTCCTTGATGATGCTCGCGACCGAGCTGTTGGCCGCCCGAAACTGCGTCTGCGAAATGTACACGCCGTACTTGTTGGGAGCCGCGGTGGTCGTGTTGGTGCCCTTCCACGCGGTGATGCCGCCGCCGCAGTTGCGCATGGACAGGTGCGACTTGGCAATGTACAGCGTGCCAAAGCCGTAGAGGAAGTCGGTCTGCCCCGCGACAATGGTGTCGTAGAAGTACGCGTTGCCCAGCTTGCCGATGTAGATCTGATAGGGCCGTGGCGAACATCATCAGCACCTCTGCTGACTGGGGTTCGCGTAGATGCGATTGACGGAAGAGGTCATCCCCTCGATACACCGCAGATCCCAGAACTAGACAGCATATACAAACACGCGGCTCCAGGAACAGCCCCATGTAACCATCAGAAAGAGAAGCAGACTCACCGTGTCTTGATAACTGTAGAACCCACACGAGTAGAACCCGGCGTTCGCCCTACTCACGCCTAGTGCGTGCGCGGGCCCGACCGACCGCGGGGCAAACTCGTTCCGGAAGTCAATGTTGTACGCGCGGAAGTCGCTGCTGCCAAACGGCGTGCTGGGGTCCACGGGCCACCCGTTGGGCCCCGCGCCCGTAAACGTCGCGTTGAGCGTGGGGCCGATGGTCAGGACACCCGTGAAGACGTTGTCGAGGAGCAGGTTGTTGTTGACGTTGGCCGAGTTCCAGTAGATCTGGACCTCGTTGGACGGGAGCGGGGCGTCGTAGTCAAAGGTCGAAGACGACGCCGGGGCCAGCGTCCTGGACTGCCATGGTCGGTCCGACACACCGAGCAGAGTGAGGGGCCCGGGCCGGGTCACGTTCAACTGCTCCGTATATGTCCCGGGCGCGATGAGGATGACGTGGGGGGTTGTGTTGTTGGGCAGGGACGCTATGGCGGACTGGATTGTGCTGAACTTCGCGTCTGGGTGGCTGGTCTGGCTCACGTAGATTGTGTGGGGAGGGCAGCCCGCGAGGGGGTTCTTGGTCTTCTTTTGGCACAGCGCGTAGGACTGGGCTGGGAGCGAGAACGGGAGGAGAGACGTTGCGCTCGCGACGACAGGAAGGAGCGCTCCGACGAGGGACAGCGTCAGCGTCGGCAACATCGTGAAGGTGATGGATAGGTAAGAATGTCTTTTTGAAGGTTGTCTCGACCAGGACCAACACCTGCACTCATGGCACGATGGGTTACAACGGAGCCGGGAATGGAGAATTTATATGCTCGGCAAGCTCATTCCGGCTAATCTACAAAATGCTGTCCCTGTCGATGTAGTACAAGGCAGGTCGTTGCTCTGTCGGCTGTCTGTGACCGCGGCAGAGGGATCCAAGCTCGATGTTCTCGGGAGTATAAGTCGTGGCATCGCATCATCCCCATGCATGCCAACGACCCCTGCGCATTACCCCGACTTCAGCAGACTGCCGTGTCCGTTTCGAGTTTCTAGTGGTGGAATCGAGCTCCGTCCACAGGCCGGCCCATGGGGAAGACAGGGACGGATCGGCACTTCAGAGTCGTTAGCTTCTCCGCGTTGCCGGCTGTCACCTCGGCCTGGGGTAAAGTAGCCCATTGATGAGGACGGCCACAGCCTGCAGCATTGGCAATGGTGAAATCCGCTTGGCTTGTGGCTCAGCTGCTTTGCAATACAGGGCTCTTGTGACCTCGTAGGGTCCGAATGAAACCGTGGTTCATCTGGTTGGTACTTTGGCTGAGAGGCGAACGGGCCTACACCTAGGTCTGGGGCAAGCATAGCGTGCGTGACTGCTTAGGTGTTTGTTGGATATTCAATAGACAAGCATTATCCTCCCCGAAGACTCCACAAAAGCCTTGGCTCTGATTGATGGGGTTTCAATTGTCCGTAGATCGAGCCGACGACATCGACGACATGGTAATTAATTTCGTCACCTTCCTTGGTCGGCCACAGCCCAGCCGTCGCCATGGATAAATTGATGTCGCTGTGGCTGTACTGAGTGTTTGTCAACCAACAGAACTGTCTACGGATTCTCCTTGTCATGAGCTTTGGGAGGATGTTTGAATATATCAACTTGACCATGAATATCATGAAACCCCCCGGAGGAAATCATCAGGGAACGACTATATTTGCGAATAGCCATCAGGCCTCACAGCACAACCAGTCGTGACTGAGCAGACAGCATGATCACTCGGGGTAGGATTGCACAGTACGAAGACTGTGCAATTTGCGGGGCTCCCGACCGCTGAGCACTGTCTTGTGCCCCTCATCCAGGCCAAACTCGAATTTCCAATGGCCCACTCTTGACATCTGACATCACACTGTTGTGAGAGTGACCTTTTGGACACAGCAACAGAGTTGATATAACCATTCCATTGCAAACGACCCTCTGATAGCATCATCGGACGCCCCATCGTGCACGGCCTGCATCTTCTACAGTCCGCCTGACGCAATGCACCTATCCCCGCGTCCCCCGCAGGACGACGAGTTCTACATGCAGGTCACAACGTCGGCAGATGCTTCCGGCGGTGGTGGCGGCGGCGGCGGCGCCGATCCAATTGTCCTTGACGGGCCCGACGCCGCGCGCTTCGGAACACAGTCCTCATACTATGACCCCATGGACAACATCTTCGGCTCAGACCCCGGTTCACCGGGAGCCACGGCAGGCGACGCGGCCACCACTACCACATCTCCCGACGAGCGTGACGGCCTCACAGCAGATCTGCGCCGGCTGAGGGCGCAGCACAACAAGGAAGGGTACCGGGAAGGGATCATGGTTGGGAAAGCCGGCAGTATTCAGGCTGGATTTGACGAGGGGTATAGTGTCGGGGCGAATGTCGGGCTCAAAGCGGGACAGTTGCTCGGTCTGCTGGAGGGGATCGTAGCGGCCTTAGGTTCCTCACCGTCAATGCTAGAACAGCAAAGGTCGGATTCCGCGAATTCGGCGATCAAAATGCACGAATCGGCCAAGCTGGAGCTGGGCAGCACAGAGTTCTTGTTCTCAGAAACCTATTGGCAAGCCGATGGCCAATGGAAGTACGACGTTCCTGTGTCAAGCTCAACAGCTGAGAAAGACGGCGAAAGTCCTGAACCAACACCCGAGGACGTTGCCAATGCTCATCCGATCATCGCGAAGTGGACCGCCGTCGTGGATGACGCAGTTGGCCGCTGGAGCCTGGACCTTGAACTCCCGTCGTTGAAGAGAAATGACACGAATGCTCAGGAAGACACAGCCGAGGCCAAGCCGATAAAGTTGGAGCAGCAGTCACGACAGGCGATGGATTGGTAAGAGCGTCTTTGACATCCATCGAATTTTGACGTTTCTCTCGAGGCGGAGATCTTGGCGCTTCAGAAACTCCAACATTCACGGCTGCACCATGTCCGGTCTGCGGTCCGGGCTCGAGACAAGATATCTTGGACACTAGGCCACGATACTGAGACTGGAGGTCGATGCAAGTCAAGGCGTTGCTACACCGAAGGTCCTGTTGCGGCGCCCTTCATGCGGTCCACGACCTCTTCCACTCGAGTTGCACCGCCTAAGAACCCTCTTACCGTCTCGCGGTCGCGACCCTGCTCGGCTTGGACGACCATTTTTACGATCTCGCCATTGTCGTTCATGACCAGCCGTCCAGCGCGGCCATCAGCCCATTCGATGCTGACCTGCTTGGCCTCGGCATCCGCGGCCTGAATGTTCACTATGGCCGAGTCATCGCCATCTGCCATTATCGAGGTGTCTGGTTCGCGATTGGTCGTGGCGTCGCGAAGATCGCTAATGACAGACGTTCGATTGTGAAAGCGCACGAGCTCTCTTCTGAGCGTGCGTACAAAACGAGGAAGATCCTGCCGGGCCTCATTCTGACGCCGGTCATCCCTCTGCCGGTCACCCTTCGGAGCGGGCAGGTATCGCGCTGCCAAACCTCCCAAGGGAATGCTAGGCGGTACTGTGTGGCGGTGGACCCGTAGGGCCTTGCTTCGGGTATACGGGCGATTGAGCATAACAAAGTACGGTTTCAAGAAGCGGGCGTGGGACATGACCTCGAAACGAATACCGAGCACGTTGCCATTGTCGACTGCGTTTGGGTCGGGATCGGTAACACGGAAGGTCGTGACGGAAGCGCACATACGATACAGCGACTGTTGAGCATGTGCCTGCTGTTCCTTGGCTCGAACGAGCAATCTCTCCGCCTGCGTCTTCTGCGATGCTGCTCGCGTGCGGCGCTGTTTCGCTTTGGGCTGAGAGATTTGTTGCTCGAGAGACTGGACAAAGGCTGGTGTCGCGAGTAGAGTGCTGCTATGCAGCGCTACATCACGCTTGAGGGACTCGACTGGGCTCAGAGTTAGTCATGGTCAAGAAGGTAGCGCTTCTGGTCTAGGAAATGAATGTTCACCTTGAGCCCGCAGCTTTGCGATTTCGTCATTGAGCAGATCAGCCACCGTGGGCGCTGGCGACGAGGCCAACTCGCTATTTTCCGACATAACTATCGCGGATGTTGCTAATGTGCATTTGCTCCGTTGTCTGGGGGTCCTCGTCAGAACGGAAATTGCCCCCGTATGCCACTATACGATGCTCCTTGCACAGGTAGTCTTTCTCGGGTGGTTTTGTGACGCGTCGCGACGCGCCGGCGGAAAGAGTGGCCGTGCAGCAATAAGCTTGTTCACCTTATGCGGGGTGGTATCTTGGCGTATTGCAAGGATGCGAGGTGGAGAGCAGGCCCGGAGAACGAGCAGGGTCGGCGATGATTGGCTGCCATCGACTCGTGCCTGACTAATCCTGCCGGATGCCCGCCACCAAGTCGCCTATCGATAAGCCGACCCAATTTCCACCCCGGAGGGTCCCGCCTGGGTGCCTCGTCGGGTCGGGGGCGTGCAACAGGCCCGCGCAAGTGACGGTCCCAAAACCCCATCGCCGTATTTCTGGCCGCGTCTGCACTTTGACGAGTCCAAGCTGGCGGACAACCCCCGAGCTTGACGATCCCCGCCTCAGGCTGCCTTGGCGTCGTTCACGCGCTCATTCGTTAACCACGCGGAATCGACTTCTCTTGTTGCAGCAGCCGTGCTGCAACGTTTGCTCCTTTGCAACCTCTCGTTCGCCACCATCACCACCTTTTTTTTAGCCCGAAAGGCCACGTTCTCCCTTTGTCATCAAGACCCCTACATGACCCGGCCTGCCTGCACACAAGCAGCACCACATTCTCTCAACGCATAACTGCATCAGCTGCACGACGAAGGAAACAAGTGCCCAGTTCTTACTTCCTCCACATCCTTTAAAGCTGCCGAACCATTCCTGAATCATCCTCTGGACAACAATCTCACCAAATCCACCGAACTACACCCCTGAACGCAGCGGTGCCAACGATCAACGCCCGATATCGAAACAAGAACTATATCCTCTCCACGGGCCTGCAACGATAGCTTTCATTGCATCGAAGCTCCTCTATTTCTATCAATCACCATATTCAACGCCGCAGTCCACCAGACAAGATCTGACTTGGCCGAAATTTCGCCTCTAAGACACCCACCTTTGTTCGCACGTCTCATCATCTCCCACCTACAACCAGTTTTTTCAAGTCCACCACCATACTTGTGTGGTGTCTTTGCGAATGGGTGTCCAAACGCGGAGGGCAAAAACTCCCAACGGCGAAAAGTTGTCCGTCACAACGACCGGCCGCGCCAACGGAGACACAAACGGGCACTCGAACGGCAAGATGAATAACGTCGAGCTGCGGCGCAAGCCCGGCCTCAAGCCCGAGTCGGATCAGATCACGGCGAATCTCATCTCTCGCGAATCGTTCTCCCTCGACGACCATGTCGTGAAGACCCCCGTGGCCAACAATCATGGCTTCTTTGAGCTGCCACAATCAGACCAGCGCAACTTTAGCCTGCTGGTCCTTCTATATTTTCTCCAAGGCATTCCCATGGGGCTTGCCACTGGCTCTGTTCCGTTTCTGTTGAAGGAGCACCTCTCCTTTGGCCAGATTGGCATTTTCAGTCTGGCCTCGTACCCGTACTCGCTCAAGTTGTTCTGGAGTCCCATCGTCGACGCGGTATGGAGCCCCAAGATCGGAAGGAGAAAGAGCTGGATCCTTCCCATCCAGCTCATCTCAGGTGTCAGCATGCTCTACCTGGGCTCCATGATTGAGGAGCTCATGAACACGACTGGCAAGCCCGGCGGGCCCAGCGTGTGGAACTTCACCTATTGGTGGTTTTTCCTCGTCTTCACGTGTGCAACTCAGGATATCGCAGTCGATGGCTGGGCGCTGACGCTGCTGACTCCCGGAAACGTCTCGTATGCATCGACTGCGCAGACTGTCGGTCTCACAGCCGGCCAATTCTTGTCGTACACGGTCTTCCTGGCATTCAACACCAAGGACTTTGCCAACAGATGGTTCCGAACCGTGCCTCAAGAGGAGGGCCTCATCACCCTTGGAGGGTATCTGACGTTCTGGGGGTGGTCCTACCTCCTCATCACAATAGGTCTGGCGCTCTTCAAGCGCGAGGAGAAGGCACAGAACGAGGAAGGCATCTGGGACGTCTACAAGATCATGTGGCAAGTCCTGAAGCTTAAGAACATCCAGACCATCATCATCGTGCACCTGATCGCCAAGATCGGCTTCCAGGCAAACGATGGTGTCACCAACCTCAAGCTTCTCGAAAAGGGCTTCGGCAAGGAGAACATGGCCTTGACGGTTCTCATCGACTTCCCTTTCGAGATTGGCCTTGGTTACTATGCCGGGAAGTGGTCGCAGGAGTACACTCCCATGCGGCTGTGGTGCTGGGGCTTTGTGGGACGCCTCGCGGCTGCTTTAATCGCTCAGTTCACCGTGGTCATCTTCCCCGCTGGAGGCGTGTCGGTTCCGTACATGCTCGTCGTCATTGCATCGCACATCTTCTCCACGTTTACAAACACCGTCATGTTTGTGGCCGTCTCCGCCTTCCACGCGAGGGTGGCCGATCCCGTCATTGGTGGTACATACATGACGCTGCTCGCCACGTAAGTTTTTTTATTGTTCTTTGTCTAGCGCTGCCCTGCCCTGCCTCGAAATGACCAAGGCTAACAACATAAACACCAGTGTGTCCAACCTCGGCGGCACCTTCCCCAGGATCTTTGTCCTCAAGATGGTGGACCACTTCACCTCGGCCGTCTGCCACCCGGCCACGAGCAAGCTCGACGAGTCGCTGCTGAAGGGCCCCTTGGTGACGCAGCCGTTCTCGTGCGCGGTGCAGGCCGACCGCGAGCGCTGCACCAACGGCGGCGGCTCGTGCGAGGTCCTGCACGATGGCTACTACATTGTAAACATCCTCTGCGTGGCATTCGGGGTCCTGACGTTCTTCTTCTACATCCGGAAGAGAGTGCTGCATCTGCAGAGCCTGCCTCTGCGCGCTTGGCGTCTGGCGGGATCCAAGTAGACTGCTTGCGTGGAGAGGGCAGCAGGTCGTCCTGACGTCCTGGTGGTATGTATGTGCGTGCCTGGAGCAGATAGCTTATATACATATGACACAAAATTGTACGAATATAAATCTCGGTCCAGCACCGCTTTCCGGGTTCTGTCCAAGAAAGAAGAAAGAGAGAATCAGTATCAAGTCAGTGTCTGCTGTCTCTCAGCCACGAATGCCGTGACTTTGCCAACGTCCGTACTCTCGCACCCATGCTCGTACTCTGCAGCTGTCTGCGCACTCTCTTCCAACGATCCCGTAACCCAAGGACGTCGGCCGGCATGGGGCAAGGTCGGACTGATATTCAACACGCCACGACCTGCACGATATCTGCAAAGGACCAGAGCGGCACGTTCCTGGACCGGTGTCGTGCCACGCAGTGCAAGACGGTCTATAGACATGCTACTTTCCAGGATAGACCCTTATCATGATAGTTATGGAACTCGATCCCAGCCCTCTCCAGCGGCAGCCGTGAGTGTGTGTGTGTGTCTCTCTCTCTCTCTCTATCATCAGAAATGGTGCTGAACGGGTTGAAGCCCAGTGTCCCTGGGCGCTGTTTATGCGCATCTGGGTCTTTGACACGACTCGGGTATGCAGGTCCAGTTGTGTCAAGACGCGTTTGCGGCGGTGCTTGACTCGCATTTGCGGACGTCATTTATTTTTGGCAAGATCGTATTTGTGTTAAGTGATAGTTAAAACAGCTAGTGGGCTTACTTGCTTGCTGCGCTTCGTGGTCGTTGATGGCTATCAGCATATCCATATGAACGTGCCATTGATTGGTGCCAAGAGACTCGACTTGGCACAGTAAGCTCCTCGCAAATGTTTGCACGACAAGTTCCATAGCTCTCCACCCTTCAGAATAAGCACACTTTCGTCTGGCCCCGTCCTTGCTGAGTCGACAATTCTCGAACCCAGCTTCGCCATTATCTCGTCGTAATTCAGGACGAATCTGCATTGAGTCCTCGGCTCCCTGCGCGCGTGTGGCTGGCGTCATCCTAGAGGAACATTTATGGGGTCCTGACGTAAATTGATACCCGCCTAGCGAGGACAACTTCCAACGACCTCTAAACACACAATGCCTCGGATTTACCTCATTTCACCACGCCATTTGTATCTCGGCGAGGATCAGATGAGTTGTGAATGCCCAGTATTTGCGTGCTGCATGATTTTGTGCAGGACTATGAGATTTTAGATCTTCTCGCTTCCGGAGAGGAAGGGGACAAGAGTCTAGACCTGAGTCCATCTTGGACAGATCGGTCACCTGTGTGCCTCTGCCGATCTTTACTGATTGAGTAGTTGTTATTGTGGCCCCGAGACCCGCAGTCCACGTTGATGGAGCATTCGCGTATTCTCGCAGACACCGCCATGTAATAATTCCTTGGCGGTAAGCAAAGGCTTATTGACGGCATGAGAATGTCTGGATCCGCGGTTCATAACGGCTGCCCGTAAAGAATAACCGACAAGTGGCAGCAAAGCTGTAAGTCTTTGCTGACTTTTTTCTCGTTCCGATTTCCCCCACAAGGACACAAATGAGAGGTGCAACAAAATAGACATAGCCGCACCAGGGAATATTCGATGATCAACACGTAGACAATCAAACATTGAGGCGCCGAGCCAATATTGTGGAAGGCTGGGACGAGACGATATATGCAAGGCACGACGACGTTGGTCGTGGCGGCGCCAGTGGCGGGCGTTCGCAGATCCGAGATTTCAAGCTTTTGGCTGTCCACTTTTTTCTTATTTGTGTCTGTGTCTTTTTGCTGTTTTCTATTGGGGAGAGATCAACTGCTCGCTGCAAGGGGCACATGCTCAGCGTGGGAGCGGTGGGAACGTCGTGCCAGGATGGGAGTGCGTCAAGGCGATGATCTTTGCCTTCATGGAACAGAGCCGCTGGGCAGGAGAGTGACGAGAACGTGCTGGACAGGCAAGATCGCTGGGCGGCTAGCGTCGATCTGAAGGACCCTTGCTGCACACGTCGCCGCTGGCACCAGCAAGCCACCCGCGTGGCATTCCTCTCGACAACCGCACGGGGGTTTGCCAGCAGCAGCTCGATTCGATTCTTCAGGCAAAGATCGTCTCCGAGTTCAGCTGGACGTGCGGGTGGTGGACAAGAAGAGACCAGCAGATGATCTTGGAACCAGCCAGCCAGTCAGTCAGCCAGGCCAGCCTCCCCCGATAATATCAGCTGGCACTGCTCCTCTTCCTACTGCTGCTGCTGCTGCTCAGTCAGAGATTGATGCAGCAAGCACCTGCCAGGTGTCCTTGGCAGCTCTGCAACATCACATTGACTGATTTTCGTGAGCAGGGTTGGGCCTGCCGGCTTCCGGGGCTCTCTGCTCTGTCCCCAAGACCCTGGCTACTCGACTCGAATGTCCAACGTGACGAAGCGCCTGCTGCTCGCATCTCCGCGCCGTCTTCCGGTTTGGGTCGCTGGGAATCTCGCTTGGTCAAAAGGACGCCCTCGCTTCAGCGGCTGGGGTTCCCCCAGGAGTACTGCGTGCCGTCACATCGTCGCCCTGTCCGCCTGCCTGCCGGGTCTCTCGTCGTGTCCATCCGATGAAGCCCAACACCGCAACGACATGTCGCCAGCGAGCCAGGTTGTGCGGCGGCGGGCCCACGTTCTGCACCAAATGGCACCACAAATGCGGTGCTGGGCCACAAACCTTGTCTTTGAGAGTCGCAGATGGCCACCATGAGCTTCGAGCTGGACACCCCTGGTCCTGCCAGACCCAGTCACACGCCCTTAGTGCATGCAATATCGCCCTGCGCTGACCAGCAATCCATGCCTTGCATAACTCCCCAGTCTCCTGCCCGCCACGGCCGCCACACATCAAATAAGCTCAGCCAAGGGTGCCCGCCCTCTCCCAAGCCATCTGCGGCTGGCTCGCTGCTGCCCTTCGGATCACACAGGGTTGGCTCGGGGCAGCAGGCACAAGCACATGGCCAACGGCAGCCACCGTCTTGTTTTCGTCTCCCACGGCGGCGGTAATTGCAGTAGCTGTTTCTCAGAGTTTGCGCTACATGTACAGATGGGCATATCTGGCCCGGAACGGTGGGACACCGCGCGGCAACTACCGCTGTGGTCTCTGAGGTTTGGGTGCAAAGAGGAACTTTGCCGACACATGCAGCACTGACTTGCTAGCCCACCAATGTCAGCGCTTGATGCGGGGTCGTGGTGATTGTTGTGAACACGCGCCAGAGTTGGCACTGTCGCCAAGCTCGTCGCGACACGGCTTTCCCGGCCGCGCCCGCGTGCAGTTCCAGCCCGCTCCGGTCGCGTCCGAATGCTTGACAAGGACGAGAGGCGCCCAGCCCCGTTCCATGACGATGACAAGGTTCCAGGTAAAACGAAAATAGGGCACGAGTCGTGGTTTGTGCCTGGGCGGCCGTCGCCTGGCTGGGCAGTGCAGTGATTGACAATCAGTGCTCAACCAGACTGGGCGACGAGGAAGTGGGGCCTCAATCTCGGGTTTGAAGAAAACCTGTCAGGCCTTGGGGGTCTAGGCCCTCGCCTAGAGCTTTCCAGCATGGGCACCTGGCAAACTGCAGGTTCGTAAATGCCCTCAGATACAGTAGGTTGCTGGCGAAAGGGCCATGCGTCCAGTTTCCATCGCTGCTCGACTCTGTGGTCTGTCTCCCAGCCAGAAGAAATGTATAAGCGCTCATGATGGATCCTCCTGCCGTGCAATGCCACTGGTTAGGCGCCGTGCTTGGTCCCGGTAATGGGGCACTGTCCTCCCGTTGCAACCAGGGCACAGAGATTCCAAAAAGAGGACAGTGCTTCAAAGAGTTCGGACCAGGCATCGTGCAGAGAACTGTAACCAGACACTTGCCCATTTTTGGCACAGACGCCAGCAGACAGCTTGGCTGCTGAGGCGATCTTGAATGCGCTGCAACGTCATGTGTGCGGGCTTGTCTAACAACGTCATAGCGGCCTGGGTTTAGCAGCGAAGCCTAAAGAAATGAAGGTCTGGGCCCCAGTGACAATACACGACGAGCCTTCGAGCGCTGCTGGCGACCTTGATTGAGCTTGAATTCGGGTCCAAATTAGGAGATGCCCGATCCCTGCCAGAGGACGGACACTGTCTAGCAGGCAACCTTGCCCTGTGGGCGGCGAACCTTCCTGGTCACAAGCCTGTGACTTGCTCATTCGGACGAGTGACCAGCGACGAACGAGACCGACGAGAGGATAGAGCCGACTGGACAGTGGGGCTGCAAGCAGGCAGTCCCTCACCATTGTGATCAGGGTTGGGGTTTTCCACTGCGTCCACAAATATCGGATGAAGGTGGGGGCCATGCCCTCCAGGAACTGTGGAACGATCATGTCGCAGACAGCGACAACAACGGTCTTCAGACCAAGCGCCGGAATAGCCTCACGAGCTCGGGTCTGATCTCGAGCTACCGTGTTGTGCAGGTTCGGGACACACCCGGAAATCATGATAATCTTGGTCGAGCTAGAGAGTAACCACCACGCCGGGTGCGGTCAAGCCACGGCGTTGCCGACTTTGAGCGAGCCTTCTTCTAGAAACAACGCCTTCCTGGTTGGTGCAGCAGCGACTAGTCTGGTGGGGGAATGCAAGCAAGTGCTTAATTGCGCCACGCCAGCGACAACTAGCCTGGCGGTGCTGTCGCAGGCGTGCCTCGATGTTGTCGTCCTGGTCACACCCTGGCTGATAAGACAGCGATGGCAGGAACTGGCTGCTGGCGTGGCCCGAGCCCGTACATACTGACGGGTATCGTAAGACCTGGATTGAAGCAGCACCAGCACCAGCACCAGAGGTCGGGTGCCAGCACGGCGAGGCACGCACTTGCAGCAGGATCCGGGGAAGTGGCTGGCGGCAGCAGGGAAGTGGCATGTTGGCAGGCGCCACTGTGGGAGCTGCTCGCGTGGGTGCGGGGCGGGCCTTGGCTTCTGGATGGGCGCCTCGTGAGAGCTGCGCAATGGCTTTCGGGATGGCTGCAGACTTGACTCCGCGAGAACGTCGTGATGGGGAAGAGGCATGGCATTTTGCGACGGGCGCGCGCACAGAAGTCCCCGTGTTGGCGCAGCGGGGACCTCGCTAGGATCGACGAGGCTTTTTGCTCCTCGAGCATTGCAGGACGCGCCTGCCGCTGGACAACCACCTGGCATTTCCGTGTTGGGCCGCCCACTTGCCACGATTGCCCGCCTGCAGGATTGGACCGCTGGTGTCGACACGCACGCTCTCGGGAGGCTACCTACACGGCACCAGGCCATGATTGCCTGCACCAAGAAACGCACAGCCAGGCAGTCCTGACACGAGGACAGGGTGCGGCTCACCTATCTTGTGCCGTCTCAGCCAGGACGGCCCAAGGAATTCGGAGGTCTTACCTGCGGCGGCGGGCGATCATGCTGTCTCAGTCAAATGCCATGCTGATCCAGCGTCAGGAGATCCACCACAGCCCGACAGATTGCATGGCCTGCTTTGGCATGCAGTGACACTCACGTGTCGAGTCAGCCAGGCTTTTGGGAAGCCTGGAGGCTCATGTGCACTCGGATAAGACTGGACACACACTCCAGAGATGTGGGACACACACACGGCGGCCAAGCATGATCAGTTAGGGTCAGCCTCCCTCGTGGAAATTCGAGCCAAAGCAGCAACGTTCACCAAATTAGGAATACCAGGCTTTGGATCACGTCCCAGCATGCTTGAGGCACATTGGTACCCCAACGACCCCAGGACCCAGGCTGTCAACGCTTGCCACACACACCCCGGCTCCAGCGACACGCCAGTCGGGGCTCTCAGGCAAGGGCACCGCTGGTCCCTTGGAATCACATCCAGGCGATTGAGATTCCTTGAAGGAGTTCCTCCGCGTTTTACAAAACACCAGCTTCCTTCATCATCATCACCGTCGTCGTCGTCGTCATCATCATCCCGCGCCTGACCCTGTGCTTCAGAGCGACTCATCCATGGTCGTATCAGGGTCTATGTCCGCAAGACGGATCTGGCCTACGAAGCACTTACCTCAATGGTCGAAGCGTCGATTGATCTGGTACCAGGGCCAGATTCGTATCCTCCAGGATAAGCAACCTAGTTGCACCCACCTCCGTGAGCGTGCGTGCGTCTGTACCCTGGCCCGCCGCCCAGGCCCCAGCTACCTCACCGTCTTGACGGCAGCTGCCCAGACACCGATTTTGGGCACACGGCTTTCCATTCGTCGACTTGGGCCGAAGCGCCTGTCGTGACCTGCTTCAGCAAAGAATTATCCCTTGGCCGTGGAGCTGGTCCAACCTGCTGGATATGCCGAAAAGCTTGCACCACAATCACGCCTGGTAGAGTCTGGGAGGGGAGGCGTCATTTCTCGGCACCACCACGACAGAGCCGCTAGCGCCTACAATCGAAGACACTTACGCCGTCGTCCAGCCTCTCCCCTTGTCAGAAGCAGCATGTTCTGACGAGCCCGACCTTGCTTGCCCACAGGCAGGATGTGCTGTCTCTCAAGTTTTGACCAGCAGTGTCTTACCTGGCGATCCAGCTGGTCGCCACTGATTCAACCGAGGGTGTCTTCAAGCAGCCTGCAGGACGAACCAGCAGACTCGATTCCTTCCGGGCCACGGAGCATGCTTGCATTGTGGCAGCCAACAGAATCCTCGAAGTTATCCTTTCGTGCACCTGCACCTGCACCTGCACCTGCACAAACTGCACAAATGATTGAGCTGATGCTCTAGTCCGTCTCCCAAGACCATCCCAGCAGGTCGCAGTATAGGGCAATGTTCTATACCTGCGGATTTGCTCGCCGTGCTGGAGCAGTGGCTCAGCAGGGGGCCGTTCGACTCGCTTCATGTTCCGGCCATCGAACGAGACTTGCGCCTCTGAAGAGGACTGGAGGTTTGACCATCGAGGACCTAGACAAATACAGACGAGATAGGACAGGCGCCAATCTCGACATCTCCGGGTGAGTGGGAGCGGAGCGGAGCAGCCAGCCATCGACCCCGAGAGTCCAGGCCCCCTCTGTCAGAAGCAGGTCGAAGTCGACAAGGGGTGTACAGCGACGAGATGGTGTGCCCACTGCAAGCTGACCAGAGCCCACCGCTCGAGGGTTCCGAGCTGAGAGCTGTGATGTTGAGGACCACGTCTCGGGTCGAGCATGTTATTGGTGGCAGACCCACACCAGCTGGCGAGAAGAGTCTCGAACAAGGGGGTGTTGTCAAGTGCCTCCCTGCTTTTTCCCTCTGGCACCCCTCCTAGCCTCTGGGCGATGCACCCACCTGAGGAGCTGCTCCCGGGAGCTACTCTCAGCCCATCCAAGCTAGCCTGGGGGCGGACGCCCTCGGACTGCGCTAGTGACGGCCCTGACCCAGGAAGGCCAGGTTCCCATCTCACACCTCGTCCCAGCAGGCCCCCCAAAGGTACTTGTCGCTGCCCAGAACGCGCCAGCCAGCGTGAGCACGAGGGGCCGGAAGGGACGAAGCCCACGGAGAGGCGCGCTGGGCTGGGCGTCCTGGTTGAAATGGGCAGGGTGTTTGGTGGTGGGCCCCTCCCCTTCCCCCCGGATCAGCCATTCTAGCCCCATGGTAGGCTACCTACTCTGGATTTCTTATAATTCTGCTCGAGCGCCTCCCGGCAGCCATGGTGATCGACGTCCCCACCAAGCACTTGCCTTAAAGACCTGAGATAATCCACTCCCTTGGGGTTGTATTGAGCTTCCAGGTCTTTGAACCCCAATCTTGGTCAGAAGCACTCGTCCGTACAGTGCCTCTGGACCTTCGCATCTTGATCTGCCAACCCACTCTTGGACCAGCTCACTCAATCCGATCATTCTGCGTGGAGGGGAAATACCAGGCCAGCTTGTCAGCAGGAGCTCACTTCACGACCACTCTGTCGTCAACTGAAGGGACAATACATCATTAAGCGGCGACCGAGAGATATTCATCCTTTCGCACCCGTCGTCAACGTTAGATTCTGAAATCTGTTGAGGCTCTTTTTTCCTTTCGTTCTGGTATACGCTCAGTTGTCGGCACACTCCAGCGCGCGAACAATTCGAACACGAGAGACTCGAGAAGCACGGGTCAGCCTGGTTATTGAGCAGCCCTGCGGTTGCCGACGAAACAGAACTTGGCGGCGCGCGACGGCATTTTTCCAAACACCTCGACTTGGGCTTCCCAAGTGATCAGCATCATCGCAGCTTGTTGTCAGGGTTGACTGCCCTGTCACGGTTTGGCGAGCAATGGAGGCTGCCACGCAAAGCTTCGCGTCCCGGCGGCCAGCGGCCGGGACGCTACCTCACTTCACCCTGCCACTGCCTAACCCTGCGGTGGATGTGCAGATTCCAAGTATGCCTTCTATTCTTGGCGATGAGAGCGCCTGTCAGCTCCCATGGAATCTTGACAAATACTGACTTGATGCTTGTAGGAGGCGTTCCCGGAAGCGACGGCTTGAGCCCGCTCTCGTCCGGAGTCAACAGCAGTAGCTCTCAGAGTTCACAGACTGGAATCGCTCCATATAACCCTCATGGGCACTGGTCACTTCCAGGAAGCCAGTCATATACATACACTTCGATGAACCAGCCAGGACCCGGCGGTCTGATCCAACCCCCCTTCTCTCGCCACCAGGTCTTCTCGCCGGCAGGCGGTCCTTTTCACGCGCGGAACACGCAGTCTCCTTCCACCAGTGAGGCTCTGCAGCCACCACCGCCATTCGGAGATGTTCCCTCACCTGTTCCTGGTCCTATCCATGGATCCGGTTCGGGCCACTCGGGCATGATGCACCACCAGTCCCAGCCGCAGCATCAGACAAGCCACATCCTCAGCTCCCAATCGCAAACCGCTCAGCCACCTACGCCAACCACAACAGCGCCCTTGGACAGCCTCTCACGCTCTGGCCAGCAAGGCTACTATTCGGGTCATGCCTCAACGACCCCACAGCAATCCTCCTTCCCACCATTTCACAGCACTCACGCGTCGCCTCAGCAGCATTCGCCTGCGACGACGAGCTCGATCTCACGCGGAATTCCCGCCATGAGCACGGGTCAGCCATCGCCCATGTCAGCTCAATCATCTTATATGCCTCGGCCATATGCCCCTTATGGCCAACTTCAGTCGCCCTTGGGTCCAGTCATGAGCAATATGACAAATCCCGGCGGCCAAATGGCTCTTGTCGGCGGCATGCCATCTATGCCTCATGGATATGGACAACATATTGGACCGCATCATGGCATGTATGGCCATGGCCAACCTCCACCTCAGCAAGACCGCCCCTTCAAGTGTGACACATGCCCGCAATCCTTCAACCGGAATCACGATTTAAAGAGACATAAGCGGATCCATCTTGCGGTCAAGCCTTTCCCTTGCCTTCACTGTGAAAAGAGCTTTTCTCGCAAAGATGCGCTAAAGGTAAGCCAGCCATTCCTCGCGACCTTCGCACCTCGCCTTCTTTGGAACACGTCCGTATACTGACATCTCGCCAGCGACACCGATTGGTCAAGGGTTGCGGCAACGGCAAGACATCGCCTGACGGGCTGGATGGCTCTCCACGGGAGGACTCAAAGTCCGATGGCGATAGTAACTCGATACACGATCTCAAGTCGGAGTCTTCTTGACAGGATATGTCATGCAAAGGCGGCAGACTTTATCCCAGAACATGTTGTAATATCTTTAAGGGCTCCTCCATGACGAATCACGGGAGGAGATTTGTCTGGATCACAACGTGAAGCCAGCACTGTAACGGCCTCGGAGTATACGGTTTCGATTTGCAAGCGGGCGGTCAGCAAACTCAAGATACCAAAAGCGCGCGGGGAGGGTCTCGATGGGGGGATCATACATACACTTTTTTGATGTTGGCGTCTGGGATATGATACTTTGGTTACTATTCATCGACGTATTGCATTGTATTCAATTTTACGACGTCTGCGGTCCACGGCTTATACTGGATAGACTACACATGCAAAGCAAATGCTTCAAACTTGCCTTTGGCTAGGCCAAACAACAGGTCACTGGTGCTCTGAAAGACATCGCGCTTCAGTCAAAGCAAACCGGACTTTGCAACTGGGGGTCACAGAGGACACCTAACGTGCTTTTTTACGATCGTGGATGGAGAAGGGGCCTCTTGTGCATGTCGAAGGTAGTTCGCCACGGTAGTAGGTCTCGTCGCGATATGGAAACCCCCCTGGACAAGATAGGCCGGCAACTCTGTGTCGGGAGCAGTCCTGGAGAAGCGCTGGTACGACAACCTTCAGCGAGAGTTGAGCTGGCAGGTGGACGGCCAGCGAGGCATGAAGGTCTAGACCCCAAAGCCTCCACGGCCCACCAGGGCCATCCACCCCCCGCGGTGTCGTGCAGTGAAACAACGATGCGCGATGGTGAAGGGCTGCACCAGAAAAGTATAATCTAGACGATTTTATGGGCCCCTCTACTTTCTCGCTAGTTGGACACGGGGAGACTTGACCTTGTTTGGGATAACACCCGAGTTGGTGCCAGTCACTAGTAGGCGGTAGTATGCAGTCGAGGAACAGTAACAATTGTAGAAAGAGCCGGATAAGTACTTATGATAAACATGCTGGATTGGTCATGTGCGCTCGACCGTGCTGAGCTCCGATCAGTAGTAGGCCGCGAGGGAAATACAATTTTTTGTGGACTTTACGCATCAAAGGGGAGGGAGAGAGATCGACGTAGAGAGAGAGAGCGAAGGGACATGGCATATGCGCGTTCTCGGAGTGACGCAGGGACGACGTGCCGATCAGCGCTTCCCGGGCACCGACAGGGAGGATCTGCGAGGATCCAGGGCAAGAGAAAGAAAGAGACAACTTGTGATCCAGTAAATAGCCTTTGAACTGGGCCGTGCTCACCCTCGCGTCAGATCATCGCACGGCCTGCTGATCGCTCGGAGCCTCTCCGATGCCAGCCGTAACAAACAGGATGTCTCCAGCATCAACAGCATCGAGGGGCCCATTTCTTTTTTGGGGGGACGAACCCTCGTCGAAGTGCTACGGAGACGGGGGGTTGGGCTTTGGTGTTTTCTTGTTATCCGGACGAGGGCATTTGCACCCTCTTGGTCATACGGAAACATTCGCTATTTGACGGTGTGGCGACTGCAAGCGTGGCCTGCATGCAGTAATTACTGGTTCCCAGCCCACTGGAGTCGTGTGAAAATGACCCGGGGCCATGGCACCACAGCCTGTGCCCGTTGGAGCCTTTTTTTCTTTTCTCAGGCCACGAAGCATCCAGCCCTGGTGCTGGATACAGTTTCGAGTTGTCGTTTTCTTCTCTTACTTTGCCGATGGAAGGTTCCGGTGGGATGGGCTCGAGCTGCGGACCAACTTACGGGGGACTACTGCGACCCAAAGAAGTGTTTTCCGCTTCCCACTGCTTGAGCCATGTGCTTTGATGAAGACGGCACAGGCGTGCCGGCTTCATCTCGAGGGTTCCGGCGGCATGGCCGTGAATCCCGATATGCATCAGCCACGAGTCGGCTGGATCTGATAATCTCGGGCAATGGCGAGTGAGAGTCGATGTCATTTGACAGCAAGCCCTGGCGCGATCGCGCCGCCTGGGTGCCTGTCAACAGGAAGAAGCAAGCCATGGCAGCGCTCCAGTGCTTAGAGCCCGCAGCCACCCCCCGCGCGCCTCGTCAACGCCCTGCTTGCCAACTCTGCCCGCCAGTGTGGGATGGATCCCTCTCGCTCTCACTCTCTGCCCTGCCCTGCCCTGCCCTGCCTTTGCTCAACATGGCCGACCGTCTGGGGGTGAGGTGTATGGCCAGGAAACGCGCTGGCAGAACATGCTTCAGGGCTAAGCTACTGTAGACTGATGCTAGGATGGACCGGACGAACCTAGTTGCGCCGGCTTCGTGCGGCATCATACCCCCTCCCTAATGCTTAGCCTCTCTTGCCCTCTCCAGTCTTTGCCGCTAAGCATAGTAAACGGGGCCCATGCCTCGGTTATCTATTCCTCAGAGACGCCTAGCGCGGCCACAGGCTATTCTTCCGAAGCGCACTTCGCGCACGGGGCGTGGGCGGGCGGCCACACGCCAAGCAGCTGTCAACGGCGACGCCGATCAGCCTTTTCCTCTTGGCCGTTCCGGGACTAGGACCGCTTGTCTATTCGAGTCAGCACGGAGGCTGGCTTGGCGAGTGTGGGTTCTCGCTTCTCTCAGCTGTACAAGGGACTCACTCTATCGCCGAAGCTTACGGGCCCCTTGGGGAGTACAAGGCCATCAATAGAGAGAAAAAAACAGGGCGCGAGTCCGTGGTTGGCAGGCAGGGATCTGGGATGATGAGATCCGGGACCACGCACCATGTAAGTCTGTCGGCCGCTCTGTCAGTCATCTCGCCCGGATCTTCGCTCATCCAGCCTGGCACTTCGCGGAAACAAGGGAGTACCGGAAGGAGGTTTGCCGTCCGAAGTCGGGAAGCCGTACGTGCAGGCATTTCTTTTCTTCTTCTATGTGCCTCATGTCTGCTCTCCTGACCAACTTCGTTCCCGCGGGGCCAAATTACTGTCATTCTGACAAGGCCTCCCATCTGACGTGATGTACGAGCACGGAACAGGGATCTCGTAATGCAACGGAAGCACGTCAGCAATAGACAAAGAGCAGCGTGATCGTGCACTCCGTCCTCGTTCAGCGGTCATTAAGGTGCTGACGGGCTGGGCCATGGGCCAGCGAACTTTTGGCTGCGTCAGCCTCTGCTGATCTCCCGCCCTGTCGCCAGGAACTCGGTGCCGCAGCCGTCATTCGTCATTCGTCTTTGGCGGCTGCCGCTACGACTTATGGTACGCCCCCAGAGCAAAGGCACAGCGGTGTAGCTCGCGCGGTGCCGCAGTGCCCTAGAATTACAGAATGCACAGAACTTGTCTCTCCTCCGCGCGGGCTACGGAGCATTGCCTCCTTTTCACCATTGCGTTGCTGCAATACTGCACGTTGCCATAGTCGTGTCTCATTTTGCTTTTTTCTCTATTCTCCCAAGTATGCGGCGGGCCTACAGGAGCTGAGAGTTGGAGAGACAAAGCGATGGGACAAGGGCACCGCATCTGCGCTTGGCATTCTTTCAGTAACCACTCTACCTACAGTGGGCCATCTGGCCTTGGTCAACAACCATCGTACCACTTTGTCTGAGCTGCGGAGGGGTGTGGTCGGAGAGGACCGTGATTGGCCAAGTTTCGCGCTCCATGGATGCCGCTTTCACCCCAGTCCGGTCTCCGTTTTCTCGACCCAGGCCACTGGATAATTCTGTGATCCTTGAGTTTGGGGGTCAGGACCCGCGTGCTTGTCTTGGAGTTTGGTGTCGAGATTGAACAGGACCTTCAATCTCGGCCTGACCTGGGCGAAAGCAAGGTTTAGCTGAGGCGCTAGAGCTGATAGTCACATGCGTTCTCTATCTAGGAGAGCGTGACTCGGCATATGGCTAGTCAAAATCATCTTGACGCGCGAGTACGTCGGCATATCGGGAACACAGGTAAGGCCGGCAAGAACTATCAGTTCGTACTGTTGTTATAGGCCTCCATCGGCCTCTTCTCCGAGATCGCCCTTACTGTCTCTCCAATGGTTGGCGCGCCGGGCCGCCTACTTTCCTTTTCGTTTCTTTTCGAGCTGACCGGGACAAGAGGGGTAGTGTAAGCCGATAAATGGCGGGACATGCTCACGACCCAGACGGAGGCGGGTTAGCTTCATGCCCATAGCTGCTGATTTGCCGGTGCTGCCATCGACAGTCTGATATAGGCGGCTCCTGTCATCGCGCGGCGCGCGGTGGTCAATAATCTGCAACGTGAAATGACACCTTTCTCGTCGAGTTCCGAAGCCAAACCGACCGCGCGCGCCTCGTTCCCACATTGGATCGTTCAATCTGAATCTGAATCTTAACAGAGCCCGCAGTAGGATTATAGCAAAGGCCTTTGCTCTAACTTAGGTATGCTCTTAGCGGCAAAGACTTAGCAAGCATTTGGTCAGCGGCAAGCCAGCCGCGCATCGCGCGCGAGGCTTTGTAGCCCATCCCGAGGTAGGAATAGACGAACGAACGCTGCATGACTCGTCGCGCTGGGCAACGGCGGAAGCTCGGGGCCGATGGATGGGGGAAGAGGCATATGTGTGCCCTGTCAGCTTGGGACTTGTCGAGTCGTGTCCAAATTCCTAGCTTTTGGAGGAGTGTTGTAAAGGCAATGCATTAGCTCCTGTTTGTGCGTGCGTGCGTGCGTGCCTGGAGCCGAGGGCGGCACCCTGTCATGTTTCTGCAGGTGCCACGGAGTGGGCGGAGTGTGATGTGTTCGAAATGGCCTTCAGATCCCAGCTCAGACCGCCGGGGGGCCGATCCGGATCCGTCCCGTCGGTGCTCAGGATCACGCGGTGTAATTAAGACGGTGTCCGGGTCGGGGCGTGCTCTCCTGAGATGCTGGACCTCTCGCGATCATCACAGTGTTCGGTTCTTAGTGGTCGTTTCTGGTTGGCACCTGAGAATGGCGAGCCGCTGACAGTAATTTGTGATAGACCAGTTCATTAAGCCAATGCCTTCTATGAGTTGTTCAGGGGTGCTTTCGTGTAACTTTGACACATCACTTGTGTGCCGCTGGGAACCACTTCACCGCAGATGCCTTGTTTGGCATATCCGGCCCCCTAACCACAAACAACTGCACGTCCGTGAGTCCCGGAAGCGACGATGGGCTGATTGTTCTCCTGCGCCTCATCGAGCAGGTGGCGTCCGCAAAGGTCGACGCCCGCGATCGGCTCGTTAGCTGCGCAGCCATATTCAGGAACCAGCGGCGCCACGGGGTAAGGCCGTTGCCGTGGCTAACTAGGGACATAGCACACCTCTGCGTGTAGTCTTGGGAACGTGCCCCATTTGTTCCTCAATGCCGCCGGGAGAAACAGCCATGAGATATCCTTTACGCATCACACCGTCTGGATTTATCAGGAGTGCGCATGCGAAGACGGCTCGCTCGCCGAGGTCAGAAAACCTGGCCCGAGTTGTCTGGGGTCCTCTTCATGCAGGGGGTCTCTGCTGTTGCTTCGCTTATGGCTCAGTCGGCCCGCCAGGTGGGATCTGTCGCTCTGACTCCTATCGGTACGGTGGCTGGCTGGCTGTGGCTGACCCTGATCTCAATCTCAGGGTTCTCCGAGATGCAGGGATGACATACCTGACTTCGCACAGTCGTTGTGACTCGTACAATGTACTTTCTTCGAAGAGGACCGGCTGGAACCCCATCAAGGAATGCAAGGGGTGTGTGTGGCCAGTTCCCCATCCCCACGCTGTTTTCAGCTCGCTGCCGTTAGTGAGATTGCCCCATGCCGATGGACTGGCTGGCTCCTTTCAAAACTTCTGGGGCATGATGTGATGCGTTTTTGGCGAGAATACCATGGTTCAGCTCATATCAGAAACAGGGGTCGTCGTCAAGGTCGCGTCGAGAGCCATGGGACCCTGTGGCGTTCTCCGTGGCCCGAGATGCTGCATGGGCCGATCTGGGGGTTTGGTGTTGCACAAGATTAAGCACACACACACACTTGCACCGGCCGCCCTTTGCACATGTCGGAGCGAGAACCCTGACGAAGTTCTCAAGGATAGGTATGCCCAACGTCTGCCGCACGGAGTCCCGGACGGAGTCCGTTGCCCGGCCGAGAGGAAGGCTTCATCATTACGGCAGCTTGGTGAAATTGGCCGGCCATCCGTCCGGCCCTCGACTTGACGTTCCGAGGCAAATGCAGGCGTGCCACGCTATCAGTGGGGTTCCGAGTCTCCGGCCAAGGCCAACCTGGCGTTAGCGGTTTGGGGGGGTCCCAGCGATGGACCTGGCCAGATACACTGCGAGGCACCAAGGAGAGCCCCCCTGGAAGGTGTCAGCCGCAGGGACGCCTCAGGGCTGGGCTCATTTGGGGGGGGGGTCAGAGGGGTGTCTTGGGTTGCACAGCAGGGATGCGCAGCGCCTCAACCATTGCCCGGCTTTCAGGGGTTCGTGCCAGTAATCTGGAGAAGTTGGGATGGGTCTGCCGGCATTTGCTGAATCTTCGAGGGCCAGGGTGGAGGGTGCAACTACAGGTGACTACTAATTAGTGGGCACCACGTCGAGAGGTAAGCTTCAGTATGACTGAGGGTAGCCCATCCCACGATTGTGTTGCCTGGAAAGGAAACGAGGCACGATATCTGTGCTGACTCGGGTGCGGCCAGGCCTATTGACGGGGCATGTTCAGGTGACACAAGTTGGCAGGCAAGGATATCCTCGCCATCTCAAGTACGACATGTCATGCTCAAACCTGAACCTGGTTCAGGCAATGATACGTGCCGCGGGATGATTTCTCCACAATAGGGAACCTCGGCTTGCCTGTTGTGATGAATTACAGATGAGATAGTACATGGCGAAAGCGTAGTCTTACTTCACGACTGCCAGGGCTGAACGGTCCTGAGCTTCCATCGAAGGTTTCCCTTTATATCGGCTGCTGAAGGATGACCTTGGGCAGCGACACAATAGCAGAGCATTCTGACACGACCAGGCTTAAGAGGTTGTGGTGCACATTTGAATAAAACTTCTGTGAGATTGTGATCGACTATGATAATCGGTCATGTTCCTGGACATGCAGATTTATGTTTTGCAGTGTGCAGATATGGCATTGCCTGTTAAATGTAGTTCCAAGTTCTCCAGAACACGGTAGTGTATGCCCAAAACATGGACCAAAGTTTCCAGAGACGGTGAGAGGGCGAGAGAATGCCAGCGCATGATACACTGGGCTTCGAGATTTCTCTTCCCCGGCGGATTGGAGATAAGAACGGTGCTGATCACTACCGTTTGGGCCTGCATACCAGGACCCTTCTCTCAATTGCTCAGCATGAGACACTATCAGACATGTCGTGCAGTGCTTGGCACGGCTCATTCCGACAAGCTGAGACTTGATTGTCCAGAATATCAAACATGAATCTGGAATACTTTTGGGCCCAAAACATGTGGGCTATCCGTGGCAAGTGAGGCAGATGCGCGTCCCGAAGCCAAACTCAACATGAGTCCATTAGTTGAAGTCCGACATTCCAGAGCGGGCGGCGTGTCTCGTTGTCTTGCCAGTGAAACATTCAGCTTTATTCGAGCGTTGATGTATTGGTACATCGAGACCCTCTGGCCCTCCTGGCCGTGCCCAGTTCACCATATCTACTTGCATTCAAGCATGTCAGTGGTGCCCGTCTTAGAACCCTGACAGACTCAGTTTCGTTTAGTCATATCTGGGAGCTAGCCATGACGCTGATCATTACGCTGCTGAGTATCGAGTTGCATGCTCGCGCAAGGCACGACTTGCGCAGCTGTCCCAAGGTTGGTCATTCTCACGCAGCGATGCTTAGTAGCCAGTCATCAGACGCCCGAGGTCTGAGATTTCAAGGAGTTTCTTGATGCTGTTCATGTATTTGGAGACTGTCTTTCGTTGACCGAGATCATGCAATACATCTCGTGCGTGTGAGCACGACATTAGAAAATGCAAGCCGGCGGGCACGCTCGGTCACTTTGGACGCTAGGTTGAAGGGTTGGCACAAAGTTTGACATCCTCCTGCTGTGTAATTGCTGGCAGTATTAGCCCCCAGGTCTCCCGATCGAAATCGAGGCAATGGTAAGTAGACTAAGTGATTAGCGGGCATACAAGTCTGTAAATTCTTGACTTCGAGACGGCTATTCGCCCGATTAACGGTAGATTCGATAGAACAACGTTTCTCTTCACGGTGATGATTATCATACTTGTCAATCGTCTGGAAACTTGGACAAGAACGCCGTGTCTATTTCGGCAATGCTTTGTCAAGACATCACCCAGGCGCGAGAAAGCCGATAGTGATTATCAAAAGATAAAATTTGCGAGAACAAATTAAAAGACGTCCAACAGCCTTACAAGAAAAATGCAAGAATAGCCAGTGCTCAGTCGTTTGATATCGTCATTACTTGCCCTTCTGCAACTGAACCCCAAGCGAGTCGACAAAGACCAGGCATGCTCAGTATTAGACGGCAAAGTCAGACCTTGGAAAAACATGGATCGACGCACTGAATAGGAAGGACTGTGTTGAGCGCCTAATAACTGAAGTCGCATACTGGGCGTGCTTTCTTAACAGGGACGAAGTCATCCACCCGCAACAGCGGCGTCGGATGTGCAATCTGGAGATTGGGGGGACTTTATGCGATAACTGCTGAACAGATGCTGCTTGTATTTGAATGGGCATACATAAGGACCCCGAAAGTCTTGAGCATAGCCTCATTGTCACTATGTTGACGCAACAGAGAACGTATTAGAAAAGAACAGATCAAAGCCAAAGACAAGTCGAGATAGTTCACGGCTGAGCGCCCCCCGTCAATCATACTCTGATGGCAGACACAGAGCTGTACGAACTGCATGTGAGGGGAAAAGCAATGCCCGAGTTGTAACTTCGATGGGAAGTCGTATTGGATGAACAGTTGCCTTCTTGCAACGCCCAAGCTGTCGACATCCTTGCAGGGCATCAAGGTTCCGCAGCTAACGACGGGTCTATCGCAAGACATTCGAAGATGGCAGGCACAAGAGCAGAATACACAGTACAGGAGTCAGCTGAGATGCGTCACACGGATGCGCGAAGGCAAGGGGCGCGGAGTGCGCGGTCGCATCTGGAGACGGAAATGAGAACACTGTTTGTTTGGATACTGCGAGGTGGGACAAGGTGGCCATCTGGGACACGGATAGGCTGAGGAAGCGATGCTCAGGCAAATGATGAACAACAATCTGCCAAAGCAATTGAAGAAGGGAGAGTAGGGCAGGGCCGATGTGATGCTGGAGACTGAAGGAGTTGAACCCTTGGGAACAATGGTGCATGCACGTCACCGACCGGGGCACGCGACGCTACATTTGTGTGACGCGTTGAGCGACGTGTAGCCATTAAAGAGCATGCCCCTGCGCGCCCTTATCGGGCTTATCGCCTGGCTAGCAACCGGCATTTGCAGTTGCCGTGGGACCTCACTCACTTGGCCAAAGCTAGCCCTCGAGCTTTGGGAACAGTTCAGCGACATCATTTGCCATCCGTGCCTTTTCGCCCTCGCCGCAGCGCCTGGCGCACGTGTTATCCGACGTCGTCGTCGTCTTTCGGGCCGCCGGGGAAACATAGTCTGCGCCGCAATATACAGTCTCGAGCCACCCAACCGAACCTCGTTACAACGGCCACCACATTCATTGTCACACGCATTTCACGACGCCATTCCGACCTTTCTTCCTTGTCGGCCGTTGTACCCAGACTTTCCCGCACCTTCCTTTCGTCGAGCAGAATCGCAATATAACCCGAACATCAGGACCCCCGCCGATGCAACGTCCCTGCTTCCAGGCGACCTGGCGCATTTCCGACGTCTTCTCCCGCAATCGTATCCTCGACCCGGTCCCACTCCCAAGCTGCAACATTCAAGCCGCCAAGCTCAGCGCAGCAGACCAAGCACCCCCGTTTGCGTTTGCTAGCCTCAGCTGCCTCTATCTCTTCTGAACTCGAGGCGCCTTCCCGCGCAATGCTCCTGCCAAAGTCATCATGGAGGCCTTAGATATAATACAGAAAGCATTCGAGGAACTTCGGGCGATTCCGCCAGAGTACCACTTATGCTGTCCGAAAGTCTCGGACGAAGACGACGAGGACTATGATGATCTCGAGTCGCCAGGTGATGTCGGTGTCGAGAAGAAACGACAGAGAATACAGGACGGCCGTGACAGGCAAGACACGCTGTACAACTGCGCCCTTATCCTAGGTCTGCAGCAGGAATCACAGGGCGCATTCTTGACTGAATTCAGCGAACGTGCTGGCGCAGTACTTGGCAACTGCTCCAACTGCATCCGCAACTGGCACAGGGGACGCAAGCCGTTCCTCAAACGACTCTCGCAGTAAGCTCCCCACACAAGTGCCCCCTTGATATAACGTGAACACACTAACCGTGCGTGCCTCCCCAGGTTCTACGATGATACAGTCGTTAGTGAAATGGAAGACCGCATCAATGGTTTCGACTTCGAACGGATAACAAAGGGCTTGCTTGGCGCTCAAGAGTTCATTCATCAGCAGACCGGCGTCGTTGACCAAAGGGTTTTCCTCGAAGCGGATCGTGCAGACCTGCTTGTGGCCATATTCGAGGCGCTATGCTGCATGCCCTATCTCAGTCTTCCTGACAATCGACGATACTTCAACTTTGTTTTCGAGAGGATACAAGAACGCAAGGTGCTGAAGCTCCCCGATGTGCTACCAACAATGACATACTTCTTGTTTGAAGAGGATGCTATCCGGCAAAGGTTCGCCGTGTACACATGGTCCCGACAAAGCCACATCACGGCTGAAGATTTCGAGTGGGCTGTCAAAGACAACCTCAAGTTTGCAATATCGCGAGTATTTGACCCGTCCGCTTGTTCTCCAGCCCAGCTTCAATTATTCTGGCAAGGATTCTCCCACATCTTGAACGCATTGGACGAGGACCTTATCCTCCACTCGTTGCAGGCACTTGGAGTCCAGCCGGGTGTATACGACTTGTTGCTTTCGCATATGATGGTCAACTCCGATCAACTCCTTATGCAACTGATCAAGGTCTTGTGCACATTCCTTGAAAAGTCACCAAAGGCCTTTTGGGCCGCATACAGCCAATACACGCACATCTCCGTTGCCGAACAAGTCTTTCGCAGCCCTGCCTTCAAGGTACTCCTGCGGAGATCTGGAGAACTGGCTATGCTTGATGGTGTCAGCGCGACCTCCTGGATAAAGGCCTTTGTCGACTCAGTGCCGACTCACAGCAGAGGCGACGTCTGTGACGCCCTAGTACATCACCTTCTGGACGATTTCGCCAAAGACCCATCCATAACTCCTGCAGGCATTCAGGATTGCCAGCGGGCGGCCGCGGATGCTCTGGCGTCAACGCTCGGAGCATTCGCATCCCCCAGCTATAAGCTGCATGCAGGATCTTCTACGATCCAAACCAATGCAACACTCAACCTTGTACTCAAACATAAAGACATGGTCTTGAGATTGGCAAGATTACCGCCCAAGGATGCACGCCACATTTCCCTAGCCAGGTCGGCTCTATCTGTTATCGAGTTTGCGCTTGCACTCGATTCGCGCATCACTGTCGAGGAGTGCAATGCGTTACAGTTGAGCGACAGTCACGTACAGCGCGAGGTGAAACGTAATTCATCTGGGCTATGGGATGCTTTTCTTGAGAATCTTTCGGAAGGGGAGAATGGCGCCTCAGAACTCTCGAAAGCCATGCTCAGCGCGACATATCCCCTATTGAGTGTCGAGATCTTCCGCCCAAGAAAGAAGACAACATTGTCACCAGTAAAGACGGAATTCAACGTCGAGTATCAGAAAACGGCTGCATCCATTGGCAATCTATTCACACGCCTTTCTGGATTTGAGCCGTCATTGCTCCAGCACCTCTTTACGGAGCTCAAAACCATACAGCCAATCATTGCAGCTTTGATCCACGGTGAAGAGGACATCAGCGCTGCTGCCACAGAGTTCATAAAGACGGTGACAAACGAGATTCGGCGCGAGGATGCTGTGCAGCATCTCCTGACCGACTGGTTCGTCCCCACTCTGGCTTCATTCACGAAAGCCATTGACCAGGTGAACGAGAAGAAAACGTTGTGGTCATCACAACTGCCGATTATCCGGTACTCGCGAGACTTCCTTGATAGCATGTGCGATGCCTCTGGAGTTCTACGATCCAAGACGCTTACTTCCGGCGAATGCCAGATCTTGAACCAATGGTGGACATCACAATGGGTGTGCCTCGAAAATGCGTTCGAACAGACTGAAGCCTGGAGCCACTTGATCGAAATGGAGACGATGAAGGAGTTCTGCCGTCTCGCCATGGAGCATGCAGACGCTCTGCTAAGCCAGGATGGAGTTCTCGCCTCTGCGCTGAGTCAACAGTCTGTCCTCAACTCTAGCGTCAGCGGAGCTGAGGATCCTGGGCGAACTATGAGAAACATACTTGAACAGCCGCGTATGCACTGCGACGGATTATCCAAGATGCTGCGACTCAAAGACCTGTATCTTGTGACTGTCATTGTCAGCGTGATGGGCAAACTGCTCAAACGGCTGAAAGAATTCAACATGCAGCTGCCAGGAAAAACTCTCAGCTTCATCCGGCAAACGATCAAGAAACTTCCATCGGGTAAGTATAACGTAGCTACCAATATGAATGATCGTCAACGCGCGGAGATACAGAAGGCGCTAGGTGAAGACCCGGCGGATGACGACGATGACATACAAATCGTCTCCATCAGGAAGGCAGAAACCATGAAGCAGACAAGACTCGACACTTGGTCAAAATCCGGGGATGGAGTGCCGTCGACCATCAAGAAGCCAGAGCCTCGATCGAATAAGGACGATGTTCGCGAGCTCCTCAGAGCGTCTTCCTCGGATAAGAACCGAGCGACCCTGGAGAGGATGAAGGCCCGGCAGCCTATGAAGCCGGTCAAGCCCAGCCCACAGGCCACAGCGGCCAATCTCGCGTCGATCAAGGAACAGCGCGCGAAGGAGAAGGAGGAGAAGCGAAAACGCGACGCGGAGATAATCGCGCGTGCGAAAGCCCTCCGGGCTCCAAAGAGTATCGTTTCGGGTGAAGGCTCTGGCATGCAAGGCTTGGCTGGTGTACTCGGCAAGGACCACGCTCCGCAAAAGAGCGAAATCATGGTCAACTCTTCATCCGAGGACGAGGATGATTCAGAGGAAGACGCTGCATATGAAGCTCAAATATCTGGCCAACAACCCACGGCGCGCACCTCTATTGTCAAGAAGGCACCCACTGGTCCCATCAAGAAGATGAAGATCCAGAGATCAGCTAAGGATATGCGAGCTCGCCTTGTGCCGCCCATGGACGAACTTCACCGAGCAATTCTGGAGTGGGATATCTTCCATGAGGGCAACGACCCGCCTAATGGCATCTTGTGTTCCCATGTCTCGGACTCATACGACGAGCCTTCATCCCATCGGGAGACATTTTTCCCACTGCTCATCAATGAAGCGTGGCGATCGTTCGTCACTGCCAAGGATGAATGCACTGCTCAGGCCATTGGTGTCAAGATTGTTACCCGAATGACGGTCGACTCATTCATTGAAGTGAGCACCTCGATGCCCAAGACTGAGAAGAGGAGCAACGAGCTTGGCGAAGGTGATCTGGTCTTGCTTTCGGTCTCAGCAAAGGCATTGGAATCTCCCGAAGCACACCACTGCCTGGCCCGCATTTGGCGAACGCAATACAAAGCTGGCAGCAAGGAGATTTCCTATCGCATCAGTAGCAAGGCCGGCCCCATCCTCACAGCACTGGCCCCCCAGGCGGAGGTGTACGTGGTCAAGATCACAAACATGACCACCATCGAGCGCGAATATGCCTCCCTCAAGTCCTTGCAATACTTCGATTTGATGCCAGAGATTTTGGAAGCCAAGCCATCGCCAATGCTCACTTTCGACGAAGAAGCCGTGGCGCAGACGATGAAGAACTATCATCTGAATCCGGGGCAGGCCAAGGCCATCCTCAACGCCAAGGCAAACGATGCCTTCACTCTCGTGCAAGGTCCTCCCGGTACTGGAAAAACAAAGACCATCATTGCAATGGTCGGCGCTCTTCTCACGGGCACATTCTCCACCAACACTGGTGTGGCCATCAAAAGGCCGACAGGAGCGAATGCTGCACCCAATGCCGCTCCGCCAATGGCCAAGAAGCTTCTCGTCTGTGCACCCAGTAACGCGGCAGTCGATGAGCTGGTCCTCCGTCTGAAGCAAGGAGTTAAGACGACCAAGGGGACATTCCACAAAATCAACGTCGTGCGTTTGGGCCGTAGTGAAGCGGTCAACTCCTTGGTTCAGGATGTCACCTTGGACAAACTGGTTCAAGCTCGAGCCGAAGGCAGCGAGAACGAAAGCTCGGTGCTGAAGAGCAGGGAGGCTATGCATAAAGAGGCTGGCGAGATCAAGGAAGAGCTCATGGGATTACGAGGGCAACTTGAGACTGCTCGAGAGATGGACGACCGAGAGGCTGTGAACCGCCTTCAACGGTCGTTTGACGAAGTCAAGCGTCGGCAGCAGGCGATCGGCAAGAAAATCGATGCAGACAAGGATAGCGGCATGACCGTTGCCCGAGAAAACGAGCTCAGACGACGCAAGTTCCAGCAGGAGATCCTTGACGGCGCACATGTGCTGTGCACTACCCTCAGCGGTGCTGGCCATGAGATGTTCAAAAACCTCAACGTCGAGTTTGAGACTGTCATCATTGACGAGGCGGCGCAGTGCGTTGAACTCAGCGCCCTCATCCCTCTGAAGTACGGCTGCACCAAGTGCATCCTGGTCGGCGACCCTAAACAGCTTCCCCCTACCGTATTGTCCCAGTCTGCAGCTCAATATGGCTACGATCAGAGCTTGTTCGTCCGCATGCAGCGTAGGAGCCCCAAGGATATCCACCTGCTGGACACGCAATACCGTATGCACCCTGAGATCTCCAAGTTCCCTAGCCAGGAATTTTACGAACGTAAGCTCGTGGATGGCGATGGCCTTGGTGCTCTTCGTGTACAGCCATGGCATAGCAGTGCTCTGCTTGGTCCATACAGGTTCTTCGATGTCAAAGGTTCTCAGGAGAGGGGCGCTCGCGGCCAATCTCTCGTGAACACAGAGGAACTGAAGGTTGCTATGAAGCTATATCAGCGCATTCGCCAGGACTATCCCGAGGTTGACCTCAAAGGCAAGATCGGTATCATCACGCCCTACAAAGCCCAACTTTTCCGGTTGCGCGACCAATTTGTGGAGCATTATGGCGAAAAGATTCAGGAGCACATCGAATTCAACACCACGGATGCCTTTCAGGGCCGTGAGTGTGAGATCATTATATTCTCCTGTGTGCGAGCATCTCCGACGGGCGGTATCGGTTTCATGACGGACATTCGACGTATGAATGTCGGTCTCACCCGTGCAAAGTCATCTCTTTGGGTTCTTGGCGACTCGAGAGCCTTGTCACAGGGTCGCTATTGGCGACAGCTCATTGAAGATGCTCAGCAACGTGAGAGATACACGGAGGGCAACATTCTCCAGCTCCTATCTCAGCCTGGGCAGAAGGTCTCTCCCACGTCTTGGATCACCTCGAGGTCGAATTCACCTAAACCTGAGACGAAGTACGACCAGGAGAAGAATGGCAACTACGAAACAAAGATCTCACCAAGGATGGAGGACATTCCTATGCGCGAAGCCACCTCGAAGACAGCTCCGCAGATTCACCATATTAAGTCAGCAACTCATAGTCCGCAGAGTCATTCTTCACATGATTCTCCCAGCATGGACGCCCCCAGAGGACCACCACCGACCAAGGGATATGGAGGTCTGAACGAGCGTGGAGAATCATCTATAGTTCCACGAACATCGGACAGACCAATCATCCATGCCTCTTCTGGCAAACGACATCGAGACAACAGTGCGGACGGCAGGGAGCCGAAGAGGGTAGGGTTCCACAACACTCCTGTCGTGCAACTATAAGACAATAGCTAACTCTGTTCACTAGCCCACCGCGCCACGTGGTCTCCTCCCTGGCAAGCGAGCGCCTCCAAGCGCACCACGGGCGATGCCACGACCCCAGGACCCATCTGCCATGTCTGTCCTCGGCATCAAGGACGACCCTGTCAAGTCGTCTAGAAATCCTCCAGCTGGCCCGGCGCATGCATCAAATGTAAGTCTTTTCTTTTCTCCCACGGCATTTTTCGCCCCATGAGAGGGAAGGGCCTGGGGCTGGTTTCTGACAGTGATGCGCTTTGTTAGGGCCCGCCTGCTCCGAATGGTGGCATCATCCCACCACGGAGAAAACCGCCTCCTGCATCGTCGTCATCCTCGTCCAACATGTTCATCCAGCGGAAACCTAATAAGCCTCCGCGGTAGACGACTGTGGCCAAAAGCATATCTTTTGTCAAACGACCTGCACGTGTCTGCAGGTTACAGCAAGCGGTCGACGAGCTGGTGCCCATAAATTCATTTTTCTTTTATACAGTCAAAGTGCATTAAAAAGTGCCTTGCATTTCCAGGCGTTCAATGGGGGAATGGGAAGAATCAAAGGGCCGCCAAGGGTGCTCTCAGCGGAGGATTCATTGCGGATGCGCGGCACGCGAGAGAACGGACAGATGCAAGGTGGTTGCATGACATTGGCGTGTGATTGCATCTATAGAGCCATATTTGGTTGGAGTTCACAATGTCAAAAAACCTCTTTGATAGACACCGTCCCAGATTATTCCAGTGGTTTGGGATCATGTGGCTTTTTTTTTTTCTCTCCTTCCGGTTCGTTTCAACGGAGCAACATATTTCCACATTTCTACATAGAACTCGCTTGCACCGAATGGTAATTCTGAAGTCCTTTGCTCTGCAAGGTTTGTATTACTCGACTATATCGACGATCACATAGGGAGAAACAGCGACAAAAGAAAAGGAGAGAAAGGGGAGCATGATGGAATTATTCCAGAAAACACCGGGCTATGGAGACACCTGTCTAAACAAGTCCCGTCGCAGCCCGGAGCATGGAGCGAACTACTGAAAAATCATGAGCATAGCCCAAATCCGCGACGCTAGTAGACCGTGTACAGATTGCGGTCCGCATGCGGCGTCAAGTCATAGTCTTCCAACTCGTCGTGGTGAGCCATCGAGGTATCACTTTCGCTTTGGCTGAGCCGTGCGCTTTCAGCTAGCTCTTGCATCAGAGGCTCGATTTGGTGGAGGTTGCCGATTAGCAGCTCTGCAGCCAGCTTGGTCTCGTCTGCCATCTCAACCAGCTCAGTGTGACTAGGTTCAGCTATGCTGGTGCCAAACGAGCTTGTCGAGGTGCCACGAAGGTGCCCAAGGCTGAGACGACCGATGCTCTTATTAGCAGCTCTACGTGGGTGGTAGGCATCCTCGCGTGCACGAAGCAGTGCATCTATCTCGTCTTCGAGTCGCTCCTTAGCACGCTGCTCAATCACCGCTCGGTGGATTTCTTCTTGCAGAGGGGTGTGTAGCCGCCACGACTGGGTCATGCGGACGTCTTCGTGGCGTGTGCCAACAGCCGTCAAGGTAGGCGATCGCAGCTTGCTTGTCCGAATGTCATGTGGTGGTTGCGCAGATCTCGGCCTTTGCGCGTCGAGAGGGCTTTCGTGACTGCGGACCGAGCGTAGCGAGTAGTGACTGTAAGGCTCAGTCGCCTCAACCGGGTTAGGCCACGATCCTTCTGTCTGGTGTCGACCATGTCCAGCTTGAGAATATCGCGGCATTGGCTGGCTGGTCACGAATTGGGACTGACGGCGAGGCGCGGGCACTGGCGCGTATGGCGGGTACTGCATGGCCCGCTGGATTGAATACTGCTCCTGCAAGAGCCTATTCAAATTGTCCATCAATGGCACCATGGACCGAAGCCACACCTCGCCATTACGTTCCAATCGGCGTAGCCGCTTTTCCATGTCATACGTCCGGAGTTCTTTGAGATTCTCGTACCGAAGAACAAGCTCCTGTCGTGAAATACGATCGGCGAGTTCCTTCTGCTCAGCGAGCACATCCGCAAGATGTCGTTCCTTGCGCGCAGAAGACAACTTGCGCTCTGCCTGCCGTTCTTTACGACGTTGCGAAGACGACCGATCCCAGTTTACAGGAGAGGCTGGTTTCGACATATCGGACGAAGTGTTGGACAAAGTCGGGAGGTGCCTTTTGACGGTTTTCCTCAATTGGCGCGCAGGAGATAGAGGAGGAAGCTCAGGCGCGGATTCTTCTGCCACAGTCACAGGCTGAGGGGTTCTCTTCCGATCCGCATCTGGCTGCGTCACACGTGAAGCTCCATGCGCATCTGTGGCACCGGGTACAAAGTGCCCAAGCACCGGGGAGTCCGGCGGAATGACCTGTGTGGTAGTCGGCGTGGAAAGATTGTCGGGTGGTACCGTGCCATGGTCTCGCTGGGCCTTCAACAATTCGATGTCTCTGGCTTTCCGTTCCCTTACTTTATCCTTGCGGCTCTTCGGCCGCTCGGTTGGTGGCTCTGGTGGTGCCTGGCGAGCGATATCACGGTCTATGTGTTCAGAAGGCTTGTTGGGTGCTGCTTCAGCACCAGATGGCACCCGACCATCGATACTGACTTGAGAGGGGCGCGCGTCTCCCGTGCCTGGCCGGGAAGGTGGCCTGACCACGATAGGGATCTGCTCATGCTGATATGCCTTCGCAGACTGAGCACTCATGACGTTGGGTAGAGAGTCAGTCGACAGCAGACTCTCCGCGAAAGATCTGCGATGTGGCGCGTGATTGTCAGAATCCATGTTGGGGTCATTCCTCGTTCTCGATGTCATCGTGCTGAGGCGGCTTGAGATGACGTTGTCAATAGAATCTCCAAGGTCGAGAGATGCGCCCATGCCAGCGTTGAGTTGCCCCCTCCTGCTAGACCTCCGCGATGGTAGGGAGAGTTGCATCGAGTTCCGGCTCGAAGGGACGCTCGACACGGTGGAAGCGTGGCTCTTGTTCCGTGCATGACGTCTAGCCGTAACGTTGCGGCTAGCGCTGGGTTCATTACGCGGCTGAGAAATTGGCCTCGTCTCGGAGGTGGCGTCTCCCGCTCTTTGCGGTGGCCTTGAGACTTGGGGGGTTGGTCTTGAGCTTAGTGAATGAGCCGCAACGTGTGACTGATCGAAGTCAGCGAAAGGCTGCAGTGCCTCGCCGCTTTGTCGGAGGGGTCCTTCTCTCGACGTTCGCAGAAGCGCTTGTGACTTGTCTGAGGCCTGAGACAGTCGTCTGTCCAGCACGTTGTCCACGAAGCCACGTTCTTGTTGCACAGCAGGGTTTGGTGACACGGGTGCCGAGGCCATGGACTCACGATCCTCGCCAATGGTATGAAGACGAGTGCCTGTGTGATCCCATGTTGTGTTACGGGCAGGTCCAAGCTTGGCATCGATCTCCCGCTGGAATTCCGCCGAGATGGAATCGAATACGGGGTACTGTGAGGACGAAAGTGGCGTAAGGTGGGAGTGCTCTAGTGGTATGGAGATGGCGATGTGCCGGTGGCCATCCGTTGTCTTTGCAGCTACGGCGGAATCTGGAAGTTTGATGATGGGTGGTCGCCGTTTATGAAGCCGCTTGCGCTTCCGCACTGGGGAGAAGGCCTTCCATCTGGCATTTTTGCCTGATTGTGTTGGAGAGTGCGATTCTGGTATGGACATGTAGTTCTCTGGAGGAGGCGTCCTTCGCAAAAACTCGATTAAATGACGGAGACTGTCGTCATCACGGCGTTGATCCAAAAGAGTACCAAGACGATCCTCCATGACATCGGGGTGGCGCTGTATCTCGTCAAGACGCAATGGAGCGCCATCCCCACGGGGGGACGGCAGCGCGGTGGTGGTGACCATGGTGACGTCCTTGTAGACGTCGGAGACGGAGCTGACGACAGACACGACCGAGGGCCGTCGCGACGAATCTAGGAGGCCATTGGAAGGCTCGTCGCGGATGCTGATCTCGTGCTCGACCAAGATACCGGAAGCGTTGATCGTGTGCTGTGCAGTTTCCATGTAGCAGATATGGCAAGTATGGGAGCTGTCCTCTTTGGCAGGATGATGTGCCGCTACTTCAAGCCTGGATAAGTTGTGCCATGGCGATCAAAGCCAGTCATGGTAGATGGAGGACGTGAGAGAAGAAGAATGCCGTGAAGTACATTTGCTGTGCAAGATCTTCGAGGCTTTTCAGAAAGAGCCCTGAGGAATGGAACCACGAGAAACAGGACAGAACGGCAGCAAGCTATTAATGAGCCGGCGGGCTGGCTGGGCTGCGTCGAGGGCGAGCAAGAGTCGAGAGCAACGGCTGGGGTGACGACGGGATGGCGGCTAATGCCCTGCTAGCGCAGATGTAGGCTGCAGCGATCGACCCCGGGGTGGGAAGCCACGACTGAGCTGAGCAGGGCGGAGGGTGCCGCTGCCTGTTGCAGCCTCGACACACCTCTTGGCGGACTCTCCCACAGAAGAAACATTCGCCCCGATGCCCGCCGTGCCATCGTCCCTTCTCCGCTTAGCCTCGAGGCCTGCAGCACGTCGCGCCCTCGTCTGCTCTGCATCTCGCTGCGAATATCTGCAGCTAGCGTGGGACTTTGTGGCCGGACCAATGCGCCAACGCTCTGGTGTCCGGGTCCAGATGGGTGGGTTGGGGTTCCCGGCAGCAGCAGCAGCAACCTGCCGTCGTGAAGGAAAAAAAGTCCCTGAAGGAACATGACAGCCTAGCCCGTTTTGCCCCTTTGTGGTGGCGCGGGCCAGTTGCCCAACGGCGGCTTCACAAAGGGGACGTGGCTGCGGGTTAAGCTCAAGGTTCACGACGGCGTCGCCACAGCAAAGGGCCAGCCGTGGGCGAGGAGCCAATGCCGCGCCGCCCGCAGCCCTGAGAGGTATAGAGTGCCCATCGGGACGCTCGCTCGCACGACTTGAGTTTGGGGCTGCAGAAACAACGCAGTGTCGAGACTCGATATGGATGCCAGATGGAGCAATCCGGCTGGCCGATTGTTGCATGCCGAAGGCTGCAGCTTCTTTCCAAACGCGGACAGCATGGGAGCTATTAATCCAGCTGAGACAGAGGTTGACAACGCAGACAGATTCGCTGTCTTTCATGCAACCGACCCTTTTCGGAGCGTCGTCCAGGAACGCAATCCGCCTTGTGCGAGGTTGGGCTCGCCGCGGCTGGTGAGACAGGCCAAAGCTGCGGTGTGATCCACTGGCCAGCCATTGTTCTTTGCATGTTTCACTCAGCTTCTGCGGTTGGCGCTGAAGTATGGACCACGCTGTCCAGCCTGGTCATCCCGCCCAGGTTGTGGAATCCCTGAAGGGCGGCTGGGCGATCGACAAAAGCAAAATACCGTGCCGACAGAACGGTGCACCAATCACGCCGTCTTGGGCGGCGAGTTTATCTAGCGGGCTCATCTTCAACCGAGCGTTCAATTTCCTCGACCCGTACCGTACTGACCGGGTAAGGGCCTCTGAGGGACAAGGGGCCAATTGTCTCCCCTATGAGACCTGGAGGCGGCTGGTGAAGTGTACAACGACTGTCTTTGTAACGCGCCATCAAAGAGTGCATGCTCTCGTCGCTCCACTGGCCGCGCAGAAGACTATGCTGCATAACCTAGAGTTAGCTACTCCCAGCTCTGGCCAGCTCGGGGCTCGGGCGAGATCGAGGAGGACTGCGCTTAATGGACCGGCGGTCAGATCTGCGTCGCAAAGGACGACCACTGCCGTCATTGGCTGGGCGGCCGGAACGCTCCCGCTTGCCAGCACAAAGAAAGCGTCTTGCTTTTTCTATGCGAGTACTCAAATGCCCTCTTGCACACAGCCAGGGTCGCCCAGACAACAACTCGAGCACAGGTAGGTACGCTAGGTATTTGTGCCCCAGCTGGGCGGAGGCCCTGGCCCTGGCCCTGGCCATACATTTCCTTTGTACTTGGCGGCTTTCTCGCCCAGCCCAGCCTCGTCTGAACAATGGTTTGAACAATGGTGGTTGTCTACTAATGCTCCGGTTGACTGTTTCAGTCGGCGAGTTTCCAAGGTGTGTGGGGGGGCCCGGCCCTTGCAAGCCACAGGCCGCGATGGTCCATTGCGTCATGACCTCGAATGCTGGGCAGTGCGTGCGAGTCCATCAAGAACCCGTGGCATCCAGCGCACCGGCGAGCCAGTCGAGATGTCCAATGCAACCACCGAGTCGAGACGGGCTGAAGGCGTCGCAGACTGCCCTCCCAACCTGTCCAGGGCACCCGCGATCATCACCAGACCTGTGCGAGTCCGTGGTACATGGGGGACTGCCTCTTTCGGGCAGGCAGGAGCGCTCTCAGCCAATCACGTGTGCCCGGCCGTGCCTGTCCCAGATCGATCCCCAGCCTGCCACCACCACCACCACCAACATCTCCTCCTCCCCCATCAGCGAGCCCACACGTGATCCTCACGACGGCATACCTACCTCAGGTACATACCTTAGGTACCCTCGCCTCCTCCTCGCGACACACACTCCGAGCTAGGCTGCACCATGTCCAAGCCGTGGATCCTCGTCAGCCCTCCAGCCGTGGCATTGGCCTCGCCGTCACGCGCCACCTGCTGCGCACGACGACCTTGCCCATCCTCGCAACTACACGCAACCCAGACCCCAGCGCGGCAAAGTCGTCGCTCATAGACTCGCTCGGCCGAGACGGCATTGACGACGCCGCGCGCCTGCACGTCCTCCCGCTCGACGTGACCGACGAGGCCAGCATCCAGGCCGCCTCAGAGCGAGCCGCAGAGCTCTTCCCCCCAAAGACACACCACCTGCACCTGGGCCTCGCGATGCCCGGCATCCTCCACCCCGAGAAGAGCCCCAAGCAGGTCGACTATGCCGGTGCTCTCGAGACCCTCAAGGTCAACACTCTGGGGCCATTGATGCTGCTCAAGTGGTTCGGCGAGTTCCTCCCGCGCAAGGGCACCGACATGTCCGAGGTTGCTGCTACCACGGCGAGCAGCGCCTCTGCACACCACGCCACGTTCCTCCTCATGTCTGCCCGTGTCGGGAGCACGACGGACAACAGACTCGGCGGGTGGTACTCGTACCGCGCGTCCAAGGCCGGCGTCATCAGCCTCGCCCGGACATTCGACAACCACCTCCGCGTGCGCAGCGGAGACAAGGCCATGGCCATGGCATACCACCCGGGCACCGTCAAGACCGAGTTCAGCCGCGAGTTCTGGGGCAACGTCAAGGAGGAGAAGCTCTTCAGCGCCGAGTTCGCCGCCGAGAAGCTCGTCGGCGTCGTGGGCGGGCGCGACGTGCAGAGCGACCGCGGCCGGTGCTGGGACTGGAAGGGCGAGGAGGTGAAGCCGTAGTAAGTGGTAGGTTGATCGCAACAGCGTTGCGGAGTCCCTCCTGAAGGCTCTCTGCCCTCTGGCCTGCGGAGCTAATGGCGGAACACCATTGCTGGACGAGGCGAACTATGGCAGGCGGCGGAGCACGGATACTCGTCATGGCGAAATCTCGGAGATTTCTTTCTTGTAACAAACCAGCATGCTCGCCAAGGGCAGGTCAACCCCTTGAAGGACGGGAGAAACAAGCGATTAGGGTCCGGCGGAGAACTCAGTCGACAGGCATCGCGCAAAGGCTGCAGGAGAGAGATGGCGACAGCTCCCATGCAGCGCGGCACCTACACACAGAGCGCACCAAGAATCACTGCCAGATCGGAAAGGACACTACCAGGCGAGACCGCGCCGGCGACAAAGCCTCACAGGAGGACAACCATTTCAGTCCTTGATATCTTCCACTCACGCAAGCAGTCATTGTGCTGGTCTATCGCATGTCGACGTTGCACCGCGGTCGTTTTGTTTGCGGCATGAATGCATGCCGGGAAGGAAGTCAAGGAACAAACAAGATTCGAACTGCTATGAACAGACACTGCCATAGACGCGCGCAGAAAAGCCACACAACAAGTTCGCAGACTATGGAATGACCAAAATTTCGCAGCGACAAACTTAATCCCCCGCCCTCCAGGAGCCCATCACCATCCAACCTCAGGAAGGAGGAACAAGACTTGACTCCCAGGTCACCGGCGTCCGTGATTCCGCGGTGGGACCACTGGCTGGAGTTTGGGTGCGAACTCCAGCCGCAGTGGGACGAGAAATAGAGTCCCATGCTTGACGTACAGCACGGAAGAACATGAAAGTGACAAGGCCTGGCTTCCTCGTTATGAGCCTAAAGTACGCAAAGGTTGCCGGTGCATGACCACGTGGGTCAACCTGCAGCGGCGGGACATTCAGCACGGGCACCATGATTCAGGGTTCGTCCTTAACCGTGTACATAATTTGGGAAGAGCATCGTGCTTAAACGATGATCGAGGTGCATTGTTGCCCGCGAACCTGCCGGTGGTCAAACGATAGACACAGGATATTCACACACAAGGTATTGCACACAGGGTAATTTCACACAGGGTAGTCACGTAAAGATGATCTGCCTGGAAGAGACGCTCTCTTTTCTCGGATATAATCGTGTAGTCTATTCTCTATCGCTCTCCAGTCTGATGCTTTTCATCTGGACGCGAAGCCGAAATCTTTCTGCGTACTCTGACAGCGACATAGGCAGGGCGTTGGAATGTAAAATGTGTTGGCAGTATCATGTCTTGGCTCTTGTCCAGTTTCGCTGACGAGTCGACCTCAATCTCCCAGCCACGTGACGGCTGCAGTGTACACCCTGCTCACAAGGCAACGTCCTGGAAGGACGCCCCGTCACCTGGAGACGGCGCCGCACTCTTCTCGTCCTCGTCTTCCAGGTGCGCTGTTGGGTTTGGATTACCTCCCCCGTTTTGTGACGCCTCTCCGCCGGGTCTCAGCGCGACTTTCTGCGTGTCTTTGTCCTCGAGGCGGACTTTCTGCTCTGCGTCGGCGGCTCTGGCCTTCTCGGGCTCGTCTTCGTCATCTTCGTCGTCGTCTTCATCCTCATTGTTACCTGCTACCTTGCTCGCACTGGGGTCTGTGGCACTGCTCGCCTCATCGTCTTCTGCCTTGCCCTTTTCCGGCTCAGCAGGTAAATCTTTATCCTTGTTGAGTGTCGTCGTGCTCGGTGTCGAGTTCGATGCCGGCTGCGATTGCACCGGGGGGCTCCGGACCTCGTCGACATCACCAGGACCTGGCCGTACAGCGTCGAGATAGAACTTGGTAACTCCAAGGATCCTGCCGCTGCGTTCGCAGGCCTCCACCCACTCGGGACGGACCACGGGGATGTTCATCTCAACAGCCTTCTCCCACGGCACACCGCGGCCCTCGGTCGTGACGAAGTGTGTGGTGTCGATGCGCACGCTGTCTGCAATCTTCGCGCCGATGCGCTCCACGGCGCTGTTCAGGTTCTCACGTGCAGCCGCGGGGAGGATGCCCGTGGTGATGGTGATACCGCTCAAGTCGGTCATCTTGTGCGTCCGGACATTGACTTGTTTCGAGGCGAAGGTGCCAGCCGTCGTCCGCAAGACCAGGTGGAAGGTGTACTCGGTGTCCACGGCCAGGCCGCTGATCTTGGTGCTGTGCATCTGGAGCGGGCGCGGGATGTTGCCGGCCTTCTGGCCATTGCGGAAGAGGGAGAGGGAGATGAGATTGGCCGTGGCGAGCTCCATGGGATCCCACTCGAGGACAACGGACGTCTGGGTGGCATTGCGGCAGCGGAGAACCGGCGTCGCGGGCTCGGCGGCGCCGAATGCGCCAAAGATGCGGTCTTGGAGGGCGGAGAACTGCTTGTCGGCTGCCGACTCGGCGGCGCTGTTTCTTGCGACGGTGATGTCGACAATTGAGCCAGAGGTGATGTTGGGAGGCAGGAGAATCGAGGGGAACTCGATCTAGTTAAAACGCCCGTCGGTTAGTGTCCTATCTTATGGTGTCTCGTTTTCGCACTGGAGCGCCTGACGGCCCGTGAAGCAGCTGCAAATGATGCCGCCAAGTGCTGGGACAGTTTGTAGCATCGCGCATCGCGCGTCATGGCGGAGGTTGAGGGTCTGCGACAAAGGGGGGAGGCCACGTACCAGGCGCTTGTCTGGGGTCAGAAGGACCGTGACGCCGGCGTCGACCTTGCCGACTGTCAGCGAGACGAGCATCTTGTCGCTGAGTGTTGCGATCGATCGCGGCACTTGCGATGTGGTTCACGGGGCGTCTCGTGACGAGCAGACTCGATTGCAGCTGTTGGCGTGGTCGTGGCAAGGATGTGGTGAGCTGGCGTCTGGTGGAAGGTGATGAGCTGGCTGGGTGCGTGCCCGCAGCGCAATTGAGTGCTGTGCCTGGGCATCAGCACCATGATGCTGCGCTCGCGCGGGCAGGGGTCGGAGCTAAGCTTGGAAAGCTGGGCACAGGGTTGTGGGTGGCACACTAAGACCGCACCTGCCGCGATTGCGGTCCTTCCACACGTACACCTCTGGCAAGGTACCACCAGACTTAGAATGTATGCGTTCCCTTGATGTATCAATACTGGTGAAGCAATTATAATTGTCGATACTTCTCTCCTTTATTCGGCTCTACTCTACTATATGCTATGTCGCAGAAGAATCAGAAGCAAGCATGGTATCGTTTGCCTGATCCAGACCATTGTACACAGTTCGCCCGGCCCACCAAGGCTCTGCTGGACTGCGCGGACTTGCTCCCATTCAGCGCATCAATTCGAACGTCTATGACCATCTCTCCGTTTTACCGGTCGTCCTGCAAAGCACACCCGCGCCAATCGACTCGCGATGGGCTGCTTGAGACTGGGTGGGCAATGCGCCGCGTGCAGGGTCCGTGGATACCGCATTATCTCTGAGGTATAAAAAGCTACTGCCACTTCACCGGTCTTCGTGTCCTTCCAGCAAGCTAAAGCCTCGTCGTGGTCTGGCTTTGCGAGATTGCGAATTGTTGCTTGATCCTCTGCGTGGTCTCCGAGCCTTGCTGGCCAACCACCCGTCGTCACCGTCAGGGTCGTCTCCCCATTGAGACCATGGTTGTTCCTCTGAATGTTTAGTGGTGAAGAAACCGTCCCCGATCCGCAGTTCTCCATCCTCGTCATGATCAGGAATAGACTGTCGCGAATCCGGCCCTCGGGCCTGCCAAGGTGGCTCATCTGTGCCCAAGAGAGACTCCAGGTTGACGACGATCAAATTCATCTGCTTGACCAAGTCTTCAAAGGTGGCGTGGATGACAGGCTTGGCAGCTGGGTTCGTTATCTTGATGCTGCCCTGGAGCCGCCGGTATTTCGAGACGATTGGCTCGCCACGGGCGTCCATGTACAGCGGCCGCGTCGTCGCCGGGTCTGCGCGCCATCCAAAGCGGTCGTATCCGCGTTGGCCGAGTGCCGTGCGGAATGCGTGTCGAAGCCTGCGCCTCGCATGGCCGCACACCGTAGGCACCGCAGTCGACGGGATCACAAAGTACCAGGCCCACAGCGACTCGTTTTGCTTCTTGGGAACGTAAAGGTCCAGCATGCTCTTGCAGAATGGGTGCTTATTGGCGCTAAAGTATTTGTAGTGTATCTCATTGAAGACGTGATCCTTCGTGGCCTGTACCTGCAGCGGCAGGCGAACCATGTTGTCCGGGTACTTGATGCGCACGGTGCGCATGCTTGCGCCAAAGAATATGTCGTGTTCGCGCGCGAAGGGTTTGACGTGTTTGCCCAGAAATACGGTTTTCCCGTTGAACCAGACCTGGCCCTCGACCGGCTTCGCTTGTGTTCGGGTGCCCGATGCCTGGCGGACGGCTTGTTGTGTCAAACTGGACACTAGCGATTGTGTGAAGTTTCCGTTGGCTCTGTGGTTGCTCGCCATCATGCCCAGGCGCATCCGTTGGCTCCCGAGCTGCTGTACGCCTCGTAGGACGTAGTGGCGTGTTGTCATGATGGTGGTCTAGGCTGGAACGCCCGTTTCTGCTCTCGTGACATGGCTGAAGGTGCGACTAGAGGCTACTTTGCGCACTTGGGCGCTTTCCACACCCACCCGAGCAGCACTGCAGCTCTCTTATGAAGAATGTGTGCCTGGAAATGGCAATCTTGAAGAGTACATTGAAAAAGTCAGGCACCAGGTTGTTGGTCGGGAGTGTTCAAAGCTGATTCGATCTCCACAGGTGCTTAAGTGGGGTTGACCTCTGAATGTGACCCATGGCAAGCAATCGATAAGCACTCAGTGACTGATGATCCGTGTGATCCCGACTTCGCGCAGGCCCCCAGGGAAGTGGTCGGGATGGAATCACAGCCCGTCATGCTAGATCATGATCTACCGATGAGATTGATGTAAAGTATTTCTTGCACGAACCCCTGGCCAACTAACTAAAAACGCAGGGACTATGCTTTTGGCTCCCAATGCATGAAAACGATATCCCTTCCCCAGCCTGATCCTAAGTAATGACCCACGCAATGTCAGGTACAGCCGCTGGTCAGCCCATGCCTTGCTCAGCAATTCCCGTATTGAACGCGACACGGCATTGTCCACGATGCTGCCGGGCGATGTGAATAGTCTGTACACAAGGCTCATAGCCACGCACAATCGATTGCTTGGCAGTGGAATAAGTACCCTGGTAAATGTTGTGTTCGCCCATACTGTCCGTGTGAAGTTGAAGCAGAAAAGCGATAATAATGATCAAGGTTGGTCTAAGCTAACTGGCAATACTCACCATCGCCGCATCATGATTGCAAGGTGCTCAGACGATGGTGGTGCAGAAGCGCTGGGCTGTTTTGCGCGAGTACCTGATGTCGAACCGCAGAATCGAAGGTAGGATCAGCTGGTCGAGCCGTATAGACGCCGACCGTTCTCTACCAATCATCGTCACTCTTCTCGTCGTCTGTGATATAGGTTAGCTACTGTGAAGAATTATACTCATTGCCCACGTGTTCGGGGACCACTTACCGCTGTCGCGAACCCTGGTCTTGCGCTTCTGCAAAGCGGCCTGAAGTGCGTCGGCCATGCCACCGGCGCCTCCAGGAGCGCCACCAGCTGGCGGACCACCCCCAGAGCCGGTATCCGATCCGCCGGGCACAGAAGCTGCACTCCGGTCTCTGATCTGGCTTCTATCCACCTTTTTCAACGCTCCAATACCGCCTGCTCGTTGGATATCACCCAACATGGCAGATCGGCCGGCATCGACCGAAGGTATAGGCAGCGCTGCGCCGCCCGGCGGGGGAGGAGGTGGAGGCGGAGGAATACCACCACTGGGCGGCGGCGGAGGAGGTGGTGGAGGAGGACCTCCTGAGCCAGCGGGAGGTGGAGGCGGCGGAGGTGGAGGAGGTATGCCGGTTGTCGGGGGGAGCGGCGGCGCGGCATTGCGCGGGGGGGGGCAGGGACGGGTCGTGACGAGGAAGGTGGTAGAGGCGGAGCGCTCGAACTAGGCACTTTTGGCGGTAGTGTTGGAGGAGGACCTGCTGGAACCAGAGGAGAGCGGTTCTGGTCGCGTGGTGGCGGAGGTGGTGCCGGGCCACGAGCAGGCGGCGGCGGAGGGTTGCTGCTCAACCGCTGGCCAGCGAACGGCGGTGGCACACCAAATTTGTGGCCATGGGAGTCTTCTTTGTCCTCGATCGGTGTCTTGGCTGGTCGTGGAGGCGGTGGAGGGCCAGGAACAGCAGGTGTTGGGCGTGGCGCAGGCTGGGCATGTGCAAACTTGCCAGCGTCGGCAAGTGGTGGAGGAGCCTTGAATCGTGGTGCTGGCGGAGCCGGAGGTTCTTGCGGTGGTGTCGGTTCTCTTGGTGCTGGCGGGTCTGGTGCTTTGCCCGATCTTCGGGGAGCTGGAGGTGGAGGAGGCGCTCCACGGCGAGTGCCCGACGACAACGACGCATCTGATGAAGGCGGCGGTGGAGGCGGTGGTGCCCGGCCGGCGGTACCATTTGCAGGGCCAGGGGGTAGCGGAGGTTGTCTTGTAGTCTCGGCTGGTGGCGCGCCACCCTGTTGTTCCAGGAACTCGACGATAAAGCCCTGGTTCTCTTTGATGAACTCGTCCGTGAGGCCTTGGTCTCGCAAGAAGTTGCCAAAGTTGTCTCGCCAGTCGGGATCATAAGCTTCCAATTCCGCGAATTCGGTCGACTGCTTGGCAAAGCCATTGACGGTGCCAGATGGTGTTCGCGCATGAGACTGGACTGGCGGCAAACTTGTGCGAGGCGACTCTGGTGGCGTAGGCGCGGACGAATGTCTATGTCCACCAAAAATACCACCGAGGAAGCTCTTGTGGCCTCCGCCGGATCCTTGGCTTGCCCCGCCAAAGGGCGTATTCCTGGTTGCCTTCGAAGCGTTCTTTTCTCGTTCATCCATTTTCTTCTTGAACTGTTTGGCCTCTTTCTCGTCTACAAAAGATAAACCAGCGAGGCAGTCTTCAGTCTCGAACGAGTGGAAAAAGGTTCGATCTTGGTTGTAATTCCAGGTGTCATAGATCTCCTGATCCCAAATCACACCTCGACCCGCCGGCTACGAATATCCTGTCAGCGTCGCAACCCCGCGCCAAGATAGTCTTTCGGGTGGTTTTTGAGAGAGAAACTCACTGACACGTCGACCAGCTTGAGCCAGTAAGTGTTACCAACCAGATCGTTGGAAAGCACTATGGCGCCTTGTAGACCGGTGTAGGTCCATTTTGTGCGGTCAGGGTACGCGACGTATAACTTCGCAACGGCTACGGCTTGAATCTTGTTCGTCTGCTTCGGGACGACTCGCTTTACAGTCTCCTTGTCCTCCTCGCTGAGGATTGACGGCATGATGCGCGCACGAGTTTTCGGTTATCGGGCACTCGGAGATTGTGCGAGGTAGACAATCGCAGATCCTCGGCGCTTTCGAGCATGAGCGGCTCAGGGGGGGTGAGGCGTTCGTTGACGAGACAGTGAGCGTCCCGGTGCCTATACGTAGGCTCAATCTTGGAATCGGGGGTCTGCGTGTACGAGGTACTCGCGGTGTTTTCCCACGTCACGAACACACAGACGGCGCTCTGGAACGTGCGCCGTCAGCAACGGTGTCGAGCGAAGTGGCAGTCAGCGCAGGATGTGGCGATGGCGACAGCTGCCTGCCTCGTGGGTAGCGGGTCAATTTGGTTGAGGTGAGTCGGTCAGGGCGTCGTAGTTGTGGTCGTGTGTGGGTTGGCGAGAAGTCGCAGAAAGCACTGGAGGATACGGATAAACGACTGGCGATTCAAGGCACCTCCAAAACTCCTCCCCAGTTGGTGGCCTCTGGTTGAGTTGCGTGGTGCGTGGGCGTTGTGGTGGGTGACGCCGGACCGGGCTGGGCTGGGCTGCCTGGGGTGGGACGACCTGACGCTGCCCAGGTGGAGGCTGGAAATGGGTGGGTCCTGCATCAGGTTGCTCTTTTCCCCACTGTCCCAAGGACTCCAAGGCCGCAGGCAAACTGATTGTCCCGTTTGCAAAGGACCGGTTCATGCCATCGCAAAGGCGTTCTACCACGCCGCCCTTGTCAGCGGACATGAGGGACGCTGACTATCTCACCATTATTTGTGACGAAGGCCGTGCGATGAGGCACGTCAGAAGCATTCAAAATTTGCAAGCTAATCAGCTCTGGGGACCATCTACACCCCCAAATCGTGGGGCGTCTTCATCGAAGAGACACACGTAGACACCAGCCACGGCTTTGACTCCTTGCACGCTGTCGCTCGATCAAGTGTTTGTCCATGGTATCTTCGGCTTTGCGCCTCACAGAAGTACGCTGCAGCATCTCTGCCAGGCAGACTTTAATTCTGCCTAGACACATGTTGCCTTGGCCGCGCGTCCACAAGCACAAAGTGGCGTGGAATGCTTCGAACTTCAAGCAAGTCATCCTTGCGTCTGAGAGGGCTAGCACCTATGTGTGATCTGGACTAGATTGAATAATCATGTTCTGCTCGTGGCAAATGTGAACACGGCAGATATGCGTGAGAGTATGGAGATCTTATTCTGGATGGCTCTAGACTCCTAACGCTGTCGTAACTCATTATATCCGATATCATTTCCCTTATTTGTTTAGCTCCTTGGCCTTGGCCAGACGCTCCTCCTTTGTGCCCTCGAAACCTGGCATGTTCTCCGGGACGGCTGGGCCGGGGTGGGCCTTGTGGGCAGAGAAGGCGTCCTTTGCGGCGTGCTCAGGGACCGGCTGGACCTTGAACTCCTTCTCGGACTCGGGCTTCTATGGAAGTGGACCATCGTCAATCTCGCACTACAAAGATCTAGAGAGGCATTTCGCCGCAAGAATGGATGTTCCTGGAGTAGACCTTACCTTGGGGGCGTTGTCGGAAGGCATGTTGAAGTGTGGATTTGTTGCAGATTGTCTGGATTTGGTGACTATTTGTTTGAAGGGTGAACTGGTGAGGTTACAGATGAGCATTCGCCCCTACTATATATGTCAAGTACATGTCTACGAACTGAACTAAAGAATCAGGCTTACCAGCTTACAGTTTACAGACGGGTGACAGTGTGCGCCTGGTCCCACGGAATGCCACAGTGATGACGTATGAAGGTGTGGGTGACGGACAGGAACCCCTCACCTGTGTGGAGGAGCCCGCGGTGTGGCGCCAGGTGCAGCACATGGTGGCAGCCTCAGGCCAATGTCAGCGCGCGTCTCTCGCCTATTCGCGGTTCACACGCTGCAGCCTGCTCGCATCGAAAGGATATACCGCGTCATGCAGCGCCTCACACTCCAGGCACCCCCAGGCTGATTAGAGATCAGGCCGAAGTCATTTGTCCCTGTGCTGCTCGCAACCTTGGCTGACGGAGTGCCGCATCGGCATCGGACCTGATCCGCACATCGATCTGGGACCACAGCGTGCACTATTCCCGTGTTACGTGTCTGCAACTAAGTGCAGGCCAAAGGCAACCACCAATCAAAGCAGGCCCAGAGCCGAGCCACAAGCTTATTCCGATCTCCTGTCGCGAAGTCGCTGGGCGACGGCATTCCTAGTCTGGTGTCCCTCTGACAATGCGTGTACGATCCTGATCACGCTCGACGTTGTCCTCGGCCCAGATCCGGCCGGCCGGCCTCTGTATCCTTCCATGTCTGCCAACAGCACCCCCCAACCTGTCAAACTATCGCTGCCGCTAGTGAGCCATCCAGCATGATCCTGTTGAATCGCAGGGCACAGCTAATGAATGACTTTTCGGCTATGTCCAGGAATACCAGCAGCACCTCTTCCAGGAACTCCGGAAGGAAGATGAGCTCGTCGTTCTCGCAAAAGGCCTCGGCCTGATGCGCCTGGTCACGAATTTACTGCACAGCTACGATGCAGCCGGCAACAACCTCATCATCGTGGTTGGTGCAGAAGACCGTGAGAATGCCTGGCTCGGCGAGGCGCTGGCCGAGCATGCGGCCATCAGCATGGCTCCCAAGGCCAGGGGCCTGACGGTGGTCAATACGGATTTCACGAGCGTGGCTGCCCGAGAAAGGATGTACGCTCAGGGCGGAGTGTACAGCATTACTTCGCGAATTCTGGTCGTGGACCTCCTGACCACGCTGCTGGACCCGGAGCGCATCACGGGCGTATTGGTACTTCACGCAGACAAGGTCATCGCCACGTCCCTCGAAGCCTTCATTCTGCGCATATACCGGCAGAAGAACAAGGTTGGGTTCCTGAAAGCGTTTTCAGATAACCCAGACCCTTTCACGATTGGCTTCTCGCCACTGGCGACCATGATGCGCAATTTGTTCCTTCGTAAGGCGTCGCTGTGGCCTCGCTTCCACGTGACTGTCGCAGGTTCACTGGAGGGCAAGAAGAAGGCCGAGGTCATCGAGCTGGAAGTGCCGATGACAGACTCCATGCGAGAGATTCAGCAAGCAATCATGGAATGTGTCGAGGTGAGCATACAGGAGCTCAAAAAGGGCAACACGGGCCTGGAAATGGACGACTGGAATCTCGACAGCGCCTTGCTCAAGAACTTTGACGTCATGGTGCGCAGGCAGCTCGATCCCAACTGGCATCGGGTGAGCTGGAAGACGAAGCAGATTGTCAGTGACCTGACTGTGCTGCGGAGCATGCTGCACTCGGTCCTGGCCTACGACTCGGTTTCGTTCCTACAGCATCTCGACACGATACATGCGGCCCACTCGCCTCAACCTGGGTCAACGCGTCAAACGCAACCACCATGGATGTTCCTCGAATCAGCACATACTATATTCAACACGGCAAAGCAGAGAGTCTACGCCAGCAATGCGAAGCCCAGCGAGGATACCACAATCGACTCTCTGCGACCCGTCCTCGAAGAGCAGCCAAAGTGGGCTGTCCTGGGCGAGGTGCTCGAGGAGATAGACCGGGATCTCTACTTTGAGCCACCCCTGCGAGACGACTCGAACGGCACGATCCTCATCATGTGCTCCGACACGGCTACATGCCGGCAGCTGCGTGAGTATTTGCAGTCAATGCACGTCAGGCCGCCGACAGACGCCGAGAAGCAGGACGATCCGGATGCGCCCAAAGTTACTGCTGCTTTCATGATGCGTAAGAAACTTCGCCAGTACCTGAACTGGAAGCGGCAGTTTGCCCAGATCAGCACCACACTCTTCTCGGACAACCAGAAGGCACTCGACGGCGCGCTGGACCCCAGGATCGCAAAGGGCAACTACAAGGGCAAAGCCGCCCTAAACAAGCGGAGAAGGGTACGTGGAGGCGGCAACGTGGGATCCGGCCCCAGCCGAGCCGCCAACGGCACTGTGATCCAGTACTTTGAAAAGCCCAACGAAGTGTCGGATCTGATGGATGAGATCAAGATCACCGAGGAGGAAGCTGCCGTCAAGGCCGACATCATAGCAGACCCGCTCGAGGATATGGATGAGTTCTACGAGCTGTACGAGATGCAGGACCTTGTGGTGATCCACGCCTACGAGGGCGACCAGGACGAGCACATCCTCGAGGAAGTCAAGCCGCGCTACATCATCATGTACGAGCCCGACGCGGCGTTCATCCGGCGGATCGAGGTCTACCGCTCGTCGCACAATGACCGCAACGTGCGCGTCTACTTTATGTTCTACGGCGGCTCGGTCGAGGAGCAGCGCTACCTGGCCACGGTGCGCCGTGAGAAGGACTCGTTTACCCGTCTGATCAAGGAGAGGGCGAGCATGTCGGTAGTCATGACGGTTGACGGCAAAGGCGTTGAGGATCCGCAGGAAGCCTTCCTGCGCACCGTCAACACCCGCATCGCCGGCGGCGGCAGACTCGCCGCGACTGCCCAGCCGCCCCGCGTGGTCGTCGACGTGCGCGAGTTCCGCTCCTCGCTCCCGTCCCTGCTGCACGGGCGCAGCATGGTCATCGTGCCCTGTATGCTCACGGTGGGCGACTACATCCTGTCGCCGCAGATCTGCATCGAGAGGAAGTCCGTGAGCGACCTGATCAGCTCCTTCAAGGACGGGCGCCTGTACGCCCAGTGCGAGACCATGTTCCAGCATTACAAGTCCCCCATGCTGCTCATCGAGTTTGACCAGAACAAGTCCTTCACCCTGGAGCCCTTTGCCGACCTCTCGGGCAACCTCAAGTCGGTGAACCCCAACGAGGCTCCCTCGGACCTGCAGTCCAAGCTCGTCCTGCTGACCCTCGCCTTCCCCCGGCTGCGCGTCATCTGGAGCAGCAGCCCCTACGAGACGGCCGAGATCTTCGAGGCGCTCAAGACGCAGCAGGAGGAGCCGGACCCGATCCAGGCCGTCCGCGCGGGCCTGGACAGGGACTCGCGCGCCGAGGACCAGGCGTTCAACCTCGAGCCCCACGACATGCTCGCGGTCGTGCCCGGGGTGACGCCCAAGAACATCAAGAACCTGACGCTCAAGGCCGAGAGCATCAGGGAGGTGGCCAACATGACTGTCGACGAGCTGGAGCCGCTCGTGGGGCGCGAGGCCGGGAGGCAGATCTTTGGCTTCTTTGATCGGAATCTTATTGATGTAGATGACTGAGTTGGGGTTATGTTTAGTGTGTTGCAGTTACGGATGACGAAGTGTCCTCGACGTTGGAAGCAACAATGTGACATATACACCCAAGGAGGGGATCAGAAGTGGGTAAAAGAAATGTAGGTGTAGGACAGGGAACTAGATACATGGATACGTGTCGATGTTTGGCAAAGGTCCAACTACATCATGCATCAGACTGCACAGCTGGAAAATGTGCTCTCCGAAAATAATGCAGGCAGCTACTCAAAGAAGAAGACTGTGGTTCAACATCCGCGTGCAATGACTGTCATGGAGTGTAGGAAAGATCGGTGGTGTTCGGCTAGATTATACACATCACTCACACAGGGACTATATGCACAGATTGTTGGTAATCAACCAGGGTATTTTATTGATGGTAGTACAGATGCAAGCTTCTGGTACTGGGTATCGTGACAAGTCGTCTGAAGACATTAAACCAAGGAAAGAAACAGCGTAAAAAGCAGGACCGCACTACAATGTAGTTGTCAAAGACACGCGGTGGTGGTGGGTATTTAGCTTCCCAAAAGAATCGATTCTCCATCGCTCGCAGTGGCATAAGTCGTCATCTGGACCCCCGAAAGGATTTTCCGGGAAGACTCCCCGGCGCTTCTTCAAGTTGAGATCGTTGGAATCAACGCTCGGTGATGTGATGATGTTGTGTGTGTGTCGGCAGAGCATCTCTCGCCCTCACGCGTTTGGGCCCGGGGTGTTTTTTTATACCCTGCTGGTGCGCGTGGAGTGATGACCGCGGGTGCCTCCGGTGCGGCCATGGCGCTTGCCGCCGCAGTAACCGCAGGTGAGGAAGCCGACGATGACGCCGATGAAGCTGACGATGCCGTTAACAATGGCGGTGATGATGCCGCCAATGCCGCTGACGACGGCCATGATGGCGCGACCGATGGCGCGGAAGGCGTCACGGATCTATGATCTTACGTGTTAGTCGTTTTACGTACCATGGGGGGGCGAGGAAGACGGGAAGTGGTGGTGGCTGGGTAGATACTTACGCAGGAGACGACGGCGCCCATTGTGAATGATGGATGTTTTGATGGGTTTTAAGATAAGTGGGAGTTGGTAGTGATAGTCTGAGGAGACTGGGAGCTGCAGATGTTTGGTTGATGATGAGATGATGGGGAGGTCGACGGCTGGAGCGAGATGGAGGGGATCGGGGACTCTTATACACAATGTGAGGATGTCGAGGCAGGAGCTCAATCTGGCGAGGCGGAACTATGAAACGCTGGGAGGCCGCCTAGCTCTAGGTACGATACGCTACTCGGCAGGCACACTCGAGGCGCGCCAGATTGGGACTGCCCCAGGCACACGACAGGGAAGAAAAGAGCCATGCAACTACATCATCGCAAAAAATTAGGCCATGTCATCGGCGGGTGGGACGCCAAATGCGGATCGGTGGGAGTCGAGACCCTCGTCGAGGCGTGTCAGGGAGTACCTAGTGTAATGGATGGGGATTGCTGTCTGTCCGCATAGCATATGCATCTACATACAGTATCGAGCATCTCTTCTTTTTGTTGTTATCCCAGCAAGCCAAGCGCCTCTAACAACAAAGGGCGGCCAAGGGTGCGCTAGCAGGCATGCCCGTGACACGAAAAAAAGGGCAGGGACGTTGGGGCTTGACGTCATGCCGCAGTCACCAGGCCCCTCGAGTGCCGGCCGTCCTGCGGCTGAGTGGCTGTCTGCAGACGCCCGGGCCCCGTCATCATGATGGGAGAGCATCGACGAGGCTGGAAGATCTCTGGCGCGCGTGCCCCGTACAGAGAAAAGGTCGAATCTGCGAGAAGGGTCCCCTTGTTCAGAGTGCCATGACGTCGGCGCGACGGGGCCCACCCATGCACAACCGTCGGCTTTGCGTCCGAACACCCTGGCTGCGTTCGAGCAGTGTTGCCCTACTCCGGAGCATTGCCTCCTGTGTCAAAAGTGCAGGCAATCTTTGAGCATGTGGCAGTTTGCTTGTACAGTATCCAGCTGTCAAATAAACCTTTTTGTGCTGACCCCAAACATTAGGCCTCTCCGCACCACGAGCATCTAGTTAGGGCTCGAGCTAATCACGCAACTGCCGGAAGTCCCAGCACAAGCCCAGCAAGCAAGCTGCCATAGATAGCCCTTATGGTCACTGTCTAAAGGAGGGCTCCGACAGGTCATGTCATGTCATGTCATGTCCTGATCGTCAGCCGACGATCTCACAAACATGCATCGACAAACAGGAGATGGAGATTGTGCTCGCTTGCTAGTCGGGACTGCGGCACGGTGGCCGATGATTGGCGAGGCGCCCCAACTCGCGTAGACGAGTCTCGTGTGGGAAATGATGTTCTTGGCCGGGCCGGCCATTTGTCTGAAACTGCTCTGCACGCATCTCGATCGCGCGCGTACCATCTGCGTCTGGGGAGGGCTCTGCCTTGATTTTCGAGCCTCCGCGACACGCCCCACCACGACCCCTGTCTGGTCTGACGTAGGGCCTTGCACCTGCTACTTGACACCCAAAAGGTTGCCTTAGCGCTCCCGTGCTGCCGCCCTTGGTGGCCCCACTTGATTCCTGTCAGCTCACTCCCACCACCAACCGCTTCTCCTGGCCGGGACGTATATCAAGTCGCCCTCCACCCGCCTCCCGCACGCACGCGCGCCTCCTCCCTCTTCTTTCTCTCCTCATGCTCGCCGTGCAGCTGCTTCCCACCCTGCTTTCGCGAGGCCGGGCACGTAGCGGCCCCGCGTCGCACACGGGCCGGCCTGCCCTCCTCCACAACCGGGCTCCGGCTGGCCTGCGGCGCGGGTGAAGAGTTTAGAGTTTTGACCGGTCCTCCTCTTCTTGTACGTAGCAGACGCTCCCGCTTACCCCCGACTTGCGGTAATCGTCGGCGCCGGTTGGGGCCATCCCCTCCCCATCTGCTTGAGCTTTCTTGGTTTGACCCGGCTGTGAGCGAGCCCTCTGCTCTGTTCCGCTGGCGTCCCGTCTGTCTCGCCCGGCGGGCCTCTTGACTGTCGCCTCTGGTCGATGCATTCCACGTCCCAGAGCTGCGCGCAAGGGGCCGGAACCCCCAAACCCCCCGCCTCGACAACCCTCGACTGCAGCTCGATGCTGCCAGTAGCCGGCCCCGTCCGGCTTTCAACGCGCGACTCCCCCGATTGTAGACGTGCTTCTCGCAGGTTGTTGCCGCCGACGACATGATCCGCGATGCTGCCGTGTCAGGGACCCAGCGCGTCCAGCGGCTTTCTCCGGGTGGAACTCGCTGGTTGATGCGCCATGTCCAGTGGTGCTCCCAGCGAGCCGGATCGAGAGCCGCCGCGACCCTGCCCCCGACCGCCGCGCGGAAACACTGCTCAGCGCCCTTGCGAAGGCCCGTCTCTCGGGTGTCGCAGTCGCGGCTGTCAGTTTTCACCTCTGCGACTGAGGGCCGAGGCAACCAGTTCACATCTCCCGTCAACCCACCAAATTTGTCGAATAAACCCCCCTTTGGTTGTGAAGGGGGAGCCCGGGAATAGGACTGGGAGCCAAGATGCCCGGAACACCGCCTTTTCTGATTCTTGGCTCAGAATCAATCTTTATTCGACGTCTTTTCAAACAGCGTTCACTTCTTCGACCTCGGCTTTTCAACCATGTTTTGAGCGGACGAATCGGAGTTCAACCCTGCAGGCCGTGATGCTCTCACGGGCTGCAGAAACAAGCCCATTCCAACACAACGGATCACCATTGGACCTGGCGTTGGACCAGGTGGAAGACCATGGCCTGGACAGCGACGACACAAACACAAAGGCCTGGCCACTCCACGCTTTCCCACCCAACAAGATTGCCACACCTGAAATTGGGAGGAAAGGGTTCTGGCGGTTCACTTTACATTCTCTGGATGCTACGAGATAATGACGAAAATTATACCTTGAAAAACAAAAACCCCTCTTCTGAGTTTTGGGCGGTCTCGGCTCTGTCGTTTGCGGGATGCTGCTCGTGCTTGACATCTGGGCAAGAAGGATCTTGAGTGAGAGCTGTATGCTAGTGAATACAGGGCTTGATGCCCCAAGTTCAGGAGTTGCCAATAACGTGTTTCCTCAAATGTGACCGCAGTGATTGTAATGACGACGACGCCGTCCTGGTGAGTACGTGCCCTACGCAGCATCATATCACGCACCTTCGTCAACCTGAACTGAAGATATGTTGCACTGGTGCGACAGCGGCTTGGGGGACAGGTATTATATAAGCTCGAAACACAGTAGGAGCTCCCTTTTGACCAATCAACGTGGCTACCCCGATCAGGAGCTTATTCTATGGACCCGAGGCTGGGCGTGCGGGTGGGGGGTCCACTCCCTGAAGTCCAGTCCCCTGGCCTGGCCTTCAACCTGCGAAGATTTGAGCAAGTTAATTCGTATGCTCCCGCTCACCAAGCCCCTCATTCCGCGCGCCTGCCGTTGCAATGGCAGTCGAGGCTGGCCGGGCCTTCCCAAGGCCGGGCCGAGCACAAGGAGCCTTGCACGAGCTGGATCGTTCGGTCTCTAGACTTCTCCTTTGCTTTCGTGCACTTTCTTCTCACAGTCAATTTGAACAGCAGGAGGACCTCTATTGTGCCACGCCACGCTTTGGGTCTTCAACCTAGGTACACGAGCGCCACCACAACTAACTTAGCCCACGCCGCACCCTTGCTTGTGCTTCAGTCCAGTACACTTTCTCGACGTGGCACCTTTCTGAGAACCTGCGACATTGCGCTTCCTTTTCCCCCGCTCTGTCTCTCTCTGACCGGGACCTCGCGCTGCCGACTTTTTGCGTGTCAGAGGCTTCTTCCTTTGCAAGAACCCACGCATATATAGGAAGAGGGCTCCCGAGCGCAAAAGCCAGGACCTTGTTTCGCCGTCCCCCTCGAGACCTTTTGACCGCACGCTCGCACAGTCTCAAAAGTCTTGCACCACCACTTTGCTCTCGCAGGTTCGAGCGGCAGGAAAACATACGCGTATTTAAAGCTTGAGGCCTGGCATCGCCATTCTGGTCGTCCTGGGGTAAATCCGCGATCGTTTCCGCTCTTCACGACACGAACACACCAGCAGAAACACACACAAGGTAGCTAGCTCTCTTGAGGCGACTCCACCAGCACCAACAAGAACCGCCAGCAGACCAATACATCCCTTCTCACGAGGCAAAAGGCAAAAGGCGGCAGCAGACATGGACCACAGCAGCATGGACATGGACATGGACATGGGCGGCACCGACCCCTCGTCGTCATCCCACAACATGCAAATGATGTCCATCTTCCAGACCAGCATGAGCACGTCGCTCTACTCGGCGTCCTGGACGCCCACCACGACGGCAGGGTACGCGGGGACGTGCATCTTCCTGATCCTCCTGGCGCTGGGCTTCCGGCTGCTGCTCTGGGGCAAGACGGCCGCCGAGGCGCGCTGGCTCGACGCCGAGATCCGCCGGCGGTACGTCGTCGTGCAGGGGAAGCCCCGGCTCGCGGAGCGGGTGAGCCGCGACGGCGACGCCAAGAGGGCCACGCTGGTGCTCTCGGAGAACGGGGTCGAGGAGGACGTCGTCGTGCTGCAGAAGAACATCATCAGCGCCGTCACCACCACCACCACCGCCGCCGCCGACGATGACAACAACAACAACGGCGCTGATGCCACGGGAGGAAGAAGCAGAAGCGTGCTCGGCGGACAACATGCGCGGCCGTGGAGGATGTCTGTCGACCCGCTGCGGGCGCTCTTCGACACAGTCATTGTCGGCGTCGGATATCTCCTGTGAGTTTGTTTAAAGATGCGCCACCCTCCCCACCCTCTTGATTCTTGTCCCATTTCGAATTTGCTATATTCCTTGTATCATTGCCCCCTTTTCCGATCCGGGGAGAGATTCCCAGAGAGCTCACACTAACGCCCCCCTGTCCCATCCGCGCAGCATGTTGGCAGTCATGACCATGAACGTCGGCTACTTCCTCTCCATCCTCGCGGGCACGTTTCTGGGAAGTCTGCTCGTCGGGCGCTTCACGGGTCTCGTCGAGCACTAGGAATGAATGGACAAGGCAGTCGAGGCGCGGGGTTCTGGAAGCAGATCAGGGGGCCACAAACGTGGGTGAGATGCACGAGTGCTGTACACCAAAGCACCTGTCATAATACGATGCCATCATGCAGGTTGTGCGCACCACAATACAACACGTTGGAGAGCGCACGACATCAAGCACAACTACTAGTCCTGCCTATCCAAGAGCAGTCAGAAGTTTTGTAGAGCTGCCCATAATGCTCAACATGGTATAATGTGTGTGCCTCATTTGTGTTTCCTGAGATGGCTCTGTTTTACTCGAACTTGGTAGAGAACGGCATCTCGCCGGTGCATATCCAGTGCACTCCCCATGACTTCGCCTAATGCCTTATGAGGGTATAATATGATGTGGAAGAAATGGAACCGAAACCCGCTGTGAAGAAATGATGCCTGGCAGCAATCGGCTCTCGGCTCCTCGCCTAGTCCCCGAACCCCAAAAATTGACCGCTGTGAAATGCAAGGTAACAAAAGAAAAAGGTGTGCCGGGATGGGCGCCCTCAAAAATGGTGTTTAGGTTTGACTTGTGTCGGTTATCCTTGGTCCTGCTGCTCACTCTGTGAAAGACAAGTGCCTAAGCAAGACAAGTCGAGAGGCAATACGCGTCGTCGCAGCGATGGGCTGCAATTGTTCCGAGTTCTAAACTTGGCGTGCCAGATTCATCCGACACAGAGGCCGCATTGCCGACAAGCTTGGCAGAGAAGGCGTCGAGGTCGCAGGTGCTCCATGTTTCGCACATTCTGCTCAAATACAAGCTGTCTGGAAAGACCAAGCTGCATCCTTGGAGCGGAAGCCCCCTGTTTTTCTCAATTCCAGATTGGCACATGCTTATAAGCCGGTGAGTTATAGCTGTGCAGGACTCGGAATTGTGACGGGTTCCCATCACGATCAAACGAACCGTGGCTGCGATTCCGGCTGTGCCCTCGGGGTTGAGAAAATGGCCTTTGTGCTGTCGTCAAGGAACTCTTGATCGACTCACGGCTACCATTTTGCGAAGCTGGGTTGAACACGAACGGTCCATCCCGAGTCTGACTGGGAACCGAGGCAGTGACAAGATGTGGCGCGGCTTTGGGCAGCACGCCGCGACTGTCTGCCTTGTCTGGTATCCGCGGTGCCAAGAAAGAGCTTGCAGAAGTGGGACGGCGAATCTGTGGCAATGTCGGCTCCTGCCAAGAAACCTGAGAGAAGTGGCCAGCGGTAGGCGATGTGTGATGATCCGCCTCAACTGCCCAGGATGGAACACGGTGCGGTCCCTGGCCAGTCATCAGTACCATCGATCTCCTACGCTCGAATCCTGGCGCTTTCGGCGATTGGGGCAGCTGGCCAAGCCCTGGAATCGCACGAGCAGTGGGGTGCTCGTACGCTTGTGCATCCTCGGCGACGACGGAGTGAGGAATGTGAGGCGTGGCTTGCGTTGATCTGTCCAGTGAGATTGACCTCTCAACTTGCGCGGGTAATGAGTTTCTTGACCTCCGCTCGTTGAACGATGTGAACGACCCCCCGTGCCGAGTCTTTAAGCTGACAGGAGGCGGCGCATATCTCGTGGATTCCGATGTTGCAACGCTGTTCCGCTTGACCAGCAGGAACTCTCGAGGTGCGGCTTGCGCAGTATGTGTGGTGTTTGTCGCCGAGATTTGCTGCCGAGGCATGGCATAGACATTGTGATCGAGATCCTGTCGGCCATATGGGCGATCCTTAGCCACGGTCGGTGACATCATGCTTGTTCTTGTATGAGGACTTGTCGCAATCGAAAAACGGCGGTCTTGGTACAGCTCGTCATCCTGCTGCAGCTGGATGTTGAGCTCGGTCTTCAAGTGCAAGGTTGGTGTCCTTTTGATTGGGAGTATGGCCGTTGCAGCGTGTACCAGATTAGTACCCACGGAACCCATATTCTGGGCTGCTTTATTCTCCTTGGTCAGTTTTGACTTGTGCGGTGGGAACGGAGTGGCTCGGATCGGCTCGTGGTTCACTCTCTTCAACCCAAAAAGACTGTTCAGGGTTCCTTTGCCTGTTGACGAGACAGGTTTCATCCAGTGATAGTGTCCTCGCACTTGATCATCGTCATGGGACTGTTTGCGCTCCCTAGCATCACGGGTATCCACAGGCCGTCCTTCGTCCTGAGATTGCCGTCTGCTCAGCGAAAAAAGCTTATGGATCGTCCTTGGCGTGTGCACCTGGCTAGCTGTGTGGCAACTGTCTGCGGTCGTCTCCTTCTCAGTGCCTACTGCTTGCGCCTCTTGCGACGTCGGCTTGGCGTGGTGGCTCACCCCTTCCGGCTGGGATGAAGAAGACTGCCGCTCGGGGCTTGGGCTGGTGCGAGCCGGATTCACCACAGACAAGATGACTGGTCCATCAGCCGTTGAATCAAAGCTCGATCTTGGCAAGGCTGATTCCTTTCCCGCGAGCCTGTCGGAATAGGATGATCGAACTGAAGCCTTCGAGCTGTAGCCAGAGTCGGCCTTAGACAGGCGCATCTCAGGTCGCTCGCGCACCGGGCTGGTCTCTATACCACTATCGGACCTGTTTATCGACCAAGATCTGTCGACATGCGTCACCGTCGACCTTGCGTGGTCGTCCATTCGCACATCCAATCTCTCTACTTCTGGCAAAGTCGCAGCCGTCTGCAAGGTGTCTAGAGCTTGACTGCTATCAGGCCCGGCAGTTGTCATGGTTGGTCTTTTGTTCACATCGGCTGAGAAGTAGTCAAGTGGAACGCCTCCAAGAAGTCTACCATCATCTTCCTGTCGTGCGTCTGGGGTGGCGGATGGGCTGCCATTGGTGATGCGCAAGGTGCCAAACTTGTAAGCACCCACCTGCGCGAAGTCTAGCTCGTTAGGCGTGCTCGCCCGTGGAACGTTGCCGGGTATTCTCAGGCCGATGTCATATCCATCGTCCTCAGCTGCAGCCGAAACTTCCAAGATAGGTAGCGGCTGTGGTCGAGCAAGAGAGTTTCGTCTCGAAGTTGGCTTAGAAGTCCGGCCCGGATTGCTCAGTGGCGCTCTTGTTGCGACGCCGGGCGTCCGCAGGGACCGACGTCGCGCTGGCGTGAACAGCGACATGTCCGTCTCCGAATTAGGTCGAGGCAATAATGGGAGGCCAGTGCTGTTGGGCCGTTTCGGAACGTCCATGGGCTGCTTCGACGGCTCAAAGAACTGCGACGAGGTCGTCCGCAAGTAGGGGTTTTCCTCGGCTGCTTGTTCTGCAACAAGGTCGAGGGCATGTGCGTCTGGGAACAGCTCGTTCTCATGGCCAGTGCCCGGTCTGGATTCGGACGTAGAAGAGTCGGGGCGACGTTGATGAATGAGTGACCGGGCGCGACTAAGACTAAATGTCCGTGTCAACGAATTGGTCCGCTTGAACTGGGAGCTGCTGCCCTCATGTGCCCCTAGACTCCAGGTCCTCCGGCTGTGGTTCTCGCCAGGAACGTCATACGAGCGAGGCTGTCCGAGCGAAAATGAAGGAAGCTGGTCGGCATCGCTGGTCTCGGGAGCAATCGAGGGCAGCGGTTGCTGTTGAGCTGCACTGGCGCTGGTGGCATCTTGGTGCCGATGCAAGCGCGTTTCAGACTGGCTGAGCAGGTGCTCCGGGACGCCCTTGGCAGCTGGAGATCGGCGGGGAGCTGCAGCGGAAGTAGTGCTGCTTGTCAAATGGGCGGGCGACGCAGGAAAGGCCGCCGACACTCTGCTAAACCTGTTTTTTAGGCGGTTCTCCTTGTGGGCAGCATCTGTCGATGCGCTGTTCCCCATGATCGACGTAATATATTGTCCCACCCCCCTTAACGCAGCACGAGCTGTTGCGCGGCTGCTAGTGGCTGCGTGGTGGTCGACCACTTGCCATTGCGATTGGCCGGCGATTTGCTTGCCTCACTCTTTGGCGAACGGGCGTGTGGAGGCCGGGAGCTGAGGTGCGACAAAGAGACGTCACTGCGATCGCTCCGCAGAATTATTCAATCCGGAGAGTTGTTTGGTGTTGCCAGCCTATGGAACAAGGAGATCAATAAGGTCCCGGGCTCCACTACGACGGCAGGTTGTGGTAGATGTCGGTCCAGGAATTTCAGAGCTTGATCTGGCAGAGTCGGAGACGAAGGCTGCAAGTGAGTGTCGATGAGAACGCAGTGCCAGGAATGAAGAAGAAGCCGCGCCAGCAGGGCCGGCCAGCAGCAGCAGCCTCGAGACAATAAGAGGAGATCGTGTGCGGAGAACGTGGAAGGGGGCAGTCCGGAACAGGGTATCGCAGGGCATCGAGCAGGGCCAAGCAGCATGCGTGCTTGGCTAGGCTAGCGAGTTGCCTTGGACCTGGCGTCGGCACCAGGCAATCTCGAGGTAAGATTGATCCCATTTGCCGTCACCAGGACGAGCAGTGCGTGCACTGGATCGGTTGCGGCCCTAGCCCTGCAGGATACGTGGTGCGGTGTCTTTGCCTGGATGCGACTCTGGCCGCGTTGGGATGCTCAAGCAGGGCCGCAAAGCAAGGAATCTGCGACGACTCTGCGGCCCCAAAGTTCCATCAACTGGGCCCGGCAAGCGCCTGCCAGGTCCGGCCTCGACGCGAATCAAGGCAGCTCGATCTCGGGCGCCTGGGCCCCCTTGACAGGAGAAGCGGGTTGACGGCGGAGAGCTGATAAGGCGCAAGGCATGGTGGAAGCCTCTGGTGCGAGTTGATAGACAGGGGGAGCAGCCACGGGCGCAGCAATAGTTCCGGGAAGCTAGGGGAGCTACCCGCTTTCGGCGAACCATGGGTGGGCCGTACATGGTGAACCCGGCCGTGTGTGCTGGCCACGCGTGCGGGAGCCAGCAATGGGCGGTGGCTGGGCTGTGGGGAGGTTGTTGTCTCTGACTCGCAGTGCTAGCGCGGCGTGCCCGTCATGGCCGATGTTTTCGAAACGTCGTCTGTGTTGCTAGGACTTTGGCTTCTGGGTCGTGAGTGAGCAGAGCCATGCCAACCTTTGGAAGGTATGTAGAGCTTGCAAGCTCAACAAGAGGGGGACGGGCGTCGGCGGCGCATCTGCCAGCCAATAGGGAAGGGGCGAGGCAGACGTGCTGCATCTGAAACGACACTCGACTCCGCAGCTGCAGCAGCCGACGATCTTTGAGCCTGCACGCATCAACTCTCGAGGCTGCGCTTAGGCATGCACTGGCAGAGTTAAGCATCGTCATACCACTATGCAACTTGTGCTACCATAGTATTCCATTCCAGCGCATCTTGCTGAAACCAGCTACACGTACCACTGTTCCCACACACACAAACACCAGCAAGCAGGAAGGCGGGCGGGCAAGCATGCTTGGGCGCCGTCAAGTGTTTGCATTCCTCCGGCTTGGGCAACAAGACCTGGCGGATGCATGTCCGAAGCACGCAAGGGAACCGTCGGGAGGCGCCATCCCCGACATCGATCTCGGACATTTGCCCACTCGGCCAAGGTGCGCCACGAGCAGCAGGTCTTGGGAAGGTAGCGCTGTGAAGAGACATGGTCCCTGGCCAACATGGTCTCATGCCTGGCGCCTCGCAGTGACACAAACCAAGGTTCCGATCATAATCCCCCGGGTTATGACCCGGGCCACATTAAGCACGGAAACAAAATCCACGCTCGCCGGCGACACGCACGTAACAAACGGTCAGAGACTGGTCACCTCGATCACGCATCGTCGATCGCAAGGCCCCCCCCCCCCCGGGCGATACGACCCCACTCACTCCCTCGAGATTGCGGTCTGCTCCGTCACAGCAGCGCCATGGTCGATAACCTGTTCTTGCGTCACAGCTCCTACAGTCATCTACTCTCGGATGTGTGTGAAGCATGCAAGTCAACCAGACGTGGACACTCTCGAAACCACGGTCGCTCCGCAGACGTGGGGCGAGTCGAGCGTGAATGCGCTTCTCGGCAAACTGTGAGTGAATGCTCAGTCAGCACTTGGAACTTTGATATGTTCGGAGCTGGAGCAAGCTCCGGTCTTCAGCAAGGGTGGGAGCTACCAGGGCTTGCCTTCTCCGCCTGTTGCAAGACGTGGGGTAACAGCAGGCGCCGAGTCTTGCACTCCCATGTGACGAACCACACTCGTTGTGCACGCCGATGCAGTGGTCGTGAGCTCAAAGTTGGTGGCATCTCTACTTGATTCGACACAGCCATCCTCGTCACCGATGTCCAAGCCTTGGCATTCCCATACAGACGTCCACTTCTCGAATGCATTTCTCACTTCGGCCGGACGTCGGCTTAAGAGCAAGATATGCCCTCCTGAGAGGCCAAACACGAATCTGGCAGTGCTCCAAGCAACCACTAACTGGGACTTGAGTATGCGCACCAAAGCGTTGTGGTCGACGGCCTATTTGTTCGATACGTCCGATTTGAACCCATGCGGAGGCCAACAAAGGTAGTATGACTCGCGCTGTCCATTTTGCCCTGTCAGGTCTCGACAAGGCTGAAATGGGCCGAATGATATCCCTTCAGTCTCATGGCTGCACTTCACCTTGCTCTACCTGCTGCGGACGGTGCGCAGGTTAACATGAAAAGTCGCTAGTATAAAAAAAGAAACCCTGAAATGGCGTCATACATGTCAACCGCGGTGCTTCTACCAAAGTCCGGCCCCGTAGGATTCGTTGTGCAGAGGCAAGCCGTGGAGCGTACCTGGATCGTATCGAGCTCAATCAAGCGTCAGGCACGAACCAGGGCTAATTGCCTGTCTCCAGGCGATTCGCAGGCCCGATGAGGCTGGAGCATGGGGTAATAAGGTCCGCCAAGTGGTCACACGTGGCTCGAATGAGAGGTTGATCTTCGGGGCTACTGCTCCGGTCTTTCACAAGCAGGTTGATGGGGGCTCCTCCATAACATTCATTATAACGGTCATCGCGCAATGTCTAGCCTATCACCAACCTCGAGGATAGATCTCTCACATCGAGGGACGCTGGGTTTTAAAGAGCTTCGCGAGTTCCAGGCCGTAGATTGTTTGGTGACTTTAGCTGATATCTGTGCCGACATCTCTTGTACTATTCCCCCGTTTTGAAGCTGAAGCTAAAATGACAGCCATGGTTCGCTTTGGAAAGGCCATTTCGAGGATTTTGACAACAGGGACTGACGGCCTGATCATAGCATAGGAGCCACTGATATTGCAACCCACAGTGATATTCTAGCCTGTGAAGCTTGCTACCCGACGAAGGCTTCAACGGTGAAGTCGTTTTTCTCATGTGCTAATAGTGATAATAATGGTGCTTTCTCACAACTTTCACCACGATGCCTTCCAAATACTTGCAAAGCTTGGACTGTGGAAGATTGGTGTGGTTGTTGCACATCCGTCTTGTGATCTTGTCTTCATATATCTTCACGTCGTGCTCATTGGTGGCTGAATCTCGGTCTGAACCATTCTGGTATCATTACAGGAAACATGCGAGGATAGACCTTCTTTGGCTCGTTTCAGACAATGGCATTTATATTAGGGTGATGGACTTTGAAACCATATGCCACGGTTCCCGTCTGGGAATGGGTTCAAGGTCATCGAGTGAGGCACTGTGTCGCAAGAGAAGGGGGTTCGTCATGTGTCCTCTGAGGTCAATAATTTTCGTGTTGCATGCTCGTGGGACTAGCCAGATAATTCAAGCCATACGAGGTTGCTCTGGTCGACAGCGCTCAAACTCAAACACAACGTCATGCTCATGAAAAACTCCTTCACTAGATGACACCATGATACTTGCCTCGAGGTTCTAGTTGTCTCGTATCTATCCTCTCGAAATGATATTGAGCATCAACGCCGCGATTCGGGCAGTATCTCTGCGAAGCATGGGAGTAGAATCTTGATGATGTCTTCTTCATTCGTCCATGATGCTGGAAACGAGATTGTAGAAATCCTTCATATAACCGGAGGAATACCAGGGAGCTCGCTCGCTGCCCGCTTTGACAAAGGTGTTCCTCCCCATTTCAACCTTATAATCTGATTCGACCGTCTCCACATCCCGTCGTCTCTGCCCTGTTGCACTGCAAGGGGTTGTGACCCAGAAGTATGGTGATTCTCGACGTTGACGAGCTTGTCCCAAGCTACTACCACCGTCTCGATTGACTGCAGTATCGTTGTATTTGACCCTGCACTAAGGTATTACGGAGCTGGGACTACGTTGACTGTGTATAGCGTAGTGTTTGCATTTCAAAACACTGACGCTAATACGCCAGTCTTATCGTGGGCACGTCGGGTCACTTCTTAGCTCTTAGCTCTCCATGTTGAGGATATCCGAGATTGCTCGTTCAACGCTCCGACACCTCGCTACCAGAGGGGTGAAGAAGGCGATGAATGGCACGTCATGTGGATTCGCTTGTTTTGTCCAACATCAGGTCTAGAGATTTGACGGCAGCCGACTATTATTTCTCCAAGCAAAGCATGGAGACGGTCGTTCCTGAGGCAACAGGACTAGCGGGTGAGTCATGGCTGTCTGCTGCATATTTGGGACTGGTCACAGACTGACAGACTGACAGAATACATGTTTGGACAACGGGTTACTGGGTGCTTCGAATCACGACAGCATGCCCCTATCATTCCCCGATGACGTAGGTGCATCCTTCAGAGCCGATCCAGACCTCATGACGCCTGCCAGCATCGACGTCTATCCTGTCTCCGACGGAGAAGGACTCCTTCTGCGGGGTGGCATCGTCGGGATACGTTATTGTCAACCCGCCTCGGAGGATGAGGTGAGTTGTGAGGCCTCGGTGTGTATGTGGGCTATAGTGGGCGTTCCTGCAGACCCGGGTAGCAGACTGGTCAACTCGGTATCCAAGAAGAAGGACGTCACTGTGACCAGAGCCACACCGTGAAGAAGAATAAGAGAATGAAAAACCTACGGGCCATCGGTCCACGTGAAGACATGGCTGAAACCCCATGAGCGGACCTGAGCCTCGGGGTCTTTGGCCAGTGGCTCGTGCTGTGGCGAGGAGGACGGCATGGCTGCTGCGTGAGACCAGTCTCGGTGTGACAGTAAGGAATGAGGGCTGTGCTGCAGATATGCTTTGTTGTCTCTGTCGGGCGCCGTCGTCGGTCGTCGAGAATGGCAGAAGGCGTGGACAGAGTGACGTCGGCGGAGCGTGCTGGAGGTGCCACAGCCCCCCGGAGTCTCCGCTTTGGGACGGGCAGCGCCTTCCGCACTGGGGCTGCTCCAGGGGAGAGCACCTGGGCGGTGGAGAAGAGCTGAAGGACGGTGGCAGCAACCTGCACGCACCAATACCACCCTCTCGCATGCTCCCTGTCTTGTCGTCGGATTCCACCGCAACCACACACGTCGACACCAATCAAGCCCATCTCATCTGCTGGCCTGGGGCTGAGCGAACAGCCCCGGGCGTGTTCCATGCCACGCGAGACTCGTCCCTATTGGCTGCTAGCGCCATGCGTGCCCATTGTTCGACGCCGCGCCATGGCTACAGAGTTCAACCGCCGCAGGTTCTGGCGTGTTATTGTCTCTGGAGCTGACAGCAGATCATCAGCTTCGAGGGACAATGGCACGTCAGCCATCTTTGTCTTGGGTCTCGCTGTTCGCCACACGATACTCAGGAGCCCATCTGGTCCTGGTCTGTGAGCTGCGTACGGGTCCTTCCACTGCAACACGATGGGATCGTCCTCGTTGCGGGTGGGCCAGCAGGAGCGCGACGACCGGGTTGTGCACCCGGAGGCACCGCCAGCCCTACCGCATTTGCGCAACAAGCCCCGGCCTGGCCAGGTGGGCATGGGCGGCGGACCAGGGCCGTCGTGGTGGGACGGGCCTTGAAGTTTGTTTCTGTGGTCCAGAACGCTCAACTAATGCGCGTCCTCCCAGCTGCATGGTGTCCCATCTTGGGGGCTAAGCCCCTCGAGCTGCATGCGCTAGACACAATCCCTGCCTCTGCTTACGCTTGGCTTCGGCCTCGGGGTGCTTCGAGCTTGCACCCGCAATCGTCGTCCTTTCTTCTCGAGATTCTCTTCGCCAGCGTCGGTTCCAGTCTCGTCTTTGCTCATACCACTCAGGCCACCAGTCACCCTCACGTCTGGCTTGCTGCTTGGCTGCCGTTCCCTTTCTCGCCGACCCGAAGCGAAAACGACGACTCATTAGCAGCTCGCCCGAAGTCGTCGGAGGCCAGCCCCAGCACGGTTCTCAATGGCTGCGCGACGGCTTGATCATACGCTCTAGGGTTGTCCAACATGTGCTTCACAGTACGTTCCATGCTTTCGGCTACTTGGAGCCGGTCCAGCACATGGTCGGCAGCATGCTTTTGCATGGGATACCCCAGAATGTTTCCTGCTGCATGAAGTACTCTTGCTAACGTAGCTTGCTCCAACACAGATGCAAAAGTCCAGAGACCCTGCGCAGCCGACCAAACTCCGCCGACGACTTACCGCGAACGCCCAGAATGCCGGCCACTCAATCATCCAGCTCACTAGAGCTATCAGCCTTGGGTTCTTCCCGTCTCCGACTGTGATCCACCTCGGGAACCGAGCAGACATCTATCTGAGCGCAGCGATTCAGAAGCACCTTCGGAAGACCTACGATGCTTGCCGGAACGGGCAGCCCTTGGTCACAAGGGAACAATTCCAAAAATTCCTCGATGGGACACAGGGCGAGGCGATGCCGAAGCTCACGGAGCAGAAATACACCTTCGAAAAGTTCCTCGAGCTGCTATGGCTGGACTTTGGCGTTGACGCGATGAAGCCGAGCCCGGCGGCAGAGAAGGACCTGTCTTGGCCGATGAGCAATTACTTCATCAACAGCAGCCACAATACATATTTATGGGGCTTCCAGCTGTTGACAAAGGGCACGACGAATGCATATCGTCGCGTGTTGCAGAAGGGCTGCCGCTGCGTCGAGATTGACGTCTGGGATGGCGACAAGCCACTCCCGACTGGAGACCAAGTGCAGGGCAACCGCCCGCCATCGCATCGCCGCGGTTTCTCGGGGAGTAGCATTCACAGTGCAGCAGCCCAAGTAAAGGGAACCGTGTCACGGGAGATTGAGAAGAGACGAGAGAAGCGAGGCATGCCTAAGCAGCACAGCCACAGTCCGAGGTGCAGCCAATTCGATAGCTTCGCGACCCTACAGCCCGCCGGGACGAAAACCAGTTCCGATATCGATCAGCTGTCCGTCAAATCGAGATCCTTTCCCCGGCACGAGCCCATTGTCATGCATGGGTACTACGACTACCAGCTCACGGAGCCTGTAGGCTTCCGCGAGGTGTGCCAGACGATTAGAGAAGAGGCTTTCAAATCGACAAATCTCCCTTTAATTGTCAGTCTTGAGGTGCACGCCCGAGCTGAGCAGCAAGAGGTCATGGTCCAGATCATGAAGCAGGAGTGGAAAGATCTGCTCGTGGATGCACCACTAGATGGGTTGCCCAAGCATCAGATGCCACGCCTGTGCGATTTGCAGAGGAAGATACTCATAAAAGTGAAAAAGTCGGCCTCTTTGGGAGAAAGCACAAACTCGTCTTTGATGCTCCCGCCAGGCAGCCCAGGGCTCAACGACGATGGATCCATATCTGACGGTGAACGGCCCGCACCTCCGACAACCCGGAAGACCAAGATCTGTGATGCTCTTGGATCGCTGGGCATCTACACCCACAGCGAGCATTTTGACAAGTTTGAGGCGGCATCCTCCAAGGTCGCATCTCACATCTATTCGCTTAGTGAGAAGCAGATCATCGACTTGTACACTACGAAGCACAAGGAAATGTTTGCCCACAACCGGAATTTCTTCATGCGTGCATATCCTAAGAGCATGCGGGTAGACTCATCAAATCCTGACCCGGCCAGCTGCTGGCGAAAGGGCGTCCAGATGGTCGCGCTGAACTGGCAATCGTGTGATGAGGGCATGATGCTGAATACCGGCATGTTCGCGGGAGAGGACGGCTGGGTGCTCAAGCCTGCAGGTTACCGCAGCACCGACGCCTGCATCTCGCAATACGATGCCATCCCTGCGAAGACACTGGAGCTCTTTATCACGGTCTTCGCTGGCCAGCATATTCCTCTGCCAGAAGACATGAAGCCCAAACACACAAAGCATTTCCGTCCTTTCGTCAAGTGTGAACTTCACGTGGAGAAGCCCGAGGAGCGCCCCAGTGAGGCGATGGACGCCGATTTCAGACCCCGTGAGATCGACTACAAACAGCGGATTGACCATGGAAAGACGGACCATCCCGAATTCCTGCAGAACAATATTCTCCGGTTTCAAAGCATTCCAGGTGTGGTAGAGGATCTAAGTTTTGTCCGGTACGTTTCACCAATCTTGGGGGTGGTCTGCGCCTACTAGACCTTCTACATTGCAAAAAGTGCTGACGAAGCCTCTTTCTCAACAGGTTCAAAGTCGAGGACGATTCGCAGCGGTGGTCCTTCCAGCGCGATGGTGTGGCGGCGTGGGCGTGTATTCGCTTGAGCCGACTTCAAACAGGGTATCGCTTCATCGACCTCTATGACATGCAAGGCAACAAGACGGAAGGCAAGCTCTTCGTCCTGGTACAGAAACACCTGCGTTAAAGACCCACCCACACCGGGCATTGTCAGAGCCCGCGTGTTATCAATCTAACGTCCTCAATCGTCGGACCCCCAAAGTGGTGTAGTCCCAGGCATGGACGATTTCATCTGATTGATCTATGCCTGAAATATGTTTCCTACTCCCTGCTGTACATCATCCCTTTTGTATTGTCATTATCTGACGGAGGTGCTCCCCGGTCACAACACATATACCCACGACGCTGTTGTCACATTTCCTTAAGTTGCTGCAGTTTCTGATTTGGATTCAAGCCAGCCATAGCATAGCGAAGTCTTTTGACCAATGTATCATTGAATGTTCTTCGAGAGGACTGCCACCGCCGGCTCATACGTGAATAATTGACCTCTGTGCTTGCCATGTTCAATGAAAGTTTAGTAAAAGGGTGACGCATACCTGCACACACGGAGGCTTCATCAAGGAAGGGGATGCTCTCACATGGTCGCACAAGCACCAAAGCTCGCTTCGAAATGCGCACTACATCTAAGCGATCGCCCGCATCACGTGCGCCTCATTAGTGTTGAGGTAACACGCACGCCAACACGGCATCTTCCGCTCGTCAGGGCCCGTTGCTCGCAAGGACCCCTATATCGTGTGGTCCTCACCGTCATGGATTCGCACTCCCCTTTCCCCTCCCCCCCTCCCCCCCTCCCTCCCTCCCTCCCTCTTTGGGCAACCCCCTTGTTCAAACTTTCTTCTGCCTTCTTGGAGTGGGCGGCTGCCCGCAGGCTACCGGGGTTGCGTGCCGCGTTGATCAGCTCTCTTTGTCGGCGGTGGTGCGGTAATATCTCGAATTCCAAGGCGAATATGATCTTAGTGTGGTTCCCGTGCTAGTCTCATATGGTATGGTAAATCCCGTCGCTGTTTGGAGGTAGAGAAACTCGGTCCCGATCCCACCTCCCCTCCATGCGTGCCCTTCAGCCGTAAATGCGGTGGGTGGTTCGAGGAACATGTCGTTCGACTGGGGACGGCCCGTCACTAGTCAAAGTAAAAAGAAGCACCCTGCTTTCCACTCGCCCGTTGCTTGGCGCGGGAACTACGTAGATCCTGCAGAGTGGCCCATGCGTATATGGGGAAAGAAGAAAGCAACCTGTACCGAGAACAAATGCGGTGCTAGCTCTCGCCAATCCAGGACCCTGCCGCGGGTCGTCAACCCACTTGCTGAATTGAGCTCGCGTTGGACCCTGGATGGTCACGATCTGGGGATCAACCGAGAACGACATTATTGTGTGTCTCAAAAGTTCTATTGTCTCACCAGGTTCACGCGCAGAAGTGGGGTTTAGTATCCTCCTTCCAGGACTTCGAACTCGTATGGTGGCCGCCTGGCACTGACATCCTGCATGTTTCATCGATTTCGGCAGACGGTACACTGGAGACTGACACGGCCATGCTATCCTGTCGCTGCCGTAAAATAAGTCCTAACCAGGTTGCCAATGTCAAGGTAAGCGCCAGACACAGGGATCGCCCACGGTAGCGAGCCATACCTGATGCTTCGTTGTGGGCTTGAATTAATACACGCCGTGGAACACGGCCGGAGGGTCCCACCCGGATCAATGTGGTATTAGAGGGTTACAAAGGAGTCCGGCAAGCCTCAAGTACCACTTGACAGCAAGTCGTTTCTTTCTCGATAATCCCAGCTCATATCATGTTAGACATATGCCGGGGCAAGAAACTATTGATGCCCATACTTGGCTGTTGTGGGAGCTGCCCCGGAGATCTCTTGGTTGGAGAGCTCAGTTGCAGTTGAACGAGTGTGGCATAATAATATGATAGATTGGAACCAATGTTGCGACTTTTGTAGAAAAAGAAAGATGAATGATCTGTGAGCGGTCGACCTCGAAAACGCATGCGATTGTGTCTCACTTCGTCCTGCCAGCTGCCACGCCTTGTGCTCAGCAGGCATGTGAAGAGGAAAGCGCCTGGCAGGCAGGCATAACTCCTGATGCGAGACTCCAGAGACCCTCTTTTGAGCACCGAGTCTGCCCGTCATCGTCTTCTTTGCGAGCTCATGGCTATGCCAGTCCGGGGCGGAGTTAACGGAGCATTGCAACTCCGCAGCGATGCATGTCAGTTATTGGCCCAAAGCGGTAATAGTCTATTGGCCAATAGCGTTGTGCATAGGCCAGGAAGACTTTCCGCTTCTAGAGCTTGATATGGGACACGACGAAGAACACCAACCCCTCATGCGCTTCACTTTCTCATTGCGGAAGGTCTCAATGATGGCTGCAGAGGATATACCGGACCTGGAGAGCAGAATTGTGTACTTACGTGGGTCTTCCGGCTGGTGGCTGAGGCTTAAGCACGCGGGCAAAGGCGAGTGAGCTTTGAACCGCGTGAATGGCGTGCCTCGATGCTGAAATTGGTCATGATCGCGTTCCGATGCGCCCTTAGTATGGCAGGACATGGATTCTGTCTCAGCCGCGTACTCGTTAGACTTGGACAAATCCGCAGCTCGATATGGAAGCGAGCCGCAGCTGAACCTGCTCACGGCGTCGAGCGAACCCCGCGAGCTGTTTTGTAAGCCTCTACGATTGGGTTGTGGGTATCGCTGGTCTCTGGCCTGAGTGAGACATGCGAATGAGTCGGTTTGTCAGGTCCGTGCTGTCCAGGGAGCGCATTTTGTGATATGTCATATGCACGTGGCCCGCTGACTACCTAGGCGCATGCGAGCTTGGAGAAGAGCGGCCTCCATCCTGCGCGATGCTGGTTTTGAACCTCCATTCGGAGAAACGGAGCCACATCATCATACAATGTTGCTTGCCAGCGGTGAGTGTCATATCGATCGCCAGCTCTAGTAGTACGCAGACGAGAAGCAGTCCTTGAAGTGTAACAGCAGGTGAGACATTGCATATCTGGAATGGCATTCTGCCGAGGCATGATGCGTCAATGTTCAGGGTTGTTTGATCCGGAGCCGCCCTAGGCTCAGCTCGCCAGAACAGTCGGATATTGAATGCTTTGTCGCGACATGACGACGATGACATTTTGTCTAGTTGCACGTCAAGGAGGCAGTGTGTCCGAGGCGATGGCTGCAGTCGTCCGATGAGGCCGGGGCACGAGCAGCCACATGCAACCATGCCGTGGAATGGCAATTAATGCCCCGATGCAGGCTGCCGCCCTCCCGCTAGTTCGCCTAGTGGCACTCAGAGCTAGGTATCCGCATGGATGCCGTGTGCGGCCACGGATCTGCACAAGGTCACCTGCAGATCCATGCTTTGCAGATCTACCGGCAGGTCGTACCGTGGTGGCAGCTTGCGAGCCAGGTCGACCCCTTCGGCTCGGTGTTGGCCCGGGCGATGCTTGGCTAGCGGGACGCGACTTGACGGGGTGCCCTGTCGAGGGGATGATGCATATCTGCATATTGAGGTATCATGGAGCGGTCATCAAGTTGGCGGCATGCGACGCTCGCCCATTGCGAGATTATGCGGGAAGATTTGGTAGTTCCGTGTTATCGCAGGCCGACTTGTGCTTCTGCGGACCGACTGTTTCAGGGGATACAAGAGGGCGGGTGGCATAGGCAAGACGTCGTGGGAGGTTGGCTGGCCCGTTGCTGCTCTGCCACAGCGTGTAATCGAGCTGGCCGAGGGAATCTGTCGTCCTGTTGTTGGTCGGGGGCGGTCATGTGGCGTACCTAAGGTACGTAAGGAATGCAGCCCCGATGCGATGCGCCTGTGCAGCCAGCCATGTTGAGGGAGGAGCGTGGGGATGTGGTGTCGAGGTTGCACCTGCCTGCTGGCCGAGGACGGGCCACCACCATACCATGATACCAGACCTCTGGCGATGGCAAACGTGGCCTCCTGGGCGTCTTCGCCAGATACTGACAGATGCACGAGTCGCTTCGCTCGCTCGGGGAATCCTCGCCCAATTCCAAACAGCCGGGTCCGGCGACATGGCCATCAGCACGATGTCACCTTGCAGACCTGTCACATGCAGCAGACACACAAACACCACCAGCATGACAAGTGACGGCCTCTTCTCACCGGTCGTGGACAGCCCGTCTCATTCAGGCAGGCGATGCCAGTGCCGTCCAATATCTACGGTAGCCTGTTTGCTTTTCCCCTGGCAGGTGGGTGGGGGGAGTTCCTTGCCAGCACGCCGCTTGCATGGGCAGTTTTGAGACGACAACCCAGCGTCTCTGCCCCCGGCAGCGCGATCCAGTTGCAGCCAGCTTAGTGTCAGCCCGTCCGTCTTCGCCAGCCCGAACCCAGGATCAGGGTTCTCCAGGGAATCACGGGGCCGAGGGGTGGGCGGTGGCCCTCTGGTCGGCACACCGCGAGTATCAGCCTCTCCGTATGGTGCTCATGCCGTCCATGGTACCATGGCCGGCGACATGCCCGGCACCACGTGAGACTTGGCGCCTTCAGGACTTCCAAGGTCGGGCGAGCGGCGTGTGCATTTGTTTTTCAGATCTCAGTCAGTATGTATTGTCCCCAGGCACACGGCAAAAGATGACAGGTCGTCTGCAACCTTGACAGGAGCCGGCGCCCTCGCGCTTCGAGCAGGGCTCGCGCTTCCAACGTTTGGGCAATTATTTCTGTCCTCTGTTGCGTTTCGACGAGTTATTCTGAAGGGCCCTGCCTTATCCGTGGTTTGCTAGCCCGCCCTTCCGTCCCCGGGGCCCTCGTCCTCACGGATCCGGGACGTCATACGGCCCATGCCGCAAAGCACCAACATCGGTAGTCTTTTGTGATTATTCACTTTCGCCCGTCCACTCGCGCCAGAGCGAGCTCTCAATCTATCGCCGAGGCGGCCCCTTTGCTTTTTCCCACTGTCCCATCTGCCAGTCCATATCGCTAGCGGGATTCCCCGCTCCCACTTGTGGTCCCCGATCTGATGATCCAGGGCTTGAATGGCCGCTTGGACAGAGCTGAACATAACCACGTATAAGTATCGTGGCGCTCGCTTTCATCTCATGAACCGGAACGATTTCCTCTGTCCCATCCAACAACACCAGCACGAAGCTTTCCATACCCCACCAGCATTCAGAACGGTCACCCTGCAAGTCTTGCCCTCGCTCTTCAAATCCGCCCATCAAGATGGTTGCAGTGTGCTGTGCGTCTCAAATGGCGAAGCCTCAGGCAACCAACCGCCAAAAGTCAGAGAGCACTCGCTGCGATCTCGTGAACGAAGCAACTGTGCGTGTCACACAAAGTCCAAGGCCATGCCGCAAAACGTACAGAAGGCTGACTTTTCCCTTTCACAGGCTCCCGGAAAGCGTTGCCCGACGTGCACGGATTTGGTGTGGGTGTTGCCTGGCCGCTGTTGCCCGCACTGCGGCACATATGTTGGCTAAATGCCCAGCACGGAAGAGGCTGTAAGTGGATGCCAAACGGCTGGCACGGGAGGTGCTGGCCACTTCGTGATAGGCCTGTTGGCGGACTTTGCTGACGAAAGTGGTAGGGCTTGCGGGGCACGCAGTCAAGGGGTCATGGTTCGCCAGGGAGATTGCCGATCCTCACTCATGCACACCTGAACTATCACATCACTCAGCTCATACATAGTTGTCGAGTGCAGAGACAAGGGCAGGGTCTTCCCTGTCACGCGAGCCTGCGAGCGCGCTAGCGACTCTTGCTGGAGCTGACTGCGATGGATGTCGGGGTTTGCGCATTTCGAAGCATCGGTTACCCGGATCGCTGGGCCCAATAATTACACCAAACCCTCACAGTCGGCAGAGGGCGTCTTGACATTACCATGGGACCTCGATTCATTGGGGCGGGACACGGCGTTTCTGGATACTTTTCAACATCCGTTTTCTCCACACGCGTCCGATTCTTTCTCTCTACTTGTTGCATTTCAGAAGGAGGTTTAAACCGGCACCGTCATCATGTATGGACTTGGGCTATTTTGCATGGGCCGGACGGCTAGCATCAGGCTTGGGATTTCGCATTGGATATTTATTGCATTGGTCTCGCGATTGATTCTCCTACACTATTGACACCATTATACAGCATGCCTCACTGGACCAGGTCGGTTTGTGAGTGGCTGAGCTTTCCGTTACAACTTGATTATGCTTGCATCCACCGATTACCGCCGCGTCCAGTTCAATCGCATCGGGTCACTGAAGCAAAAGTTCTCGCAACATGGCGGTTGCCCAGATCCGTTGGACAGGCTCCCTTTTGCCCTGGGTATATCGATACTCGACGGTTGAGGACAGGCTCTTTTGCTCAGGCAAGCCGTGGCTCCGTGACCATCGAACCGACGAAAGCGCGGCAATCCTGCCGCCAATCATGTCCGACTTGCGTTGACGTCCTGCACCAAAAACGCCACACTTGCCAGCGTGTGACCCCCCCTTGACGTGCATCGCCAGAAATTCTACAGCGATGGGAAACGCTGACTGATCCTTCCCCACTTCCTGCTGGCTGTGTGTACTGCGGCTGCTGGTGCTGCTGTCATGCTTCATTGGATCCTGCAGACGTCTGGGTAGGCACTCGTGAAATCGTCGTGCACCAAGGCTCTCTTCAGGTATGCAGGGATGAGGTCGGGATGGCCTTGAGAAGGGAGCGTGTCGCATTCTAACCACAGCAGACGTACTTCTTCACTAAGTAGTTTTTATGTATGCCCATGTCGTGCGCGCGCAGACAGCTGCGCCGCCAAACACGTGGTGGTATTCAGGGGGGATGGGGGAGCGGTGGGGGGGGGGCCCACGAGGCGAGACACAGAGTCGAGGAAAGGCATGACAAGCAAGATTACTTGCTGGTCCTTCTGCTGCAGCTGCGCGCGACGTGTCACAAACCTAAGATTCCTCAGGGGGTGGTGAGGAAACCACTGTAATATCGTGCAGTACCGCCACATGTGTGGAGGGACAAGGGGGACAGGGAGGGGGGGTCCTGGCATCGCGCTTTCGCGTGACAGAAAACGCGGATCTGACTGGGGGCGGGGGGCATGGACGGCGCTGTCGGCTACAGGTTACGGGAATGCCAGAAATATGGTTTGGACGGGAACTCGTCTCGAGTCCTCTTCTCTTGGTGAAGTTTTCAATGCTTGCTTGCTTTTTTCCCTCTGCCCCCGCCCCCTCCCCCCCCCCTCTCTCATCCTTCCTCTGCCGGCTTGAGGCTGGCCATGTAACCCTCCATCTGTCTGATGTGTGCACTTCTCGGGAGGGGCGGCCCCTTGCCTCGTTGTTTTCGAAGATGCGTTTTCGAAACTGGTGTCTCTCGCGAGAGTTGGGGGGGGGGGGGGGGGGGGGGGCCTCCGCGTTCTCCAAGCCGTATCCGGCTCCGGGGGGTCGGCTCTGCCTCGATAAGCGAGTGAGAACAGCGGCGGAATGTCAAAGACTTCCTAGTACGGTTCTATCGAGGGGTCCTTTGGTGAGCTCTCACCGTCGGTGAATCAGATCACCAAAAAATCCGACCCTATAGTTGTGAGGGTCACCAAGTTGGCCAACCCGTCAGAGGTACATGTAGGATGAACCACAAACACTGTTGACAGAACTCTTCGTCTGGAGCTGGGTCAGCGTGCTCAAATTCTTAAACAACCACTGTGCCCCACCTCCAGCTTCTTGCTATGGACGCAGTGACAAAACATTGCTGAGGGATGCAATGCCTTGCTTTTTGTCGCAAGACCTGAGGACTTCTCGAGATCTGGAACAAGACGTTTCTGCAGCACTGCTTTGCCCATTGGAACCCCCTGGCACTAGAGGGCCGGGCAATTCCTCAGACATCCCAGACCTTCCCAGAGCTGTATCAAACACCACCAGCCCGGTAGAGAAGAAGAAAAGAAAAAAAAACGTATGCAAGGTCTTGTATGGAGAGGAGATGGCCCCCTCCACCTATAGTGGTGGACATAAGGATATCTCTATCCCTGTCTCCCTGGTCACATCTGTGCCAATCTTGCTGCTGCTTGCTGCTACCTGCTGCTGCAGCCTACCTGCACACAACCCGCATATGCAGGAGCGCACGTGTTATGTCCACCCACACACGGTGATCGAGTCGGAAAAATTGAGCAGCGGATGGGGAGATGGCGGAAAAAAAGAAAAGAGAGAAAAGAGACACAAGGGTGCGGTCCTACATCTATAAGGGGTAACCCCAGAACCGGTCAGAAACGTACTGGTACTTCTAACTCTATACACGAGTTAACAGATTGATCGCACAAGTCGATGTAGCCGAGACTCGCCCCGGGTTTCGGGCGAAAGGATCTCAAAGGGAACCACTCGAAATCTTGTCGGTCTGAAGGATGCCCCTTTTGCTTCTCCTGGTTACAGAACAGCACTGCCAGCCAAGCACAATGCACATAGCGCGCAAATGTTTTATCTGTAATCCTTAAGAACTCTCTCTATGTCATTCCGGATCCCTCGTCTCACTTTTTTGGAAACACGTGCGATGCGAGATTATCTTACCCGTCAGCCAGTTCGCTCTCTGCTTCTCAAAAGTCCGCTCGGGAAGGGAGGGGGTCCAAGTCTATGGAACTCTGTCACCTGCAGCGCACGACGATGCGGGTGGCAGGGCAGCCTGGCCGTTCTGGGTCAGAAGTGGATCGCAATCGCGAGCGATCAGAAGCGATCGTAAGCGATCGGACGAGGACAACAAGACTGTCGATCAGGTGACATGTTGTTGAATCGGGGAGATGAATAGCATCAGACCTGAGGTTATCCTGGCGACGGGGCGCGATAATAGGAGAACTCGCCGATAATAATAGCATCACTTTCTTATCCGGGCAGGAAAACGGAGGAAACAGCTGAACGGTCTTCAATCTCGATAGTGGTGGTACATTGCCTGGTGGATTAGGCCACCTATCTTGCGCGAACAGAATTAAGGATTTCGTTTCAATTTCTGGAAATAAAAAAACCCAGCAAATGAAGAATATGCCCAAAAATTCAAAGCAATTCCTTCTAAGCACCATTCCCGTACAAATACTAGAGGGACGATTCGATTCTCAAGTATTTATTCTGTTTCAAGATATTGACTGAACCTGACTGCCTCTGTGTCCAAAATATATGCCTTGTTCTGGTCACCAAGCGACTGAAGAAGTCCGAGAGTCGCGCACTCTGAGAGAGCGTACAGCCCCACTGGCCCAACCTCTCAGCACCACAACGACACAAGCACGGGGGGCACTTACAGGCACAACATTACGGGCCTCGCTCCAAGCCGCCTTTTATGTTTTCAGACTATTCAACAACTCCATCCGCCACAGCGAAGTACACACGGACACGCAAAGCGGGCCTGACATGTCCTCCTACACCATTGTCTGGTCTCCTCCCAGGGACGACAGTCCCCCTACCTACTTCCACAAAGGAGAACCCCCCCCCCCCCCCCAGGGGACGGTCCGCCGTGGAAAAGCAGCCCTCTCAGGCTCTGTCAGAGCCCCTGGTCTCTCGCCTTTCTCATGATGGGGCAATTGAGCTTTGAGCCACCCGCGGGGGGGCATGCCAAATGCTACACAGTTAAATATTTGAATCTAGCCACTCAATAGTGCTTGCATCGTCACAGAGTCGTCCCACACGAGCACAGAATGGGCTGGCATGGCGACACCACTCAGAGCGGCATTGTGTACTCTGTTCATTCCATATAGGGGCGAGAGCATGCTGATAAGGCCCGCTCCGGGCAGCCTCAGCCGGAACCGGAATCGGAGCCGAGCCTGTTCGATCCCATCCGGCGCTCCGCATGCAGACTCACGTTCGAGCCAGGACGCCTCTGTACATAAACCCAATAGAAGAGTCGATTTCGGGACAGAGTTTAAAATATAGCCAAAATAGCATTATGAGCTCTAGAGAGTAACCACGCCACGAGGCCGGTGAGCCACCAGTAGCAAAGTGGATGTAAGATGTAAAAAAAAATAAAGGTCGAAAAAAATAGAAAGACAAATCATGTTTTGAACAGGTTGAATGACCCAGGGGCAAAATAGAAACAACCAATAACCCCACGAGAATTATAGGATCACGAGATGGACCCGAAACCCCTCACTTCCAACGGTGGGCCCTTTCCCATCTTCTCTCTCTCTCTCTCACTCTCACACCACCCATGCTTCAGCGCCGCGAACAGTCGCTCGTCTGCCTCACAAAAGGCATCCCTTGCGCGCGTCCGATGCGAAAAATGGGGATACTATCTCTTGCCAGAGATGGCCGTGATCGTGACTCGTGTGTCTCGCCTTCATAACTTCATCGTAAGACCAAAGCCAAGACGGCGGGGCCGCGCAGCTTGGACTGATTCGGCGTTCAAAAAGAGCGCATCTACAAGTCCGAGTCGGGCAGGAAGGTGAGCGAGCCGGCAATCCACGACTTGACCGTGGTGCTGCAGATCTCGCCGCTAGGGGTCGGGCAGTCGGTGATGTACAAGTCATCGCCACGGGGGATGCCAATGGGGTACGCGCAACCGGGGTCAACGGGCTGGAGCACACCGCCCACGCAGAGGTCGGCTGTTGGTACTGTTAGCATTTCCATATCCAGACGTACCACGTGAAGATTTATACATACCGTCAATGGCCTCAAGAGTCGTGGAAGTGCAGTCGGCAGGGTACTCGGGGTCGAGGGGGCTGACGAAGGTCAGGTAGAGGGTGCCGGCAGGGGTTGTGCAGAAGCCAGCCTGGTTGTTGTAGAAGGCCGTGTTGAACCAGCCGAGCACACCATTGTAGATGAACCACGTGGAGGTGAGGCCACCAGCACCAGTGGCGGCGATGAAAGTCTCGGCGGTAGTGTCTCCAGACCCAAGGGCAACACCGTTCAACGACAAGACACCATTGTCAAGATCATAAACGAAAGCGGTGCTGCAGTCATTGCCCTGGACAAGCTGACGCTTCTCCTTCCTGGCACCGGCACCATTGCCACGAACAATGATCGGGCCGTCGCTGTCAGTGATAGCACCGGCAGGAATGGCGGGCAGGAATGGCGGGCCACCGCCAGGGGTAACGGTGGGGCTCGCAGTGGAGGACGTCTCAGACGTGTAGGTTGTTGCGTCGTCCGAGGTGGTGGTGGGCTCAGTGGACGAGGTCTCGATCTCCGTCGATGAGCTCTCAACCTCGGTGGAAGAGCTCTCAACCTCGGTGGAAGAGCTCTCGACCTCGGTGGACGAGCTCTCAGAGGAGCTCTCGGAAGAGCTCTCAGAAGAGGAGCTCGAAGTGCTGCTGCTGGTGGGATCAGGAACACTGGTCTCGCTGGAGAAAAGAGATTCCGACACTCCATAGCTGATGCTTTCGAGCGTAGTAGTCGGATTGCCAGTGTCATCGGTCAGGGTGGTGTATGTCACAGTCTCAGTGGCGGTAGTGATAGTGACAGTGCTGAGGATGGTGCTGGTGGCTCTCTTGTCGATCTTGTGACCCTTGGCCGCAGCCATGGACGCGAAGCCGGCCACGGCCGCAAGCTGGACAACCTTGGAAGCAACCATTTTGTTTGCTCTGAACGTCTCTCGGGTGAAGGGAGAACTAGGTGGTGTGGATGGATGTTTGGGAGTTGAAGTGAGAGTGATCAAACGAGTGGCTGAGTGTCAGAAGAGACTGTTGGACTGCTTGATGAAGTAGGAAGAAATAGAGACGAGATTGACGAGCAGAATCCGGCCTTTTTCAACAAGTTCCGGTCGCGTGTCTGCTCAAGGGATGTTCGCGGCCAGTCTCCCCTCGAGTCTGAGACCATCGCCGCAAGGTTCCCAACCTACAATGCTGGATGCCGGCTTTGGAATGCCCTTGGCAAATTAGCGGTCCGACAACAAGGGAGTTCGCCCTTTTCGTCGTCTGCCGCTAGCATTCCCAGCACCAGGCAGTTGATTCACATTCATCGACTGCCCAATGCCACCGAGAGTCGTTTGTTGTTGGACATGGCGAATGCGGAAAGGCGTCGGCCCCATAGACCACCCTGCAGCCGGGCACCGGCATCCTGCTCACATGGCGGGAGGACACGGCCTGTAGCCAAAGAAACTGCCGGGAGGATGAACGTCCCCAGAAGTCCAAGCCCATCTTCAGCCAAGCAGCTTTGACGAGGATGCTTGTGCTGACCCGCTGTCCATGCAGGGCGCGAGGCCTCAGCAAGCGCCTGGGGCATATGCATTGCTCTTGATTCCTGTGAAGGGGCATTGTTGCTGGTGGAGTCGAGCCAAGGCCCACAAGTAGTTTGCCCTTGCCTTGAGAGCGTTGTCGACCGAGGGCTTCCGGATGCTCTGGTCGCAGCTGGCGCAAGCAGACCCCACGGCCGAAACGCCACGTCGGAAACGTTCAGCAACACATCGCCTTCGGACTGGTGCGCAATGCAATGTGCGCTGGGTCCGCCCTGGGTTGTCTTGTGCCGGCTGCGGGGGCCAGCAACAGCACCGGAACAAGTAAAGAGACGAGAGCCATCATCCATGGATCGATCTGTTTTGGGTTGTGTCCACGGCCCACGCAAGGCAAAGTCATCCACACATGGTGGGGCTCCCAAGGAGTAACGAAAACAACCACAACCCAAGCCGCCCTCGGCTCGAAATCCGCTTCTTGTCTCACCACCCGAAGACACTGGATTCTCAAGCAGGGCCGCATCCATCTAGAGCGATTCCCGAGCCCTGGCTGTGTCTCAGTCGCATTAGCAAAAACTGGGTCACTGTTGTGGTGCGCGTCGCTGGGGCGAAATTGCGGTCCATGCCGGCGCCGATGCTCAGGCACTTGGAGGGCGCACAATGGACCAAGGCCAGGCAAAGCTGAGGTATCTCTTAGGGTTTGATCAGAATGCAGAGCAGTGTTGTTCAATTGCTGGCACATGCCATCGTTACCAAAACCGACCTGCGAGGCCCCGACCCTGGCGCTGTACTGTGACGCGGTCGCTCAGCCCTCGAATTCCACCGTCCTAGTGACGGGTGCTGACGACTTGCCCAGAGTTTCATTGTCCGTGTCGAGCAGCGACCTGCTCGAGCCGTTCTCCTGACCCTTTGAAGCCCCTGCTTCAGCATCTGCCCCATCTAGCAGGTCTCTGTCCGATGATCGCACGCTGCGGCGTTCGGCGTCTGCCCCGTATGCCCCAGCCGCCCGTGGGTGCAGGTCATCATCATCATCCTCATCTTCATCTCTTTGGCCGGGAAGGGCATTCCTCTCCAGTTCACGCTGCGCCTCGTCCATCCGTCGTCGGACTTCCACGGCCACGCGAGAAGCATCCGTGACAAGATTGTCGAGCACGCCGCGCAGACTGCGGCCGGCCCCGGCGACTCCAGGTTGCACGGCTGAGGGCAGCGGCAGCGCAGTGTTCCGTCCGAAGCTCGCAAAAGTCGTCAAAGAGGAGGATGCTTGCTGAGCCTGCGGAAGTCCTTCGATGATGTGAAGAGACGTGGGGAAGGAGGATTCGAAAAACTGCTCGAGAAGCTCATCCGCAAGTACAACCATGCGGAACGTAGGTAGTGTCATGTGGAGGGGATTTGACGGGTCCAGGGCAATATTGGCAGCTTCCGACTGTTGTCTTGAAGCCCGCCTGCCATCGGAGCTGGGCTTTCCAATCGCAGCCGGTTGTGATGGCAGAGCAGCCGCCTTCTTCTCTGGCTTCACATTATTTGATTTGCCTTCAAGTGCGATCAAGTCGTCGTCATCGTCTTTATCCTCCTCATCTTCCTCATCTTCCTCATCCTCCTCATCGTCGTCGCTTTCCTCATCTTCCTCGTCATCGTCATCGTCACCAATTGCAAAGGCATCTGGATCCGCCATCTCGTCGTCGTCGACATTTGTCGACTCGGCCTTCCCTTGAGGTTTGTCCTTGACTAGGTCCTGGTTGCCTGGATGGTCTGGATCGGCGTACTCGAAACATCGTCGAATGAAAGCACTCACGCTTCCGAGGAATCGTTCATTGACAGACCCTCCAAGAGGCGGGCTCATAGGGTCCTCTGCCGACGGGGTGCCCCCATTTGGCGTAGACCCAGCATCCGGGTTGCTCAATGTCCCCTCCAGGCCCCGCCGCGATAGGAATAACAGCGCCTCGGAGATTCGAAGAATGCCTTCGCGATCAACCCTGCCGTCGCCATCATCGTCATAGAGCTCGAAGAAGTAGGTGATGGTCCCCATGATGTCGCGCTTTCCCTTGATATTGGCTAGGCCCGTCACCACATTTTGAAGTGTTAGTGTGCCCTCAGAGTTGACATCCCACTTCTTGAACACTCTCTGGATGAACTCGTGATCAGCCGGCTCTGGCCCACTCCCCCATGGTGAGAGTGCATCGTTGCTGTTGTTTCTGTAACTTGAGAAATACTGTGAGTCGGGGGCGCGATTGCGCGACGCCGGCTGTGAGTCGGCAATGGCCCATTTGGCCATGCTCGCAAGGAATTCGCGGAATGCATTGTAGTCCATCAGGCTTGTGCTAGGCCCCAGACCGACCCGTCCCTTTTCCACACCATGATCGCGTTGCTCCGAGAAAGCCTCAGAGGCCCTGACCCTGCTCGATTTCGCCCGGCGGAGCTTTTGTTCCTGTAATATGCTATCCCGTTGTTGACGCTCGTACAGTATGCCGTAAAACCTGTCGTATAGACCCCCAAGCTCATCAGCACCAAGCAGCTTGGAATCCGGCCCAAGATTTCTGATGGCAGTGCGTTTCGCAAAGTTCTCGATGTTGTTGAGAACAGCATCTTTGTTTTTGAGGCGCAGGTCATGTATAGAACTGTGTGTTATTCCGGAAAATTCTTTGAACGCCACCACCATAAGCTCCTGGAACTTGTTGATGGCACGCAGCTTCGGGTTTTCAGACTTGGGGTGAGCTGACTCGTCAAGTCTTGAGAAGTAAGACTTGAGGACAGATATGAAGGTGCCGTCGTCGGTCGCGTCTAGCAGCTCTTCGCCGTTGATGCGGAGAATGGCCAAGCCGACCTGGAAGAGAACCTTGGGCCCTTCCACGAAGAAGACGTCGAGGACGCGGAAGGCAAATACGAGGGGCATCGAGTTGATGTACAAGGAGAGGAACCACGGGAGGGATACGACGGAAAGTTGGATGTCGCTCTTGACAAGATGCTCCCAAAGTATGGGCATCGTTTTCTCAACCAGGCCCTCGAACACTTTCTGGTCCAATAGTGTCCCGTACATGGTGCTCGAGTAATACCCCGGAACGAGGCGGTCACACAATGCTGACAGCAGGAAGAAGGCCTGTGACTCTGACATGTAGATCAAGAGGGCCGCAACAACAATGTTCATGGCCTGGCAGTAGCCAACCTCTGGATTGATCCAGCTGTAAGCCGTGAGGACGCGCCTCAGCCGGCTAATGCCGTCCTCACTTTGGAATCCAGGATACTCTGGGAGACTCCTGTTGAGATCCTTCTCGATCTCGTCAATAGCCAAGGATTCTTGGCCGGAATGCTTCGCCAGCGTGTCGGTAAAGAGACCGGGATTCTCCAGTCTCAGATATATCGAGCCAGAGGTGAGCTCCCACATTTCTCCCCGCAGGCGATTTGGCAGACCGACCCTGATGAGCTTGTGGAAGGTGGGTTGTCGTATGAGTGTGACATTGCGGCCGTTGTCACGGAGGTATTCAGCCCACAACCGCATCTTGGCCCTGTCTCTAAGCTTCTTTGGGTCGCCGGGATATTTGAATGCCATACCCAAGCCAGCGTCTGGAGGGCTGGCGGCCTTTTTGTCCTCGGGGCGCAGGAGATACTCCGAGTAGCACTCGGACACGACCTTTTTGAGCTTGGGCACACTACCCACGGCGCCACGGAGGCCCCGCTTGAGCCCATCGCAGAAACGCTCGCAAGCGTGGCGACTGCCGGCAAGCTGTATAGTGATTCGCTGTTCTCGAATGTCTTTGCGGTCTTTCAGAGCCTCCTTGTCTCGTGCCATTTCTTGTGTGATGCCGTTCCATGTCGTGATCGCCAGCGAGAACTACAGAAGGTGAACAATGATCAGTTGTCTGACTGCCAAGGACTGAGCCGGCTGAGTGCTTCTCAGTGAGACTGACCTGGAAGCTCTGGCTATTCAGCCTCTCGACCCTGCGAATGGCCGCCAGAGGAAACGTAAAGCCGTTGCCGCTTGGCCCCGAGCCGTGGGTTTGACCAGTGAACGCGGATGACGTAGCAGTGGTCGCTGTGGATGAGAAGCTTGTCGGGGTAGTCGAGAAGCACATGTAAGCCTCGGAGAGGTGGAGCTTGCCGGCATAATGCCAGCCACGGTCGCGGTCCTTGTCGCCCTGGGTGACGTTTGAGGGAGGGATGGTGAGCTCGGCAGAGATCTCGTAGAGGGGGTTCTGCGAGCCCGGGAGGCGGAACTGGTTCTGGAATAGCGAGGCCTTGGAAGGGTTGCGGTCTGAGTTGGTGAGATTGAGGCCCTGCATGGGATCAATCAGCTGCTGAGCAGCCGACTGAGCCTTCTGCACCAGATTGCTGAGGTTGAACATGGCTGCTGGACTGGGCAAGTCAGGCCGAGGGGAGCGGTGGGATGCTCAGCGCATAGCGCAACGGGGCCTGGTCCGGATTCACCTTGCACGGACGGGCAAGAGCCGAGCTTGTAGAGGCGGCAGCTCGTGTGAGTGTATGCTGTTGCTTGGGGTCCGAGCTGGCTTCGAAAAACGCCGTTGCAGTTGGTTATCGATCGCGAAGGCGGCGGCGGATATCGTGGTTTGCGTGGAGTTGGGGGGTTGAGGGACGGGCAGGCTGACCGTGCCAGAGCGGAAGCTCGTCGATAGCGGCAGCCCTGGAGATAGCCAGGCTGCTCGTGGGCTGCTGGGCTGCTGCTGCTTGCAGACGGGCAGGCGCGGGGAGCTCGAGCTAGCCGGCGCAGGGTAGCCACGCCAAGAAATGGACCTGAGTGAATGACCCTTGGTGTCAGCGAGCACATACATACACGCACGCACGGCCTGCCTCCAGGATATTCACATGGATGTTGTCCAAACTGGGCTTTGTTGGACACAGTGAATGGCCGGACTTGTCCTCCATGTATCTGACACGGAGCCAAAACTATGTGCGTGCAGGAATGGGCACTGCCGTAGATGTTCGGCCAAATCGTGGCCCGCTCCGCACGTCAGCCTGGGGCGCGGCTGCTTGCGGCGCACCGCATGCTCAAGCGGCTGTTCCCCAAACACCACAGGCTCTGAGGTGTGCCGTCGCTGCCGCTGGATCCGCCTTTGTGGTCGAGACGGCCCGAGTAGAGGATTGAGTCAAGAATTCAAGTTTCGCCCTGTAGCAAACTTGTTGGCAGTCGCCAGACAACATCCTGACCGACACAGACGAGGACAGTAGAGGATCTCACTTTGCTGTGCGCGTGCTCAAGTGCCGTCGTGCCGGCCAGTCAGCATATCCAGCAGGAATCTAATACACGCCAGCCATGGTCCCTGCTCGCCGCCCACCAGTGACTTTGGGACTCGAAAAAGGCAGCTTCAAGCAGTCGCTGGTCTTTGCAGCCAAGGTCAAGAGTATGGTTGTCCCGGGGCTGTTGCACTCAACTTGAGCCCTCGGTCCCTGGCGGTACCTATCGTGATCTCAGTACCTTTGCACCACATATCCAGAGGCCCCTGGATCCCCACTAGCGAGCCCCTCAGATCCTCTTTCGGCGCTGACAGTCAGGGGTCACTGCTCTGCTGGGTCTCGCCCTGGCCTAGGGATGGATGGCCCCCCTGACAAGTTTGGAGTCCTCCGTCTCAAAACTACGGCTGGTTTTGGCGGTCCCACGAGCAGCAGCTCCCGTGCATGACATGACACAGCCGCTTGAAGGGGGCACGAGGCGTTTGGTGTGGGATGATTGACAAAGCTCCCGCCGTAAACGTGGGTCTCCAGGCCGGTCATGGCCATGATGCCATGGTGAGACTGCAGTATGTACGGCATCCTTGGGCGTTGTCCCAAGCTTTGGCCACGAGGTGAAGCAGAGGCAGAAGTGCGTCTTGTCCTCGGATTTTCCGTCTTGGGTTTGGGCTTGCGGCTGTCTGGATGTCGTCGGCGCTACACCGCACATCACGGACAGTATTAGTGCATCGGCAGATCTTTGTAGCGACTCGTGACATGCGCTGCGCACCGCTGCTGATCCGCCCTTTCAGGGTTCTGTTGCTGCCGGGTCGCGTGGCGCGGATAAAGTACTGTAGAACCCCCGCAGTACCGACGTCATACTCTGTGGTGGGCACGGCGGCGCTCCGTCTCATTTCGTGAGATGGCCCGCCGCTCTGATCCAGTGTGGCCCAGATCCGCATCAGCACACGAGACGGGGCGGCCCCAAGCCCACTCCGATACCAGCACCACAGAACCAGAGACAAGGCCGTCCAGATCCCTCCAGATCCCTCGTCGCATCACCCGAACGTCGCTCGCTCACCCGAGACTTTGCCTCTATAACCGCCAGTGGCCGCGCCGCGATTGTCTCAGTGCCCAACCGTGGTGACCTTGCCGTGACGTTTGCCCTCAAGCCTGCAGCAACAGGAACAGACTGCCCCGGCGATACCGAACGGAGCCGACAAAGACGACGACGACGACGACGCCGGCGCCTCGCGAAAAGGTCATGGTCTGCGGCTGAATCACAACGCCCGCTCGCCAGCCGGTACACCTGGTCGTGATCCGCCGACCTCGACCACCGACATATTTCCACAGTCGTTGCGCTCGACAGACTCGCGGAGCGCCCGTAGTGCAGCATGGCCACCACGGTCGCGCATTCCGGTTTCCTGGGCGGCGTCAAGCAGGAATTCCAAAAGCTCAGAGACCACATCAGCACAGATCACAGCAACCCGCCGTCGCCGCACCAAGACACATCCCCGACCGGCAATCGGGGCGAGGAGGACTTGCACACAGCACAGCATGAAGGCGAGCGTGAGGCCGAACAAGAAAAACTCAAGCTCAGCGACTTCAATCTCGTGCGGACGTTAGGGACAGGTACGCACCGACGCAGTCTCTGGCGTCTGGCAGTGGCCCTTCTTTCTGGCCTGTTACTGACTCTCCATCCCTGACCAGGCACATTTGCTCGAGTCTGCCTCGTACGCCCAGCCCGCGGCACAGACGAGGACAAAGAAAAGGTCTTTGCCCTCAAAATCCTTCGCAAGGCCGAGGTCATAAAATTGAAGCAGGTCGACCACGTGCGGCACGAGCGGCAAATCCTTGGCGATGTTGCTGGGTTCCCCTTCATCACGGAGCTCATGGCGTCCTTCTCCGACCATGACTCTTTATACATGCTTCTAGACTATGTCCCTGGAGGCGAACTATTCAGCTATCTCCGCCGCCATCGCCGGTTCCCCGAAGACTGGGCGCAGTTTTATTCCGCCGAGATTGTGCTCGTTCTCGAGTACCTTCACGAACAACAAGGTGGCGTGGCTTATCGCGACTTGAAGCCGGAAAATCTTCTCATCGACGCCGAAGGCCATGTCAAACTGGTTGATTTTGGATTCGCCAAGAGGCTGGGGCACAAGGATGACAGGCCAGTCGAGACCTATACACTGTGCGGCACCCCAGAGTACCTTGCCCCAGAAGTGATACAAAACAAGGGCCACACGACGGCTGTGGACTGGTGGGCGCTGGGAATCCTCATATACGAGTTCCTCACGGGCTACCCGCCATTCTGGCACCAGAACCCAATAGAGATCTACAAGCAGTAAGTTTGCCCGTATGTGCTTTCTTCAGCGAGAAGCAAACTGACAGGTCGGAACCAGGATCGTGGAGAAGCCAGTCGTCTTTCCAGCCGACCCGCCCATCTCGGACAACGCACAGAACATCATCCGCTCTTTCTGCACAGTAGACCGGACCCGCCGTCTTGGAAACATAAGTGGCAACGCCAATGCCGTCAAGTCACATCCCTTCTTTGACGGCATCGACTGGGACGCCCTCCTGAACAGGCAGATCTCACCGCCCATCGTCCCGCAGGTGCGCTTCCCCGGCGACGCCCAGTGCTTCGATCTGTATCCGGAGGACGACGGCAAGCGGGAGCCGTACACCGATGAACTGGCGAGTAAGTACGACCAGTACTTTAAGGACTTTTGAGCAGTTGCGCGCTCGGGCGTGGGACTTTGTTTTTTTGTTTTTTTTGGCGATAGTCGATGCGCTTGGGCGGTGGTGGTCGTTTCCGAGGCGTCATGCTGCTCTGATGTGATCTTTGGGTTCGGGGGCGTTTTGTGCATTTGGCCAATCTTCTGCATATCGCAATTGTCTGGGATGGGCATAGCCAATGATTTACAAGCCTGTCTTTGGAGGGGTGTCGTGTCTCTCTAATGGTAGTTATGTGGCCTCATTGGAAATTAGCGGCAGTCGCTGCATAGACACAACGCAGCTCACTCTGCGGCGTAACAACACGATGGAGTAATCGAGATCCGACTGTGCAGCGGTGAGCCTTGTTTCACGATACATGTGCCTCTCGTAGTGCACACCGCGGCCCGGGCCTTTGGTGAAGTGATCCTCCGGCCAGCATCTCATGAAGGACTCGGGACTTTTGAATGCTGTCGTTTCCATTTCTAAAAACAGAGCGAGTTCTTGAATGACATGGTAATTGGCATTGGCGACATCTCGTAACTATGTCGTTTTCCTTGCTGAATTGAAGAGAATTTAAAAAATTAAAAAATTAAAAATTAAAAATTAAAACCCCGAGTTGTGAAAAACATCTGTCTTGGTCAATTCATCTGCCATTGATAGTACATCCTCCCTGCCTTCGTGATTGATAATTCTTAACTGGCCAGGCCGATAACACTCTGCTTCGAGTTTCAGCGACAAAAAATGATAACTCAAGAGAGACCCGCTTCCATCCGTGGCTCATCACCAGAAGGTTCATGAACAGGCTTAGCCCCTGACAATGGCCTCAACTCTCATTCTCCACGGCACGATTGCACACAGCGAAGGATTGAAATGACGCTAAACCATTGCACTAGCCGGTCTTGAGCAGTCTAGCTAGCAAAACGCACCCCCCTGCCACACACGGAATATTCTGAAGGGTAAAAGGCGACATGCCCACAACCGCCTCTCATTCCCAGCCAGGGTCGGAGTACATTGCAGAGCTTCGCAGATGATGAATTATCTTCATGTACTCCCAGAAGGAGCCCCGATTTCAACAGTGAAGCCTGGTAAACAAGCTTCTGCGGTCTGGTGGTCTAGTGGTATGATTCTCGCTTAGGGTTCACCCTGGGTTGTTCAATTCCTGTTCGATTGATTGCGAGAGGTCCCGGGTTCAATCCCCGGCCAGACCCGTTCTACGAGTTCCTGGCTTTTCTTTTTGAGTTACTGGCGTTGTGTGGCTGTTGTTGGCTGTCGTTGTGGGTGTGGTTTTTGTCTTTTTTGTGTGTGGTTGTTGGCTGTTGCGTGCGCGGCTGCTGTTGTGACTAATCACGCAATAACTCTTGCATGCAGTCTCGTAATCAAGTTATGCAACGCTCCCATTGTTTTGTTCTCTCCTCTTTGGGTGGCTGGATCGACAGGGGCGTTGAGTTCACCGTGTTTTTCGTGATGCCTTCTTGCTACCTAAATGCCATCTGCTCCCTCTCCTCGACATCCGCAGTCTCCTGTTATGTATTCACCAATCGCCCAATGAGCTATCGATGTGGCCCTATGCCAGAGAAGCGTTTATGTCACGGCTCAGCCATTGTTCAAGCGTATGCAGGAGCCAACTCTACTATGCCCAACGACGAAATCATTTCACATGCAATTTCTGATTTTCATCCGACGGCCTACATACATGAGAGAGAGCACGAAGAAATAAGTATATCAAATTAGAACGACACAGTGAGTTAAGGGTGGAGCCTAGAGAGCACGGCGTCTGGTACTTGATAATCAAAGCGGCGTGATTAATACCCTTATGGCAGTCAAGCACATGGGCAAGATGGCATAATATTCCTTACTCCCTACCCGAGCCGGTCATAAGCCTCGTATTCCTTACATATCATACCTCGAAACTACCGTTTAGTTTCATGACGGCAAATGAATTTGCCTCTGAAAAAGTGGATGTTGGCAGGCGTGTCGCATGCCGTGCTGTAAGATCCCGACGCTCGTCTTCCATGTCCTCCTGTGAGCCGGTTAGGGTCGGCCGGGATCGGTTACCCTCAATTCTAGGGCAGTTGATCCATGTCAAGAACCCGGTGCCACGTTGGCTTAATTTTTACTGGCCGTGGTTGCGCGTCTTGACAACTTGCAATCAGTGGACCCATCTTCGCAAGTCGTTTTCCAATGCCTGCATTGAGCGCTGGATAATTTGGCAGACGGTCGCTCTGGTGCAGCAAGGAAGGGGAGGGCATGCTCGATACTGGTCATCTCTGCAGCCGAACTGCCTGTGCCGCTGAGCTGTGAGGTTAGGTTCGTGCAGAGCATGTCGTGGGCTTGGGCTAACACCTGGTACATTCATTACGAGGCTGATAGCTTTGGCACCGCACTGAGCATTCAACAGTAAAGGCAAAGTGACACATTTTGTCAGAACCACCACCACACTGCTTTCACGACGTTAGGTAGTCGTTCTCACAGTGGTGTCAGTATGGTATTTGAAGAACACGGATGAATTGGGAATTATTGTCTATGCCCAGCTCGGGATAAACGTTGACCACGAGCTGGGTCCTGTCATGCACCTCTATTCTGCGATTGCAGTTCAGCAAGCATCGACCTGCACAGGCAGTCTTCGGCACCTGTTCAGCACAGGCTGCTTCGGTATCAATCTCAATCTCGATATCATTACACTCTCCCTTGGCCGGCACGCGAGAGCCCTCGACGTCAGCCCGCCAAAACACTGCTCAGTTTGCGACTCGTGACGCGAATCTGGAAAGGCGAAGCTACCCAAGACATGTCCATACTGCTGACCTCTCTGTTCTGCCAGTGTGAAATGTAGTTTGCGGTAATCCAAAGGCCAATGATAGGTTCAAATACCGACAAGTAGCCGGTCTCAGAGGTCGACGCGATGTAGTACTCTTTGGCTGTGCTCGTGTCTTCTCTTGAGAGAAACGAGAGACGAGAGACTCCACAGATACGATAGACTTCGGCACAAGCCCGACAACCACGGAATTGAGACTCTCTGCCGGCTGCTTGCGTTCACTGGTAAGGTCAACGAGGTCAAGTGACTGGACTTCTACAAGGAGACCGTCTTCCGCGGCATTTTGCCCAATACCTACTTGCAGACTGCAGACTTCGCTTTTCCTGACAGTGACTTGGCCTGCAAAGACGAACGAGCGTCCCCCAGATCCATTCCAGGGGTATGTGGCACCTACTTGGAATAGCAGTGTGGAATGCAACCAAGTGCGACATCATACCCTCAAGGACATGGTCGCTTGCAACACATACGACCAACACATGATATCGCTCTAATGCCAGCGAGAAATAGAGTCCTCATTCTCTCTGACTACACTAATGATACGGTGTCTGCCCAAGAGGCCCCCAAAGAAGCACCTGATGTCAAACGGACTATTTCCATGTCAATATATCACTCATACTCATCTTCGGCGTCCACATTGTTTTCGTTACCATCCTCACTACTGCTGTCCATAACAAAGATACGGTCACCATCATTAAGAAGTTAATTGTTAACCTTCTTCTTTTTCCGGTCCTTTTCGCTTTGAGTGGCCAGCTTGCGCTTCTTCGCCGGACTGTTCGTGCCGACGGGGGAGCCCCCTAGGAGCGTGTCAGAGATGGTCGTGTCGTGAGTCTCGTCTGCACGATTGTCGGTAAGAGGGCGTCTTGCATCCTTGGACTTTGGACTGGTCGAAGCTAGTTATGAAGAGCATGGTCAGCGAAAGAAGCAAGAGCTAACATCACTGAGACAGAAAGCTCACCCGCATTGTCTGATGTGTACATCTTCGAGAGCGTGGTAAAGACCTCCATCTGTGCGGTCGAGCCCAGCTTTTGGGCAGCGGTGGCGATGCCGGCCTTGGACTCACTGCCTTCCATATTCTGCACGAGGTAGGCATTGAATCTGCGAGAGAAATCCGGGGCATTGTTGGAGCGGTTCTTGAGCGGCCTGACCCCGTTGGTCTTGTCCTCGACGAACGTACAGAAACAAGAGAGCACCTCATCAAGATGCTCAGTGAGAAGAAGTTTCTTCTCCTTGTCGTCGTCGTCAACAGTCTCGACAATGGGCTCAGCCTTGACAGTCCTAAGCAGAAGGAAAGGAAGCATCAGCAATGTCGTTGTTGCTCGAAAGCGAGCAAGTTGGATGAAACATCTAGGGGCTTACACAAGCTTGATGAAGGCGAGACCAGGAAATCCACTGAGATCCTTGTCCATGTGATCGCGACGGTCGCTATCATGGGTTAAATGGTCATCCAAACGGTATTGATGATGTGTTTATGGTAGCTCACAATAGGATCACAGACTCCGTTCCGGGGGAGTCTGGGTGATCACGGTACCATTCATCCGTTGGCGTTGGATCATCTGCACTTGATATAAGTTAGCACGGTCGGATTGGGGTGAGCCTGAGCTGAGTATCTCACTGCATGGAGGCAACGGAACTGGGCTCCTTGTCGCCAGTTGGGGGAGCTCTCGGTGGTCCTGTCCTGTCCTGTTCTCTTTTTATTTTATTTTTTTCAGCTCTTATCTTGCCGTGTTCCGGAGACGGACATGCAATTTGCCATGCCAATGGCTGTATCTATTTGGTAACTTGGCCAAAACATCAATTCAATATGTCATTACGGCCATCAAAATTGCAGAAATTAAAGCTGGCAGACGTGTCGCATATCGTGCTATCAAATCCCGACCCTCTTCCCATCATGCCGTGGGCTGGACATGGTCGGACAGGATAGGCCTCTCCCACTTCCAGGGCAGTTGACTCATGTCAAGAACGCGACACCGCCGTGATGCGCCATACTGACCAGTAGTTACCAATGCCTGTATCTAACACTGGCCAATGTCGCTCAGAACGCAACAGGAAAAGAATAAAAGTAAAAACATTGTGCAGGGCATGGCAGACGCTGGTCAGTTTTACGGCCGGAGGTGGCTGTCTGCCCCATGATCGTTTCCGAGGCCTTTTCAGTCCCAGACCCCGTTGGGCGACGACGTGAAACGAGTGAATTTGCTCCAGACACTATTTACCATGGCTTTCCAGAACGCCCGCTAGTTGGCCAAACCGTTACTGCAGACGTAGTGAGAGAGTGCAGACGTTGCTCCGTAATCGAGCTCTCCACCCCATTATCGCTTCCGAAGACTCGGATGAGTCCGGAGGCGCGCCATTCTGGACGTCAGTCTCGGCAGAGTTCTCTGACACCACCACTGCGTTGGCTACCACGGGCCACGAAGTCTTCAAAGATAACTCTTTTCGGTCCAACCGAGGCAAGCCGTGCTCTGTCCCCCCGTAGACTGTCGCTAATGGCATGAAACACTCTGGCGGAGCCTCAAGACGGTGTGCTCAGTGCTGAACCACGAGCGGTGATCAGTGACCTAACTATATCCTGCGATTGCATTTCATCAAGCGGCGACTTGTGCGGACAGCCTTCAGCGCCCATGCAGCGCGAGTCACATCGGTCTCAATCTCCATCTCAACATGGGATATAGCTTCAAGGCGTCGTCGTTTGTGGGCAATGTCGATCCCCGTATAACTCTACCCAGAATCCGTGTGCCCGATCAACCAGATTCCCCAGAGCTTGGCAATCGAAAGCTCAAATCTCCCCATGCGGGGAAACAAAGCCAGCCCACCCATCCCGGTGGCGCACATAATAATGACATGCCCTGAGACGCCACCAGTTCCAGCCTTTCCCCTCACCGAGTCAAGCATGAACAGCTTACCCGTGAAGTCCATGTTGCCCCGAGTAATGCGTGCTTGATCTGCTGGGAAAGCTGGCCGAGTGACCTCGTGGTGGCTTGGTCACGGTCCCCAGGCAGGTACTTTATGCATAGCGTCTTGTGATACCATCCCCTAGCGCTTGAAATGGAGGTGCGAAGCTAAAAGGCAAACGACGCAGACGAATGATCTGGCGTCACACACAAACCAGAGGCTAAAACAGCAGCCACATTTTGATTCGCGTGTCCTGGTGCGTGCTCTTGAAGCCGGCTGGTCCATACCTCGCTCTCGATCGAGCCCAGCTTACGATGTAACTGCAGCGTGACGGGCGGGAAACAGCGCTGGCCATGCGGATCCAGATTCCCGGGATCTCTGTATGCGGCGATCACGCACGTGGGTGCATGTCGTGTTTCGGCACTCAGAGGTTCTAGGCCATGGCTGTCCACGCTTCCTCTTTTCCGCATCCTGCATGCATGTGTGATGTGACGCTCAGCTGGCGGCACAGCTAGCACTTTGCTGAGGCTGGGAGCCCGCTTTAGTGAAGCTCCCCGAACGCTGGAATGCCCCAATGTTCGGCAGATTGCTCGCTCGGAGCTGATTTGTGCGTGAAACCATTGCGGCATGCTCGAGTATGGTCAGGTTTGGTTATCCTACCGGCAGCTGCGGTCGCCTGCCCGTCAGACAAGCTGCTTGTTTCGAGAGCCAAGTCATAATGCTGGATGAGCCCTTGCTGCGTGTCTCGTTGTTTGTTTTCCGCATCACTTGCCCCACTGATCCGGCCCCAAGTCTCCCATTGTACATAGCACGCAACAGTCACGTTTGACCTGTGGTTGAGGCCACCAGCCGAGTCCGAGCACTCTGGAATGCTTGAGCCGTGGGGACGAACGGGAATTTCCACCAAGTCTGACTCGATAAGCACGCTACTCCGGGGAGACGTGACTCGGTAGTGTCTTACAGACTTGTTCGTCGGGCTTGGAGGGCGTTGCGAGCTGGTATGGTGTGTGCGGCAACTCTTTCCATTGGTGAGACGACGAAACCCAGCCATGGATTGATTTTGGTGTATGGAAAGCAGGGGTGCATGGCCCGGGGGGCGGTTGTGAATCCACAGCGCATGCGGGGGTCCCGCCCATCGCGCGGCGACGGGGGTCTACAGGCGCAGACGGGCCAAGATTGAAGACTGGGAGGATCTGAGGTTCCCCGACCCCGTGGGGAAGCGATGCGGAGAAGCTGCCAGCCAGGCCCACAGGTAGACGTCCAGCATGATTGAGTCTTGAGCTGTGGCCGGTTGACAGCACGCATGCAGACCTTGCGGGCGGCTCTGCAGGACACGGCAGTTGCAAGAGGCGACTATCTGCCGGCATGGGTGGTGAGATGCGCGAGACGGGGGTGATGCAATCCTGCCTGCCTCCACAGGTGGTGCCGAGGAGTAAAACGTGGCCGTGGAGAGTGAAGAGACGACGCTGTGGGGAGAAGGAGGGTGTGCAGTGGGAAAGCGGTTGACGTTTCCCGAAGACCCCTGTAGGGAGGACGAGACCCCTGAGCACGGGCATCGGCCCACGATTTGTAAAGAAGGTTTTTTCTGGGAATGCCAACGGGGGCCCTCACAGCGCGTGCCTCCCGAATGTTAGGTACGCACAGACAACCGCAATTTGGGGACCAGAGACAGCACGGCCTCGACTTGCGACACCACAGATATCCATTCATCGACCACCTCCCTCGCGCTAGGCCGCGCCGCGCCACCACCAAGAGGACCCCCCTTCGAAACTTTAGTCCCGCAGCGGTTGGTGTAGCACTCTTCTTTAGCACGTCTCGTCATTGCCATCCTCCCTTTGGTCAGGGTCTAGAGCTCCCAATCGCCCACGCCAGCAGGCAGGCATCACGATTAGGGTCGAGTGCGAACTGCATCGAGCCCCGCGTGCCCCCTAAGCCTTGCATCGGCCCCTCATGACTCCAATCTGAATAGTCCCGAACAAGCCGCACAGATGATGACAGAATTGGGCACACGACCATGTCCCTGACAGTCGCGCGCGCCAGACCTGTGCCTGCGTAGTGCGCCCTAGCCGGGGGAGGGGAGTAGGTTCCGTGGACCTCGATTTGGGGCCACTGCTCTAACGCTGTCCGGTTGAGCACTTCCGGCATGGGGCTAACCGAACGTAATGTGCGTGGTCCTCGTCAACCACCTCATCGCTGCATATAACATTCAGCCTCCTGCCATGTTACGACTCAGGCCCATTGTTCGCAAGCATAAGCGAGTCCACTCCTGACAAGACACGACACACACTCGAGGGTAAATACAGCCTCGAACCGGGTCTGTCGTTGGTCTTCATCCTGTACGGCACAAGGCTGTCCGTCTCGACAAAGATCTACTGTCCTTTCGCCTGCTCCCGACACGACAGCGCTGCATCCGACTTGTCTCGTTGACTAGACAGAGGAAAACCCCAGCTCAAGATGTCGACGCCCGGCAATTCCTCGCCAAAGACCGGCTCGTCTGAAAAGGCGGCCGCCGCGCAGGAAGTCGAACATGCTCACGGCGTCAGAGTTGAGCATGCAGACGGGACCGTCGACTATATCGACGAGAAGGCCATTGGCGGTGACAGTAACGCCATGCCCGATGGCTATTTCAGGAGCGCACCCTTCATCCTGACCGTCGTCTCCATCTGCATGGGAAACATCTGTGCCTATACCGGCTGGGTTCTACCCGCTAACACTCTGTATGTGCCCCTTGAAAGACGACCAGCTGTCGTCCATGCGGACGAGATGGAGTGCTGACCTCTGTGGAATCTTCCAGACTGCTCATCAATGCATCGCTAGGCGGATCGCCCAACATCTCGTGGGTTGCAACTGCATGGACCCTGGGAAGCAGCATTGGCTTCCTCCTGGTCGGGCGTCTCTCGGACATCTTTGGCCGTCGGTATATTGTGCTGGGTGGCAATCTGATGGGTCTTGTCGGCTGCATCATTGGCGCCACTGCCCAGACTGTCGAGACTCTCATCGCCGCCAGTGTCTTTAACGGCCTTGCCGCCGCTCAGCAACTGTCGTTCGGCATCTTTCTGGGCGAGCTCGTCCCCAACAGGCTCAGAGGCCCCATGATCGCCTTCGTCTTCTTCTCCGCTGCGCCTTTCGCCGTTTTTGGCCCTTCGATCGCCCGCGCGTTCATCACAAACACGGCCGCCGGCTGGCGCTGGAGCTTTTACATGAGTATCATCTTCGCCGTTGTCGGCTTGACTCTGGCCTTCTTCTTCTATCACCCTCCGACCTATGCCCAGCTTCACGTTGGCGGCAAATCGAAGCGTCAGCAAGTCAAGGAGCTCGATTACATCGGCATCGTCCTCTTCGTTGGAGGCTGTGTCCTCTTCTTGATTGGTCTTTCCTGGGGTGGTGTCGCCTACCCATGGGTGAGCGGCCACGTGCTCGGCACCCTGCTCTCGGGTATCGTCGCTCTGATCATTTTCGCAGTCTATGGTGAGCCATCCTCCGGATCAAACCTTGCACTTCAGCCCGCGCAATTTCTGACTGCTGACTTCTTGACTCTCCTCACAGAGACATACTTTTGCAAGGCCTCCCCTCTCATGCCTCCCCGGCTCTTCAAGAACGTTGGTTTCGTCGCCATTTGCGTCGTGGCGTCGATTGCCGCCATGGTCTACTGTAAGTCTCTACACGTCCCACTCTGTACTTTCCCCAGTGATGAATGTCCCTCTGGCTCTTGACGCTCACGCTATTTTCTCGACCCCAGACGCTCTCACTATCCTATGGCCTGTGATCATCATGACCCTATACACCACGGATTCCACCCAGGTTGGGCTTCAATCTGCTGTTGTCGGTGGCGGTATCCTCCTCGGCCAGCTTCTCGGAGGTATCGGCATCTCGTACATCCCCAAGGTCAAGTGGCAGGCCATCATCTCCGCCGTCATCGGCTTCGTGTTCGTCACGTCACTCATCTCGGTCGACCCCAGCCGCTGGGCTGCGACCATTGGCCTCGCCCTGATCGCCCTGATCGCCATCGGCTATAACGACGACATCACCTTCCCTGGTGTTACCTTGGTCGTCGAGCCACAGGATATCGGTCTGGCCACCGGTGTCATGGGGTCTATCCGCGGCTTGGCTGGTGCTGTTGCCCAGGCTCTCTACGTTTCCGTCCAGTCCAACAAGCTTGAGCAGTACATGGCCGACTACGTCACCTCTGCCGCAACCAGCAACGGTCTACCTCAGTCGTCCCTGACAACCCTCTTCAAGGCCATCGCCGCGGGAGACTTCTCCGCCGTCCCCGGCATGACTCCCAGCATTGCCGCCGCGGTCGGCCAGGCCGTGCAGTTAGCCTACCGGGACTCGTTCAAGATGGTCTTTTACGCCACCATCCCGTTCTCGATCATCATGATCATCGGCTCTGCATTCATCCCCAACATGGAGAAGAAGCTGCACATGAATGTCGCAAAGAAGCTCCAGAACGCGAGCGACGATAGTGCCGCAACCAGAAACAAGGCGGTGACGCAGGATGTCTGAGGGGGAGCTGAAGAATTGGGTAAATGGTTACGGCGGGCATGGTTTCTCGGATTCTCTTGTAGCATTGCATCTGTCTTGTTTTAGCCTGGGGATAATACCACCGTTGCAGCAGCAGTGTTTGCATGTACATATTTTTCACCTGTGTGACTTCACAATTGACACAAATCTTGGAACACAATAACACCTTCACTCCCTACCTGGTGCGGTATCCGTGATGGACATGTGTGTATGATGGGAGACATGCACAGGGTTTCAACGAGGAAAACCACACCCTTTCATTTGATGTCAAGCTCGTTTCAAGAACCAGGTCACGGGCGAAGGGCAGTATAGAGAAATCCGCTGTGTAATATTGATGTAGAGCACTCGTTCAGCGCAGCATGTCGAACCCGTCGTCTGGCTCGGTAGCCCACAGATGCCTCACAACTGTGAGATTGGCTCGTCCTGTCCAGAGATTCATAGCTGGTCCCATCGCGCCCGAGCAATCATCATATTCTCAACGCCCTTATGCTTGAGCAGATTCTCCGCCCTCGCTAATTGTTGAAAGAGGACGTTGCGGTTCGTCCAAAACTCCGCACAGCCTGGGATGCACAAGCCCGTCTCTGCGCTGTATAATATGATATTGACCGAGTCGTAGATGTATGTGAGAAGCCAACGCAGCTCATGGCTAAGGGAATGATTACTTTGAGCCCAGCAGCACCAAACCAGAATGGCACGTAGCATCTTCCCACCGTGCCCATCGCGGCTGCTAGACTGTTCAAAGTATTCGTCCAGCTCTTGAGCATGCCCACTGACAGGTTGCACAGCAGGCAAGCCATAGAGGTCAAAATAATTGTAGAGAAACAGCGATGGCCTTTGGCTACTGGAGCGGAAGTGCACTCTGCGGCTGGCATCTTGTGCTGTGGGACACGACCCGAAGCACAATGCCTCAGAGATGGAGAAAATGGGTACGTGGATTACGGGAGCGCTGTTGCCCATCACAACGTCACCATCTCTGTCGAATATGACGTTGGCCGAGGTGATGGACCTGCCACTTTTATCCCAGTGTGGTTCTTCGCGAGATGCACGTGAATGCGGCGAAGAAGAATCTTCATCATGCCGCGCGGCTTCTAACCCTGGCGGCCGGCTGATGTCACCGGATGTGGTTCGGCCAACCCTTCGCTCGTGCCTAGGTGATCCGTCCATGCCTCGCCCTGAGCCGGTAGTGGACGAAGAGTCTGGATTTCTCATGATTTGTGGACGGACTGGACACGAGGTTGGAGATGGAAACGGGCGCATTTGATCTGATCTGTCAAACGCAGGCAGGAAGAGGAGCCAATGGTGTTGAGCAGGCGTGTAAGCCAGCTAGGCACACTCGCCACATGCCGGGTGGTGATTGGGGCGACGGTGGAAGATGTAGTGATATTTTCGGTGGATACTGCAGTAGTAGAAGTAGCCCCTTGTCTGGGCGAGGCTGTTGTGGTCAAGAGGAACCCGAGTGTTCTTCGAGGACTGGGAAGAGCATCCGTGGAAGCAATTGAGCGAGACTTCTGCGTTATACATGGTGGGCGGTCTTGGGAGAATAAGGGTGAGTCGAGCCGTTCTAATGGCCAATTGACAACAGTATTATGATGAATGGTGAGGTGAACGAGTGAAAATAGCTGGTTGATGATGCGGAAGTCGTTGTTGCTTCAAGCGAGGAGTGTTTATGGTTAGGAATAGTCTGTACTACAGATTGGAGCACGACACCAGCCGTTAATTTGGCATATTTCTGTCTGCGAACAGAGCTGGGGAAACCTCGGAAGGCTGTCTGTCATGTCACTTGATCACAGATGCTCGAGGTCAGGAGAACCCTGGAAGGCACGCATCACTACACTGGGCGGCTGTGGAAATGACAACCCTCACCAAGGAAGCAGCATAGCACGGGGCGGCGTGAAAGCCTCCCCAGGTGGTCAACCACAAGCGCACAAATCTAGGCGGTGACATTGGCGAAGGGGGCGAGGAAATGTTGTTCGCGATCTTGTAGCGGTCGGCCATAGAGTATGTCCTCTTCTTGAGATGAAACAGCGTGGTTGAGACCTGACCCCCAACGCCCTTCCTTGGCTGCCATCCGAAGTCAAGACGAGACGAGACCAGCTGTTTCACGGAGACGCGACGCTTTGGCAAGGTAGCAATCGTGGTTGTTCTTTTTCGGACCAAAAACAAAAAACGGCAATGTGACGCCGTAGCGAGACGGTCCGGCGCCTGAGAGTGCTCATAGCATGGCATTAACGTGCTGGGGTCCAAGGCTGGGTTGGGTTGGCTCGAGGTTGCGGAGAACACCCAGTGGGATTGACTGGCTTCCAAGCGAACTTGGCCGCTAGGCTACAAGTAGCCTGGCTGGACCGGCACGCGGTGGTGGAGGACATGAGGAGGGGAACATCGAAGCTGGCAAGGGGTCAGTCAGATCCGAGGAGGTGCCCCTGCTGAGCAGAAGGACCCCGGCGGATTACGTAGCTCGCAGGCGCTCAGCCACCCTTGGTACAGTAGTCCACTCCATGTCTCTCCAGACCTGACAGCAGGGCACGGCCAGCGTCAAGTGGGCACTTTCTCGCCGCCGTGACGACCACCGCACCGCGTTCATTCTTTGGCCAGACGCCCTCACCACCCCGCGCATCAGGCCAGGCACTCGTGCCCTCAACGACAAAGCCTCTCACCATCCACTCCGCCAGGCCCAACCTCTCTGTCAGAGCCGACGATTCCTACGAGCCAGCTCCTACCGACAGATATTAGGCTCCAAGCGCAAGCCTCTTCGCAGACGACATTCCCCAGACCCAACCCTCTCGCTGCCCGCCCGGCACCTTTCTCCTGCCACGCGGCAATCGCGTCGTCGCCACACGAGGGTAGACTCGACCTTCCCGGTGGAAAAATACCGGCTGCAGCAGAATCCACCAACATCGACACTTGTCGGGCAGTGACAACAGCAGCCCATCGCCCGCAACGTCCACTCGCCGCCGTCGTTGGCACAGCCAGGCCACATTCAGTTCGCAGGCGCGCGGGCTTCACAACTACATTGGCTGCAAGAGCAGCCGCGCAGCGGTCCTGCCACGTACGGCTACTTAGCACCTCATGGCGGCACCTATGACCAGCAGCCCAGGGCCCGAGCCGGGTGGCTTGGGCAAACCCCCGGCTTCTAGTCCTACAGCAAGCTCCGTCCCCGTGGGCTCGGCAGCAGACAATGAACCTCCAGTGGGCGATCTCAGCGTGAAGCGGGAGCTCGACATTCAAGTGCAAGAGGTCCTTGCGTCGGATGTAAGTCGTTCTCGACTGGCCCAAACTGTCGTGCATACGGCTCCTACAGCACGAGAAACAATGCTAACACAATCGGGCTGCAAAGATTGGTGTGTCTACAATGTTGAACAGGCTGAAGCAGAGCATCGCATCTGCCAAGGTAGGAAGCTCTTCCGACCTGGATAAGCTGGTTTTTTGCTCGCGCGTTCTCACGATATATCTTGCAGGAATTCGCCTCGTTCCTAAAGAAGCGCTCGATACTCGAAGACGAACATGCAAAAGGCCTCAAGAAGATATGCCGGCTGACGGCCGAGAGTGCCCATCATGCCGACCACAAGCAGGGGTCCTTCTCTCATGCATACGACGACATGCTGCAGATCCACGACCGCATGGCGGAGAATGGGCTTCAGTTTGCCTTGTCCCTGCATCAAATGCACGAAGATCTTCTCGAAGTCGCAGCAGTGTCTGAAAAGCACCGCAAAGGCTGGAAGGTCAATGGACTAGAGCCCGAAAATCGCCTGGCCGCTGTAGAGAGCGCCATGCGCAAGTCGAAGGCCAAGTACGATTCCCTTGCCGAGGAGTACGACCGTGTTCGCACGGGCGAGGGCCGGCAGGGCAGCAAGTTCGGCTTCAAGGGCCACAAGTCGGCGCAACAACAGGAAGAAGAACTACTGCGCAAGGTACAAGCTGCAGACACGGACTACCTTGGGAAGGTCCAGAATTATCAGTCCGAAAAGGCCAACGTGGAGTCGTCCACACGACCAGAGGCTGTGCGAGCTCTGCACGATCTCATCAGGGAGTGCGATGCTGGAACTACTTTACAAATGCAAAAATTTGGTGAGTTTCCACCCATCTACCTTTGATGATTGGCGAGAGCATTGACTTGCTTACGACATCTCCACACGCAGCGTCGTTCAATGAGAAACTTCTTCTCAGCAACGGTCTGGTGATTAGCCCACTCAAGAACGCGGGCTTGCCTGGTCAGCACTCGCGAAGCTTGAAAGAAGTCATACAGAGCATAGACAACAACCAAGATTTCGAGAGCCACATCAAGGGATTCCATAGCCAGGTTGCGCCGAAGGGTTCGGAGCCCAAGTATGAACGCAATCCTGTAGGTTGCCCGCCCATAGTTATGCCACGGAGGCGAGGTTTTCTAACCCGGTACTAACCTTATATCAGGTTCTTAACCCCCAACCGACTGCGCCTGCGTTCCAGGCGCCCGCGCCTCAGACACAGCCGGTTAGCAATCAGCAACCGCAGTCCCAGGCACCCCCTCCGCAGCTGCCCCAACTTCAGACGCAGATGGGTGGACCTGGCTCTATGGGCTCCAGAACGGGTGGAATTGATAGCATGCCACCCACAATGAACCAGCCGCTTCCACCGCAAGGATTTGGAGGACCAAGCTCCGGCCCTCCGTCCGCGGCCCCCGGAGGGCATGAAAGGAGCTTCAGCCACGGTGGCATGTTGAACCAGGGCCCGCCACAGTCTCAACAGCCGTACAACGTGAGAAACTCTACCCAAAACATTACTCCGGCACAAAACCGATTCAATGGCGGAGGGCCCACCCCGAGTGCTGGTCCTCCTCAGCTCGGCGCGTTGCCTTTCCAGACTCAGACACCGGTCCAGGAAGCTCCAAACAGCTTTAATGAGCCGGCCCCTGCACCCGCTGCAGGACCGTCCAATACTTCTCCAGTCGGCAGGGGGAAGCAGGTCTTCGGCGTTAGCCTCGCTAGATTGTACCAGCGTGATGGTCTGGCGGTGCCGATGATTGTGCACCAATGCATTCAAGCCGTTGACTTGTATGGCCTCAATCTCGAGGGCATCTACAGGCTATCCGGATCGTCTGCACATGTGAACAAGCTGAAGAATTTGTTTGACACGGGTAAGTGAAGGTCCAAATGCCTCAAAGGGAACTGTCATACTGACCATGCATAGACTCCGAATCGAGCATTTTGGACTTCCGGAACCCAGAAAACTTCTTCCACGACGTCAACAGTGTCGCGGGTCTTCTCAAGCAATTCTTCCGCGACCTACCCGACCCGCTCTTGACAGCGGAGCACTACCAGAATCTCATTGAGGCGGCCAAGCACGAAGATGACGTCTTGCGCCGTGACAGTCTGCACGCCATCATCAACGACCTGCCAGACCCGAACTACGCCACACTGCGTGCCTTGACACTGCACCTGCACCGCGTCACAGAGGCCAGTAGCATCAACAGGATGAACTCGCAGAATCTGGCGATCGTGTTTGGGCCTACACTGCTCGGAACAGCGCCTGGCAGCAATATCGCTGATGCAGGATGGCAGGTCCGGGTCGTGGACACGATCTTGAACAACACGTACCAGATTTTCGACGAAGACTAATGAACGTGAAAGGCCAAGTCGGTGTTGGTTGGATCTTGGGGCTCCTTTGTGACCCAATTCGATGTATGACTATAGTGGTATGCGCTCAGCATGCGAGAGGTGGCTTATTCTCAAAGACGGGCGAAAATGCGGGTTTGGTATAGCTAATGCGCCAGGACGGATGGCTGATGTTATGCGGGCTGCGAGCCGTTTCATGCGCCTGTCTCCTGGCTTTGGTGAGAAATTCACAAAGCTCCACGGAATTCGTTTTGTTCTTTTCACCTCATTCATCGTGATGCCATCTCTGCAAGCATAAACCGTGAATACCTGAGCTGCCGAAGCACCATGACTCGAGGTCGGGAGGTCTTTGTTCTTTTCATGGCTTCGTTCGCGTCACAATGAGACCCAATAGCTCTGTGTATATTCAACAAAAGGTATTTATTGACGATATGAAACATTATGTGCTTCCTTGCTTCGGCCGGGTCATTGGAACAAGGCGACGCTATTTGTGATGATCCCACTTGCCCAAGAGGGACCCGCCATCATGGTTGAATGATCCTTGACTCTCCAGCATAATGTTCGTCCCCAACCATTTTCAGGATTAGGAAGGCCCATTATAGGGGTGCTCGCTAATGCTATGCAGACCGTGAATGGTACTGCTTATTATGGCTGTCATACACGACGACAGCTCAGGGCGACGATACGGCCCCATTGCGTCGCGAGGGAACGGTAAATCGCGCGAGTGTAATTTTGACTGCTTCCATTTCTCTAAGCGGCGACGGGGGCAGCAGGGCCAGTGCTCGAGCTGGCGCTCTGGTTGGGAGGCTGCGGCAGGAAGAGGGGGAGATATGTGACGGCGAGGGACATGGCTAAAGACAAGAGAGAGAAAGGGTGCGTCAGCTTCCGGCTTCGAGAATCCTTCCAATGCTTGGTGCGGCGGATAACGGCGCAAGCCGTCGACAGCGCAATGGCCCTGTCTGTTGGTACGCCAGAGACTCACCTGACATGCCCACGGTGAAGTAGCCGGGTGTGGAGGCGTTGTTGGCCGTGTCCTCGCTCTCGCCGAGCCAGTTCTGGAGCGCGAACACCAGCGACGCCCAGCCGAGGTACTTGTTACGGGTGAAGATGGCAGCCATGGGCAGCGTCGAGGAGATGGTCGAGCCAAAGTCGGCCGGGTCGCTGGCCTTGCTGGCGGGGGCCTGGTACGGGACGACTACATTTCGCGACGCGCGAGAAGAGGGCAGGAGTCAGCTTTGCGGTCTTTGGACGTGGCGGATGTCTGTGTATGTGTGTGTGTGCGCGCGCGCGCATATGAGGGACACCCAGGGGTTTCAGGAGGGTGGTTGACGCTCTGGAGGAAGGAGAGCTGGTCGCAGCTCGAATTGCGCGCCATTAGGACGTACCCAGATCCGGCCGGCGCATGTCCTTCTTTGTCGACATCTTGGGCAGGCTGCAAGCGAGAAGTGTGTCGCGGAGGTGCTGGTCCAGGCAGGCAGTTGATGTCGAGAGGCGAAGCAAGCAGATTGCAGTCTTTCGCTTGGCCAGAGTGGAAGCTGAAGTCGATAGCTGGGGTTGCCCCGTTGGAGATGAAGGCATTAGGTAATGAGCCGGGTCCGGTCAGGGTTCATGTCCGGGGCAGGAGCTCGAGAGGCTACCGCCTGCTGCCGGGCAGCTCGCAGCTGTCGTGCGGGCAGCCCGTGGAGTCGGAGGCCCAGGCCGCCGCGTGCTAGGAAGGCGTGACCGTGGGGTGGGCCCATGTTCCCCGGCTCCACCAGACGCAGGCTCCGGAAGCAAATCTATGCACACGGGCGCTGTGTAATGTGCCTCTCGCGCTACCTTAGAAGCTGGATACAGCGAACTGGTGTTTGACTACCAGCAGCCGACGCTTTTCTCTTCTCTGTAGACGTCCAGAAGAACGAGAAAAGACCGCTGAGCTCTACAAAGGCCTCGTCTCGGGTCAGGGAAGCGTATTTAAGAGGCGTAGCGCCCTTTCTGATTCATTACAGCTTGGACGCGAATCACGCGAACCGCGTGTCGGGTCAAAAGCATGCAACTTCACCGAGCGGCTCACAACGTCCTCAGAAGGATATTGAAAACTACAGCGGCCAGCGGCAAGGCGAGGGCTCGCCCGTGGGCCGCCACTGCAGTCAGGCTCACACCATGAGATTGGGCTTGGGGCCAAGCCATCCGCCCATCCACGGAGCACCACCCGATCAAAGTCAAAACCACAGGTCATCGCGATGGCCCACACCAACCGTGACCACAAATGATGCAGCGCTAGAGCAGCGGCGGCCAAAGCCCCCAGGACTGGGCACCGGCAGACAGTTTCGGGACACGAGTCGTGGGCTTCTCAAGCTTGCTGCATGTCAGACAACGACAACTCCACCTCGTACTCGACATAATACAAGACGGCCCTCTACCTGTCCCCTGATCCCCGGAGGTGCTTCAGATGGCCTGAGGGTGAGCACCAGGTGTGCGCCCAATACCGCATATGAGACACCGAAGACATACGTATCACGATCTGTGGTCAAAGTGTGACAGGGACAGGATGTGCAAACTTGTCTTACCATCGCGCATGCGGGATGACTAACCGGACTGCGTTGTTCAACAATGCACAAAACCTTTGCGGATGACTTCGCAGCGTCCGGGAGCTCGGAAGATCTCGTCACGAACGAAACACAGTCTTGTCCACGATCTTATCCCCTCATGTGTAGTGGCTTGCTGTAGCTCGTCTGGAAGGCTGCTTGGCTTCTCAGCTCTCGTCGCTCGGCATGCCTTTTAGTGATGCTAGCTCCAGTAAGCCATATGTCTCGGACAGTATGACGAAGATCCAGCGTAAGGTGGTATGGCTTGCACACAGGAACGCACCGCATCAAGATCGTCGACAGGTGCTGTCATGGACATGCCACTGGGCCTGCGGAGCAACCACACCAACGAACGGCGCTCCATGAACCTTCCCCAGGCGGCATGGCATACCTGTTCCAAAGCAGGATCGCCTCACACTTTGCCCTTGGAGATCTGCAGGTTTGGGCCAGAGTTCGCACAGGGAAGGCTTCATGACGGTGCCATACAAGTACGATCGAGCACGATACGTGTCACGTTTTCCCCTTTGGGCCTTGACCAAGAACCTGCAGTATTTCCATCACAACCAGAGACCCCCCCCCCAGTCAGCATTGTATGCGGACGGGCGAGACGACTTTCAATCTCCGGGCAGCTCTCAACGCGAAGGGCCCAGCTTCCTGAAAAAGGCGTGGGACATGCAGGGATGCAAGCACTGCTCAAGGGTCACTTGGCCCAGCCCGCCCTGCCATCCCGTCTGGCCCCCCTCGAGCAAGGGGTTGTGGAATCTTCCTAGCCAGCCACGCACCACCCTCGCGATAAACCCCACAATGCAGGCCGCCCGTCACGTTCAAGAGCAGCTGGAACCAGACATCTACGATAACGTTTGGCACAGTGTGCGTAAGTATACGGTTGAGGGATGTCGTACAGTCTCCCGACCTGTATCTGGACACAGCGCCCGCGGTGGTGCCGGATCAGCAGCCAGCTCGACCCGGTCAGGCCGGACATGTCAGCGCCAGCGTCCCAAGCGAGACAATTGGACGATTGAGGAGACGGGGATACAAGCACGCACTCTTGGCCTGCCATCTCCACACCTGACAGATCGTCGAGCCGGCCCTGGACTGCTCCGCCACCGTATCGCCTATTAATCTCACTCCCTCCGATGTCATGTACTGTATGCAGGCGGTGCAATCCCGAAGCTGCCGTGGTTGTGTCGGCGTGTGGCTACATTCTGTTCTGAGGTTGGTCGTGCTCGACAGATACTTTGGTGTCAACAAAGACATTCGGATTCACTGGCTGTATTCTGCACTTGTGGGATCATGGGCTCTCCTCATGGCAGAATGCACGAGTTAGCTGGCATACTCGGGGCTCGGGCAGCTGTTGGCGTTACTACCTATTACGTGGAAACGCAGGTGATCCATGTGGCACCCACGATAGCTTGGCCTGGCCATGGGGACATGGGGGCGTGCGTGCGCGCCTGCGCCAGAGAAGATGTCACGTTTGCCCAAGGTGACACAATCCCAGGACGCGTCCGGTGATTTGCGCAGCCGTCGTCTCTCAGGGGCCGGTCGGCAAGCACCAGTCCGCCACTCACCACCACCTGCTGCATGTGCTGGTGCTGGTGCGCAGGCTGTCTGTTTGCCCCTTCCGGGTGGTGAGAGCCCAAGTGAGTGACAACTCGGCGTCGTCCGACAAGCACACGATCGAGCTGGGGCCGCCGACCCGCAGCCGCAGCCGAACGACTGCAGTAGGCGCCGCGGAAGCTAATTGCCTGCCATGTTCCATTTCGACTTGCCGCTTCAGCTCTGGCTTTAAATCATCTAGACTACTCCACGGCTAATGTGCCTTGTTGCGTAGCGTAGCGCAGCTCGGTCGAGGCGAGCTTCGCCCCGACTCCGACGGAGGCGCACAGACCCAGACCCTTTAGCCTGGCCCACCCTCCTTCTCCTCGATCGCCCGCCCTGCCGCCGCTAGCCAACTGCGCGCGACCTGCTGCTGCTGCTGCCATTGTGCCGCTGTCCGCAGCCCCGGGCAATCTCACAACGACATCCATCCCTCCCAGCCCGGCTCCATCACCATCATCAACCAGCGCCCGCTGCGATCTTGCTTGCCATCCAGCATCGCTGCCAGCATCACCACCGCTCCAGTACTCCGCTTAGCTTCCCTTCGCTACAATACACCCGACATCCACGAGTCGATTTCCGCGGCGCCTCATCCTCAGCATTGATAAGCCACCCGCCCCGTGCCCTCCGCCTGTACGCCAGGCTCAAGTGGCAAGCCGCGACGTCTTGCAAACACCCCCTCGACCCCGAATACGACTACGTCTACCACCCGGAGAGATGGCGCAGCCGTCCTGTCGCCCGCGATGACCTCCCGACCGCCGTTGGGCATCCAGTCGAGACAGCCTCAAAGATCCGTCAGCGGCTCTGGGCTGTCGCAGCGACCTCCAAACCCACAACGCAGTCTCAGCCAACAGTACTTGCCGCAGTCGCAGTCGCCAGCACGCAGGGCGGATAGCTTCACAGACCAGCAGCAGGGACCCGTCGATCTGGGCGACTCAGCCGGCTCTCGATATGTCGCGCCGCCAAGGCGAGTCGGCTCGAGGCTCCGGCTTGAGCTTGCAAATGATGGCATCGAGCATGCAGGATTCTCTGAATCGCCCAAGACCTTGGAACCATTGTCCGGAAGTAAGGTGTTTACGCCATCGCGCATGATGCACATGAACGACACGTCCGAACTCGGCGACTTGAGCGCGCCTCAGTCGAGATGTCACACGGCCGAGGGTGAGCCGGTGCCCTTGCCCATGCCGCCTCGGCGAGCGCGCTTTGTAGTTCCTGCCAAACGGTCCGCTTCGATGCCCGCTCCATCAACACCCTCCAAGAGAGACGGCCGGCCAAAACCTTTCCACCTCGAAACTCCAGCTGCCGCGCCACGCTTCCCGCCTGTAGGAAAGCAGGAGCACTCCGCAGGTAAGTCTGCAAATGGCGTGGATAAAAAGCTCATCAGTGCTTGGCCCTTAGGTCGACGGCTTTCGCTTGGGTTTATTACCTGATTGTGCACGTGCTAACATATGACTGGTCTAGGCCATGCGGACTTCTATGCTTGGACAGGCAATAACGCAGAGGACCAGTTCTCCGATCACATAATACGCAATGGTTTCTTGGACAAAGCCCCCGGACAGGCAGCTCAGGAAGCCTCATCTGCGAAAGTGACGCTGTTCCCGGCGTTGAAGCACAAGAGCGGCCTCCACACCTTATCAACAATATTCACCAGTGTCTTAAATCAGAGGCGACAGAGTGGTCAAATCTCTGCACCTTCAACATTCAAGCCGCCACCACGAGTGACGGTAACCGACACGAAGCGCGAGGTATGGCTCAAAGAGCTCGCAAACCCACAGATATCACTTCGCCGGCTCAGTCGAACCATTCCACATGGCATCAGAGGCCGAGTGCTCCTCGACCAGTGCCTCAACAAGAATGTCCCGACCGATCGTGCCGTGTGGCTTGCGAAGTGCGTGGGCGCAAACGAGATCCGCGCGTTCAAGCGCAAAGGCGTCAGTGGTGCTCTGGTCATGGGCGGCGAGATCAAGTGGATCCGAGACTGGACTCTATGCATCGAGCAGTTCATTGACGCCGTGGTCGGGTCATTCAGTGACGTCGATTGGAAGGCCAAGGTCCAGTACGCGTAAGTATCAAAGCTTCTTTCCCGAACTAGGCTCACAAGCCCGCTAACATCTTCTCAGCATCCGCCTTGCTACACATCTCTATGCTGAGCATCTCCTTGATCGTGATCATTACATGGACTGGCTTGTCGCTGGGCTCGAGAACACAACTCAAGCAAGACTGCCCATGTGGTTACTCATTTCACAGATATACTGGAAAGATATGCTTAGGCTGCGCAAATATGGGCGCAGGCTTGTGACCGCCATCGTCGGCCACTACAATTCGGTACGTCAAGGCCTCTACTCTTCTGCGATATTCAAAAATGCTACGTGAGAATACATGCTGATGCTGGGCAGATCTTTGATCATCCTGACCAGGACATTCTCGCGCCGCTGTCCACGCAATTACGCACACTCATCAGCTCGCTTATGCTCACCACCCCCGAGAACTTTGTCCATCCCCAGACGTGGACCAAAGGTCATGATGCTATACGAGCCTGTGTTATGGCTGATGAGGCGACAATTGCGACTTTTTCAGATATTGATGCTCGCAACAGCTGGTTCATAAGCCCCAGTGTCAAGTCTCAGCCAGCAGTGCGAACCCGCATGGTCAAATTACTTGACAACATTCTCCGCGCTCCCATGGCTGAGGACACGCCGAAGCAGCTATGGGACCTGGGTGAAGACAAGGCGGGTCTGGTGAGGACTGTTCTCGAATGGGCCACATCTTTGCATCGCCCAGGCATTGCGAAAGTCTACGCCGCGACTACAATCTTGCGATCCTGGGCCGTTCTTGACATCGACACAACCGGGAGCATTCTCGAATACATTAACACCAATCCGCTGTCCGAGACATCTCGACAGCATCTCCTTTATCATCTGGTCTCCGAACTCGTACGGTCGAACAATTTCTCTGTAGCTCGCTACATTCAGTGGCTCATTGCCCGCGGAGGCTTGACCAGCCCCCAGGAGACCCAGACGGACGGCCCTTGCGCGACCAGGCTCCTTGTGGAAGTTCCTACGAATGCACTGAGCGACTCGATGAAGAGTCTCCGAGCGACTCTCTTACGCAGAGCGTCCTACTCGGTCCAAGAAGAGTCGCAGAACGTTGCAAACGCCATTGGCTTCGTCAAGCATGCATTGTCAGGATCAATCGATGATGATGACGATGGTTCCCTAGTGGTTCGAAAACCTCGCAGCATCAAAAAGCTCACCAGGCAGTTATCAATGAGCAGTCGAGCGCTACAATCCGAGGTGTGTGCTTGGCTGTGCAAGGATTTTGTTGGCGGCGTGGTTGAGGCTCAACTGGAAGGCACTCTCGGCGCCGGCCTCCCGTTATCGAAGTTTGAGTCGATCCGTGCACTCGTTGAGGCGAGCAATGATTTCGCCATGCTCGAGGACATTCTCAAGATGCTTTCACATTCTACGAACCCCGATCTCCTCGCTTCATGCGCCGACACAATCAACCTCCATCTGTCTGTTTTTGCGGCCACTGGGAGCGCCAAAATGTTGTTCCAGCTCTACTATGATCGTTTCCGGTCTGCAGTGGACGATATAGGCGTAGGGGCCCGGCCATTGCTCGCATCACTTGCGAGTCTCGGACCGAGACTTCCAGGTTTCGAGGACATTGCAGCGCAGCTCAAGGATAGCCTCGCCAGGCTCGATCGCAGCAATGCCGTCGACGCATCCTCTCCGCTCTCCGATAATATGGTGACACAGCTTCAAGATGATGAGGCCGAGCTTACTGAACAGATTGAGAAGCTCGCGAGCTATTCGAGCGCTGACCAGCCGACTCTCGAACGCGTATTCCAGGCCATTATCTTCAAGCTTCAGTCCTGCTGGGGCAAAGATGATGGTCGCCAGCGGGCCTACTGCATGCTCCTGACGCGGCTGCGTGTCTTCGATCAACACCATTTTGACAATCAGATGCGAGCTTGGCTCCAGCACATTCGGAAGCTCTCGAAGCGACCTCAGCTCACGCAGATGTTTCCACTACTTGTTAGCTCCGGTTGTCTCTCTTTGGCAATCCTGTTCGCGACGGCGCCACGCAACCAGTCCCAGGGTGCCCAGATTCAGCCCAGTGCCGTTGGATGCGCCTCTATCTACATGCAGGAGATCCTGCAGATGTTGATGATGCCTCTGGAGCCTGATCAGGTCCTAACTTCAGAGGACTGCTATCGCTTTCGCATCATTCAAGATCAAGCTCGACTTGAGCACGCTAAAGAGATCATGTCCTTGATACGCGGGGCCCTTGCAGAGTACGCTGCCCCTCGCAATCCACAGGCCATGATTGCACAGCCACTGGACGATAACAAGACCAAGTTTCAGCTTCTGGAGCTTCTCAGAATCTTGGTGCTTCTTGATCCCCTCGCGGCATGTCAGACTCTTTCGATCAAGAGCTCTGATGCCAATCTCAGAGCGCTCATCGAGACGCTGACGACCAAGCTGCTCGTTCCACAGCCTAGTGGCAGTAGCCAAAAATCATTTGAGCAAGTCCTGGAGCTTGCAAACGAGTTCACTCTGCCGTTCTGCCAGGTCAAAGTCTCGTTGAATCTATCGAGTGAGGAGTCCGGGACCGCCGATTCCGCGGAGAGGGTTCAGTCTCAGCTTGAACAACTCTCCAGAGCCATGGATAATGCCATCTCCGCCAACAACATCATGTGGACCGGCATGCTCCCATCATTGAATGCCGAGATGACGCAACACCTCAAGAACCGGGCCGAGGCTCGCTTCCTTGAACTCTTCCCCTCACCGAAGATTGGCCAATCGTCTGGAGACACTACAACCAAGGAGTACATTATGGCTGAGAACCTCTTAACCGTTATCGACGCCATTGTTAGAGGCAACTCGGCTGTGAAAGGACCGGCCGTCACTGCAGCCCTGGCGGAGAAGCTCCTGGACATGTGGGAAATCGTGGCTACGCCTAACACAGAGCTGGCGTCACTCAAAGATATGGTCCTTGCCAAGTGGCTGCCGCTACTTCTCGCTTACCTGACTATGCAGACGAGCACGGATTTGCCAGCCGCTGAGCTGGCGAAGGCGCCGGCTGGCGAAATGCGGGGAAGAGTTGTTCTAGCTCTTGCTGGCATTGCGCAGGAACTCGACTTTCAGAATCACGGGGCATATGTGAGTCTGAGCCAGCGAGTCTTTGATGCCGCTCTAGTCATCGCGGACACGCTTAGCGAGGAGGCAAGACTGCAGTGCGTCCGAGCGGTCAAGGACATGACATCCGATGTCCGAGTCCGATACCTCCTGAGCTTCAGCGCCAACCCAGCGGATACCTTTATGCTGGCTCATCGCGAGAGGCCGCCGCCTGGCCTCAGTGAGCGGGAAAGAAGGGCCATGGTCCTCGGCATGGGGCTGAGTGGGATGTTGCCGGAGAGGCTCAGCCCCTTTACATTTCGTCGGTGGGAGATCCTGAGTGAGCCCACGCCTAATGTTGGCGAGAACGACACCAGCTTGAGCTTGACGCTGTTCGATGCCAGGAAACTCTGACGCGTGTTCCGACGACGAACGACACAAACGTCCACTGCAGAGCCCTCAAGGGCTCTGATTTAAGGGGCAGCATCAATACACCAAACACCACAACACGAATCACGTACGACTACACACCACTAGATCTTTCATTTTTTTTGGGCCATCACAGTACAGTCTGCATTGACAAGGGAAGGAAACTCATGAACGGCGTTTCTCATGTTTGTATGATTGCATGTGTCGATCGGCCAGACACGCTTGACATACACGCACAGACACCCATGGATGCTGTCACAGGGCTAGCATAACTGCCACTTGTTGTTCTTTTGCGTTTGATGGTTCTCTGGATATCCTTCTCTCTCTCTCTCTCTTATTGGTTTGTCTTGGCATTATCCATAGCGAGCAGGGGTTTTGCAAAGGTCAACAACGGCTTGTCGGTTTTGTCGTTTTTTTTTTACTTTTCCTTTATTTTGCACAATAGTACCATAGTAGCTCCTCCTCACGCAGGTGCGCCTTCATGGGTGTGCATGCTGCCTGTATATATGTGTCCTCCTCTAGACTTGGGGAAGCTTCGTTTGTGAATGAATATGTTTGACCGCTATGCCGTTGAGAAATAATATGGTGCTCTTGGCTGTGATCAGATGTGATTGTCGGGCAGGCCTTTCCTGTTCAAAGTGGTGCGGAAGCACTTCTGATGGTCCAAAGACTAGTACCTAGTCCCTGGCTGAGTTGATAATTTTATGTATACCTCGGTGATTTGTACAGATAGAGAGGTAGGTCCGGGGCCTTTTGCGCGCCATTGTTCATTTGGTTTCAAGGCTCACGTCAAGAGGACCGAGGTTGATGCTGTGTGTTCACGGAAGGGGGACGCCATCGAACGATCTTCTATGCTGTGTACTCTCGCGGTATCGACTCTACCTAGCCTCAAAGGAGGAGAAATGAGCATGGTATTCTTTTCTCCCAGTGACATATCGTGTATTGGGAAGCCGTGTGGTAGTAGTAGGGGGAGTAGTTCCCTTCTTTGTGCTATGAGGTGGTTTCTGCTCAACGCGGTGTAATAATCTTTGTGTGCCTCCGTCCCAGCCTCCCGACTTCTTCTGGTGGTTCAGCCTCGCGAGAGAAGACTGTGTGACGTTGCTGTTGCTGTGCTGTCGGCCAGAAAATCGTTGCCGTGTAAGGCTGTGCCAGTAGATGCTTCTGTGGCTTGGTGGGTTTGCATTTGGTGTTCCTATTTTTGTTTTCATTTTCTTCCTCGTTTCTAATGGAAGACGGGAGAGAGACAGGGTGGGAGAGACTGGTTTTTGTTTTCATTCCTAATCTTTTTGGTCCCTTGAATCTGGCACTGTTGGTTGTGGACAGTAATCATACTTCCGCCCTTGGGCGATGGTGATGATATCTCGTGGTGGCTTTTGGTCTCGATCACGAGCGGCGAATGGACTGGACCTCTCATTGTAGTCCTGCGATCACCCTGAAGGGAATCGACAATTTATCATGGGGGTTTTCCCCGGTCCGATCTTGGTCGGGATGGTGATTGCTGCCGTCTTCAAAATCGTCGGTGGCGCATGTAGTGCTCTGCTTCCCATGAGAGGCTGTTTTCCCCAGCAATATGGATGTGCGGCCTCGAAGACAATATAGTCTAGGCTTTCACTGCATAGGAAGTCTCGTATGGTCCAAAGCGTATATGCAAAGGCACACTATGGTCGAATGTCTATGGATCCATTCTCGTTCGATGCGGAGCAGGTATGATTGAGCATGGTTACAGGGTTCCGATTATGTCCGACTGCGACGGTTGTTCCTCTGACGTGTTATTATGAGAAGAACCATTCATTGCTGTCCAAGCTTTCTTGGTTCCTTCAAGTTGTGTCGTTATTAACACGTCCCTCGCTGGTTTGAGAGACTGACGCGAGGCATAACTTCCTGGCTGTTTTTGAGGGAGCGAAGTAATCGTCGTTCCATGAATCGCAACATGTCCTATTTCTTCCAATCGAGCATCTTTTTCCTCTTCTTTTTTCTACTCTTCTTTTTTTGTTAGAGAAAAAGAACAAGGTTGTCAATTCTGGAATAAATAGCAGGCAAAAGTATGTGCACGTAACAGGCTACCTCTCGGCCTATCCCAACTACATGAATGCGCACCAGCTCAACAGCTGCGTTTCTCACAGCCAGACAAGACACAATGGCGACGACATGGCCCGTGATACCATGGGCTAAGAGGTTGTTGCACAGTCCATGGCTCCTCTCAGGCAGGACAGACTACCCGGCACCAGCCCAGCTACGCTCCCTGACTGGACTCCAGTTATTGTTGACTCGGCCGTTGCGCTAAGAAGGAAACCCTCCATGGCCCCCCCCTGTCGACCCCTGTCCGGTCCTCTGTGGCCCCGCGTCTCAGCCTCCCCGCCAGGCGTTGCTGAAACTCGTCGCAGGTGCTCCTCGCTCGTCTTGCCATGCACAGCAGCCGGGCTTCGCGCGCGCATGATGAGGAACAGGCCTGTCTCGTCCAGAACAGAGAGTCAATCTCACAATGTTTAGCCAGGGAAGTGCAGAAAGAAGAACCTCTTTCGAAAAGGGTTTGGAGGAGCCCCCCCTTCCCAAGAATTATGGCGGTATGTGCTGAACTGTCTGCTCGGGAGACAGAGAGAGCCCGCTTCTCGACGTGCACTGTGATGATATGATGCATGCGGCTCTGAGATGGGACGAATCGAAATGATGGGGAGAGGAGCCTCCTGGAGGATGTAACAGAGCAACGGCAGGGGGGCCTCGAAATCCGCGGGCAGGGGGGGGGTCGCCCCTTGGGACACTTGCGGTCTCGAAGCACCTGGGCAGTCAGCCAGGAAAAGTTCCACAGGCACAACTCGGCAACATTATTTTACGCAGCCCAGCCAGCCAGCCAGCCCTGGTACTTGCTCACCGTAACAATGGATGGGGCGGCACGCACTCGACCCAATGTCACGCCACACCTCCTGGCATCGAGGGCGAGGCCTGGCTCTGCTGGCCGGGGATCGTGGTCTGGCATCGTCGTCGATGTTTCTGTTTCTCTTTTCCCTCTCTCTCTTTCTCTCCTTTTCTCCTCTTAGACAGAACAATATACACTTTTGTTTCCAGTAATCACCCACCCGCCCACTCGCCCACAACTCTTTCGCTTCTCAACCTTACAGATCTGGTATCTGTCTTTGCAACTCGTAATCAATTTCACATCGCCAACTTTTAATAACCAGCATCCACCCAAGCCACGAAAATACACAGCAGGAAGAAGAAGAACAACAGCAAGCACTAGCAACCACCAGTCCAGTCAAGGCAAAGCACACCAAAGCACACCACCACCACCGCCGCCCAAAATGCAGACCTTCGCCACCGCCATCACCTCGTTCCTCCTCTCCGCCCTCGCCATCCAGACCGCCAGCGCCGGAGGCATCGTCGTCACCCCAGTCTTTGCCAACCAGGTCGTCCCCAAGGTCAGAGGCGACTGCGCCTGGGGCGTCGTCACACCACAGGGCTGCGCGTAAGTCCCTTTCTTATTGTTCTTCCATTCTTGCCATTATTTCCCTGGCTGGCGTTTTGATTTGGAAAACTTTTTCTTTTGTTGTTGTTGCCAACCTGCAATCATGCTAACCCAGACGTAACAGACCTCTCCGGAGCTGAAAGAACAATGGAACACAGGGGGATGCGTCGCCTCGCGCGCACGCGCACGCATTCATCTAGCCATTCTTGAGATGAAACCATCTGGTTTCTCTTCAAAAGCCCACTGTTGGATCCCCTCCTTCTTGTGGATGACTAACTCTCGCAACGAGCATGAGGAGGAGGTGGACGACGACGCAGTATTGCATACGTGGGGATAGGGGAGGGATGGGGGAAGGGGAGATCCCATTTTTATTTTTACTTTTATGATTCCCGTCTGCAACATACAGACACGTATCGAGGCAGGGAGAGGGAGGAGGATGGAGAGGATGAGGAGGAAGGAGGAGAATCATTTACACACAACAAGCCCGCCGTGTCTTTTCCGCGCTGCTCCTTTCTTCTCTCTACCTGGCTGGCGTTGTTCTTCTTCTTCTTCTTCTCCAGCATTGACTAGCACATAAGCCAAATTTCTCTTCATTTGCCCGAGGAAAAAAAAATATAAATTTCAACACCCACCACTACTATGCCCTCGAGCTTCAAGAGCTCAAAAAACATACCTAAGCTTAAGCTTTATCCATCACACGCATTGCAGCACAGTCGTCTTACTATGGTGCTTGTTCCCTCTCCTCTCAAGGGCTTGCAGACCATCATCAATGGGATACGCGACGAACGGCCCAAGACCAGGCTTGGAACGCAATGACAGACGGGACCGTCTCTGATATCATATTGGCATGGCAAACTGGCAATGGTACCCTTGACGGACGGGGACGAGGATGCTTGTGGTGGAATCCGTGGTGAGGTGGTTTGGCTGTGGAGATGGCAGTGGCGGCACGGTGGGACCCAGCCATTTAGATAGTGTCGAGTACTGTATGCACCTTGAGTATGACTCGATGCAAAACTCTAGTGGAGTTCCATCGCACTCCCGTCGCTTCAAGCGAACTTTGGGCAAAGCCCGCCCGGGTCTTGATGGTCGAATCATTCGATAACCTTACTTCTTCACACCAAAATGTGGGGGAGCATGCAGGTACGGGTTTGCCACGATCCACCCCTGACAGCCGTGGAAAATCAATAGCCATTGCGAGGTACTATTGCGGTAAAATATTGCGGTGAAATACCCAAAGATAGCCGCCAAAGCAAGATGTAGCACCAAAACAGCAAAGATACAGGGTGACGCCTTGAACTATGCTTGTGACACCAGGTCACCACCAGGACAGGGGAAACAACAGCGACACATGTGCACGATGTCTACGCACGGGCCCCCCTCGCCCCCTCCCCACCACTTCAACCTTGACTGCAGAAGATGCCTCTATGCATTCCCTCCTGGCCTTACGATGCCTCTTCAGAATCGTCGATTGCGTGCTCGGACTTTTGCGAGTAGATGCGGAACTGGTAGAAGATGATGCAGTCTTCGACAATCGTGCCGAGCGAGCCTAGCAGCCAAGGAATGGCTTTGATGATGTACTGCGGCTCCTGAGAGTAGCTGAAGACGCTTAGCCCGTAGGTGAGGTTGCCAGTCAGGGACAGCATGAAGAACAAGAGAGCGAGGCCTAGACCAGGTTAGTTTGCTGACGCTGGGGCACGGGTTAGGGTGGGCAGATACTGACCTTCGCAGGATTTCTCGCGGTAATTTTTGATGATTTGTGGGATCCGAGCACTGTGCCAGGTCAGCCAAGTGCAAAGCGCCCCCTTTCACCGCAACACAAGACCTACCAGAGATAGCAAATAGCACTTGTATAGCCCATGACCATGCCAAGAATGGCCACAGGCGTGTCAGGGCTCAGATCTTCCGGGACATCGGCCTCTGGCTGGTCAAACGCACCAGCGCGGTACGACAAGAACCAGCCCGCAGTGCCGACGACCCAGATTGCTGTGATTCCGAGCGTGTTGTGCAGCCATGCGCTGCCGGAGGGTGTCTCGTCTTCGCCCGTGATCACGCGCTTGATGGGGTTGATCTCGCGTCCCGACGAACGCCGCCGCTGAGATCCAGGGAGGGCGACCGCGGTGGTCGAGGAGCCGGTCCTCTGCCGGCGCAGAAGTGGCTCGTCTTCGGAGATGTCGGTTGCGCTCGACTGAGCTCGGCGCCGCGCCGCTCGCGCATTAATCGTGTTGTAGTACACGCACTGCGAGATGAGGATCAAGTCGGAGACGCAAAAGTATGCGGCCAGCACGGTAGCGGTCGGCGCAAGACCGGTGACGAGGGCACCTAGAATCAAGGAGCGAAGGCTGGTTAGTACACACGGGTGCTGTTGTCTGGGGGCAATTGCTTGCTGATATATGTATGCCCTGGAGAGCCCATCGGCATCAAGCACTCTGTCTTACCTGACAGATTTGTGACATCGCCAAAGAGCCAGACGGCCAGAAAGAGCATGGACAGCCCATCGGCGCTCTTGGTCTTGTAGTTTGTGATGAGTTGGGGAATCTGTGGTTCCCAAGGTCAGGTCAGCCGTGTTCAGTGCTCTGAGGGTCGTCACCCCACCACCGTGCTTTGCGGCGGGCGAAGGGCCGGTCGTCCCAGATGTTAAGACTCACGAGCAAGCAGATCCAGGATGTGATGCTGATGCTGCCAAAGATGCCAGAGAGCGCCTCGTTGGTCGAGAGGCCGTGCGCTGCGCTCGCCATGCTGGGCAACGCTCGTCGAGGCGGCTGAAGGCGAGGGTGCGGCGTCCAAGTCCTCTTTGCTGGTGAAGCAGGGTCCTTGCTTGAGCAGACAATCAGAGGGTACCACGAGGCTCGAGGTGGGTGTGCGCGGCGCTCTTCGAGGTGACTGTCGGTTGGGGGAGATCAAGACATGCAATCAATGGCTTGGGAAAAGGTGAAAAAGGTCTGCAAGCAAACTCAGCAGTGACAAGGGCCGAGCGGGAGACGCATGCATGACGGGACGGGAGAGCCAGACCAGATTATCGCGTGTGGGGCAGGCGTGGTGTCGATCTCGAGCGGCGACGGACGGGGTGCCCAGCTCTCGAGGCGTCAGTTACTGTGTCTGGTCACGAGGCGCCAACACAGGACCGTCTGCAATCAGGACCGGCTGGCGAAGTCGTGGATGACAGCCCTGCAGATAAGTTGCCTATGGGTTGGTTGCGCAAGGCCGTGACACACACCACGGCCCTGCAGGAGGCGGCACACCTGACTTTTCCTTATCGCTGCACTGTCAGATGCGCGTGGGGAGGCCGCACCCCGATTCAGGGAGCACTACGTCAGCGCTGGCCAATCAGCACAACGGGATTAGAGCTGCAGTAGTGGGCACCCGTCAAGTGGGATGGTGTATGTACATGTACCTTCCCGCCACGGCCCAAAGTCGCCGCCTGGGACGGGACCTCGGGAGGCTTCAGAGGGATAAAGTTGGGAGTGCTTCTGGTGTACAAAAGCAGCCTATCATGTATGCCAAATGTTCTTGTGATTGGATAAAGACAAAAACCCATCTCGAGCTACGCCGCTGCATGAGCAGACAAGATCGATCCAACTTTGAGCACCGCCAAATTCTGCCGTCCTCCACGACGCGACTAGTACCACCCGCACTTCGATAGTTACTGGGACCACGCAAACCACATACTGGCTCCAGCCCGCGCGCCATTCTCCACAAACCATCGGGCATTCCGTACACTGGTGCCTGTAGGCTGCGGGATGGCCCCCACAGCCAGGCGTGGATAAGAGAGGTAAGCAGCGTCTCAAGCACCATCCGTTCAGACCCCGGCGCGGGTCACGCGGCTGCGGTGCTTGCGGGCTGAGTTGAGGCTGATGGCAGTAGTCCAGCCTTGAAGAGGAATGCTGTGTGGGCTGGTGGTGTTCTCAGCCACCCCAGCGGCCCGAGCTCTTGGTGCACTTGAGCTGTCTTCCCAAGGGTTGCGCCGTTGCCCCGCCACAACCAGACACCATGGGGTCCAAACACCCCCTGCAATGCCTGCGACCCCCCCAGCTACAGCTCTGGAGGTCAGCCAGCCAACCAATTCACGCCCGTGCAGCCCGTTGTCATGACCATCCCATCCACAGACGGCGGTCACATGAGAGCCTGTTGTTAGTTGATAAGAGACCCAGAGGATACAACACGTCGGGCAGCTGGCAGAGCCGTGTGTCGCGCGAGGACGCGTCGTCGACCTCGTTCTCCGTCTTGCAGCACAAAACGCTTGCACGCAGCAATATTCAGAGGGCCCATCCATAGAACTTGCAAGTACCGCAAACAATCGTCTCACGTATCTCAACAACAACGTCTCCCTTAGCCGCCAAGAAAACCCGCCCAAACAGGCACAGTCAAGGCTGCCGGTGCGTCATGAAGGCCAGCATCGTAAATCTCGCCGTCGGGGCGGCACTGCTGCCCTCGGTGGCGGCGTGGGGAAGTAGGTCCTCCCTTAAAGCTGCGGAACTTAAGGCCAGTAACATCGTGAATGCTCACCACTCGAGATGAAAAGGTCTCGGCCACATCACTGTCGCCTACGTCGCCAGCGCCCTGGTCCAAGAGCCCACACAGACATACCTCCAGGCTCTCCTGCGCAACGAAACCGAGCACTACCTCGCCGGTGTCGCGACTTGGGCAGACACCATCCGCTACACCAAATGGGGCCGCTTCACCAAGAACTTCCACTTCATCGACGCAAAGGACGACCCGTCGTCCTACTGCGGTGTCGACTTTGACCGTGACTGCAAGGCTGACGGCTGCGTCGTCGCGTCCATCCAGAACTACACGTCCCAGCTGCTCGACACGTCACTGCCGCCCTGGCGCCGCAACCAGGCCGCCAAGTTTGTCATCCACTTCCTTGGCGACATCCACCAGCCATTGCACACGGAAAACGTCGCCATGGGCGGCAACGGCATCCACGTCCGCTTCGACGGCGTCGAGCTCAACCTGCACCACGTCTGGGACACGAGCATCGCTGCCAAGTTCCTCGGTGGGGTGCATCGCGTGCCGTACCATGATGCCTCGTTGTGGGCCGACAGCCTCGTCAAGGACATCCGCACAGGCAAGTTTGCCGCTGCTCGAGATGAGTGGCTGGCTGGTCTCGACGTCGAGGATCCCATCGGCTCGTCAATGATCTGGGCGAATCAGTCCAACGCATACGTCTGCTCACATGGTGCGTATATTGTCCCGGGACCCTGAAATCTTCCATGCCGCCATGTCTGCCGATTTGGCGTTCTGCGGCGTACTCGTAATCTGGCTAACTGGCCCTCGTGGTATCAAAAAAATAGTCCTTCCAGAAGGTCCAGCTGCAATCGTCGGCAAGGAATTGGGTGGTGCGTACTTCGACGAGGCAGGTCCTGTGATCGAGGTGTCCGTCGCCAGGGCTGGCGTCCGCCTGGCGGCATGGCTGGACAGCATCGTGGCGAAACTCCTCCTCACGCCCGGCGCAGAGGAGGGGATGCTGTCGGTGGCATCTCAGAGCTGGGGTGAGGAGTACGACGATGTCGAAGCTCAAGTCGCGCAGCTTGAGGCCAGACCATCAAGTATTGAGGCTTCATCGGCGCAGGTCGTCATGGAGCTGTGATCTCAGATGATGGTCTCGAGAATACGTGTGATGCACGTTCTTCAAGCCCCCCAAGTATACCGGAGACTAGTCGAGCGAGGGAGATCCGAAGTCTGTTCTACGGTTGTCAATTAGATTGCATGCAGAGAAGAAGAAAAGCAAGATGGCACCAGTCCCTCCACCTACGCATGTTTAGATTGAATTGAGACCAAGACCACCAACTGTTCATCTGATTCCCCCTGAGCACACCCCAGCACATGATCCAGGGCCGTCCGGATCTTGCTTCTCCATCGCAAACTCTTCGTCACCTCTCCTCGTGGGCAGTGTAAAGGACGAGATGGACCACACACATACGCAAGCGCCAAAAGAGAACTTTGGCATTCGCGTCACTCACTGATCCCTCATTTATGATGAGACAGAAACCCCGAGTTGGGATGAAAAGGAGCCGAGCTAAGGAGTTATCAGGGTTTTCGATCGATTGGACCGGTTGAATGTGAGATACGGCGAAGCTTGGCAGATGAGACACGGAGTATTCGTCATCTAAGGGGTCACATGGGAAGGTGTGCAGCTCCGGACTTTGTAGTCTAGTCGGGGCTAAGCATTGAGAGAGGCAGCATTTCAGGTCCTGTTGAGGTTCATCTGGTCCCAGTAAGGCGATGAGACTAGGCTAGGGTTGCTCTTCTCTTTGCCTCTGTCGGGCAAGAAAGATGTCGCTGGCTACAACGCCCCGCAAAGATCTCGCGCGTCCCCAGGGGTCGTTTCTGATAACCAACAGGGGCAACTTACCGGGAGAACAAATTGCTGCTGCGTGACCTCTGATGAGGCTGGGAGAATCCGTGGAAACCACACACCCCCATCACCCATGCCCCAAGTGGAACCCAGCCCCTGATGCCCCGTAGCCCCGTGGCTGCTCGGAAATGTTTCGTGAACAACGAAGGACGTCACCCCGGACATCTATACGCACAGTCGCCGGAGCAACTCGCGAGCAAGGCCAGACGAGATGTGCCAAGGGAGGATTCCCGCCCTGCTCATGGGGAGAAAGGAGAGGACTGTATTGTGGATGACCTTCTCTCGGCCGAACGAAGGGCTGTTGCCAAGACTTCCTGCCGAGCCTCATCATGCAGGGGCTTGACTTTGTTCATTGTCTTCCCCGGGCTGTTTGGTCCACGAAGCTTAGTGATGTCTGCATTGGAGACTGCCATCTAGATTGAACCAGCTAACCATCAGATATCAGAATGCCAGCGTGTCAAGGGCAAAGCCATGAGGCCGAGGGCGATCTAGTCGCAAAGGTAGCATGTACGATTTCCATAACACGGAGAAAAGTCTTACGCGGCCGTACCGGAGCCCAACAGACACACAGAAAGCGTGCGTCATCGATGAACCCTGGACGAGGAGCTCTCTGTCGCCAGCGGTACTCGCAAGGATAATACGGATGCAAAATCTTGACGCCATTTTTCACCTTTGGTGGCTCCTGCACCAGGATCTAACTGGCTTGTCTGATGTTGCTGCTTAGTGGCGGGTGATGGAACTGCCGGGCTGTAGCTCACGGGGCAGAGGGCGACAGGAGATGCTTCCAGATCTCGAACCCCCGCAGTCTGGGTTGTTTCCAGGAACAACGAAAGGAGGACGCGACAACAAGCATGGCGTCCAATAGCAGAACCAGAGAATCGTACGATTTCTTCCAGGGCAAGTCAAGCCCGAACGGGTTCTTCTGGAACCGGTGCCAAGGCTCCCTGCCAACTTGAGACCCTGGCTGAACATTGAGCGAGCTTGCCTACTTTCATCCCTGTCAGGAGCGGAGGTCTTCAAGGTCGTAATCTCGAGCATCGAGGTGTTATGCAAGCACAACATGCTTCCTAGCTTTGTGCACAGCGCACATGGAGTTAAAAGGCATGGCAATGGCACAGCGAGTTTCAGTGTGATCCTCTGTGCGGGACCTGCATCATGGGCAGGGGTCCATGCTTGCACCCTGGTCCAGGGGTGTGCGCAGTCGTCCTTGTTCAGCTGGGGTTGCATCTCAGCGAGATTACCTAAGTGGACCAGTTGGCGAAGGATTTGTGCCGACAGCCGCGCAACCGGCGCTGATTGACAAGAAGAGTCTCTACTTCTGGGCGTTGCTGACAGTGGCCGTCGTAAGGAACACCAGACAAGCCTCATTTAGGCTGTTGGTGCTAGTTGCGGGATCGTTGCAACTTGGACAGGCTGCCAGAATGCTTGGCGTCGGCAGGATCCGAACGATATGCTTTATCACCATCTTGGCAGCAGGAGCCATACGATGACCGTATGAACCACATTCTGGTGGTCCATAGGAGCATACGAACAACGACCAAAAGCCAGGGGCAGGATTGTACTGTCATAATCGTCAAACACACAGCCGGCTGCTGGCTGCACGCCAGAGCGTCAAGCTTTTGAAAACCGAACATTTCTGCCGCTCCTGATTCGAGTTTGTACTCGCCAATACCTAGCATACCGGCGAATTATGATCAAGTGCCGGGACGAGCGAGATGTCGGGACGAACAGGAACGTCATTGTGCCAAGGCTGGCTTCGATACGGAGCATGACAAGTGACCCAGGCGTTCCCAAAGCACGACATGTTTCGTCTGAATCTCGACTGGTTGACGTTGCGACCGCCGGATCGGGAATTTCTGATGATCAAAGAGGGTCCCGAACGAAGTGCTTGCAGGCTTGGCGACTCGGAAATGCACAGGCGTGGCAGGGTAGGATGCGAAACCGCAAAGCGAGCGCCCGTAATTGAAAACAGCGGCACCACGTATGGGCATTGTCGCCCAGCCCGATCAGAGACGTGATAGGGCCCGACAGGGCCATCAAGGGCTCAACCGTGCTGTTTCGCGTGGGCGGAGGGCTTCCCAGTATTTCAGAGTCGCTAGTCGAAACAAGCGCGGACGCCACAATGCTTGTCTCTGTATCGCTCATGGATCGTGTGAGTGGGCGACATGGTGCCCCCAGCCCAGTCAGAGGCCGAGAACGGGCAGCACGCGCAGGCGCGGCGGTGCCGTCACGATGGAAATGGGGTTGATAGCAACGGCGGTCGAAGCTGGAGTTTACGACGGACAGGATGGCACACAGGGGTGACGAGAGACGTCGAGGAGGATGCAGGAGCGTGTCGCCCAAGAGGCTTGTCGAACCGCAGCGTCGGCGTGGTGGTGGACACGCGCTGGGGGCCGTTGAGAAATGGCCTGATTGAACCTTGGACAGGAGCAGTGCACTCCATGTCTCGCCTCTGTGTTTTGCCTCAGAGTCGGCCGGGTGCGAAACCGCCCAGGAGGGCATGGCTTGGCAGGGCAGTGGTCCCTGGAGGGCCTACAGCGCGCATGATTGGCGGGGTGCCTGGATTTGGTGGGGATCCTAGGGGCTGGCTGTTGGCCTTGCGGCTCAAGCCGTTGCAGGTGCGCCCCCGCCCAGCCACTAGCCCTGGCTCCACCCCCGGACGACGCGCGATAGAGCAATACCGTGCAGCGAGCCCGTCCAAACCACATCTCGTCCGGTAGTTGTTCAGTCCTGACCAGCGGCAGTGTCAAGATACGGCGATGCCAGACGCACTGCATGCATCGTGCTGGGAGAAAGGGCGGATATGACTGGGAGAGATCACTGTGAAGAACAAGCGTCCACATGGAAAGAGCGGCGGACATGGGGTTGGGCAGTCGCGGGCAGTCGGGCGGTAATAGGCAGGAGCCACTCTCTCACTATGAGCTGGCTGTGCCTGCGAGCAAGTAAGCGAGCAGTACACCAGACTGCGCGTGGCCGACTGAACTCGATATCAGACGCAGTATCGCCATGGGACGAAGGTTCCTCGTCTCCACCACCACGACAAGACCAACACATACCAACACTCCGATCAACCCGTCGGCCAGGCTTGTTAACCAACATGGGCCAGGGGACCTCCCCTCCCCGGTCGATCTGATCCGGGATGTGCTCCTTGGCGCTCGACACCCCCGTTCCCTGCCCGGATCGACATCCTGAGACGGCGCATGCTACGCCCTCGTGCTCTCCGTGCCGGAGCCCGGGCCCCAGCCCTCCCGGCCAGGGGCGCCTCACCCTCAGCGTTGGGGCTTCCGGCGTGCGTGGGGCGTGAGAAACATTCTCGGCGCCCAGTCCAGCCCGCCGTCTGAACTGTCCTGCCCGTCACTTACTGCGCCGGCCGCATCGCCTACTTAGGCCCACTGCTCCCCTCTGGTTTCAATCCCTCCTCTCCTGGTCTTCTTCCCTCTCCCATAGAATACGCTGGTAGTGTGTCTTATTCCCTTCGTTCCTTTTCTTGTCCCGGGGCCAGCCCACTTTACATCACCTTGTCCTTCGTGGCCATTCTTTTCTCTGCATCTTCGAATTCGGTCTGGTACCATTTTTGAGACGCCCCTTTCTATCACGCAAGCACACCACATTCAGCAGCTTTTCTCGTTCTATCATCGACAGCAGCCGGGTCTTCTGTCGCCTTCCACTCTCTTCGTCATCCAGTAATCATCGCCAACATGCTTCCCAAGTCTGTCCTTCTCGCCCTCGTCGGCGCCGTGGCCGTCTCCGACGCCATGGTCACTCCCTACGGCTCCGTCCATGACCGCCGGTCTCAGCGCAACAGCCTCAGCGCCAGGCAATTCCGTGGTGGCAACCGTGGTGGCCAGCAGGGTGGCCAGCAGGGCGGAAACAATGGCGGCAACAACGGTGGCAACAACAACAACGGTGGAAACAACGGCGGCAACAATGGCGGAAACAACAACCTCTGCCTCGACCCCAGTGTCATTGCCACGAACGCTGCCAACAACGGTCTTCAGAATGCCGCAGCTGGCCAGGCTGCGTCTCAGACGTGAGTATCTGCCTTGAGCTCTTATACGAAGGGAGACCCCTCTAATCTTGCCATAGCTCGACCAACAACTTCATCGACTTCTGCAAGGGCAAGACAATCACCAACGGTCTTCAGGCACGTGGCGGATCTTGCAACCCTATCCCCATGGGAGACATGCCTGCCGCCGATAAGATGATTTCTGCCGTGTTCCAGAATCCCAAGAACGGCGACACTCTGCAGGCGAACCAGAACTTCGATATCACAGTCCAGATCGCTAACCTCCAGGCTGGTGCTTTCACCAACCCTGATGTCACCTATTACAACGCGCCTCAGACTCTTGGCAACGGCGGCGTGGTCGTCGGCCATACCCACGTCGTCGTTCAGGATATGGGCAACAGCCAGAACCCCAACACCCCTCCCAGCGCCGCCACGTTTGCCTTCTTCAAGGGCATCAACGACGCGGGTAACAACCAAGGTCTGCTCAAGGCCACGGTCACAGGTGGTCTGCCCGCCGGCAACTACCGTCTGTGCTCCATGACTTCCGCTTCCAACCACCAACCTGCCCTCATGCCTGTCGCTCAACGTGGTCCTCAGGATGACTGCGTCCGCTTCACTGTTGCAGCTGGTGGCGGCAACGGTGGTAACAACGGCGGTAACAACGGAGGCAACAACAACAACAACAACAACGGCGGTAACAACGGTGGTCAACAGGGTGGCCAGCAGGGCGGCCAGCAGGGTGGTAACGGTGCTCAGCAGGGCGGTAACAACGGTGGTCAGCAGCAGGGCGGCCAGCAGGGCGGTAACAATGGCGGTAACGGAGGCCGTGGTGGCGCCAGGGCCTTTGGCGGTGCGGCGCCTGCTGTCACTGTACGTTAAATTCCGTTTGTGTTCGTGGCCTGAAGTCTATACTAAGTCATTCTCGTAGAATTCTGGCGACGCGAACCGCCCCTTTGCTGTCAACGGCAACACTTTTGTCAACGAGGCCGCTGCCAAGCAGAGAGCCTGTGACATCCAGAACAACGCCTGCATGGACGCCTTCAACAAGGGCAACTCTGGCTTCCAAGTGAGCGATTGCCAGGCCCAACAGACAGCCTGCAACGCTGCATAGATTGCTGCTTAGCTGGTGACTGGCCTTTGACGCCGAGGGATCACGGTTGCGGATACCCCTTAGAATTGGAGACCCTAACCTCTGGCGATGCGTTATGATGGGGAAAGCGGCTTGCTGTATCACTAATGATTGCGACGGCGTGGCAAGTCAATACTGCAGACAGTCGGGTCTGCAAGGCGCCGTGATGTGTGTGTGTTTCGAAACCTTACCATTTTTATCTTCTCTTTTCTCTTTTTTGTTACCCAGGTGGGCTGGTCCAGATGATCTGCCTCTCTGATGACTAGAAATAGAAATGGAGAAGCAGTTCATCTAAAAAACAAGAAAACTAATCGAACATTAAAAAAAAAGCGACAACCATACAGGATGATACTTGCCCGTGACTATGACAGCAGATCGACTTTGGTAGTTTCCATGAAGCAAAGGCGAGTCTACTGCAAACCGTGGCGGGCTCCCCGCGTGCAAGAAGGCCTACCGCCCGCGCCAACAGACACCTAGCTGGCCATCGCATAAAGTTAAAAGTCTAGTAAGCGCCAACGACATGGCGACACAAGACACAGTCGCGCGTTACACCTATGCCGGGCTGGTATGTGGTGGCAGGAAGCAAAACCAGGGCTGTAAGTGTAGGTGTAGGTGTGTGTGGGGGTGTTGGGCAAGGGGGTGCGGCTTTTTCAACAACGGCGCTGTAGCGGAAGTGTTTCGAGGCACCAGACTTGCGACAACGACCAAGGGACAAGGGGGAGGGAGGATCCCACTCCTCCGTTCTCATTTCCATGTCATTCACAACCCTGCCTGCGATTCCCACACACACACACATACACACCCACGTGTATTGATGTGATAATGTAGGCTCATGCACGGCAAAGAGGGCCAACCTGCTGACCCGAACCACTCTTGCCAAGAGGTTTATGCGCATGAGTCGCTTCTTGTCTCTTCTTGTCGCACTCTCCTCGCTCTCAAGTGCAACCCCCCGAAACCCGCTGCTTGTCTCCTACCCGCCGATTCATGTAGTCCGCGGGAAGATAAGACTTTGGAACAGTTCGGAAATACAAGCGCAAGCCCTCAAAGCTTCAAGGATCGCTGGCTCGGGAGAGAACCTGACGGAAAATCGTCGTTTGTGGGGCATACGAGATAAGTCAGCAGTTACAAGTGCTTGGTCGGCATTACCATGAGAGAATCAGATGTCTCTATTCCAAAGCGGCACTGACTTGAACGATATACGGCGACGGGGTGGCTTAAGCACAGATCACACAGGAAATATGAGGTCTCTTCACGTTAAAACTGAAGATTCTTTCTCAAGGTGAGGTTGCAATTGCAGGGTATCATTGTCGTCTGTCCTTGGTCCCTTGGACGAGACTATTCTCCAAAACTCCTGTGCTTTCACTCCTTTACAAGCAGTGTGCTCTCCGCGAAACGGCCATGAAGTCGAAATGCCATAGGCACCTTGAACCAATTCGCGCCTTGCCCATATGTTAACACCGGCGTATGTCAAGAGCCATGAATTTGCCTTCGAGCTCTTCGAGCTCTTCGGACTTCGAACTTGAGCCTGGTCCCAGAATTCGCTCATTCGATACTGTAAAAGAGCCTCTCAAAAGGCCCGGACTCGAACAGTCCAGAGTCGTCACCAAGCTGCAGATCCAAATCGCCCCAGTCGATCTGTAAGTCATCCAGAATTGAGTCGCTCATGTGGCCCAGCCCGGCACCGCCGTACATCGCCATCGAGCTGCCATTGGCACCACCACCAAAAGCCGTGGCTGGTCTGGCGCTTGCACCGCTTGAAGATGGATCCGATGACGACGAGGGAGTCACGAGATCCGGTACAGAGAAGGGGCTCAGGTACTGTTTGCTGTCCACAACGCCAGTGCCGTTCTGATTCAATCCGCCGAGGCCGCTATTCTGCTGTTGCTGATGCTGATGTGGAACGCCATTGCCATATGCGCCTAGACCGAGCGCCTGCTGCTGCTGTTGCTGGTACAACCCGCTGCCACCAAGAGCATCGCTGTTGTTCTGCAGCAGGTGGCGATTCTCTCCATCAACGCCGGCCGCCATGTCGGAATTATCTTCATGCTGGTCGGCAGCAATACCAACGACCAGAATCTGTGACATGTAATGCTGTACGTTCCGCCGAGCCTCGAGGGACTCACGCCGGCGATACTGAGTGACTGCCTCGCCCATAGTGGTCAGAATGTCGTAGTAGTTCTTCGCTTGTGGGCTTCTCTCGGCGATGTTCGCCAGGACGTCGCGGGCACCGGTAAAAGCATCCGTGATGTCTTGCCGTGGCTCACCGGCGAACATTGAGAAGCCAAGGACCAAACCAGACCCGAAAATCCATGCCCTGCAAGGAAAGTAGAGTGTCAGTATCAAAGTGCAACGGCCCGCACGGCAAAGGATCCCCCGACTTACTTGACCAGGCAGAGATTTCCAAAGTCAAAGTCCGACCTCTTGAGCTTTTGCAGCGTCTCGGCCATGAACATGGCCGAGCTCACACAGACCTGGGCTAGCTTGGCGACTTTCACGTCGCGGGCTTTCGAGTGTGGCGTTGGTGTCGCCACCACGGACGCCGGACCGGCACCATCCCCGCCGTGCTGGGCAGCCCGTGCTCGCAGGCGTGGCATGTGGTCTGCGATGAGGAATGGCCTTGTGATGAGAATTACGGCAAAGTAGTAGACACACGAGACGTGCACATTCCCAACGAGAGCCTGCCTATCCGCAGACTCGAGCGATGATCCGGTGCTGGAATATGCGCTGGCTGTGAACGTGAACTGCCGCACCGCTTCTGGCAAGCTCTGCGTCCACAGGCGAAGCTGCTCTAAGAGGCTTTCTGCCGTTGGCACATGGAGCATATTGCTTGACCGAAGTGTATGGACAATATTCTCAATCAGGGTACAGCCACGAACGATTGCCAGGAAGGTCCCTTGCCCTCCACCACCCTCAGCTGCTGGCGTGCTTGATCTGCTGGTTTCGGACCGTGTAGGGGGCAAGCTTTGTGGCCGACCAAGGATGAAACTCATCAGAATGTCTAGCACGACAAGGCTGTTCCATATGCGAAGCCTGGAGTCGTAGTCCTCAAGCTGTGCGTTGCAGTGCTTCCTGATGTATGAAAGCCCCAGCACGACGGCTGCCTTTGAAGCGACGCCAAGATACATAGAGGCAGCGTTCCTGTGGCAGGCACCTAGCATGTAGAAGGCCATGAGAAGAAAGAGGCGGACCATGCTCAGGCTGGGGTTCGCTATCATTCCCTCGAAAGCAACTTGGCGGGCTCGCGAGAAGAACGCAGCCTGTGTCTGCGTGTCTATAATCATCGAGCTGCGAGGTTGCGTCTGAGCTCCGATTGCAAGAGCCACATCGAGAGCTGCGAGGTCATCTCGCTTGTTCTTCGCCGAGAAAGGGGACAAGCCTTCTGATGGTATTGAATGTGGTGAAGTCGACGTCGTCTTGACTCTTTCGCTTACTAGAGCGTCGATCTCATCCGCCGTGAACAAGTCGAAGAGGCCGCTCGTCTGCAGAGATAATGAGTATGGCTGGTCATTGTTGGGGCATGTTGACGGCAGCAGGCCTGGTGACTTACAGCTTCAAAGTACGATTCCAAGAGGGTGTACATCTGTTCAGCAGTGGCCTCGAGATGGTCGCTCGGCACATGACCCGTCTCCCACTCGTGCATGAGGTTGTTCGACTCGCCATCTGTGAAGCGTGTACGGCCGACGTATGGCCGGAGTGTCTTGCGCAAGAAATACAGAAAAGACAATGAAGCGGTCTCGCCAATGTAGACTGTACACGGCAAGGTCGTCAGTACGGATCCCAAGGTTCCTCCGTAAGCATAGTTGGGAACTAGGCCCACGCGACAGCAGTTGAATTCAAACAAAGTCGTATGCTAAAAGACTTACCCTTCTCGCCTTGGGAGCTGATGAGAAGCTGGTCCTTGGGAAGTGGCGCGCTCACATCATCGCTGACGCTGGGTGACGGCGTCCGACATTGTGGAGACCGACCACCATCCAGTTCTTCGGAGCCGGAGGTGACGGCGGGCGAGGTCTGAAAGTGGATGTGGTGACTCCGGGTCCCGGAAGCGGTTCCCGGCCTGGAAGCCGTGCCGTTGCCACCAACGGCATTCCGGCTTCCCGGTTGAGCCTTGCTGTTGGGTCGTCGTTGCTGCTGCTGTTGCTGCTGTGCTTGATGTGGCTGTGCCTGAGGGACGCCGGAGCTGTTCGAGGCGAGGCTGGACCGGTTGCGCCGGCGCCGGTCAATATCCGAGTATACGCAGGCGGAGGCGCGACCGCGCTTCACGCAGGCCGAGCAGGGCAGCTCCGAGTTGCACCGGATCTTGGAGGACTTGCAAGCAGAGCAGGCCTGGTTGTGTTGATGATTGGAAGGAGCCGGGAGTCAGCCAGGGTCTTTTCAATTGAGTAATGAGCCCACAAACGTGAGGTCTGGCTTCAGACAGCAGAGGGCAAAAAGGCATGTCTGAGTTGTCTGTCTCATCGCCGCCCGTCCCCGTGTACAGGCCAGGCGAGTACTGCAAGGGCAGTCTGCAGGCGCAGATGCGCAGGGAAGGGTACTCACCCGCAACGAGCGCTGCCGGTCCTCGGGCCGAACTTTGGGACGGGGCATCGTGTGATGATGGGGAGAGCAAGTCGAAGGAGCGTGCTCGAGCGTGCCAGCCTGGCGGGTCGCGGCTGCCCTCTTTGGCACGCAAGGTGAGAAATCCGGGGAAGGGGCAGCTGCGATGCGCCGGGGGTCCGCGTTTTTACACGGAAGCAGCGACCCCAGGGGATTCAGCGCAGCAGGGAACATATCCGACGGCTTGAGGGTGCATTAGCCGGTGGTCGCCACCTTGCCCACCGCGCTAGGCTTCACTGAGGGGGCGCTGCGGGCCACCCAGAGATAAAGCCTCGAGCCGACGTCTGTTATCTGGCGACCGCAACTGCTTAGCCAAACGGCCGGCGGGATTGAGCGAGCCACCAATCGATTCGAGAGACGTGATCGGCATTGGGTCTCATGGATGGCAACAAGTCTCGTTAAGAACGGAGGCATTCTAGGGTTGATGCACCCAAAATGACACGGCGATCCCATCTGGCTAAGTGCAGAAGGCTGGCCATGGCAGCATGGTTGAGTATAGTGCCAATCTATTCAAAATATGAGAGCAATGGTACGACACGAGACACATGCCTGCCAAAAAGAAGAAAAAAAAGTGTCGGAAAGCCCACGGCGTTGGGCCAGTTTCGACCCCAAGCTCATCCTTTACTCTTCATCACGATATATCACAATCTTTAGTACTGGCGTATTCCAACACAACGAGGCAGTTGAAAAGTCCAGATTGTAAATTTGTCCAAGCTTGAATGCAAAAATGAAAGTGCTACTCGATTCAACATAGATGACAACAACAACAACATCGCAAGACCACCCCCTTTTTCATCGCCTTCTCGCGGCGAACACATCGGCCACGTGCTGGTCCATATCATACAGGCAAATCTCCTCGGTGGTGAGCTTGTTCTTCTCGTCCTTGACATTGTACCTCCCGTTGTTGGTGTTGTCCGAGAAGCCGATGCGCTCGCTGATGTTCTCCCTGGCGCGCGCGGCGGCGGCCTGGACCCTGGTGGCGCGGGGCTTGCGGACCTCCTCGTAGACCTCGAGGGCCTCGCGGACGTCGCCGCGGAAGTGCGCGCCGCTAAAGACGATGCCCAGCGCGGCGGCGTCCTCGATGGCCTGGCACGCGCCCTGCGACTGGTCGGGCATCATGGGATGCGCGGCGTCGCCCAGCACCGCGGCGACGCCCTTCTGCCAGTGCGGGTACGGCTCGTGCACCCACAGCCGCCAGGGCTTGATGTCCTCGCCGATGGCCAGGTGGTTGAACACCTTGCGGTCCAGGTCCGGGTACGGGGACAGCAGCTCCTCCTTGGTCGCCGCCGTGTTCCAGTTCTGCCCGGCGTAGTCGCCCTTGTCGCGCGGGAAGAAGCAGTAGTACGACAGCAGGCTGCCCGAGTTGCAAGGGGAAAGCACAATCTTGTTCTTGTTGTTGTGCCCGCCCCAGTACTGCAGCGCGTTGTCCTTGGAGAAGTCCGGGAGCCCCAGCTTGACGGCCTCGGCCGTCGTCACGTTGGCGTGCAGGCACGACGAGTCGGCCGGCCGCTTGTCCGGGTTGATCCCGATGATGCCACGCACCGCGGAGCCGATGCCGTCGGCGCCGATGACGACGTCGTGGGTGGCCGTCGCGCCGTTCTCAAAGGTGATGACGCCAGTGTCGAGGTCGATGGCCGTGCACTTGTGGTTGACGACGAGCTGTGCCGGCGGACCCCCGGTCGTGTACTTGTCGCTGCAGGCAGAGTCCTGGAACATGCGGTGCATGTACTGGCGGTGGAACATGAGGTATTGCTGTAGACATTTTGGGTACAGGGTCAGCCAACAACAACAACATCATCATTTCATGGCAGCAGCAACTTTACAACACAACCACGAGGAAAGAGGAAGACGAGAGCCACACTCACATATCCATACAGCTGCTCGTACTGCGACAGGTCCACCACGTTCGTCGGCTCGCCCGTGTTCCAGTCGCGGCTGATGAGCTGCCTCAGCAGCACCGGGTCGCCCATCTCAATGTCGACGTTCCACCGCTTGAGCCACTTGGTCCCGTTGGCCGCGCACGATATCGAAGCGCCCACCTCGCCCGCAAAGTCGGCCCGCTCGTAGATGGTCACCTTGTGCCCGGCCTGCCGCAGCGCCGTCGCCGCCGCGAGGCCGCCAATGCCGCCGCCCACGATCGCCACGTCCAGGGGCCGGAATCCGTCTGACGAGGGCATCTTTCTGGTGGTGGTGGTGGTGGTGGTGGTGGTGTTACTGTTTGTGTGCCGGGTGCTAGTGGTTCGGGGTTGCCGACTTTTGGGGACTGCGCGCGTTGGCCTCTGATCGATTTCTATCTCTGTACGAGGCTCAAGTGCTTTCCGACAAAGGTGTGCAATTAAAGCAGTAGCAGCGTAGTGATGTCTATGTGTTCGTGCTCGTGACCAGAGAGTCGAGATCTGCAGTGACGCGGTGCTGAGTAAGGTATAGAGGATTGTTCAGTCGCAGGTGCCTGTAAAGTATGTGACCAATAACTTTCTCAATACCAGAGAGAAGCGCAAGTCAATCACCCTTTATCTGAGCACAGCAAAGGCGCAGACACTTCCAGTCGTCGCTATCCGCTGTCGCAACTCTCTCTCGCTCCGCCCCCCCAGATCCGTGTCCGCGCGGGCCCCAGATCGAATGGCAAGAATGCCGGGCCCCAAAACATCGGAGCATTGTCCCGTCAATCGAACCGGCGCCGCCGCCCTGCGAAAGCAAGCACTTGGCCCGGCCGGGACCTCTCACCCGAGCCTGATGATGAGCGGGAGAGAGTATCGCCCAATCCACACGGCAAAATGATAATGCAAGGTCCATACCCGCGACCTCACTCGGCTCTGTACCCTAGCCCACCATATCGGATATAACCCCTGTCGCCCGGGGGGAGACTCTGCAGCCAGCCAATCATGACGACTGCGGACCCCAATCAGGAAAGAGGGGGCGGGTTTTCCGCACACACACTCTCACACACAACATGCTCGAGAGAGAAGGGGGTCGGTGCACTATCCGTTCCTTGCATGTAAAGGTCGCCTCGGCTCGCTTTAGTCTGGCTCTGCGCTTGTGTTCAGTAGTGTCAGCATTGGGCGGGGTTCCTCTCTGTGCCACACTTGCGAAGCTATGGTAGGAGGGGTGCTGCGGAGAAATGTTGGGGTTCAGCCAGCTCGCTCGATTGCTAGCTTGCATGAAATCGTGTTGTACGACTGTTTAATTAAAACAAAGCACTTTCTAGACCTATCCGGTGGAGGTAACAATTGAGTTTCTTTGTGAGCTTGCAGGAATCATTGACTGAATACTTGGGGCTGTTCAGTCTGTGGTATTATTTTCGCGATGCGTGCACGGAGGGCAGGATAAAGATATTTGTTTCCCCTTAGTGGTCTGTATCTTCTGGTGGTCCAGAGGGACAGTGATTATATGCTTCAGTGGAGTCTCATGGTCACAACCTTGATTGGCATGGTTGCCCAGATCTGATAGTTCGCAGGGAATATGAATCGTGTTGTCCAGTCAGAATTGTCAATCGTCATGCCCAATGGGCGTAGAGATCGGACAGCCAGTCGGTAACGCTAGGATAGGAGTACCAATCTCCACAGGGAAAGCATTGTACGTCAATCAAGACGCTATTCAATTTCCAAGCCACAGGCCTACATATGGGGCAACATGCAAAATGTGAAGGCTTCTGACGAAAATATCCATGTACTTAGACCGCCTGCAGGTGAGATCGTCCCCCGCATCCGCATCTATACCTCGCGATGTGTGAACTTGAACATCTCATTGGACGGCACAGACGACTCGTCCGCAAGCTTCCTGGCAGTGTCGATGCCGGCGCCAGGCACCCTGTACTCAATTTTCTTGGCCGAGTCCGTCGCGCCTGCCACTGGGTATGGGAAGGGCAGGTAATCCGGCATGAGGCCGAGCTGGAAGAGCACAGTGAGCTGGTCCCACGAGATGTGCTCGTGGAACAGCCGGTCGCCGCGGATGTTGACGACGGCGGTGAAGGGGATCCTGAGATCCTTGCCTGTCGGGGGGACGCCAGGGAGCCTGTGCAGGTAATCAGTCAGTTCTCTTGTCACCAGAGTGCATGATGATGACGAAGCAACACCATCAATAATGTCATTTGAAGGTTTACAAGAGAGAAAAAAAGAAGTCGAGGCCACTCACAACCAGTCGATTATCCTGTCGTGCTTGCAGCAAAACAAGAACTCGTCGACAATGCGATCGACTCCGACGGTGCGGGAGATGAGATCCAGACCAGTACCGTCCGGGTTGCTGTGGATGAAGTGGTCTCTGTAGAACACGGACAGCTTCGCGCGGCCGACGCCGCCAGTCATGGTGGGGATGTGGTTGACGTATGGCTCCTGGACCATGGTGGCCATGGTGTCCTCGACGTTGCGCGTGTCGAACTCGAAGGCCGTGTGCTCGTCCCAGATGGCCTCAAGGTCAAACCACGGGCCGTCGAGGTGCTTCTTGATGAAGGCGACGGAGCGGCTGTGCGAGACGGCTGCAGCCGAGGCGACGAAGTGGGCGTGGCCCGGGAGCACGAACCCGGTCGACTGGACATTGCCGTAGCGGTGAACTGTCTCGTTCTCGACGGCTGGGGCCTTGGCTGCGGCCAGCGGGTTTGCCGTCTCTGCCAAGTGATAGAGCCGGGGCTTGCGGCAGGCGGTGTTCAGGGCTCCAAAGGAGACGACGGCAGCGATCTCGCCGTTGCCGTCAATGGCCGAGCTTATGGAGGGGAAGGCGGCAGGCGTGTAGACGATGACGGCGTAGCGCGACTTGGAAGTGCACTTGTCGTGCATGGTGAGCGCCTCTGTCGCGACGCGCAGGTCATCGCGCAGGCGGATTGCGTCGTCGTCGCTCGAGCCGGACGCGGACAGCCGCAGCTCGGCGACGACGTAGCCCTCCTCTGCCCATTTCTGGAGGGGCTGAGGGTCGAGGGTCTCGTGGGGCTGGGCGTCACCGTTGGTGGCAGTCTGGGAAGTGGCAGAGTCTGTGACGATGACGATGCCGGGTCCGTGGCCACGGTGCGTGAGCGGCGCATGGATGGTGAGGGTGGGAGACAGCCGTTCGGGCTTGGCGGTTGGGAATGTGTCGTGTGAGACCATTTTGTCTCTACTTGGGGACCTTGGTGGTGACCCGAGTCTTGTCTCGTGAGGAGCGTGGGCAAAAACGGACGGAGGTGTTTCTGAGAGGGGTCTACTGGTGAGAGGTTATGCTGTTACGGTAATGCTCGCTGGCCGGGCGCGGGGCGATGGATGGGAGATATGGTTCTTCGTCTTGACTTGCATGGGCTCACTCTGGACTGATCGGGGTCGAGCAGGAGTCCGGGTTTGGGGTAAGGCAGCGGGGGGAAGGTGTTATCAGCATGTCCCTCCCCCCGGGGCCGAAGCCCGGAAGCGGACCGGCCGTTCAGGGTCTCGCTGCTGGTGGGGCGGGTGGCGTGTCGTCCAACGCTGGCACCCACTTCCGAGCCGGCACTCGAAACACACGGCAAAAGTATAACTAAGTAGGTAGGCATTGTACTTTTATGTGTGATGAGCGGGGTTCATGCGGGGGAGTGAGATCGTGCAGTAGCGTACTCACGCAAGGCACACGATCTGGATCGTACTACAGCCGTCTATCAAAGGGAGCACTAACTGGCCAAGAGCTCCACGTGCCAGAGGTTGGCTGCGGGCATGAAGCAGACGGGTCAAGGTTGCCTAGGAGTAGAAGCTGAGTACTTAGTGTACCTTAGGTACGTACGTGATGTAATGGCAGTTGCGCATGGCATGCCCATCTGCCATCTGGACATGTCCGTGCGACCCTATTCTCTCCTACGTATATCCATACCACGACATTCCACGTCAAATGCTACCATGTCAGCGAAACCGGACCATCCCAGACGGAAATCCAGTTCTTGTACTGCTACTATAGCCGCCAGCCGAGAAGAAACGGCGTCGCCACCGCGCGCAACGCCCCGCCGGTCGGCGTGGTCGTCACAATGGTGCTGCCCTGCGTGCTGCTGCTACTGCCGCTGCCCGGCGACCCTGACGTCGAGAGGGCGGGCGTCGCGGTCGCGGCCACCGCCAGGCTGTCGCTCTGGTCCGCCCGCATGTCGACGCCGACCGTGATCCACGCCAGGATGCCGTAGCCCACGCCGTCGCCCAGCAGCACGTAGTCCATAAAGATGTCGTTTTCGTCCGTCGCCGCCGCCACCGCGATCCCGTCCCGGTCGTTGCGCACCCGCGGCTTGTCGTTGCCCGCGTACGGCTGCACCGCCTCGACCAGCTCGATGAGCCGCTCGTCAAAGTAGAACTGCCCAATGTGCGTCGGCACGCCGCCCTCGTACTGCTGGCTCGCGTCCAGCACGCGCGGGTCCCGCGTTGCCATCACGTGGATGTGGTTCGTCCGCCCGGCGTAGTGGCCCGGGAACACGGTGTCGAAGCTCGCGACGCCTTCCCGGTCGCTCATCTGCACGCCCCGGAGCCAGGTGGTGCCCTCGCCGGCCTGCCCGGGCGCGTCGACGCCCGAGTAGACGCCCGTCGAGTTGCACTGCCAGAGGTCGATGGCCATCTCGGGCACCGCCGAGCAGTCCGAGACGTCGACAAACTCGACCTCGACGTGCAGCGGCACACCTCGCTGGCCCTCGGTGATGTCCTGCCGGATGAGCTCGCCGGCGACAAAGTACGGCCCAATCGTCTGCTCGGAGACAAGGGCGCAGCTCGCATTCCCGCCAAACAGCTCGGAATACGGCGTGTCCAGGTTGAATCCGGAATCCGTCTGATCGTGCGAGACGGACATCCAGTGCTCAATGGCGTCCCGGTCTCGCTTGTACTTGGCAGGTTGGATGTTGGCTGGTCGGAAAGGACACGACACGTATCTCGAGTCAGCCACAAATTGCATTGCAAGCCTCAAAACACCTGGCATGACGTGACGGCCCAGCAGTTTTTACTCACTCGACTGTATCCCCCTCTTTCTACGCAGAGCATGAGCCATCTCCACCCGGCGAGCCGCTGCTCTCTGCTGCCTGGCCACAAAACTCGGCGAAGTCGCACATGTCTTCAGTGCCCGCCCGAGCCGCAAGTTTGCTTCGGCGTGCATCTCCAGCTCCCGCTTGACCTCCTCGGGTGTCTGGTGCTCGCCCGGGTGGGCAGAGGCCACGGGCCACCCACTCAGCATGAGAGCTGCCAGCGCCACTGCTGGGACGAGCCCGTCGCGGTCGAATAATCGGACCATGGCTGCTGTTGTGACCGCAGTGCGAAATGACTAGGGGAACACGGACGGACGTCGGGCTCGAGGAGAAGTAGTAGCAGTAGTCGAAATAATGCGTGTCCACAAAAACGTGAGGAGAGGTTTGGCGAAGGCGATCCTCAGAAAGAGATTGACCGAAGATAACACAATCCTCAGTCGAGGACAATACTGGCACTTAGAAGAAAGGAAGATTCATGTCGCAGGCGGAGGTCCAGCTTCTACAGGAATGCGGCGCCTGCCACGACCACGACCCCAAGCCAAGCCAAGCCGGCCGTCTTTGCCATCGTTGTCCTATCACACCGGGATTGCGATCCACAGACCGACCACCGGCCTGCGCATTTGTTGACATGGCTTTCCAACATATGGCAGGGCAGGGGTGCACTGACTAGCGAGGACACACGTACTGTAGCATCTGGGGAGGAACCTGCTGACGACTGCCCGCCTGGGCATTGGCCTGTGAACCGTGAGCTCTCCCTGCCTGACCAGTACAAGTGGGGAGGCTGTGAGCACCACGCTCTCGGCGCAGGTCTTGGCTAAACGGGGCGCAGGCGGAAGAACACGAGGTCTGGTTCGCATGCCTTTGCCTTCGCTGGCCTTGGGGAAGGGGGACACGCAAGCTCGCGTTCAACTCCAACCCTAGCCATGTCTTGGCGAGCTGATCTTTTAGTGTTTTCGGGCACGGGCTCAGAGCAAAAGGAGTCCACCCCCGTGGTGGTGGCGAGATGCTGTCTCTCCTGCATGTATTTTCTTTTACTTTGGGCATGAAACAAGGTTGTCGTTGAGCACAAGTAATACCTGCTACCACGGCATTTCCCCACACGCAGTAATTACACTTTATCAGCCAAACATCTGAGCTAGAGACAAACCACATCCCCTCTCCACGGTGTTGCCTGAACTCCTGTTGGCTTCCTCGCAGACACTCCGGAATTGTGAACACCCCAAAAGGCTGCCAATGACGTCAAACGAACCACTAAGGGGGCTAGCCCGAGCCGAGCAACTGCCATCGTAGGCGGCGCGCATTGCGGGGGTGGGGAGGCAGCGAGCTCAGGACGAGCGCTTCATCCGCACATACACACACGCCCACGCGACCGCGTCCACCCGTCCCGCAAACCTGGAATCCATGCGCAACCACTTCAAAAGTGACATGCTGCAGTCGGCGTGCCCGGTGCTTCTCGTGCTGGATAAGTCTTCGGAGAGGCGAAGAGGGGACAGGCACCGGCACAAGAACACACAGCAAAGAATGCACCTTGTTTACTCAGACACTTTTACGAGCTGTCATTGTGAATTTTGAATAGAGCAATCGTGTAGAACCCTGGTGTCTGCTGTACAATCGTAAAGTGAGAAGCACGAGAAATAAGTGAAGATGAAGAAAATAAGATAAGAAAAAAGACGCCAGACATCATAGGAAGTCGAGCCCGGGAATTTTGCGACCAGCATCCAACACTACATGAGAACCGCAGCCCTCGAAATTGGAAGGCGGAGAACAGAATAGAACAGATGATCCGGGTAAAGTGACAGTGGCCACCGCATACAAGAACAAAAAAACATTGGTGTTGAAAATGAGTAGACTATACAGAACGGCCAAGAAGCTTGCGCCTGAGGGTGTCCAGATTTCGTTGCGGTCGTGAGCAGGATGCCGGCCAGCTTCATCATTATTGGTTCCAGCATCGCAGAACGACGACATCTACTGAGGCCCGCGAGTCTTGTTCTCCCGCTCCTCAGTGTCCAACCGCTTCCTCCAGTCAGCGAGGCTCTCGCTCAGCCCGGCGCCATTGCCATCATCTTCCTTCTTGGGGGATGGTCCTTCAAAGTCGAAAGTGTTCGAGAGGCGGTAGTTTTTGTTTGTCGTTTCCCAGTGTGACCGGAGCATGTCCAGTTCGTTCGCCAAGCTGTCAAGGGCCGCACTGTTCCGCGCATCACCGACGCCGCCATACATGCTTCCCGCATCAGAACTTTCTTGTCGGGTATGGCTCATGCCGTTTGTGGATGTGGGAAGAGCCGATCGATCTTGATCGCCGCTGATCCGGCTCCTTCGGCGGTAGTTGTCCACCGAGTTCTCGACCTGATCCAGCAGGAGGCTGACTTTCTGCTCGGCGTCCTGTGCACGCCTTTCCAGCAAGCTGACCTCTTCTTGCATCTGCTGCAGGGCTTGCTCCTTTGACGCGAGTTTGGTAGCGGCCTCGGCCGATGTCTTCTTCGCAGTGTCGCGCTCCGTCTTAGTAGTCGCCAACTCAGCCTTGATGGCGGCCAGTTGCCTCTCGAAATGCTCAGAAGTCGATCTGACCTGGCCCTCGAGCGTGTCGATTCTCTCCATGAGAGCAGCGCGCTCCTCCTCCCAGTCTGAGGGCGCAGCACCACCACTCGAAGCAGCAGCCGCGACTCGATCCTCTAGCTCAATGTTCTCGTTCTTGAGACGAGCATTGTCGGATTTGTATTTGGCGAGCTCCTCCTTCATGCGTTTCAGCATCTTCTCAGTTCCCTTGACATAATGAACCGCAGACTGGTAATCGTTCTCGAGCTGTGCCACCCTCTCACGATAAGCACCTTCCATCTCCTGCGCTTGACCGGCGAATAACTGTTTGGTCTCTTCGTGAGCTGCCACAGCTTGCGCTAGCTGCCTTTCGAGTTCTCCGGTTCGGGCAGGATCGGGTGAGTCTGTGCTGGAGGGGCCGCCGCGGCTTCGTGCCGTGTTGGTCGGGCTCACACCCCGTTCCGCGAGAATGTCCTTGAGAGTATTGTGCTGCACACTAATAGCGTTCGCCTCGAGTTGCTGGCTCGACAACTGGTGCTTGAGATCGGAGTTCATTGCCTGAAGAGACTGTGTGTCTCTCAGCGCAGACTGTAGCTGCCGTCGGATGGTAACACCTTCTCTGCTGGACTGCTCCTGGTAGGCTTCAAGTCCAGCAATTCTCTCCTCGGCACGGCGCAATTTCTCGCCAGCGTCGTCAGCCTCTTGCTGCAACCTCTTGACAAGACTGTTAGCCGTTGCGACCTGTCCCTGCAAGACAGATAAGCGCTCGGCATCGGCCTTGCTGGCCTTGCTGCCCTCTCTTGTAAGCTTGTCGAGACCGGCGGCCACGACTTGGCGGTGTGACTTGGCCTCTGCCGCGTGCCGCTCCGCGATCTCTTCCGCATCCCGGAGGCGCTGGCTTACTGCCACGAGCTCGGCTGTGCGCGTCTCGTGTTCCGCTTTGATCTTCGTGAGCTTAGACTCGACCTTCTCTCTCTGTGCACGTTCCTCATCAAGCTTTCGTTCAAGGTGACTTCTCAAATCGGCCGAAGTAGCCACTGCTTCACGCAATGACTCGAGCGTCTCGTTTGTGTCTTTGCTGCCCCCGGCAGCCTCGTTGTACCGTGATTGGTAGTCGTCTTTCTCGACACGCAGCAGCTGCAGAGCAGCAGTGGCGTCAGCGCTCGCTATGGAGTGCTCCCTGGCTTCCCGTTGTGCAGCATGCAGCTCAGCTTTCAAGGATTCCACCTGGAGGGACGTCTGCTGCTTATACTGTTCAAGGTCAGCGAGGCGTCTTTGAGTCGCCATGGAAGTGTCATCGGCAAGCTGGCGGGCGCGCCTCTCGGCATCCAGCTCGGCGACACGACGCTCTAGTTCCGCCTGAAGATCCCTTTGGAGATTGATGCTTGCGGCGAGTTTGCGATTCAACTCGTTTGACCGCTCCCGGTGATCATTCGTGTCGGGCACACTTCGCGCTTGCTCGCCTACCACACCTCCAGCCTGGGACGCCATCTTAGCCTTGGCGTATGCAGCTTCCCGAATAGCGGCGTCGCGCTGTTTCTCGGCATCTGCAATCTTCTTGGCCGCGAGAACAGCTTGTTTGTCCACAGAAGCCTGCACATTGGCCAGTTCCTGTCTCATAGCCAGCAAGGCTTCAATAAGTGGCTTGTCCTCATCGTCAAAAGTCTCCGTGCTGCGGCTGTCAAGGACAGGGCTAAGAGTGGCGTTGGGAACATAGCCAGACTTGCGAGCTAGTTCGAGCTCGGAGGCATACCAGGCGATTCGATTGCGGGAGGAGTCAAGTTCTTTCAATAGCGCAACGGTCTGCGAGTTGCGGTTTGATCCTTTCCGAGACAGCGGATTGCTCGTTTGCCGCGTAGGAGGTGGCGGAGAGGCAGGCCTTGCGACGACGTTTTTCAGACTAGGTTCTGTGCTGCTGTCAACGGAGCCATGGCCACGCGTAGTTCTGGTTGGTTTTGATTTGACCGTGTCCTCAATGACTGCACTCTCAGCTTTAGCCACAGGCGCAGCACGTGTTTGTTGTTGAACAGGTGTGCCGCGTCCCGTGCCCATAGGGCTTTCCGTTCTTGTGATAGGCGAGTGGTGGCTGGATCCAGCTGGAGAACCAGTACCTGATCTTTCGCGCTCGATGCGATCAATTGACGCATTCCGAGGTCGGGCAGCAGGATCCGTGTTTACCATAGGGCGCGGGGGCTGCCCTTGTGGCGGAGGCCCTGACGGTGTCGAGGTGCCTGCGTTTCTGGGCAGTTTTGCAATGCCATTACTAACAGGCGGCGGAGCATGGCTGTCGACACCATTAGGCCTGGTCATTGCGCTTGTCGGGCTGCCTGGCCCGCCAGCTATTCTCTTTGGGTCAGGGCCATTCGATCCATCGCGCGAAGGTCCTCGAACTGCCTGCTCGCCGCTGGGCCGCCGTCCCTGCTGCAGCTTTTGCGTGCTGGATTGGATCTGGGCATCGTTGGGGTAGCGGATCTTTGTGGTGTCGAGGAGATAGGTAATCGACAGATCGTTGACCTGGCTCGTAGCGGAGCTGGGCTCACCACCGACAACTACGATAGTTTTCGCAACAGCCGTCATGCTGTGTCCAGACCTTGGAGAGGGCGAAGGTCCCATATTTTGGAAAGTGTACCAACGTCGCGATGTGATTCGGAAGGCAGCCAGGTCGCCGAGGTCGGTGCCGTCCTCTGTGCGGCCACCGAAAACGTACATGACATCGTCGACAAGCGCGGCGGCATGTCCCTCCCTAGGGACAGGAATGTAGCCGATACAATCCAGCTGTGCCCATTTGTTGATCGCCGGGTCGTAGCACCAAACGTCATTGAACCATTGAAAACCGTTTGTGCCGCCAAAACTGGAGCGGTCAGTGCCCGTCGGGGGATCTCAATGGCCACGGGTGTCTTATTTACTTACAGATACAGTTTGTCGTCATAGGTGACCATTGAATGGTTCGTCCGCGCAGGGGGCGCTGCGAGATGGGCCGGGTTCGAAACCTCCGTGTTCTCGATGAGGACTTCCCAGCGGTTGTTGGGCATTTGCAATTGGTTGAGATCGAAAGCGCATAGATCATTCATGAAGTAGCCTTCCACCTGACCTCCGAAGATGTATATTTTCGAGCCGACAATGTTGAGCGAGTGTCCGTAACGTCCGGAAGGCCGCGGGCCGGCAGGGAGGGCTCTGGACCACTGTCTCGTTGCTGTGAATCTGTGTTAGCACGATGGCAATGCACGCGCAGATGGTCGCACAGATCAGGAAGACCACTTACAGGTGTTCAGCAGGTAAAGTGTTTCATCGAGAATATCGGTCTCCTCAATCTTGGTGTCACCACCATAGACGATGAATGCATTTCCCACAAGCAGCGATGCATGTCCTACGCGAGGACCAGGCCCCTCTGCTGTTGTAGCCAGCGGAAAGCATGACATGCTACCGCCAGCCTCAATCATCCAGAGGTCACCTTTGACTGTTGAGCTGTTCACTAGTCCACCCATGATGTAAATATCTCCTTCCTTGGAAGCAACAGAATTGACTGCTGCGCCATATCGGGGGAAAGGACTAGGTATGGACGAGGTAAAAGTCAACCGCCGCTGTGACCACGGGTACAGGCTGGCATTGGCACTCGGTGCCGCTGTCGTCGTCGTCGGCGCGGGGTTTGCGGTCGGACCGTTACGAAACTGTTCCCTCAGGGTTAGATATAAAAGCTCACGCGGCATGACCGATAGCGTGAATAAGCCTCGGCGAAAGATGCTCTTACCGGCAAGTCGCTGACTGGTTGCTGCTGGGGCTGCTTGGCAAGAGGCTGTGATTGTTGGTCGGCGGCAGCGGCAGCGGCACGGCGCGCAGCGAACTTTTCTGGATCTGTGCCCGGGCTGCCCTCATCGAAGGAGTTCAGGCTGCCTGTTGGAGTTGAGCGCGACATCTTCTCGCCGCGGCTCCCTGAGCCGCCGCCACCGTCGCGGCTCTGTGTATTGCGGTCGGCATTCTTCTTGGACTTGAAGAGGAACGCCATGGCGAACTAGGCCGCCAGCGAGGCCTGAGTTCGGATGACAAGCAGGCGGGGGGATATTCGACTGTCTGACGCCAAGCGACAGCTGCGACCGAAGGAACAAGGCGGCCTCCTTGCGCTTTCGAGTAATATAGCCGTGTAGCAATGCTGCGTCGCGGCGAAGTAACGGTGAGCGGTTGTACGTCAGGATGCGCCGGCCGGCTTCTTCGTCGTCGAAATCGTGGATGAGGCCGAGATCAGCGGTGCGCTGCGATGTATAGTGGGCTGGGCGCAAAAGAAGAGTCGTGATTGTGGACGTGGCTACTCATGGAGTTGGTGGAGCCCGAGTCGGGTGCGCGGCCGACGACGGTAGAGCCAGCGGCCGGGATGACGCTGTGAGGCGCGTATGCAAGGGTGGTACGAGGTTGCGCGCGAAGTTGGGGACGACGGTAGGCCGCGGACGGACGATAGTGGGCGACTGGTGATGTTGACAGTAGCTGGGGCCGTGGAGGGAACGAAGGGCAGGCCAAAAAAAGGAGTGTTGCAATTGAGCGGGAAGATCTGGTGCTCAAAAGACGGGTCGAGGTGCTTGGCCCATCCAGATTCAGGGGAGCTGACGGTTGGGTGGCAGGAAAGAGGGCCACAATGTGTGGGTTGAAACGTTGTGCGCACCAAGGAGCCAGAGGCAGGCCAGGTCAAGTGCAAGCATGGACTGTCCCCCAATTGCCGACTGGTATGCTGCGGCAGTGCAATAGCGGAGGCCAGTCACCCGATTCAACGCGCCTGGCCACTTGCGATGGTGTATGGCGGCAACAGCAGATAGCCTGGAATGGGCGATTGGCGCGGGCAAGAAAGGAGGTCTCGTCGTGGCTGGCTGGCGGTGGCAGAGTGTGTCGAGGTGGTTGGGACCCGTGGACAGGTTGGGGGTCTCTGGTTTGACATCGGCAAACAAATTTCGACAGCTTCTTCCAGGCAGGGCAGGCACACCCACCTCCCACTCACTGATTTGGCTGGGGCAACGAAGTGATCGACCCTCCTACTGTGCTCGCCGACACGCGGTGCGCAATTTCACGATCATGGCCTGCGACTTGCACCAGCCTGTCCGGGCCATGCCAAAACCTTCCTCGTTGAGTTTCGCGGGGTAGGCACTAGGACCGGCTCACCTTGACGCCTCTCCGCCCGACCGGGAACCCCAAAACTGGCGTCGACCGTTTCTTTCGTCTCTGTCCCGCCAGGAGAGTGCATAGAGAGGGTCCTCCAATCCTCATGGCGTAGGCCACGTGCACACGACCATGACGACGTCCCCATCATGCCTCGTTCGGCACGGCGCCCGCTCGCGTAAGTCGTTCAACCCTTCCTCGCCCATCCCAACGATGACAGCCATGCCCCCCTGAGCAAGGATGTCGTGCTGTTGTTCCGAGGCCTGTGGTTCTTGTGCCCGCAGGCCGGTCCTGGACGGTTGACGGGTCGGCCAGGAACGCCTGCTTGGCGATGGCTCCACAGATGCAGGGGAACGCTCAGGGTGCATCCAAGGGTCAGTCAGGCCCGTTGCCTGCGTCGCCCACGGGCCGCAGGAACGGCTGAGTGCGCACTGCCCTGGCTGGTAAACAATCTTAATTAGCAACGGACCTCGTCGTCGTCGACCTTGACGTGTGCGAAGTCCTGGTACTTGCGTGCTCGGCCATGCGCCCATGTGGCATGAGCCGGGAACATGGGCTTCTCCATCGTCCCACATGCGCTCCCACGCTTGAAATGGAAACACGCGGAAGACCAAACCCTGAACAAGCAGGGATGCCGCAAATTACATCCAGCCTGATCTGATGCTGGTCTCCATCCGTCGAGTCCTGCCTGTCCCGACTTCAACGATCATGTCGATGAGTCGTGAGTCTTTGAAGGAAGTCTGTTGTGGACAGCTGTCGACATTTGCGGGCCCTCCGGTTCGTCTGCTCCTCTAGTCATCAAGGCTGGCCTGCCGTGGTTCTGGTCTCCCGTGTCACAGGGGTGATTATGCCTTTTAGCTTCACCTTCGTCTGACGAGGTCTTCAAGCATGTTGCTTGCAGCTTCAGCGCACGGGTCGGCCAACCCTACCGGCACTTAAGACGGGAACAACCCATTACTCGCCAGGACAGAATGTTTATATTGGCACATCACGGCCCGTCCTGCGGCGCGGTGTCGATCATGATCTCGTACTTGGCGAGAGGACGGGACGTACGTCTTGTTGTAAAAGTCAACCCAAATGAGAGTCTAACCGTCCTTTGCACCCATCCTCTGTTCCGACCATGAAAGTGCTCATCATAGATTAGCGCAATTCAACCCAGACCAAACCAAGCATTTCAGGCCCAAACTGACAACAAGCTCCACGATGGAGTTTTTGCCCTGAAGGACGTAGCATATACGACATCCGCGTAGCGTGTCATTGCCCCGGGTGCACATATTGCAGGCGCGAGCCCTTGGGACTCCCTCTTACGTGAGCTCTTTGCGCGCTTCGGACATCTCTTTCGTTGTCATGACGTGCCTGTTCCACGACTTTTATCCATCAACCAGGGCAGCAAGCCGTCGCGCTCCAGGGCGGAGTGGAGAGTGAGGCTGGTGGCTTCACGTGGCCGGGACGCTTGAGCCACTCTCCGAAACCCCTGCACAGAAGCGTCCATCTGAAACAGCCGGCTTACTTGCATGCCCCAGATAGCTGAGGACAAGAGGCTGGAAAGCGCACTTGGGCATTTCGCCTGCAAGCTGTTCCGAGAACAATGGCCACGGCACTGGAGAAGCACCTGGCACTCTGAAAGCCAACTACATAGTAAATGGCTTCCTCTTCTGTCGCCTCGCATTTTCCGGAGAGCTTTATGACGCAGACAAGGCGCCCTTGCAGCTTAGAAGCCCTGTAGCGGATCGGTTGCTTGGTATGGTTGGTTACCAGGGACATTTCGACATTGATAGCCCTTGGAAAACTGGAGAAGGTAGCCTGCAGAAGGAAGTGGTGTACTCCGTAGCTTGCGAATCACAGTCCAAATCTGAGATGGAGTTGGTAGCATACGAAGTTGTCTGGTCCTCAAGCTCGAGGTGTTTTTTGACAGATCCGCCGTCCTCATGCCAGGCATGTGAACCTGTCTCACGCAGGCTGGCAGGCAGGCCCGCTCTCGAGTGTTGAGCGCGACAGCTTATCGATTGAGCTCTGGCCCTGGGGGCTTCGTCACGCAGGCGCCTCAAGCTCGACGTGCTGCAAGCTACACCGTCGCTGCCCAGGTGTGGTCGAGGCTACCTAGCGCGCAAGCAGCAAGTCCGCCTAGGCCCGCTTGTCATGTCACCGTCAGGCGTGTCTGACCAGACGCACCTTCGCCATATGTCATCTATGGGACCGCGATAGTATCATCCGGTTCCTCCGTCACCACATCCCTTCAACGCCGCCCAACGAGGCCCAACAAGTTAGCCTGAGGCTGGTCATCGGGCGCCTGCCTGCATGCTGTGCGGTTCTGCAAACGACGGGCGCACACTGACGGCCGAGCTGCAACTCTCGGCGACACAACATCGAAACGACCACGGCCCGATCGCCACCGCTGCTGTTGCATCCGCCGCTGCCTACAACCTCTTGCCGTGGCATGGGCCCAAGTAGTGCCTCACACTACTGCACCAGTAGTAGTGCCGCAACGGATACGGGGCTCGCCTAAACCATCGCGGAGAGCCGACGGCACATCACCAGCAGGCAGCACGCACGCTCACAGTACGACGAGCATGACCACTTCAGTCGCGTCGCAGCCAAGCCAGCAACATCAGCGCGTACAGAAAAAATCAGCTACAGAGTCTGATACCACGGCGACTCACTCGCCCCAGAGTCAGCCTCCACCTACGACATCCCAACCACAATCTCGAGGCTCGGTCATTCCCGCGAACACGGGCAATGGTGCAGCTTCCGCAAATATGACTACCCGAGCTCCCGCCACGAATGGCGTGAGGAATTTCGGAGCCGGCTCAAACCGGACGTCTCAGTCTATGGTGTTCTCGCACAATAACGGCGCCAAATCCCGTAGTGACAGCAGTGCCAGTGCAGGTCCTGCCGCTGCCGACGATGCCGGAAATCAGTCTGAAGCCAGTATCAGTGCAGGCCTTGGCAAGAAGAAGCGGCTTGCCATCATTACATCCTATGACGACTCTGATCAAGATCCGCCGAGGCGTCCTTCCCGGGCGCCACTACTCCGATCGCAGAGCGAGCACATGGTGCGTCACGAGGAGCCAGAGTATACTGATGACGAAATTCACGAGTGGGGGGCACGACACGGTTTCGAGGACCACTACCAGTCCGAGGATATTATTTCACATTTAGCAAATGTGAGTACAGCGAGAAGCAGTCCTATTGTGTCGCGGCTTCTTACCCATCACACAATGTGCTGTGAGCCTGATGTGTATGGCTAAGCATCATTGGCTTCGGCTGTCGCAAAGAACTTTTGTGCCCTGTCCACACTTCAATTTCAAGCATCAGGTCATGCTAACACAACCAGAATTGGTACATGTATTTTACAGATAAACGACACGAGACGACGGGCCGGCCGAAATTGCCCAGCTACGAGATTGAAGATTGGCGCATGCGAGATCGCTTAAAGACAGTTTCTGCTGCGCTTGCAGTCTGCCTCAACATCGGTGTCGAACCTCCAGATCAACTCAAGACAAATCCAGGCGCAAAGCTCGAGGCATGGACTGATCCCTTCATTCCGCCGGCGACGAAAGCCCTCGAGACCATCGGCAAGAACCTGCAATCCCAGTACGAGAACATTTCGCTGCGAACGCGATACAAGCAATACCTCGACCCATCCGTCGAGGAGACGAAACGATTCTGCATATCTCTGCGGCGCAACGCGAAAGACGAGAGGGTTCTCTTCCACTACAACGGTCATGGCGTACCGAAACCCACGCAATCCGGCGAGATCTGGGTGTTCAACAAGAACTACACACAGTACATTCCGATTTCTCTGTACGATCTGCAGCATTGGCTTCAGAGCCCAGTCATATTTGTCTGGGACTGCTCAGAAGCCGGCAACATTCTGAGCAACTATCACCGATTTGTCAAAAAACACGAAGAGGAGGAAGAAGCAAACGCAGCTGCAGATCCCAACTATCAGAAAGTCAACTTTAGGTCATATCTGCATCTGGCAGCCTGTGGCGCAAAGGAGAACCTTCCCACGAACCCTCTGCTGCCAGCAGACTTGTTCACTGCTTGCCTGACTACGCCCATAGAAATGACTCTGTGGTTTTTCGTTTTGCAGAACCCCTTGCGCACGAATTTGACCCCCGAGAGGGCAAAGAAGCTTCCTGGCAGACTGCAAGAACGGAGAACCCCGCTAGGAGAGCTCAACTGGATCTTCACCGCGATTACGGATACTATTGCGTGGACATCATTGCCGAGGCCTTTGTTTCGCAAGTTCTTCCGACAAGACCTGATGGTGGCTGCGTTGTTCCGCAACTTCATCCTGGCGCAAAGGATCATGGTGGTATATGGCTGCCATCCACAATCATATCCGGCGCTTCCTGATACGCATCAACATCCCCTGTGGGAGAGCCTCGATCTGGCTGTCGACCTTGCCCTCTCCCAGCTTCCAATGCTGGAGAAGAAGGAGAGCGAGCATCTCGACTATGAATATCAGAGTTCGAGCTTCTTCACCGAGCAGCTAACTGCGTTCGAGATCTACCTTGCGCGAGGAGACGCCATGCTCAAGAAACCGCCGGAGCAGCTTCCAGTCGTGCTTCAGGTTCTTCTTAGTCAACAACACCGAGTTCGCGCGCTGATCCTGCTTGGCAGGTTTCTTGACTTGGGTCCTTGGGCTGTGGAATTGGCTCTGAGCATCGGCATCTTTCCCTACGTCCTAAAGCTACTGCAGTCCGCTGCTGCAGAGCTCAAGCCAGTGATGGTGTTCATCTGGACTCGCATATTGGCAGTCGACATTTCTTGTCAGCCAGACCTGATCAAGGACAGCGGCTACAATTACTTCTCGCAAATTCTCAAGCCATCCGAGGGCCTTCCAGTTGCCAACAGCGACGAGCACAAGGCCATGTGTGCCTTTGTGCTGGCGATGCTCTGCAAAGGATACAAACCTGGGCAGGTTGTGTGCAATCAAACCGACATCATGACGTACTGTCTGGCACATCTGAAGAATGAGGAGAACGTTCTGTTGAGACAATGGGCCTGTCTCTGCATCAGCCAGCTTTGGCATAACCTGCCAGAAGCGAAGTGGCGTGGCATCCGCGAGAACGCACCCCTGAAGCTCTCGAGCTTGGCCAAAGATCCATGCTGCGAGGTGCGCACCGCGCTTGTGCACGCGATGACAACCTTCCTGGGCATTCCAGACCTTACCGATGAGGTTGCCAGGATCGAAGAGTCGATTGCTTGGACCCTACTAGACATGACAAATGACGGCAGTCCTCTGGTGCGCAAGGAGATCCTTGTGTTCTTGTCGCACTTTGTTCTCCGCTACGAGAACAAGTTCCTTGTCACAGCCTTTGAGCAGCTGGTGGAAGAGAAGGAATACGCAAACTTCCCTCCCAAAGATGACGGGCAAGAGCAGAAGATGGGTCTGCACTATGTTCGTCCCGAGCACCGCAATGCCGACGGAACCATCAAAGCTTCTGCTCAAGGCCTTTCGCACAATACGGTTTTTGCAGCGTGCTGGAAGCACATACTGATTCTTACAGTCGACCCGCACCCAGAAGTGCAGCGCCATGCAACGGTGATCTTGGACTACGTGCACAATGTCTTGCTTACTTCGAGCACCGGCATACATGCTCGGGCATTGATGGAAGACATTGAGAGGCGTGCGAAACTCGCTCGCGCTCACCGGAAGCAGGCTTCCTTTTCCCGGAATGCCTTTGCCAACAATCCCAACGACATGAACGCTCCACAACCGTCTCCAGGCCTTTTGAAACGCACGGCAAGTTATCTATTCCCTCAGTTGTGGAACCAGGACGACAAAGGGGCCTCTGGAATGCCGCCACCATCGCCAACCGTGTCAAGAAATGCTTCACTCAGAGGAAGGCCCCCCACAGCTCCCCAGGAGCAGGCAGATCCTTCCAGCAACTCTACACAATACCACATCGTCGACGAACCAGTTTCTGGCGGTTTTGAGCCACGAGATCTCGACGAGGTACCCAGCCTTCCGCTCCCGAGTCTATTCTTAGACTGGTCGATCGAATATTTCCGTGAGCCACAAATGAAGCCGAGTGAGGCGGAAGAGCCTGGCAGTACGGAGTACAATGAGCGGCTGTGGAGACGGTCTCGAAATGAGAACATCCTGCGTGAGACTCAGCCGCAGAAGCAGTTCGCCGGCAGCCACAAGTGGAACAACCAGCTTTGCATCATGAACAATGGCGCACAACCGGCCAAGATGACATTCCACCAGTTTGAAGACCACCTAGCAGTGGCCGACGACGCAAACACAGTCTACGTATGGGACTGGAAGAAGCAGGGCAGGCTCAATCGCTTCAGCAATGGCAACCCTGAGGGTTCCAAGATCAGCGACATGAAGTTCATCAATGAGGATGACATCGCCTTCTTGATGACCGGCTCCTCAGATGGTGTGCTGAGAATCTATCGCGGCTATGAGTCGGAAAAGACCACCGAGCTCGCATCGGCTTGGCGGGCTCTGACACATATGATCCCCAGTAACGTCAACTCCGGGATGGTCTTCGACTGGCAGCAGGTCACCGGCAAAGTTCTGGTAGCTGGTGACGTCCGAGTCATCAGAGTATGGTCCGCCGCTTACGAGACCTGCATCATGGACATCCCCGCACGTTCAGGATCCTGCGTTACGTCCCTGACTTCGGATCAGATGACGGGTAACATTTTCGTCGCCGGGTTTGGAGACGGTGCTGTCCGGGTTTTCGACACACGCTTGAGACCCCAGGAATCTATGGTGAAGAAGTGGAAGGATGAATCCGATCGTCAGTGGATTCGAAACGTACATATGCAGCGCGGCGGTCAGCGCGAGCTGCTATCCGCAAGCCGGAATGGTAAAGTCAAGATTTGGGACATCCGAATGGACAACCCTCTGCGCACTATCCAGGCAACTCGAGAGGGCCTGCGCACGGCAAGCGTTCACGAGCACTTGCCCGTCTTCTCTGTGTAAGTACTCTCTGGTGCATTTTCTAAATCCAGGCAACGGAAATGGCTAACTTGGACTTTTTAACAGCGGAACCTCCAACCATGTCGTCAAGGTCTTCAATCTTGATGGCCACGAGCTCTCACGCATGGAGCCATACTCGAGCTTCTTGCAGCAGAACCGCGGTGGCGCAATTGCTGCCACGGCCTTCCACCCACACCGCATGATTCTCGGCTGCGCACCGCGCGGCGATCACCATATCAACCTCTTCACCTGCGCCTCGGAGAAGCCCGAAGCATTCCTAAACGCCCTGTAACTGTAGTGACACCAACACAACAACCATTACGGATGCGAACCATTACAGCTCCGATTAGTCTGCTTTTCCAGCCATCTTGGTGTCCTGTCCGGCGCGCGCAGCTCTTTGCTTTCTCTCCATGTGCTGTCGTCTCGTATCTCTCTGCTTCTTCAATACCTTTGCTCTTTTTTTCTTTTGGCCTGGTTCTCTTCTCCATGCCATGGGTCGGTCGCATTCTGGTACAAACGGGAGAGTAGGGAAGCACACAAATACACAAGGCACAGAGGTCTCTGCATTCTCGTCTATATGTATATACACTGACTAGTACAAATCATAATATCTACCCATTAGCGAAGAGACTGCTCGTGTGCCCTTTGTAGTTGACCCGAGCATGTCGAGCACAAAGTGATATGGGGGATTGTGGAGGATGAAAGAAGAGACGGGCTGTACTTTGTGATTTCGCGTTGCTGCAGCTCGTCCCACCACTTTGGTGCAGTTCAATCCCATCTTCGATATGGTTCTGCCTGCATGCGTACGTACGTGCTCATGGCTGGAGTTTGGCTGGCCTTGCGTGTCATATGGTTGCGCCGTTTACTAACTTGACGCCATTGTCCTCCCACTCATGCTCAGATGGCTCAGAAGGGTTCAGATACGATGGCGATCTCCGTTTTGGTAATTCAAGGACAGACCTCTGACAGGTGCGCGTCATAGGCCGCGGAAAGCTTGCTTCACCAACGCGCCGTCGGACCTACAGCCTCGACGCGCCAAAATTGTCATCGATCATGCTGAAGCCGGTCTGCTGCCTGTCAGGGGGCCTTCTCAGGCCCAGTTCGTGGTCTCCATCGTTCGCAATCTTTGCTCGACCCAGGGCCTGTGCATACCACCGCTTCCAACCCGTCTGTCCTGACACGTTTTCGTCTGAAACATCGTAGCCAACGACATTTTCCAGCCTCTTCCTCCCTGCTTGTACCCACTGCTCCCATCTGTAGGCATAGATGAGGGACGCTCCTATGACGGCTGATGTGATGGGGACAGCCACGACCCAGAACAGATATTGGCCCCCTTCCACGTCTCGAATGCCGTCGAGATTCATGCCGAAGAAGCTCGTTACGAAAGAACTTGACTCGGGTCAGCAGCGAGTCCCAGTACCACATAGTTGTATTTCCCTCCAGTGCAGGTGTGTACTCACAGGGGCAAGAAAAGAACAGTCACGAACGTGAAAACCCAGATCGCGTGGTGGTCCGTCTCCTCCTGGATCTCGATCGCATGCCTCAATTGTTTGTGGAGCAGCTGTGTGTGCTCTCGATGCTCTTTTACTTGTCGCAGTCTCGACATCAGCTTTTTGATTGCTCTTTGCAAGAACACATGCTCAAGGGAGAATTGCTGTTTGCGTTTAAATGTCGGTTCGCGGGTTGAGTCCGGGTCCAGGACTTGCATCAGGTCGTTGTAGAACTTGAGCTGCCAGTTGATGACGTTCTGCAGGCATGTGAGCTCGTCTTCCAGAGCGATGATGTGAGGAAAGAGGTTCTTGCGTGGGCGCGTGCGTATTTGGGCATGAAGATAGTTGGTGTATTGATGGTACATCCTGTGCACATCAACTTCCTGGTCCGACATGGTCCTGATGCGCCGGGACGCGATATTACTCGCGAGGATTGCGACAAGAAAATGCGGCTCAATGGGTGCAAGCATGAAAGACCCGTTCCTGTTGCTGGACTCGCTCGAAACCGCAATCTCTATCATTGCATGGTCCACCAAGGACAAAATCCGCTCGTTTATGTGGCGAAGCTGCTTGCTCGGAGCTCGTTTTCTGTCCGTCGCGAAGTATACGATGTTCTTGACAGTCATGTTTTTCATGACATCCCGCAACCATGCAAGCATGTAAGCGTGCATAAAGAGGATATACTCAAACGCGATGACAAGATCGTTCACTAGGACGTGGTCGTGCGAGCCCGAGACGGCGACGCCTGCGTGTGCATTTAATGCGATGTGGACGATGCTTTCGAGAACAAAAACAAAGCTTTTCAAAACAGCCTCGACCAGCTCGATTCGAGTGTCGGTCAGCACTTCTGGGGCGATACCTATCCATCTCTTGAGGTCCTTATGGCGTTCTGTACCAAAGTGCTTCCTTTTCAGATGCTTATGCGCTGCTTCGCTCGTGGAGAATCCGCGCAGGCATCGTTTACATGCTGATAGATTTGGCGTCGAATGAGACGGTCTGTTACCAATACCTGAGTCGTCGGAAGAGAGCCATGTCTTAACCAGGATCACGCCTCCGTCTTTCCCTGGGTCAATATTGTTTTTGATGAGCCCATCAATGATCTGACAACGATTTAGCGGTTTTCCTGTGATCATTTAGACAGCATAATACTTACGTCGAAGATAGCGCCCACAAAGCCCCAGAACCCGAGGATCAGTGGATGAGGGTTGTCTATTGGCAGGAACTGGCGTATGATGATCTTGGACCGATGGTAAATCTGGCGTTTCATAACAGCAACATTGTGATATGATGTGGAAGTATGCCGAGAATTCAAGTCTGCATCGACGCGAGGCTCCAGAACCATGTGGTTCGAGGGGCTTGTCTTGCTCACTTGGGTCCTATAGAGCTCCCTCTGTTGCAGGCGGCAAGCCGCGAGGTCCAGCACTTTCCTGAGAGAGTCATCATGGCTTGCGCCGAACTCTAGCACTTTCCATGCCAGGAATGGCTGACCAATTTCGTTTTCCTACAGAACCGAAAAATCATCAGGTCATATGTTTGGCATAAATGTCAAGGAGGCAAAACGCACGACTTTGAAGTACGGATCTGTGTACTCGTTTGGTTCGAGGTGATTCACGATACTTCTTGGGTAAGATTCAAGAGAGTCTCTGCTTTGTCGAGGCTGTTGAGGAATAGGCTGCGGATTGGCTTGGCCGGCTTCATGTTGGGAGTTGAGGAAGGGTGGTGGTCCTTCCGCAGGGGCAAATTTGAGGGCATTCAGCGGTGGTGTGCCCTCCTTGTAGCTGCTCAGATCGATACTATCGACTTTCTGGGTCTCCATCATTTCACTCGGATTGGTGTAGAGTAGTTCTTCTCTCCCATTAGGGCGAAATTTGTGTTTCAGATCCAATGCGTGCCCTGATTCTGTAGACGATCAGCAACAGCTACTCGGAGTTTGCTTACCAGGTGCTGATCATGGATGTTGACCAGACTCAATCAAGACTCCTGTTCCTAACGCCTGCAAACGTCTGCTGCATGGAGAGAGGGGACGCGATCTCACTGACCTTGATCTTCACGCTCTCTTGAGTAAAGCACGAGTGCGTTGGTGGGCTTCACAGGTGCCGATGAGTACTTCAGGTACAGCTGTAGAGATATCATGTCCTGCTGAGCCAATTCCCGCCATTTACGAGCCGTCAAGAGTTCACCATCTTCCAGAAAGATACCGAAGTTGTTTTCGACTCGAGCTCCAAGAGCAGACCATGCATTCTGTATCGTCCTCCGAATGGTCTGTAAGGTCAGAATGAGGCCCAACTTCTGCACTTGTCGAACTGTAACTTACGACGAATGAAGACATCTTGTCTAAAACGGCACGGAACTCGAGTCCATCTTGTGATAGCAAAGATGCGTAGAGATCGCACGAAGAGCTTTTTTGTGTAGCAAGTACGTCGCCATGAATTTGCTCCTGAGTGAGATGGCTGCAGGAGATAATAACTGAGAAGCAGAGAATAAGTCATGCGTGGCCAACTTCAGTGAGGCACGGAACAATCCACTAGTCTTACCATTGCCACAAATTAGGAACCAGACGTGAGGTACATGGATGAGCTCGTCCGGACTGCCATGTAGCTTCAGCTTCTGGAAGACCTGTTGGGTGTCGTGCTCGACGAAATCGCCAACCTCAGACGAGCATTTCGCCAAAGTCCGCATAATGTGCCTCTTGATCCCACCCTGGTGTGGTGGCCCCGGCCTGGGTGGGACCAGTGCTTGGAGAAACGGAATCGAACAGAATATGACCGATTTCGGTGGCTCGGCTGTGTGCTGGTTGGGCAAGCCATCGTAGCGCAGGACGGTTCCTGGTTCCAGGAAGAACTGTGTCCGAGACCCATGTGCGACCTTGTACTCGTATCTTGGGCATTCCTTGCGCAAAAGCTCTAGAGCAAGAATGCGATCATCCCTGTGTATTCGAGGGTCGCTGGACACCACATCCTAGGCTTCGTATCAACTATGGAAGCGGTCGACAGCATGAAACACAGACTTACCACCAGGTCTTGAAGACAAAGGCTGCTCCGCTCGAGGTGACTAATGAATACAGTTCAGTCATGGCCAAAGCTGGAAAGGAAGCGACGGTACTTACATCCATACCAGCGAAGGTGTCAACGACTGCTCTGGTGAGGGTTGCTCTGCATACTGCGTCGCGGTAACCATATCTCTGCCGCTTCCCGCCGCACAGTACTCAAGCATCAGGGCCTCCAGGACCTGCAATGTCGCAGTCCCTTCGCTGGCTGATGCTTTGGTGGTAGAGTATTTGAAGACTTGTGACAAGTCAGGAGCTCCACGGTCATTGTCTGATGGTCTTCGCCTCAGCTGAAAAGCAATTGCCTCTCCGGGATCAGCCCATGATGTAGGCATGGAGAAGTGACTGCTCGTCTCTTGCTGAGCCCCGGACGCAGCCGCATTCTGCGTCCGTGCTCCCGTGTGCCTATTAGCATGATGTGTCTCTGATTCGTAACGGGGCAGATCTCTGTTCTTGAGAAATTCTATCTCCTCTTTTGCAGCTCGTAACGTCGATTCCCAAGGCTGCAAGACATCATGCTGAAGCCTGGCGCTTGCTGAATTACCCTCGTGGGTCAAGCTGTTGCGGCCGCTGCCTCTTTGGAAACGCGTATCGGAGTTGCTGGGAGGTGTAGGTGCCTCGGGTATGAGCCTTGCTTTCAACTTCTTCTCGGCTCCATGTTGCACGCCACTGCTGTGTGCCGAAGTGGTCGACTGGTCACTCGGTTCATCCGAACTTCCATGGCTGTGTCTTCTGCCGCCGTCCAGTTTGGTAATATGTCGCATCGTCCGTGGCCTGATTGGAGCTGGACCAGGCTCCTCCTCGTCATCGGATCGGGACTCATCCGACCACGATCCCGTTCCCCAGGTGGGATTGAGGGATGAGCCACGGTCGTCTCCCTCAGGCGAGTCGCTAACCCGACCGTTTTGCCATAATGGTCTTGAACGTGTTTGGCCTCCGTTGAAAGCTTGTGTCCTTTTGCCTACGCGGAGCGGGGAGAGGACTGGGCGGTAAGATGGCTCATCTGAGTCTTCCGTGTCAGGAGCGGTTACTGTCGGTGACCTGTAGCCCTGACGGAAAACGTCGAGCGTGGTGTGCACCGTGTTTTGGGGTGGGCTCCCAACGTAGAACACACGAGGAGCACCGCTATGCATATCACTAGCCTCGTGATTGTCGCGATCGTCAGCAAGGGGGCTCTCACTGCCGCGGGACTTCGAGCTGGGGTCAGCCATTGATCTGACTTCGCCTTCCCACTGGTCTGGACCATATAGATGTGGTATAGATCGCGATACTGATGCCTCGGCATCTGGTTCAAGTCTATGGTGCAGGGATGGCGGCGCCCATTCTGACTGGGGTGGCGCATATGGACCACAAGCACAATCAGAGTGGACACCACAAACCACATTTGCCTGGGCAGCCGGATGGTGTGGTTGTGGATGTCCAGAGTGCCCTCGAGATTCTGTGTGGACTAAGCTTGGCTCTCTATGATTATAAGCGAAGGCGTCATCATTGTGGTGGACAGAGTGAGAATAGTCCTCATCAGAGGCGCTCTCTATGAGCACGCGATGTCTTGGATTCGCAGTCCGACTGGTGGCAATCGGGTCCGTGGAATATACGATGCGGTCCGCATGCTCGGCTCGGCTGGTAGCAATAGCTTCTGGTGCTGTAGTTGCGCCATGGCCATGCGAAAGCGCCCTGGCTGAATCCCTCCTGGTTGGTAGTTCCAGCCTGGAGCCATGTTCGTCCTCGCTGCTCGTCACAGCAACACTATTACTGGCACCATATACACGATGAATCCTGGGTCGATAGTTCTGGCTGGAGGAGTGACGACAAGAAGCTGTTGTTGGTGACAACTGGTAAAAGCTTTCGTTGCGAGGTCGCTCTGAGAACGGATTGGATGCTGTCCGACTTCGTTCGTCCTCGGAAGATTCATCGGGTGAAGATTCATTATGCCTTCTTCGAGTATGACTGGCCGTTGCGGACGCGGCAAGAGGTCTTCGCCGAAACGACATGGATATCCGAAGTGGCCGTGAACCCAGTGAGGGTAGCGTCAACGTAAGCTAAGGCGTGTGCGTAAGGTGAACCCACTGATGATTTCACGAATGTTTCCAAGGACTCAGTAGGACTTTCTTTGTGGTATGGACACAGGGCAGACACAGAGCCACGGCAGCGCCACGGAAATGTCAACATGCTAGGGACTGGAGAGCTCGCTTCGAGGAGCTAACACGGGCTCAAGTCCTCATTGCGCCTTGTGGTCGGAGTACATGCACTCGATGCGCGAAATCCCGCGCGGCTGATATTCACGACCTCGACAAATCGACCTCATGCGGCACGCTCGAGGTTGGCCTCGATATGTGGCCGAGAGGGGTTCATGTACCATATTGACCTTTGTTGGCTGCACGACACCAGCTGACCTGCAGGCAAAACATGGGTTGTTCCAATCAGACCGAGGTTGGTCGCCTCGTTGCATATGCCTCCTCCCCGGGTGGGATCACTGCATCCATTCGCCAGCCTTGTTAGCGTTGGATCGAGGGGCTTTGCAGTAATACTTTGCTGCAGACTGATCCGGCTGCTTGCATGTGGGCGGGTTGCTCTCTCGCCTCGGAGGCGGAGAGTACCTGAGAGCTGGGGAAGCCGAAGCATCCGTAGCGCTCTATCGTCTTCCGTATTCCGTGAAACTCGGAAATGTGCCAAAATGGCGGACTTGGGCATGAGGAAGTGGCTGAGCGAAGGAATGGATGGGGGCTGCCTCATCGCTGAGCGTTGGCCCAGGTCTGAAGGGTGTATTTGAGCGGCTCGTGTCCACGGTGCAGGCCATCCATGGATGCCATGCAAAGAAAACCAGGTGGTCTACCTGCTTGCGGCTGTGCAACGAGCAGTCGCGATGGGGGTTGCTCGGGCTCCGAACCTTAAGGTACTCAAGTATCTAACTTGAGTACTTACTCTATGAATAGCGTAGGTATCTGGGACATGGAACATCCCGTCCTGCATGCCATGCAGGAGAGCACACAGTCTGTCCGCGCGCCCCGTCTCGTGCCTCCTGGATTCAGCCGGCATATAATCAGAGGCACCAACTTCACTTTCACAATCCCTGTGTGGCCTATGGTCGGGTATCAAGCCACAATGGCGAGGCCGCACAAATCAAGAAGTGATTCCAGGCTGGGCACGCGCATCTCGTTGATCACACCGCAATGTAAGTTGTACAGCCCTTCTGGTCGCTCTTGCAAATATTCGTATTGTTCCACCACGGGATCCAGACCTGGGACGCGTGTAATCGCCAACACAATCTGAACAACAATGCCCGCTGTCTCCCCCAGTGGCAACCGCGAGCTCCCCCACCGGCACTGTCTCACACATGCAGAGGAGGCGCCGATTATGACCTAAACTTCTTGCTTGCCTCGACAAAGCTCATGCCCCCCTTGACCGCCACGGCCATCTGGTCGTCCATCTCGACCTGCTTCTTCATGAGCGGGAGGGCCTTCTCGGCATCCGCGGCGGGGAGCACCACCACGCCGTTCATGTCACCGATGATGTAGTCGCCAGGGCAGATTTCAATCTCCAGGTCGTCGGTCTGCAACTTGACGGGGACATTGACGCCAGCGACCTTGAGCACGGGTGTTGGTGGGGCGGTGCCGACATCGCGGGCGAATATCTTTTTGGGAGGAGGGGGAGCATCAGCAGTCAGCAAGCGGGGCCATCAGAGTACGGGGAGAGCCTTTTCCTGCTGGGCTGTGGTGATGATGATAAGGATGGATATAAGATGGGCAATGGCCTATCAAACATTAGCGCCACTTACCGGAAAGCCAAGCTCCCTCTGCTCCTGCAGGTCACGGAAACGGCCGTCAATTACGGAGCCGACGGCACCGCTGGCGCGGGCACGCATGGTCATGAGCCCTCCGTACACTGCATTGGGCATCTTAGGCGGGCTGGACACAAACACCACGGCGCCCTCGGGGACCGAATCGATCTGTGCGTAGGGGGCGCGTACTCAGTTAGTACCCTGTAGCTGCCTCTATTTGGTGCTCGATTGTTGCGGGCCGCGCAAAGCCTCGGGGGCGATAGCAAATGGAGACGACTTACGTAGTGCGTGGGGTGCTTGGGCGCTGGGTCGTCGAGCGGGAGATACTGGACCGTATACGCGGGGCCGACGATCTTGGTCGGGCCGGCCTGGCGATCGGGAGACCACATGGTCAAGCCCGGGAGGAAGCCGCCGTGGCGGTATTTTGTCTTGTCGAGCTTGCAAAGGGCATCCGAGACATCGCAGCTGTTCCGTTAGGTTTGGTGGTCTGATCAGTCGAATGACACCTGGCCTGGGGGACTTATACGTGGAACACCTCGTTTGTGTGGCTGGGGGGTTATTCTCAGTCTCTGCCGGTCGGTCGGCGTGTGCACTTACGTTGTGTAGTCCTGCAGTGCCCGGATGATGGGATCTGCCGAGGTGGCTGCCATGCTGGCGATATGTCGTGCCTGGATGGAATGGAAGACGCGCGGGAGAGCCACACGGTGGAGGAGCATCAACAGATGGGCAATTGACCTGGCACTCTGTGTCTGAGCCGTACTGCAAGGGAGTTGGCCGATGGTGGTGTCCAGACGGTGGTAGTCTCGCCGTTCGTTTGCAGTCTGTGGGGGAGGGGGAAGTTGTTGCCGCCCGTCGAGGTGTTCCCGAGGTCGGTCGGTGGTGTGGTGGCCACCGGCAACTAATCCACCCGGCCCTGCCCGAGACAGCCGGTGCCCCGCCCGCTTCTCCACTCCGGCTCAGCCCCGGCGGGCTCGGCGCTCTCTGCCGGGCGGGGGCCGATCGCGTCGTCCGGACTCGCCTCGCCACCTGCACCCAAGGTTCCACGGGCCAGGCTTGCACCTCAGAGAAGCATACAGCGGTCGACTCACTCTGTGTCAGATTAGTAGAAAAGTGTATAATCACGCTAGCCTTCCAAGTTGCCTCGAGCCACAAACTTACTAGAAACAGGCCCTAGGAAGCCCCATGCTTGCTTCAATGATATGTCGATGTCGCCCTTCTCGACGACAGCCACAGTGTTAAGGACAGCGCCTCGTGGCCCGTCCAATGAGTGGGAGCACGTGGTTGGACGATGCCTGGCCAACTTCAAATCGTCTCTCTTACCGTCTCACCTCCATCCAAACCCTTCACGCGAGTCCCGACTCTGCAACTCCACAGCAGCCCCCATCATGTCTTCGTGGGTTCTCTCACGCCGGCTGAAAGGCGTACAAGGCGTCGTCTTGTCCAATACGAGAAAGGAGAGCAGCACCCCGGCAAGCCCGACAATGAGGCCAATCATGACATCTGCGTGGAACGTCTCCACAAATGTCTGTCGAGTTAATGCTTGCAGGTGGGGTGGGAGATACTGTTGGACCACAGGGTTGTTCTCGATTAGCTCCAGGTCGTTCTGGTTGAAGTAGTCGGCGTTGGCATCCGTTGTGAGATTGTGCACAACGTCGCACACAGCGATCCCGACCGCACCGCCAAATACACGCATTTGCGCCACAAGTGCTTGTCCGACTGCGAGATGGGTACTGGGCAGGAGTGTTTGCGTGAGGATTGTGACAGACCCGAATGACAGTCCTATGCCCAGACCCAAGATGACCTGGTATCCATTCTGAGCTTTGGACCCCGTGTCTGCATTCCGCAGAGATAGAAATAAGGCGACGCCAATGGCTTGCAGGCATTGCGATATGATCAAGATGAGAGACGCCACGTTACGTCTTTTGCACAGGACTCCAGCAAGAAAGGACCCGAACGCTGTTGTCCCAAGCATGGGAAGGAGTCGTACGCCGGCTATCAGTGGACTTTCTTGGTCCACAATCTGGAATCTCTCAGGAAGGATGACAAGCATCGCAAGGTATATCCAGCCACTGATCCAGCAGCATCTGATGCATGAAAGTCAGCTCTATGTTGGGCTAGACCTCGGTTGTAACAGGGCAATGGTGCACTCACAGGTTTGTGCCCACGTATATGCGATTGCGGAGAAGCCACCAAGGGAGTAATGGCTCCCAGGACGTGGCACCGAAGCGGCCGGAACCAAGCCAGAACTCCCAGACCACAAAAGCTGATCCGCTAAGAACTCCCAACAGGGCAAGCGAGACCGATAGAGGCAGAACCGGAGATGTCGTTCCGATGTTCGCCAGGCAAGACACAACCATGGCAGGAGCTGCCATGCCGAGAAGGATGCCGGGAAGGTCGAGGCTGGCCCAGCCCCTGGATGAGGCAATGTCGCTGGAAATAATGGCGGCCTTGTGCGACCTGGTGAGAAGAAGTATCAAGATCGCTGCAACGCCAATCGGGACGCTAGAGTAGGTCATCAGCAAGCATCTTCCCAAGAAAAAGGCATCTGGAACGTCAGGTGAGCAGCGCACTTGATATAGAAGATCCACCTCCATGTGGTGAAAGAGGTGAGTGTTCCACCGAGCACCGGACCTAGCACGAAAGACATCGCAAGGGTCATGGCAGTTGCTGTGCCGCAGAGTTGGGATCGATGTCCCAGCCCAATATCAAATAGACCAATTTGGACGAGGCTGTACAGCCCAGAACCGCCGCAGCCTTGCACAGCGCGGAAGAATATGCTTGAAGTAATGAGCGCGGTACAAAGCAAGCATTGGTCCGGCAAATACTCACAGCTGGTCTATTGAAGTGGCAAAACCACTGCCGAGCGAACCAATGGTAAACAATGCCCAGGCCCATAAGAGCGTTCTCCGATGGCCCCAGATGTCGCTGGCCTTTGCGAATGGGGTGGCAAGGCTAACGAATGTCAGGAAGTATGACAACGCCACCCAGGGGGTTTTGACAAAGTCTCTCAGGTCAAGAGATATGGTGAGCAAGGACGTGTAGACGATCGAGACATCAAGAGTCGAGAAAAGAAGGCCTAGAAAGAGACTTTCCAGCACACATGCTTGTGTCAGCGGTAATTGAAGATAGGAGCATCAAGTATGGAAGGAACTACATTGTCATGGTGATGATTTGGCCAACCATCACTCGGGTTCCGACAAAGGTAGTGAGAGGCATGTCTGCTTGCAGGTTGTGAGCCTTCGTAGCGCTTGGTCAGGCCGTGCTTCTCTGACGAGATTTGTTTGCTGGGTTGAAGAATTCGGGAGGTGTCACACGTGCTCGAGCAGCAGAATCACGGACAGTGGTGGCATTCTCGGTGGACGGAAGTCGCGACACTCACAAAGGGTTGCAAACTGGGAAGGCACGACGTCTCAGCTAACCCTGCCGGCCAGAGCCTTGCGTGGCTGCTCTTTCCGGAGCCGAGACGAGCTGTCGTCTTTCCAGGAACACACTTGACACGCTCGCTGGTTTCTGTGCACGCAATCCCCTACTCAACGACCCAAGACCATGCATCAGACATGATCAAAAGACAAGACGCTAGGACTATTCCTGTTGCCGTGGTAGGCATGGCATGTCGCTTCCCCAGGCTGCTCGTCTTCTTGTATTTACACATTCGTAGAATCGCAGGCATTGTCTGGCTTACCCGCCTTTCTGTACTAACGAGCCATGTTGTGAAGTCGAATACTAGGCTAGGCCTCCATTAAGACTATGTGAACATCATTACAAACTCAATATGTAGCATGCAGAGAGATTCGAAGAGCCGAGAGGAAATTTATGAAGTCCTGGGATATTCTTACCAAGTCGGTTATCCCGCCCTCGAGCACCACAACGAAACAACCAACACAAGCGAAACCATCCACCATGACCTCGAAGAAGAACCCCGTGCATATAACAACCCCGCGCTAGTGTTTCCCGTCGGCTGCGACGGGTTCCCTGCCCCGGCCGGCGTCGTGGGGGTTCCTCCACCACCACCGCCAGGGGCGGCATCATCATCATCAAGCGTCGCCCCCTGGAACGCCACGCCCATGACGGAGATCGGTATTCCTTGCCCTGTTATCTCAACGATACTGTCGGCCTCGCCGCCGCCGCCCGGCGATGGGGCCGCGGCGGTGCTGCTGACATTAAGGTTCGCCTGGGCGAGCCCGATCCTGTGATGGTCCAGGTCGTGCACAACGTATGCTGAGCGCAGAAAGTTCTGTCCCAGGATGGGCAGGCTGTTGTTGCTGTCGAGAAGGCCGAAGGAGCAGGCATTCTCGAAGCCAAGATCCGGCGGCAAGGTGATGTTGTTGTTGTTCTTGTTGTTGATATTGTCGACAATGAACTCGCGAAAGGGAACCTTGATAACGGGACCGGCACTCCTTGGTGGGCTGGAGAACCGGAAGTCGACGGTCAGCCCGACGCTGGTTGTCGCGAGGGCGCAGTCGACAAGCCCTACACCCGTATTATTTCTGTCGTCGCGCACGCCAAAGTACTTCCAGATGCTCCTCACGAGCTCGTTGGGGAGGTACGAGATTGTCGTGCCAGAGTCGAGGACCACGCGCAAGGAGGAAGAGGAGGAGGATGACGAGTCGTTTTGGTTGCTGTAGAGGTCCTGCGTGCTGCCGCTAGTCGCGGAGAAGTTTGCGACAATAGAGTCTAGTCCGACCAGAAAGTGAGTGTAAGTGTCTGCCTGTGTCGGCAGGACGTCGATCGTCTGTAGTGAGCCAATGAACTTTGTTCTGTCTATACCGCCTAAAAGCAGACTCCCCGTGTCCGATGAGTAGTCATCCTAACTGAGAGATCAGTAAAGTCGCACACCACAAGTGTTGCTAACCTCGAAAAAGAATATTCTCTCCTCGTGAGCAAAATTGATGGCGTGCATACCAAGTATAAGCTGTAGGCCTTTGCCGCAATATGTCCTCCAGACTTGAGTTCGCCGATGATATTGCGGTGGTTCCCGACGCCACTAGTTGGGTAGCCAATGCCAAGAATCCCAGTGTCTACTCGTGACTCTCTTACGAGTCCGAACTGCAAATCGTCAATAACAATTGCATTACTCCCAGCGGCCCCGACGCGGATGACGTCTTGGATGACATCACCCCTGGCTTTGTCGTTGTTGATATATACGACCTCGAAGCCGTCTTCCTGCACAAGCTCCAAGCTCGAGCTCAGGATGGGATCGACTTTGGAGAGGATGGTGTATTGTCAGCAAGAGTACTCTGATCGTACTTTTCGCATTTGCGTTCAAAGCTGGCTCCGCCCCCGACAACGGTTACGACTCACAGGTATCAGAACACGTGCCTGGACCTTGGCAGATGTCCGCACCCTGCTCAAGCACCCATAACTCTGCACTTCCCGTATCCACAAGCAAGTCGTTGCTCTGCGGAGGTGTGCCAATGTTGAGAGTCGCAAAGTACGCTTGTGCGGTCCGGTTGTGCACAAGCTGTTGTCCAAAGGAGGAACCTCTGGTCAGCCCCTCCGAGCTCAGGAGCTGCTCGCCAGGGCGTCTGCGAATGTCGAGTCTGGCAACTCGCGGCACTGCTGCGGTGGTACTTGACGCTATTTCGTTTGCGGCAACGACGCAGCCCAGGACTCCAGAAAAGACTACGCCGCAGAGGCGCATGACGTCTAGCAAAGGAGCGTGGTGCGCGCGTACTGATAAGGTCTTTCTACAGCCAAGTTCTAGGGCCGACACGGATTGTCATGCAGGCTTCCGCCCGCATCAAACAGCTAGGCACAAACGTGCGCGCGCGACGTGTGTTGTCGAGTATACCGGATGAGCAGTGGGCGTGTCACAAGGATGGAAGCGCGCTTTGCGCTTAATCGCAGTCGCAAAAAGCCCAGGCGATGAGGATGAGGAAAGGGAGATGGAAATCTGCCATTGCGCGTCGACAGAGCCAAGGTGCAATTGTGGCTTGCATTTCCGCCACTTCGCTCGATGTCAGGGATTCCCATGGCTGCACTATACGACTGGGCTGATAGAGCGCTCGATTTGGTAAAGGTCTTGGTGAGGGTTGCATGTTCGACAGGATCATTGGGCCGACGGATGCAAGGGTTGTGCTGACCAGGGCTGTAAGCAATTGCTCTGATGGTCGACTTTCATGCAGTCCGGTCCAGCCCCCAGTCGCCGCAACAGCGGATTATAGTCGCCATGCTGTGACCTCGTCCATTGCAAGCATTGTCACCTGGAGAAGTAAATGTTCCGGAAGTACATTCAGCAGCGTTGAGGCGCAAGCTCCCATAATATAGGATTCTTTAGCTGAGTTACGGGGGTGGTGACTTGAGCTGTGCCACCTCAGCCCATTCTTTCGTACCGTTCCCTCGCCTTATCCTTGGCCTTGGATACAAAGTCGGAGTAGTCGTTCTTCGTCGCCCTTGCTGCCTCTTCTATAGCGTCTCCAACTTTTCCGCCTTCCGCACCGAGACCAACTCCGGGGGTATATGCCAACGTCTCAATGATATTGGTCCGGCCGCCCCCTTCCGCACCCAAGCCAGCGCCTGTCGTCCATCCCATCTTAGCCAGCAAACCAGCACCTTTCGAGACTGCGGGCTTGGCCGCGTCGGATGCTGTTGCCAATCCAGGGCCATGTTGATCCTTCCGTGGCAGATGAGCAGCTCTCGATTGTGTACGCTTCTTGTGCGCCATTCGTCGTTCTTTGGCCCGATCACGGTAGTTCGATACAGGCTCTTTGCCTCTCGCCTTCAGGTCTTGTGTGGCCTTGACAACTGTCGCCTCACTTTCTAGATTTGCCCGATGCATATCACTGAGCTGTTCATGTCTTCGCAGAGACGATTCGCTCTTGAATCGTCGTCGACACAGCAAGCAGCACATCTCGTCCAAGTCAGCGTACGAGACGACCACGGCTGACGGCTCAGGTAGAGCCATGGCTGTGGACCCTCCAACAGCGTTGACACCCGTGGCAGGACTGAAATCAGAACTAGATCCGGGGGCCTTGCTTGAACTGTTGGGACCAGCTAGCTCCGCATGCTTGTTCGCCCACATCTTGAGCTGAGGCGCCATCGCGATCGCTTTTTTGCCCGTTGGGCCAGGAAGCTCCTTATCCGCCTTGCGCTTCTTTGATTCTTTGGCCGCGTTCGCATCGTTGTCTTTCTTCGCGGACACGGCATCATCGGCTTTGTCTTCGTATAGGTTCTCGTTAAACATGGTCAGCTCGCTGGCATAGACCGTTGGATTCCAGTATGATAGCCGCATCGATGGATTGTGTACAGCTGTGAATGTGAATCTCTCATCTTCGCCTTGCACTGGATGCAGGTATGGAATGAAGACACCAGAGTGTATGAACGCGATGGTTGCTGGTCGCGAATTGATCAGGAAAGTTGGGCTAGCGAGATACTTCGCGACAGCCGCGCGGGCGTCCTCCAGGGTCGTGAACTCCGCAAAACCGTAATTGCAGCTTATTTCAGTCGATTTGTCCCGGATCATGAATACTCGTGCAAGGGAACCAGGCTTGGCTCCGAGTCCGCTCGTATTGCCGACCGGTGCGGTGCTCTTCAGCTTCGGAGGCTGTCCACCGGCTACTTGCTTGGGTCCAGTACCTTTGTCGACGTACAGACTCTTGATCCCGTTTGCCAAGGAGATCTCGTTGACAGAGGAGGCTAAACCACGAACAACAACAAATGGAGATGGTGCCTGTTGCGGACACTCGTCACTTTGACCGTCCAACCTCATGTCTATAGCCACCTCGGCTAGGTGCAGGCCGTCAGCTCACATTTCGCGATAGCATGGCTTCTAGGGTGGACCTACTGGATCGCGGGGCTTTACACTCCTTGCATGTGGCTCGCCTCGAGAAATTTTCGAAGTGACACTACACAGATTGTGTCAGATCTTTTCAGTCATTTGCCACAGGAGCCAAGTGGTCTGACATACCATCGTGCACACCCAGTCATCCGTAGGAGGTGCCTGCTTCCGCTCGCGACTGTACTCAATGTAGAGCCGGGTGGACGAGCCGTCGGCATTGTTGACTTCAAACGCTGGATAGTTATTCTCGAGAAAGTCCACAGCCTCCTCCTCAGAACGGAACTCTGCGAACCCATATGCCCGCCTCGAGCCTATTGAAAAAGTTTAGTCACTGTTCTCGTCACCATATATGTGCCGCAGGGATATTGAACATACGGTCGTCCGATTTGATGCGGACCTCCATGAGCCCTTCCGCTCCAGAATCTCGTATGGCCTGGTCGATCTTGAACAGACTGTCAGCATGTTTGCATGGGACAGAACATGGACAAGCTGGAGCATACCGCTTGTCTATTTAGCCAATCTGGAATATCGTTGAGTTTGAGGGTGTTACTCGGCCGTCCGGGACCTTGGCGGTGCGCCTGATCATGATGATATGATTCATCTCCCGAGTTGTATGGGGAAGCCTCTCTTGAGTCGTGCCGTCTTCCCCTGCGGCCGTAATGGCCTCCAGGCGCGTCATGGTCCCGGTAGCCTCGATCTCTGCCTCGGACGTAGCTGGGTGAATCTCGCCGCCGAGCCCGGGAGGCGTCGCTGTACGTGTTGTCGCGTCCACCATCGCGACGATACTGCCCTTGGCTTCGCTCGGTATACGATGAGGAGTAGTTGTGCTCGCCCCGTGGCCCGCGCGGGGGTGATCTGGAAGTGCCTTTTTCGATCAAATCGAGGAAGTCAGCGGACGCTTCAGGTAGGCAGGTGTCCTCGATGTCTGGCGTCCGGGGAAACAACTGTTCGCTCGTCTATCAAGGAGCCACGGAAACGGGTGCGAAGGATAAGGGTGCTGTACGTCTTGGGAAGTCGCGCTCACCGCGAGCTTGGTGGTCGTCGTCGTCGTACATCGTGGCAGGTCGGCAGTCTATGAGCGCATGGCTGCTATGCAAGGCGGCTCACGTGGCGCGCAGGCTGGTTGTGTAAGATGCGCGTGGGTGTCAGTCATGAAGAGAAGTCGCGCCGTGGGTTTCGCCTGCTTTGCGGTGCTCGTGTAGAAGGCTGCAAGGCCCTCGAGAGAATCGATTGGGAGCTGCAGTGCGGTTGTCGCAAACGAGCCCGCCGTGATGCAAGAGCCCCATTACGCGCGCGCCTGTGGTGTGGGGAGGCTTTCGGATGCGGGCCCGGAGCTGCCTCCACCGTGCTGGGCTTACTCACCACTTCGCTGGAAGGCACGATGGTTTGGCCCCAGCCTCAACTCTGCCATTTCAGACGTTCTGAATCACATTCCGACATCAAATTCACAGTGAAGCGCATTGCCGCCATTGCAATTGCAGGCATGGACTCGGGAAGCACCACCGAGCTTGAAGAACAAGGGTGCTATGTCGCCTTGACCCACAACCATCTGAATGCTCAGGATGTGATTGACAGGGTGCGAAGTCCAAAGGCCGGTGCCATTGTCCTCTTTGCGGGTATGTCTCTGCAGGCCTCCCTACTTAATTCAGGCATGGAAAACCTCATGTCTTCTGGCTCTGGATACTAAAGCTTAGCTGCAGGCACTACTCGCGATAACTTCGCCGGGAAGCCTGTCAAAGAACTACAATACAGCTCCTATGGCCAGCTGGCTCTCAGGACCATGATGAGCATCAGCAAGGCAATGGTCGAGAAGCATTCTCTCACATCCATTGCCATGATACACAGGCTTGGAACAGTGCCGATTGCCGAGGAGAGCATCCTGATTGCAGTGTCATCGCCGCACAGACAAGCAGCCTGGAGAGCGGGTGAGGAGGCCCTGGAGGAGTGCAAGGCTCGTGTCGAGGTATGGAAGAAGGAGGAGTTTGACGGTGAGGAGGGAGTGTGGCGGGCCAACAGAGATGGTGCTCCTGGTCAGAAGATGACCGAGCAGGAGTTGAATGCTGACCAGAGCAATACAATGTCGTAACTCATGAAAATGGAAGTTGCATTCACATGTCTCCTTTCTGAGGTTAACAAACATCAGAGTCGTCCTCGACTCGTGCCTTGTTCCCTTGGTTTCTATCATTTTGGCATGCCGTCAACCTCGACTACGCTGCCGTTCATGAACTGTGCTTCTTCGCTCATTAGAAAAGCAACAACCTGCGGGAAAGAACCAAAAGGTCAGCAGCAGTTACTTGCATTCGATTGTTGAGTGCCGCGGACTCGAGCCGTTGCTGAGAGCACTCACATCAGCAATATCCTCCGGTGTTCCTATCCTGCCCAGAGCATTGCTCTTCTCCATCTCCTCTCTGGCTTCGGCAGTGCCCCTCATGATACCCTCGTTGGTGGGCGTTTCGACATTGCCAGGCGCAATGACATTCGTCCGGATCCCCTTGGGCCCCAGTTCGAGTGCCATGCTTTTGCTGAAGCCAATGAGCCCGAACTTTGTTGCGCAGTAGATGGACATCTGCGCCCTGGCGTTCCAGCCCAAGATGGATGAGACGTTGACGTAGGTGCTGCCCGGCGTCTTCATGTGTGGGATCGTGGCTCTGGTGACATTGTCTTATTATCCGGCGGAAAGGTCAGCCTAGACCATCAGCAATAAAGGCAACATGTCTTCTTGCACGGGAAGCACGTACACACGCCTTTCAGATTGACACCCACCAATTTGTCGAAATAAGCACTCGGCGTGTCAACAAGGGGCATCGCCGTCGGGTTCACACCGGCGCAATTGAATACATGGTCCAAGTGGTCAAAGCGACCAACGATGTCTTTGACTCGCGAGGCTACATCCCTCTCGTCCGCCACATCCATCACCCCTCCGTAGTGACTCTCGACACCACCAGCATCTCCGCACAGCTCACGGGTCTGGTCTGTGGCTCTGCCATCAATGTCCGTGAGGGCTAGAGTGGCGCCCAGCTTGTGCAGTTTGACGGCGGTCGCGCGACTGATTCATGTCAGCGTTGGGTTGTGTGGCTTATTAGCTCGTCGACTCCTGGGGAGGGTTTCACAGCAAACACCCGGTTGCACAGGAGGACTTGCCGACGACATACCCAATACCACTGCCTGCTCCCGTGATGAGGATCTTCTTCCCTGCAAGACTCACCGCCGCCATGGTGCAGAAAAAAGTCCCTGTGCTGTTTCTTTTGATAAACAGAAAGTCCTCTACTGTCCCAACAAACACAATTGCCAGGGAACCTTTTCAATAGTAGTAGACAGGGCTGATCAGTCTCGATGCGTCTGCCAAAGTGAAGCGTCCTAGCCCAGCCGATCTCTGATATTGTCGTCTTAGCGTATCTTCAAGTGCCTAGCGTGCAATCCCACAAGCCATGTTTCTTTGACGGCGGCACAGGGAGCCGCCGTCCCCCTGGGAGGGTCAGGCTCGCTAAGGCAAGATACCGCCAGCCGATAAAATGGCGCGCAAAGTTGGGATCTGCAACGACCTAGCATCGGCTCAAATGCTCCGATCCCGATAATCCCCCACTGTTTTCTCCGCAATGCCCTTTTGCGCAGCTGAACGGCAACAAACAAACAAACAAGCAACACGACATCATCGAGGACCGGGGAACGTATGCTCTTGTGGCTGCAGCCTCCTCTATGAATATGTGATTGATATGTGGAGCGGATCAATATCCGGCATGCAATATTACCAGTCCCTTTGAAGATCCATGTACGAGACTGGACACTCTCCTTGAAACCATGGCCCAGAAAGGGCACCCCTTGGAAGCCCATGCCTGACGGGTCCCCCACCTAAGTTGTACATTAGAGATCAACACAGCGCTAACTGCTAGAGTCTAAGATCCCCCCACGCCATTCCCGGAGCCTGGCGCATCCGGCAGTTGGAGGCCCTGAGCTTCTTTTCCGCCAAGACCGGTCGTGGTTCTTTTGTTCCCTGTGACATATCAAGGCTTCCGAAGGAATTCCCTTGAGATAGTCTTACTGGGGATCGTCGGTGAGCTAGGCCTTGGGCCATGCAGGGAGCCAGACTACATTCGTGTTTTGGTTTCCCAAATGGCGGGGATTGAGCATAATTAAAGTGTAGTTTTTGCTTCTGGTGCGCGCTGGCATCTTGGGGTCGCGGGAGCAGTCATCCCGGCTGTCTGGGTCAAATTCGTGTCGGGTTGCACATCACGTGTTCAAGCACACCAAATAGGTCTCGACCTCTCCATGCATGCATTCATGCTTATAATGTACATTTGCAATTTTTTTATGATTATGGGTTCTACATTGATCATACTAGGATTTCTTTCCCTACCAAATGTCGGGTGGGAGGCATATCGAGAGGATGCCTTATTGCTGTCGTGTTTGTCGTTGTTGTTGCTGCTGCTGTGGCTGCCGTGGTGGCGCCGGTGGTGACTTGTGCTGTCGTTGCTATCGTCGGTGCCATTGTAAGCGGGCATTCGCCGGGGTACTGTTGTCCTCCAAGGCGGCAGTAGTCGTTGATCGACTCCTTGAGGACCAGCAAGGAATAGTCTACATATTTGTCCTCCTCTCTGGGCAAAGTCCAACACTCAGTCGGCAGCTGCTCCACCGCTGACGTGGTGCGCAGGCTCGAGTCCATACTGCTGCTGTCTCCCTCGGCCTGGCCCATCAGCACACCCGACACTGAGAAGTCTTGCAGGTGTATTTGCTGTCGTATATCCGGCACAAGCTTGTGCCACGATGTGTTCCTAAGGCCGATGTCTTCCAGGCTCAGCTTCTGCAGCCTGCCATTGTGTTGTCGTATTGTGTCCATGAGCACCTGCCGTGTGGTATCTATGCCTTGCAGGTAGAGCTCGCGCAGGTTTGCCCAGGAGTGGCCCGGCTCGATGACGTCGGCAAGATCGGCGGCAAACCACGGGGAGTCCATGTCGCCGGACCGTGAATGGGCAAAGCTGATCTTGAGTGTCATCAGGCGCGGCATGGACTTGAGGGCCTCCCGCAGCGGGTGGCCGCGTCGCGAGCCCATGGTCCTTCGACACTGTGCAACACTCTCCCGAAGGCTGTAGTGTGGGTCCAGGGCGGCCTCGATGACGAGCTCGAGGTGCTGGATGTTGCGAAGAGGTTTGAGAAGCCGGACGACTTCGGCCGCATCTCTGTCAAAGAACCGCCAGCTCAAAGATCCTGCGTAAAAGCTTCGGAGGCTTGTTGTGTGCGCGTCCGTGAGGCCTGTCAAGACGCTCTCCAGGTGGCGGCAGCCCAAGGGGTGGAGATGGTCCATGAAGTGTCCACCAAGCTGCTCGATGGCGAGCTTCTTGCTCTTTCTCGTGAGCTGGGATTGTGCCGTAGGATCCTGGTATGAGTCGGCAGGGAAAAGGTTTGCATGGATTGCGATGCGCCGAATGTTGGTGAAGCTGGGCAGCACCTCTCTGAGACAGTCGACGTCGGCTCCTTTTCTGATGATGTCCTCCTGTGCCTGCACGTCCGCCTCATAGGCTCTGAAGAGGTCCATGACGAACTTTTTGAGCTCGGTACCCTCGTACAGGTCGCGGACCCGTCCGGCGCAGTGGGTTGCTGCATAGCTCCAGGCAAAGGACACAAGATGCTGGCGGTCCTGGGCGTCTAGCAGGTCGCAGGAGTATGTCAGTGACTTGACATGTTTGGCCACGCCCTTGTGGCCGGCGATACCTCGAAGGCGCCGCAGTTCCTGGCTGTGGAGGTAGAAGCGAAGGTCCGGAACGAGGTAGCATTCGCCCAGCTGTGCAAAGACCCGGTTGACCAGGCGGAGATTGCAGACATCGCCACTGCTCAAGTAGCTGCACACCATGTGCAGCATCTCGGGTGAGAGTCTGTCCATTGTCCTGTCGTCCACCTGTGCCACATCTGAGGAGTTGTGACGACAGACCAAGGTAGCGATGTGCCCAAGTCCAAGGGAAGGGGTCCTGGGGTCCTATGGTGGTGGTGGTGATGTCCGTGGTCTCCTAGTAGAGTGGTCCGTACAGCCAGATGTCCTATCCTCGGTTTGGCTACGGGGGGCCAGTATGTTGATATATTGTCACTTGTCGTCTTGTTGGTTGCCAGTAATACTCGCTGGGTGGAATCGAGTCAACCTCCCGGACCAACATTGGAACCGCGACAGACAAGGAGGACCGAGCGGGCATCCAGGCGGCACATCCTCGCCTCATCGCAAGCTGGGACGGGCATGATTAATGAGGGAAAGAAGCAGCAAGGTACGATGTCGCTCGGTTGCGTGGCTAATAAGATGAGGCACGTGTGCCTTGATCTGCCACCCCCCGAGCAAAAGAGCCACTTCAGCTCACGACGAGACGACGTATCCGCCTCTCCAGACATGCAGCTGGATCAAGTGGTGCTTGCCGCCGGCATTTGTTGGTGCGCAGAGTTGCTGTGTAAAAGTCCCCTCGCCTGTTAGCGGGCTCTGGTTGGCCGGTGCAGAGGGTCCCCAGTGGCCCTGGCTAGCAGTTTCCGGTCCCAGGGCCCCGCTAGTGCAGCCCTGGAGCAGCAAAAGTTCCAGGCGCATCATCCCCCAAAATGGGGCCCCATTTACAGGGCACCTTTTTCGACAGCAGGACCAGCCCTCCCAGCCAGCCCACTCGCCCAGAGCACAGATCCAGTCTCCCAAGCGGGCTGCTTGTTGGCCTTAACGTCGGCATAGCGCCCCATGGTTGTTGGCCACAGGGCTAACTGACAGCTCGCTGGCCCTCGGCTCCGCTCTCTAGCGTAGATCGTTGGGGCTTAATGGCGCAGCAGTGCTACATTGTTCTTTACTGCGTTGGTGGCTGCGCTGCCGACGACACCTCCCCAAGACGATGCATCATGCGTGTAACCTTCTGTGTTGAACCTCAGCGAACAAGAACACCTCCTTCCCTCGTCGTGCATGCCGTGGTCGAAGCCGAAACGCACAATGTGCGTCCCTCGTGCGCAGAGACCTCCAGGGCTCTTTTGCGCAAGACCATCGCAAGCACGTTCAGCCGCTTATGCATCTCCGCTGGTAGCGTCACCGGGCCGCAAGCTGTCCGGTGTCAAGCACCTGTAACCACAAGTTGCGGTCTACGGCAGGCGTCTCGGGTAGTACAGCAGGGACGGCACGCAAGTTCGGCTGGGTTTGGTGCGCCCCAGTGCAAGCGGACACGAATCGGCATGAATTGGTTGCATCCAGATGTATTACCGTACGTCTCCATTCCGCCAACCACCTTGCTCTCAAATTTGTTATCTACAATGCTAGAGTACACATGGGAAAGGACGACGTCGTGTCTTCTGGTTCTGAGGTCACATCGCTTTCTATAGTACGGAAAGATCGCCGAATTTTTCCTACACACCAGAGAATTAGTGTCGTTGTATTTCTCACCAACATGTTTGCTGCTTCTAGCAACAGGATCACAACGTACCTTGTAGCCGGGAACGTTCCAGCGGCCCTTGGAAACGAGCTTGGCGGTCTTCTCGTCGATGGAGGGCTCCGCAGCAGCAACCTCGTCCTGTGAGTGGTGGTGTGGTCAGCACTTGTTCGCGTATTCACTCCCCCACATCCGGGTATGTCCGCAGAGACATCCTCCAGTCCAGGGCAGTACTGCATTCGCGCATTACGTACAACGGTGAGCTCGTCGAAAGGCCTGGCAGTCTCAATGTTCTTGAGGGTGGCCTCAAGGTCCTTCAGTTCAAGGTCGACCTTGTTCTTGGTCTCCTCGGCGTTCTTGATAGCCTGCACCTCGAAAGCATCAATAGCCTTGAGCTGGCGAGAGACATCGTAGGTCGCGGGCTGGAACTCCTTGAAGCGCTTCTCAATCTCGTCGACGATGGCGGTGTTCTTGAGGATCGAGCGGTAGTGGGCAAAGTCGACGGTGGTGGGCTGCTCGCTCAGGAGCTGGACCTTGCGGCGGGCATTCTCGTTGCGCTGCTTGAAGGCCTGGAGGGAGGCAACCGTCTGGCCGCGGAGGCCGAGCGACGAGATGACCTTGGTCCAGTCGAGCTTGAGGGCGGCGCTTTTCGCAGGCTACAGGTCCGATGGCATCAGGAAATTAGCTCATTGGCCTCGGGCAGGGCAATTGAAGTATTGGGCGTTGGGTCGGTCGGCGGGCGCTTCCGGGACGGTCTGCGCGACTATATGCCTGTCGCCCGGGTTTCCCAGTCAATTGATGATGAGGATCAACTTACAGCAGCCATTTTTCGCGATTTGGATGCGTTGGAAAGGAGTGGAGTTCGTGAAGCAATTCGGAGCAAAGGTTGCTTTGCCTTTGCGGGAGTTCTCGGCGGAGGGTGCGCTAGCAAATCCGGTGAGCCAAGTCACGTGCAATGCGGTCACTTCGCCGGGCGTGCGGCTGCGCAGTCCCTGCCAACACCCAGCGAAGCCTCTTAGTCAGCACAGAACAACCATGCCCCGCGACAGCTATGAGGACGCACGGCCAGCTTTGATACTCGCTGTGATATTGCGATGCAAGCTTTACTAAATCATACTGCATCGCGTCGAGCGCATTGGAAGTATGCATGCAGAAAAAGGACATGCTTTCAGAGAAGGACAGGTAGCTCGCCTAGAGCACTGACTCCCGCCCAAGAGGCCGCGTTGTGCCCTACGCTTCATTCAGGACATGCACCAACTTGCGTCATGCCAGGCGCGCAATCACCACGATGTACTTTCTAGGTATCATCGATTATCGCTGCCAGCAATGATCATGGGAAGCAGTTTCATTTCCATTGTCCACAAAAGCTTAGAGATGTCAAGTCACATACGCCGAACACAACACTACTTTCGCATGGAAGGTCCTGGCTAGTTGCACAATCCCACTATGGGGCAGCTTTTGTATTTGCTTTTTGGTAAACCGGCCGCGAGATTGGCCTTCCCAGGCTCAGATTAGCGATCGAACAAATCACCTCCGATCTTCTTGACCATACAGCCTGGGTTTTGACGACGCGCTCGATGGGACCAGTCACTCGTCCCCTGCCCGCCCCTATCACAGCAACGCTTACACGCTCAAAGCCATGATGGAGTTGACTATGTCGTTGTCGTTCTCTTTCAGAGCCTTGACGGCCTTGCTGCGAGAGACACCAGCCTGGGTCATGACGAGCTCGATGTCCTTATCCTCGAGTCCCTCAGCATCGACCTCCTCATCATCGTCCTCGTCCTCGTCAGCCTTCTTGGCATCAGCACCCTCGGCGGCCTCGCCAGCGTGGTCGTGGCTGTGGTCGTGGCCAGAGTGGTCGTGCTCGGCACCGGCAGCGGCGAGCTGCTGAGCAGCAGCCTGCTGGGCGGCGGAGTTCAGGTCCTCAATCTTGGCCTCACCGAAGACGCTGTTGGCGTGTCAGTAAGGCTCGGGGCGCGGTAGGAGAAACCGCGAATGGCTGTTGTGGACAGACTCACATGTAGGTGTTGGAGTTGGGGGACTTGTAGACCTCGGGGCTGTTGATGACGAAGAGAATCTGTACCACGGGCACCACCATTAGCACCAGTGTCGCGGAGATTGCCAGAAATACGCTGTCCACTCTCTTGCCAATCCCCCAAAACGAAATGCCGTATCCTTCGTTGGAGCAAGACGGCCACTTCCACTTTCAATTTCCCCTCAGATTCTACTCACGTTCTTCGGCCGGCGGAGGGTGACACGGGTGATGCCAGGGATGCGCTGGAGGTGCAGCTTCTCGATGGCCTTGCGAGCCTTCTTCTCGTTGCGAGAGTGGATGACGGTGGAAGAGCCGGAAGGGCCAGCCTCAACCTCGGAGTCGGAGCTGTCGTCGTCGTGCTCCTCAACGACGGTCTTCTTGGGCTCCTCGTCGGAGAGCTCCTCAACGCGGGGGTCGGCCATGGTGGATGTTTTTTGGGGGTGGTCTTGCTGAACGAGTCGAAGAAGAATGAATTAGCTACAATTCGTCGTGCCGACCAATTCCTGCATAATAGCTCAGCGACGCCCTGGGCACCCGAATCTTGGCCATTCAGCCCATCCCTCCATCTCCAGCGGGCGGGCTCGATTCGGTGCTGCGGGCAGCTCGTCCACGAAGAGAATTGTCCATATTTTCGCAGAGAATAAGTTTCGTAGGAACTCACAGTGTACAAAGAAGGTGTTTTCGTCGGTTGTCAAGGGCGAATTGGGGATCTGTCGTCGAGGTATCGTCAAATCGACTGTGTCTGGCAACGGTGCTGCCGCCCTCCGCCCACAGCAAGCTGCAATTCAATTTCGTGCCAGGTTTTCCCGTGTGCCCGCGCTAATCCCGATTGGGAAGCTGAGCGACCCCACATGAGGATGGTGTAGAAGCGGCGGCATTTGGACGTTGCAGATGCTTTGGGTAAATGAAGAAGTGGTCGTTGAGGTTATCTTGTTCTCAAAGGAAGCACTCGGGCACATTTTGTTCTAGGCCTTTTACTCAAACACGGCCAGGACGAGAGGTATTTTCAGGATGACGAACAGGAGTTGTGCCATAGTTCCAAAAGTGTTGAAGCCATTAATCACGAAACGCCTGGCCATCAACTGGGTCCGAGACAGAGATAAGGCCTGATCTGTCGAGCGATGTTCTGTTTGCAACAATCGTGAAAGTCGATCGTGAAACACCATATTCACAGGCAAAGTCACATACAATCCGCGACTATGGTCCCCTGTCGTGAGGCGACCCTTCAGTGCGTGAACAGAACCCACACCATCACGTCACTGGACATCCGTTCTAATGAACCTTGGAAGCATGATGCAAAGACTGTTCATAATGCTCCAAGACCCCTGGTATATCGTGTTGATGGTTATTGTTTGATGAATTTCCATGTTCATTGACGCCGGTCACAATCGAGTTTTATCGTGTGACATACAGGTCTCTCCGAGACGCGAAGTAGCAAAGAACCCCATGCCGAAATGCTTTCATGCAAGACCAGATCCGTTTGTTTTGTCTCCTCGCAGTCCGTGTGATATGACTGTGCGAGGATACAGACGATCGCCGGCTTCCGCCTCCCGTCTATACTTTCGTAGTTCGTCTCAAGATTGCCCGTCCCATTTTTAAACACCGCCGCCGGGAATCGCATCCAGAAAACACTTAAGCAGAGGCCTTGACCTTGGCCAGAGCCTTGCGCTCCTCGAACCGCCTCTGCTTCTTGAGTCTGAGGACCTTGAAGCGCTCAAAGTCGGTCAGGGCCCGTCTGCGCTCGCCCTGCTCCTTCCGCTTGGCCCACGAGCTCTCCTTCCACTTGGCGTCGATGCCAGCGTTCTCCCAAGCCTTCTTGACGGTGCCGGTGCGGGCAGCGCGGGGCAGCTTGTCGACCTTGATGGGGGCCAACAGGACGTTGGCGAGGGCGATGGCTTGTCTGGGGACGACAAGCTTGGCGTCAGATGAGGGGCCGTCGATCAGAACCTGTAGTACCCAAATTGTCAATCTCGAGTTCCAACTTTAAGACGATCCCTTCGTCGGACTGCAGTGGTGGGATGTCGAGAGATCCGAGGGCGCTCCGGCCTTGACATTTCTCCTCCGTGTTGCCCTCGAGATCTCTACGTAATCCCCCCCCTCCAGATTGGCGAATGTCCGAACTTCAGGTAGTGGTGAGACGTACGCGCTTGTGGTCGATGATCTCGACAATGGTGGCGATTCTGCCGGTGTAGGGGCCGTTGTCCTGGACGAGAACGACGCGGCCGACCTCGACCAGGCGCCACGAAGGAGACTCAACGGTAGCGTCGCCCATTTTGTCGATGTGCTATAGAGAGAAAGATGCCGTATCAGCAAAGAATGTCGCAAAAGCCTAGTGGCGGATCGTGCGAATTTGCGGCAGCGGCGGGCGGTGACGATGCGGGAGGGTCGTCGAAATCGGAAAAATCGAGGATCGAGCGGGCTGGCTGTGCTTGCGAGGGAGAGGACAACTCACTGATTGGTGATGCCGGGGGTGGGTGTTGTTGTCGGTCGTTTGGCGTGTGGTTCTCCAAGGTTGAGCCTATCTCGAAGTCTCGCTTTGCGCAATGAGCCAGGTTTTTCGGCTGGGCACAGATTGTGCGATTGCCGTGCCCTAATTGACCCAGAAAATTTTGGAGCCCGGCCCAGCTGGAAACTTGTGTGGCTCGCTCGGCCGCCGCCGCAAGAAAGTGGCTTGGTTCCAGAAGAGGACTAGCGCGTGCCTGTGCATACTGGTCCAATCGCACCCTGCGATAAGGCCCAATCAGCGGAAGGACTATTTAGAGGCGCGCAGCCAAATTTTTTCTCTGCTTGAACGACTCACATCTCTTCTGCAGCAACAGCACAGCAGACGGCCAAGATGCGGAAAGCGTGTCTGCGGTCTTGCCTCAGCAGCGGATTCTTGAGCTTCATCTTTCATGATGATTGAATTGGCTCCATCACTGGTAAGCTTCAGAACTTTTTCTTCGTCCTTTGCACGCGTACCATGATGAGGTAATTTGCGATTGATTCTACTTCGATGGCGCCCTCGCCGGGGCTGCTATATCGGGTAGAAAGCTGATAGTTAATTTCTTACATATTCTGACTCGAAACCATGTTTACTCTACATTACTGCAACAAACTCATGTCAAGCCAGTCACTAATTTGTTGCATCAGATTCCAGATCAAACACCCAGACAGCCTCTGTCGTTCCACCGCGGTCGTGGTTACTCTTCTAACTTGTCCATCATGCAATGTGCTATGCATCAAGTCGTGATCATTGTTGATATTTCGTGAACGCCTGACGTCGATGCTGAAGTAGCGAAGTTGTGCCCGTGCCCGTAGTCGAGGTTTAGTGTCACGCGACAACGCGTTGGCAGGGTCTCCGTCGCGTCACGAGAATCACGACGTGCTTTCAACGCCGCTAGCAGTACCGGCTCGAGGCTGGAACCCTAGTTGACGACAAGGTGCTGTTTCGAGGATGCTTGCTCTGAGTGCCAAGGTCGACCCGACAATCCGGGCTTCCGGTGGTAAGCTTAACTGGATCCACCGGACTTCCATTCACATGTGGCATAGAGCACCCGGCCAGGCGGCGCGGAACGCTCAGTGGGGGCTTGCAAGTGGCTTGTCAGTCCTCTATATTGCGAGATCCATGTCAAAGCCCAGGGACGACCGAGAAACCATGGTCCAATTTGGCTGCAGGTTTGAGCTCCATATCCCTTGACGTTCGACCCCACGTGAGTGTGGCGGCTACAGTTATCCCACGGACCAGCACAGGCCCAGCAACATGCTCCGTGTACGAAGATTGCGGGGAGAGTTCACGATGCAGTTTCTGATGGACCTTCGGGTGCTCGCAATGTCGGCTGCTGTTCTTTGAGCCGGATCCAAAATCTCACTATCGGTGCGAGTACTTCTGACACGTAAGCATTCGCTGTCGCACAAGAAGGGGAGGCTCAGAGGTTAATAGAGATGTAACTTCATTGCTCAGGCAGCATGACAGCTATCCAGGGTTTCAGAATCACAGCATCTCATCAGGAGCCTTCCACCGCATACAGTGTCGACAGCCATGGATAACTCGATCCTGAACGCAATTCTTACCCGCCTGGCCTTTGCCGGGACTGTCGTCGCTATCGGCATTGCAGCATATCTGGTAGGCTTGACGGTATATCGGCTGTGGTTTCACCCTCTCGCGAGCTTTCCCGGGCCGCTCCTCAACAGAATATCATGGGTTCGTGTGATGTCTGCACAATTCCTCCAGCGTGAATCGGGCAAGCTGACCAGGCTCATCAGCTCCCTGGCGCCCTTTGGACCCTCCGTGGTCGTCTCCCCATGGAAACGCGCAAGTTGCACGACATGTACGGCCCCGTTGTCCGTCTCTCGCCCAACGAGCTGGCCTTCAATACGCCGCAGGCATGGACCGACATCTACGGCCACCGACCAGGGCGTCTGGACCTCGAGAAGGACCCGATGCACGTGGGCGCCGTGGACTCGGTCCCGGGCGTCTCGACGATATCCATGGCGGACCGCGAGAACCACGCACGGCAGCGCAAGGCGCTGTCGCACGGCTTCTCCAAAAGGGCGCTCTGGGAGCAGGAGGCGACTGTGCAAGGATTCGTCGACCGGCTCATCACCCGCTTCCACGAGTTTGCGGATACAGGCAAGACGTTTGACATTGTGCGCTGGTACAACTTTGCCACCTTTGACATCATTGGCGACCTGAGCTTCGGGGAGAGCTTTGGGTGTCTCGAGACGGGCGACTTCCACTTCTGGATTGGGCTCATCCTTGGTGCTGTCAAGGCCGGTGCTATTGAGCAGGCGAGCAGGCGATTTGCGACCCCAGGATCGTGGCTGCAGCAGAGCATCCAGCGGTGGTCGCAAGGCAAGCTGAAGAAGCAAAGAAGCGATCATCTCGAGTACAGCCGAAAAAAGGTGATGAAGTAGGTGTCACTTTTCTGCTGACCAGGGGAGAGGCAGGTTCTCGGATCTGCTGGTATCCACATGAGGACGGGGACTAATTCCGTGAGGTACTGTAGACGCATGCAAAACACGAAGACCGATCGCAAGGACTTCATCCATTACATCCTCAAGCAGGGCGAGCACTATGATCTTTCTCAGGACGAGGTCATTGTCAATGCCGCTCTCTTCATGTATGCCCTGCGATGTTCCCAAACTCCCACCTTCAACTGGTGGAGTCACTTTTCACACATACCCAGGTAATGCTGACAAGCAATGTCACAGCGTCGCCGGGAGTGAAACAACTGCCAGTGCCCTGGCAGCCCTGACAAACTTCCTCCTGCGCCACCCGAGAGTATATGCCAAGCTCAAGGACGAGATCCGCAGCACATTTGCCGACGAGGAGGACATAACCCTCGCGGCGATGGACAAGCTGGCTTACCTGAACGCCTGCCTCGAGGAAGGCCTGAGGATGTTCCCGCCCGCCCCGATCGGGTTTCTCCGCACGATCCAGCCTCAGGGGGACGTCATTGGCGGTTATCAGATACCTGGTGGTGTAAGTTGTGTGATTGTCACTCTGAGCTCCAGAGTTGTCTGTATCTATACATGGCAGCACTAGGCCCTCCCCCTTGACTGACACTTTGTCTCCTCGTCTTCGCGACGCCCACAGACCGCAGTCTCCGTCTCGTCATGGTGCGCCAGCCACAGCGCGGACAACTTCCGGGACCCGGACAGCTTCGTCCCGGAGCGGTGGCTCGACAGCAGCAGTGCCGCCACATCGGACCCGGAGAGCTGCGCGGCGGCGGCGGCGCCTTACAAGACGGACAAGAAGCTCGCGAGCCGGCCGTTCTCGATGGGCCCGCGGGGCTGCATAGGCAAAGACCTGAGCTATGTCGAGCAGAGGCTGGTGATGGCGCGGATGGTCTGGAACTTTGACCTCGAACCGACGGACGACATGCACGAGTGGGATCCCGAGGACAACATGAAGAACATCCTGGCGTATGGCACCTGGCAGAAGCCCGGGCTTCGGGTCGTGGCGAGGGACCGCCGGATGGCAGGGAGTAAGTTCTGGAGGAAGAGGAACGGCGCTCGTGGTGGCGGCGGTGGTGGTTGTGGTGAGAAGGAGACTTGAAGGAGGACAGCTTGTTTCCGGTGGCCGCCTTGGGTTGATCTGCTTGATGAGCGTGTGCAGTCGGTCAGAATAAGCTACGCAGTGTGTTCTTGTAGAGCACAATGCCGAGCACGCACACTTGAGGCAGTCTCTGATGGTGCTGAAGCAAATCGCGGAACAGGGGCCCCGGCCTGGTGGCTGACTGGTGGGGCTGCTGCGGGGAACAGGGGATGGATTGGCCAGGATGTGCTAGCGGCGCCGCGAGGGGCGGAATGTGGAGGTGGAAATCCGGGGTCGTCCTGGGCCCCGAGACGCCGGGTGGAGGCCCTGGTCCGAGTTGTTGGTGTTTTGAGCTTGTCGCTTGTGTACCAAGGGACCGCTGAAGGAAGACATCAATCGACCATACAGATAAAATGATGGATGAGTTGGACAGATGCAGGCTGCTGACTAGGATGCTGGATGGCATCCTTCACTTGCTTCACGATCTGGACGTCCGATATCCAGCATGGGTTGGTCCCAGCTGTCGTCTTTGCTTGTACAAAGTGCTGGATCAAGCAAAGACGACTTGTGTCACTTTCACGGCGAGCGACACCGCAAAAGCAGGCGCGGCCGATCCCCGGTCCCTCGGCTCGGTCTGCCCATCGAAAACCCCCTTCCCGATGCCATCACTTGCATCTCTTTACCCCTCACAGGATGCGACCCCCTTGGTTTGTCACCCAAACGTACTTATTCGGGGTCGCCGCACGGGAATTCTGAAGCTGGAGTGTTGGGCCTTTGTGTGTGTGAGTACGTGAACAGGGAAATCTCACATTTTTCCTGGTCTGGCTTTGAATCTCTTAGGCACCGTTAAGTTTCCTCACCTTGGCAGCGATCTACACTGAGAGACATCAGAGCCTGGGCCCTCTGGAAGACTTGACCGGCACATCTGGACTTGATCAGACATCTCGTGTGTGTGTGTGTGTGTGTGTGTGTGTCTCCCAAGTAAAAGCTATTTCTGCAGCCAGCACACGCAGGAGATCCGGCACAATGGCTCGCATTTACAAGCACCCGACTCATTCAAAAGTCGAGCTGCCAGACATCGACCTGTGCACGCTACTCTTTGGCAAGTCTCCTCTCCCCCCCCCTTCCTCCGTCGACGGATGTCGTGTTCCTTTGCTCTTTAAATGTGCCGTCTTGACGAGAGAACCCAGCTTGCTCATCCCATCCATCCATCCCTATCTTTGCTTGCAGACTCTGAGCTCAGCCTCGCCCAGGACGACACGGTCCTGCACGTCGAGGCGGCCAACCCGCACAACAGCCTGACCAAGGCCAAGCAGCGCGAGGTCGTCGAGCGCATCGCCCACGGCCTGCGCACGCACTACGCCGTCGGCAGCCAGGGGCCCGACAGGGACGTCGTCACCGTCATCAGCCACGGCCAGATCCTGGTGCCCTCGCTGCTCTACGGCGTCATCGCCGCGGGCGGCGTCTACTCGGCCGCCAGCCCTTCCTCCACCGTCGACGAGCTCGCCCGGCAGATCAGGGCGGGCAAGTCCCGGCTCGTCGTCTGCGGCAGCGAGCACGCCGCCACGGCCGCCCAGGCGGCAGCCAAGCTGGGCATCCCGCGCACGAGCGTGCTCGTGCTCGACTCGACCGCGGGCAAGTGGTCCCTCAAGAGCCTGGCGGGCGATGTCGACGCCCTGTCCCCTCCTTCCCAGCGCCTGCCCTGGGAGCGCATCACCGACCCGGCCCGCCTCAAGAACAGCCTGATCGTGATCCTCTGGTCGTCCGGCACGACGGGCCTGCCCAAGGGCGTGATGCTGTCGCACCGGAACCTCGTCGCCGAGACCGTCATCACCTCGATCCAGAGCCGCGAGTGGGCCATGAACGAGTTCATGACCCAGGGCGACGCCTACGTGCCGCCGCCGGCGTACCGCACCCTCGCGCACCTCCCCATCAGCCACATCGCCGGCCTCTGGGGCTACCTCGTCGGCCCGCAGTACTCGGGCGGCACGGTGCACTGGATGCGCCGGTACCACTGGGCCGACCTGCTGCGGTACGCGCGCCAGTTCCAGATCACAATCTTCTACACCGTCCCCTCCATCTACCTGCGCATCAGCAAGTCCCCCGACGTCACGGACCACTTCGCCCACCTCGTCGGAGCCGCCACCGGCGCCGCCCCCATGGACGGCACCCTGCAGAAGTCGGCCAACGCCCGGCTCGGCGGCAGTGGCGGCGGTGGCGGCAAGGAGCAGCTGCTCGGGCAGACGTGGGGCCTCAGCGAGACCACCGGCGCCATCACCGCCCAGCCCAGGGGCGACCCGGACGACACCGGGTCCATCGGCGCGGTGCTGCCGGGGGTCGAGCTGAGGATCGTGGACGACGGGTTCCGCGACGTCGAGCCCGGCCAGGAGGGCGAGCTGCTCGTGCGCAGCCCGCTCGTCATGAACGGGTACTTTGACAATCCCGAGGCCACCAGGGCCGCGTTCCACGGGGACTGGTTCTGCACCGGCGACATCGGCGTGCTGAGGGACGGCAAGTTCTACGTCGTGGACAGGAAGAAAGTAAGCCCTTTGATACTATCTCCGCAGCCTGATCTCCAGTTATTCATGGTTTTCCTTTTTCTTTTCTTTTCTTTTTTCTATGTGTTTTCTTGGTTAATAGACATTTTTGGACATCGAAAACGAAGTATACTAACCAGTCAACCAACCGCTTACTTGCTAGGAGCTTCTCAAGTACAAAGGCCTCCAAGTTGCCCCCGCCGAGCTCGAGGGAATCCTGTTCGAGCACCCAAAAGTCCGAGAGGCGGCCGTCATTGGACTGCCCGACCCATCCGCCGGCGACCTGCCAAGGGCATACATTGTGCCGGTGGACAAGAGCGACATCTCGGCCCAGGAGATCCAGGACTACGTCAGCGAGCGCGTGGCGCCCTACAAGCAGCTCCGTGGCGGCGTGGCCTTTGTCGACGAGATCCCCAAGAATGCTGTTGGTAAATTCCTAAGAAAGGATCTCAGAGAGCGCGCAAAGAAGGAGCTGGGAATCACCTCGAAGCTGTAAGGGTTGTGGACAAGGTGGATCATGGGAAAGGACCCGTGGCGTCTGTTCCGGAGGCACTGTTCGTGTGACATCTATACACGCTCAAATCTCAATCAACTGTGAATGCGGGCGTCCAGTGGACGTATATTCCTGTTTGTAAAATCAACCAGATGATTAAGCCCGACAACAAGACTCCTGTATCGCAGGGCCAAAAACACGGCCCACGCAGCCCAATAATATCCCTCTGACAACAAAAAATGCAAAGAAGTTGTAATCGATGTGCTGTTTCTCGATCGCGCCAACGCGAGAGACGGGTATTGATGCTTCCAACCTTCAAAAATTAAGCGATATGAGACAAACGTGCAATCGCTCAAGCACCGCTCGCAATCAAATCCGTGAGAGCTAGCCGAAAACCCCTTCCCATGGTCTAACTAGGAGTACCGTGGCAAAATCAGCTCAAGTCTAAAAACAAGCAAAATGGTGGAAATGGAAAATCGCGCCCGCTGTGCTATGCACCACGCACAAAGCTCGTGGCCCTTTGAAGCAAAACTTCCAAGGAAAATCTCACGCCAGTAGAACTCATTGCGTGAACGGTGATGGTTGGGTGAGGTGTGGACAGCAGTGTTCATTCCTCAACGGCGGAAAGCCCGTCTTCGGAAGCTTCCGCATCGACCGGCCACTCAGGGCTAGCCAGGGCCGCGAATGATACTCCTTTCTCGCTCTCAAGCTCCTTTCTCAAAATCTCTGCACAGAGAACCCACCGTTTCTGCAGCAGAGCTCTACGTTGAAGGAAAACTGCAGAAGCCGTCTCTTCCTCCTCAGCAAAGATAAGTTCGAGCGCCTCAAGCTCCTTGTTGTGCTTGTCCAAAAGCTTCGTCATTTCGATCTCCTGCCGCTCGTTAAGTTCTTCCAGCGCACTGGTCTGTCGGTCTCGCATTACGTTGATCCGGGCTTCGTGAAGCTGCTTCATGTTCTTTTCGAGGTTGTATTGCTGCGCAAGCTCGCGCAAATCCCGCTCAGTCACCACTCTTGAAGGCATGTCCGCTTCTGGATTCTGGCCGAGCCCATCGCAGTAAGCCTCCATGTGCTTGAGACGGGTCCGCACGTTTCGTTCGCTCTGCTCGAGCGTAGCCCGCAGCTCCATCTCAGCCGTGACCTGCCTATCTTCCAGTGTCGCCACGGTCTTCGAATGGCGCTCCTTCATCTTGTCCAGTGCGGAAGTCTGCTTTTCGATCAGGGCCAGCTTCTGCTGCGCGTGTCTGGCCCACATGTGCCATCTCGACTTTCGCTCAAACATGCGAAATCTCTCCAGATCTTTAGCCTGGTCATCGCGTAGCGCCTGGCAAGCTGGATCTTCGAGAGTTCGCTGCTCGGCCTCGAGTCTCTCCTGGGCTTCTCGTGCTTCCGTCTCCTTCCTCAGGGCTTCATCAGCAGCATGAGCCGCACAGCGAGCCTCCTCCTCCTCACGACGACGCTCCAATTCCGCCTCCCCATTACACAAATTTGGACAGCCAATGGCCTGATCCCAGACTGCGCCACATATGTAGCAGAACTCGGCGCGGCACCGGCAAGTCATGTGCGTGCAGCCCTGGCTCAACTCCACCAATGTTCGGCATTTGTAACATCTCCTCCAGCCCGATTTCTCACCCATCTTGAGGACGGCGTCAAGCTCCCAATCACTTGGACAGTCCTGCCCTATCGGATGTGCATCCCTTTTACACATGACGCATACTCTCGTCCGGCACTTTCGGCATACTGTGTGAAAGGGGTATCTTGGGTCGATTTTGCTCCGCTGGGGAATGAATTCACCGCAGCTAGGATTGCAACAGAAAACACGGGCCTCCCAGGGCGTGCTAAACTGGAGGACGGCTTTGAGAAAGTTCGATTGATCTTCTTGAGACAAAAGTGGTTTGATGATTGAGCTGGGGATCGGTTGAGTACAACAGCGTGGTGGCATCTTGGACTCGTCGGTGGTGGCTTGGTTAATCATGATTCTCAGACAGCGAGGACAATAGCTGTGAGCGCAAGGCAATTTGACCAGCGCCTCATCCGGTTTGAGATCCTCACGACAAGCACTGCAGGAGCTATTGAAAGAGGATTAGTCCGCGTCAGGCAAGATCGGAGCCATGACTGATAAATGCGACACACTTACACGTATATCGATTCCGGCGACGGTGTTGTCTTGCGCTTGCGTCTTATCTTCGAGAGGCCCTGCTTAATGCTCTTGTAGCTTTTTCGGGTGCTCACGCTGAAGACGCTTGCCGGGACCTTCTCATGTATATAAGGCGATGACAAAAACTTTGGCTGGTCCACGACGGCCTTATCGGCTCGAGAAAGATAGGCTTCGTACTGTGCAAAGGTGAGGTTCTGGGAACGTCTCCGAGATAGTGTACGCTCCGAGACGTCCTGGATCCCATCCTTGACCGAGGGCGACGTCAAGACCGTATCGGAGGAACTTTGGGACGATGTCGATACTGTCCGCACATGGTTGGATTCAATAGTGACGCTCGAGTCGGCGCCGGATGTATTGCGCTTTCCATTACTTGTGGATTTGGACGAGGTCGGCCGCGAGACGGATATGCCCAGTTGCGTAGCTCGCTGCAGTAGGCCTTCGAGATATGTCTCGAAGTCGCCGCTCGGGAGCTGTAGAACCTCACGGAGGAAGTCGTGTTCGGGCAGCTCGGGCGAATTTGCGGTTGCTGATGGGTCCATGTGCGGCGCCACTATGGGCGTCTGCACCAATAACACCATGGTGTTTCCCGCGCCAGACTGGGTGAAGAATGGCAGTCTGCTGGAGGGGAAGAGGTCGAAAAGGTCACTTAGTGTCGCACATCATTCCTCGTGTGCAAGAGTCAAGCTGGAGGTCGAGAGAGGAGCGGCGCATGGATAAGCGGAGTCGAGGCTCGCTGTGTGACTGCGGAGAAGGTGGGCGAGGCAGGTGGAGATATCGGGCAAGTCATATGCCGTGCGAGCCAGGGTAGACAGCGTCTGTCAGGTGAGTGAGTGACTGGGGTCGTTGACAAGCGCCCGATCGGCGGTTCACGGATAGTGGACGGGGTCGCACCCGGCGGACTTCTGTTGCAGACCCTTGAGAGAATGACGTGAGGTGCGGAATAAACATCCACGGCGCAAGCGAGCGTTTTGAGACGGCCGAGAGGTGAGAGTTGCCAGGAAGTCGGGTTGTTGGATATTGTGCACCAAGCACGTTTATGCCGCGGGCCTGCCGCTGGATTTACAGAGGCCCGGGGCGCTGCCAATCTGAGGGCGTCGAGACCGCTGCGCAGGGGCACTGACGATAGGCAAAAGGGCGGACGGAGTGTCTCCGCCAGCAGGGGGGGGGAATGCAGCGGGCGCCGAGAATGTGAGGGCGTTGCAAGGGAGCGGCGCGGAACCTGGTGGGTAGGGCGGCGGTGGTCGGGTCGTGTCTCGTCGCTGGCTGCCTTTGGCCGGACAAAGTCTGGATGTGATGGCAGCAGACGACCAATGGCTGATGGGGGAAGGCTTCCAAGTGCGATGTGTCCAGAGGCAGGAGGGGGTCCAAAGGGAGTCTCGAGGCAGCAGCGGTGAGGGTTTGAGGGTCGTGGTGGTTGATGAGTGGATGACGGCCAGCGCGAAAGGGACAATACCTCACACAATGATACAAAGAGGGGTGGTGGAGAGCGATGGATGGTGGAGGACGAGGACGACGGGGCCCGGGTGGCGTTGCCTGCCGGAGCCTTGGAGCGCTTCCTTTCTTTCTCTGGCTCTGCCGTCACCTGGCCTTGCCTGCCTCGAGATCAAGTGGGCAGCTCTGCGTGCTCGTCGAGGAAGGAACCTCCCGCGATGCAGCGACGACAGCGCGCTGGGGATTAAGGTTGCTGGCTCAGGCGCTTTGCAAGGCGGTAGGTTCGCGCCAGCAGGACGGTGGCTGGCTCTTTCCTCCCTAGTCTAGCAGCGACACTTGGGAAGAGACCTCGGGAGGAAAGAGCAGAGCAGCCGCGCCTGCCCTTCCCGCGCGCGCGCGGCACACACGCACGGCTTGGACCAAATGCCATTCCAGGTTACCCGACCTCGCGGTGCCGGGACCCACGTCGCTGCCGTTGCTTTTGTCCATCATCTCCTTGTCTCTGTCCAATTTGGTGCCCTCGTCAAAGTGTCTTCCGTCGGGTGCCGCCACCAGACCACGACAATCAATTGTTTACGGCTGATGTCCTGTCCAAACTCATGGCATCGAGCCTGCCGCCGTCCACGGCCTGGCCCATTCCACCTGGGCAGACTTCCAACGCCAGTGCCTGCCCACTCTCCCTGCGGTCACTCCGAGCGAAACAAGCGTGCAGGCGGCCGTCATGCATCACTGTCCCAGCTGACGACCACTATGCAGGCGACCGCTCAGTTAGGTACTAAGTACCCTAAGGTATCTGGCCCAGATTGTGGCGATCTCTCCGCACCAGCCCTCCGCACCGGGGGCCCAGCCGTGACTAGTATCCGCAAGCCCAAAGCTTGGACTGCCCGGCAGATCACCAGATTGCCTCGCCCCCGATTAGGCCTGGCGCCCAGCTCTCGGTAGTCCTGTGGGGTGGGAGAGCTGCCTCTGGCTGAAAGCGGCCCGCGGATATTAGTGGCAAGCCCAGCGGCCGGTCCTGGTCCTGGTCCTCTCCCAGGCTCGCGGGCGGGCCTTTTCTAGGGACCCTTGTACGGTTGGGCATGCCGTTCGACCATCACCCGTGAGGGTCATAATAAACGCGATCCTGCTTCAGAGTGCCAATTGCATGTGCCCGCCTGCTCATTTTCCTTTGGATCTTCCAAGGCTCCAGTCGTGTCGGCTGCTGCAAACACGGCATGAATCCGTCGTCTCTGATGCTTTTCTTCAGCTGACTTTTTTGCTTGTCATCTGTGGGGCGATCAGCAAGGTCCGCCTGGTCGTCGCATGACAGTTCGGCATTCCGCAGACAGGCCACGCCACCAGAAAAAACATGTCCAGTTGCATCTTGCCTGTGGGCATATGACATCGTACCGAGAGAGCTGGGGCTCTCCTTGCAGGTTGGATTGTCGTTGGCATGCTCGGCATGCTCTAGTGAAGCGGAAAAAGCAAAACGCACACGCACGGTTGCTGCATGCGATGCATGGATCCAGCTTTCCAGATCCAAGATGAGATTGTGATGTGTCACGATAACCGATGGTGATCAGATGAGAAGAAGAAATAATCAAGAATTGTTTATTTTCCTTTTAGAAAACCGAGTCCAAGCACGCGGACCTCGTGATTCTTGGTGTATCCAGCACAGACCGCCAATGTCTCAGATCATTGAAATTTACTATGCTCGACAAGCGACCTCTAGCCACGTTGTTGTTCGATATCTATTGTAGAGCTTATCGACACTTCCGGAAGTCGGACAGCCTCTGTAGCATCACAGCGATGTTGCTGTGGTGATGACTTCAGTCTTTGTGATTGCCGTGCGTATTGGCAGTGGTACATCGTCTCGTCCTTCTCGAACAAGCCATGGCGAGATGGAGGCTTTACGAGCAACTACAGCGTCCGGGAAAGACGATCACTTTCAGTTCCTGGAGCTCTGAGAACCACTAGGGGACACCAATTCACGGCATGTACAGATCACAGAGTGGCCAATGTCCTGGTAGCAAGTGCTTCGGGGGCAATCGCAGTGCGGCCTCCTCTTGTGTGCAGACTGGTATGAATGGTGCGCCCTCCTTCTTGAACGTCGCTTCGGTGCTGGTAGTAAGCGAATGGCGGCGTGTCACCCTTGTGATCCTGCACTGACATGGCTGGTGTTTGTTGTATCTTATGCCAGGTGCGAGTAGCCATTCAGTCGCTTCGAGGACTGCGCCGCAATAAGGAAGAATAGCGCGCAGTGTACAAATATGTGCAAGTGTATCGTATGTTTGTGTACAAAAGATGCCGCGAATCGCCAGAACCCAGTGTTGCGAGGACGTCGCGGGAGAATTGTTCTGATGGCACAGCATCGCTGCCGGGGTAACCAGGCGAGGAAGGAACCTTGGAAGGCCTGGGGCAGCCACTTTCCTCATCGCATAATACAGACTCCGAGGGGGAAAGCCAGGGACGACGTCACTTGAGCATCACAAGTATTTGAACAGTCTGAGGGTCGTACATCACGACAGCCTAGGCGCTTCCTTGACAGCACCACAAGTTCGGCGACGTAACGGGGCAGTCTCTGCAAAAACACACGACGATGAAGTCTTTCCTATCCATCGCCCTCGCTATTCTCGGCAGCGGCATCATCACTTCCGTCCTTGCCACTCCTCGCCTATGGAGCGTGCTTAAGAGCAACCGTACCCTCCAAGGTAGCACCTACAGCAACCGCAGCCACTCCGCCGGCATTCAGCTCGCCACCGCCGACCGCCTCCCTGACAAGCATCATGCGGGCTACATCGTCCACTCATTCCTGGATGACGACTTTGACTACGCCACTGCTTCATCCTTTACGCGGAACGTCTCTGCGCGGTACAATGTCGGCGCCATCACCATCGAGCCGGATCAGTTCGTCCACAGCCAGATCTCGATGCACCAGCAGATTCAGATTGGTGGAGACAACGGAGACGACAAGGGCGACGATTGCGATGGCAACTTCTTGACGCTTGGGACACAAACCACCGTGAGTATCTTTTGGGGGGACAGAAGCTGGGAAGATCCGTTCACTGACGAGAGACTCATGTATCGGCAGCTCACGTTCAGCGGAAGAACTGCTCGTCGTCCATACTACTACTGGGCTCGGGATCCCCAGCCCTTCTACTTTGATCAGGACTTCGGACCTGGTGAGTTCACTGTGAATCTATGCTCCCCACTCCCCGGGACGGACCAGGCTCATAATCGTCTTTGTGCAACATAGTGTCTCCTGGTGACGAGATCTACAGCCATATCAAACTCATTGGCACCACGGATGCGGAGATGTAAGTCGTTTGACCGTTCCCTTTCCAGCAGTCGAACATGTTCCATGAAACGCGCTGTGTCAGTGTTTTAGTCTTCCAGATGCACTGTCTGACACAAGATATCCGAAGCTGGTATGAGAACATGTCCCAAGGCACACGTTTTGTCAAGCAGATTACCGGCGCCCCAATCTGCATTGACCACACCGCCGGCTCATGGAGTGTCGGCTTGGAGACTGCAACCTTAGGCCCACGCCCCGATGGCAGCGATGAGCCGACGCCAGGTTTCGACAGTCGTATCTTCTGGGACGTGAAGATGTACAGCGACAGCATCTCGAGGACTCGGCTGCCCTATTATCAGCCGCTTGACCTTGTGCGGCCAAGCACAGGTAATGGAGAGGGTGGAGAGTACGAAGAGGGTAAAAACGTGCAGTTTGCTACGTCCTTCGACCCTTTTCCTGGCGAAGACTATTTTGGAGTCTATTGGAACATGATTCCAAGCTGGGTGGCCACTCAATCGGAGGACCCGGGCCACAATTGAAGTGGTGTATCGGTGGCTACTCCTCTGGTCTCTACATACAGCCGCGAGAGCACAAGAGAGCAGGAACACATTGATCGTACAATTGGGCATAATTTTGGGGGTAGGGACTGTTGTAGAAGCCGGAGTGCTGCCTCCTTCAAGAACGCCTTGATGGACAGCAATGCACTCTAGGCTCTATGGTTCTGTGCTGAACGTTGTAGATTAGCTTCAGCTCACAACTGAGTGGGAACTCCAGATCATCCTTCCCAATTGTAGCCGTGTCCTGGAGACCAGAATGGCAATTTGGCCCTCCCGAAGAAGATATCGGGTCTTGAAAGTAAATAGTGTCTCTATTAATAGCTGGGCAAAACTTCTACTTGGGTATCAAAGCAGCTGGCTCAAGCCAAAGCAGCTCTAAACATTGACCCTCATAATCTCAAACAGGGTCCTCCGCGGTCCTCGGCACATAGCAACATGTCAAATTAGCAAGACTTATCCGCCGACCACCCGCAACAAATCGTCAAAATAGACCTCCTGCGCGCCCTCACCCGCCAACCTGTCAGAGGAACAACCTCTCTGCTCCACAAAGCAGCGTCTCACGAAGAAGACAGCAGGCTCATGTACACACCCCAAGCAACACCCGCCAGGCCGCCGACCAGACTCCGCCCCTCAATGGTCTGCACGAGCGTGAAGTTGATCAGGCTGACGAGCGGCCAGAGCTTCCACCCGGCCACCATGATGGGCACGAACTCGGCCCTGCTCTTGGCGGAAATGACGGGCCAGCTGACGCGGGAGTAGTCGAACGCCTTGACTTTACCCCCTGCTCCTTTCCCTGCCAAGACTTTGCCCAAGAGGCTATCCCCAGCACCGCCAAAGAGCGAGGGGAACAGCCCGGCGAGCAGGAACCACACGCTCTGGTCGGGGTTGCTCAGCGGCGCGCCGAGCGGCCTGTGCATGGCGGCCTGGATCGTGTGCATGAACAGGCTGAAGAGGATGGTGTTGAGGGCCGCGCCGACCGTCTGGTCGAGGAGCAGCTTGATGGCCGTGTTGCCCTTGTTCAGGCGCGGCTCGACCAGCTTGGGTGGTGGCGCCGCCTCCCCATTCCCCTCGAGCGCGTCGTCGGCTGCCGGCCCGGGCTTCGAGGCCGACACGACGGCCTCGCGCGTCGGCGAGGCGTGGTACGCAGGGAACGTGGACTCGAGGAACTCCTGCCACAGGAAGTTGGGCGGCGTGTTGACCAGGGCCCAGACGACGAACTGGAAGACGGGCACCCAGTCGATTACCAGCGGCGTCTGTTTTTTTCCCGAGACGATTAGTGATCAAAACCACGTGGATTGGCTGGAGGGTTTGGGGTGGGAGAAGGGGAGCTTACACCTCGCTGGTATGCCTTGATTGATTGCGCCAGCAGGTTCGAGATCACCGCCAGTACGGCGGCCATCCGACTGGCTCTGATCATCGGAGATGCCATTGTGCTTTGTTTGTCTTTCTGGTATGTGCTGAATGAGTACGGATTACAAAAGTCAAATCAGCTTGAGGAGGGCGCGACGCACTCGGAGCCAAAGCGGCCTCGCTTACTCCTGAAGTCAGACGCGAACGAGAAAAAGAACACGTGTGTTGATTACGGATCGCAGAGTTGAGGCTTATCAAGAATTGACGGACTGGGGGAGAGCATGGCAGCAGGCGGCGGCGGCGATGACGTGCGTGCAGAGCTGGACCCCTGTTTGGCTCGGTTCGGCCTCAGTTGGAGGGGCATCGCTCGACCGAGGACCCAGTTGATGACCACCAGCAACACCAGCACACCTGTATTTAATGTGTAATTGCTGCACAATCAACTATACAAGACACGTATGCAGATTTCGAACAGATCGCAGGGCCTGTATTGTATTATATCTCCTTGCTCGCTTATGAGTTGCTCAGTAGTTTCTCCACTGCCCACTTGACTGAGAAGTTGCGGATGTCCGAGTAGTGCTGGCCGACACCCACGAAGAGGACGGGCACGTTGGTAGCATGCACCAGGCTGACCAGCGTTCCGACCATGTCCCCAACCGTGTCGCACTTTGAGATGATGAAGCCGTCCAGCTTGCGTCCCGCTCCAAAGGCAGCATTGAAGTTGCGTGCCTGCGCGACCGAGTCCGTGCCCACCAAAGCCTGTACCACATTCTTGTCAGTCGTCATGGTCATACGTCCGTCGCCAGAAGGAAGCAGATCCCCATGGAAAACTTACCTCACCGACCATGAGAATCTTGTCCGGGTTGGCAAACCGCGCAAACTTCTCAAGCGAAGACATCAGCCGCTGGTCATTGTGACGGCGCCCGGCGGTATCAATGAGAACCACATCGTAGCCCTCATTGGTCGCCTCTTTGACAGCATCCTTGGCGACCGAGGCAGCATCTCCGCCGTAGCCCTTCTCAAAGATTGCAACCTTGCCTCCCTCGCGCTCTGTCAGCTCCCTGAGATTGCGCACGTGGACCTTGAGCTGCTCCACAGCGCCAGAGCGGAAAGTATCGCCAGCCGCAATGAGCACCTTGTACTTGTTTTGCAGGAGGAAATAACAGATCTTAGACAGGTTCGTAGACTTGCCGACACCGTTGACGCCAACGATGGAGATGACGTATGGCCTGGCATTGCGGCCGGAAGTCGGTCTGGTGACTGCGTCAATCTCACGCAAGAGGTCCAAAGACCCAGTGGGTGTCAACATCTTGGTCAGCGACGCCTCCATTGCCGTCGCGATGCGAGAGTTGATGCTCTCAAAACTGCCAGTCTTGACACCGACGAGTTCGCTTTCCACACCCTCACACAAGCGGATAGCTGCAACACGCGCAACATTCTTGCGTAGGAGGTGGTCTTCCATGCCCTTCATGGCCTTGTCGAGATCCTCCTTGGTCAATGTCTTGCCTCCAACCACGTTTCTAAAGAGACCGCCAATCGTGCTCAGCCCGCTTCCAATCAGCCCACCCTTGGCCTCGGTGCTTGAGGCAGCTTTCTTCTCCTCTGCCGATTTAAGAATTGAGTGCACTTCATCACCAAGGTCGCGCAGCACGAACTGGCCTTTGGACGTCTTGGTACCCCAAGTGTCCGCATCAACGCCCTCCACAGCAGATGAGCGGCCCTGGGCCTCGTCGTCATTCGTCTCGGCACCCTTGCTCGCAGAATAATCGAGCTGAGTATCATCGTCCTCAGTGGCATATCCGTCCGCATCCCACTTGCGACCCTTCTTAGGTGCCTTCTTGCCCTTGCGAGCCGAAGCCTCGTCGCCTGACGACGCGGGCGCGGAGCTGGTGTTTTGCATCTTTCGTGCCCTTCTGGACATCTTGCCGCCAGGCCCGGTCTTGCCAACAAGAAGATGGCCGGCGCTCGCTGGGGTCGTCGGTCGCGACGTTGTCGGAGTCGCTATTGGGGTCGAGTCGGCCGTGGAGGACTGGTCGGCTTTGGCCGCTGGGTGTCTGTGCTTGAGGCCTGGGGGGAGCATTCGCTCGTCCTGGTCACTAGAGAGGTCGGCATCGGCGGATGAACGCGCGAGGGCCGAAGGCTGCGAAGACTTGTTGGTAACGCTGGCTGATTCGAGCTCATTGTATTGCTGGTCGAAATACTCGTCGAACTTGTGGCAGTGAACGAGAGTCGTGTGCGGCTTCTTAAGCTGATCGCCATAGAGATCGACAAATATCGTCTTGAGGTTGTCGACGAGTTTGTCCACCCATGAAAGATGCAATAGCGAGCGATATACAGCCTGGCGCACGACGAGCATATTAGTAAACTGGACGGGCGCTGGATGAATCGGGCGACGACCATACAATGAAGATCAAGCCCAATTCCTTGACGAAGGTCCACTTGATTGTGTGCTGGTCGGCCCTGTAGGCAGGATTGCTGGCCGCGGAGAGGGTTTCCTTGGTGCCAGGCGTGGGGACCTTCTCCTCGATGAAGAGGTCTGTGATGAAGCTATTGATGATGGAGGGGTCGACCTGGGCGTAGGAGCGCGACCAGAGGGACACGCCTGAGGTCGTGAAGACCTCAAAGCTGTCAAGCATGGCGAGGAGCGACCTTGTCGATGTGTGAAGATGTGGATTGTTTGCAAGGAAGCCAGGACCGCACACAAGAAGGTCGTGAAGATGGTTGCAAATGAGAGACGCCTGTCGACGTCGTTGGCATGAAAGTATGGCACTTGTCCGTTGGCCGCAGCCGCCACCTGCACCAACAAGGGTCAGATGTCCGAAGTTAGGGTACTCCAGGGCTGGGCTGGCCCGCTGTGCTGGAACCACGTACGCGCGACTGCGCCACACGGTGTGGACACACTGTATTGGAGCTCGACTGCCTGGTTGACGACGTAGCTTGTCCTCTTGGCCACGAATCGCTGGCTGCAGGTGCCCCTCAGCGTCGATGCACGAGCACGACCCCCAGCAGGAAAACACATCACCAATTGTCCAACATCGCTTCGAAGCAGCCGCCCCGGAGCCTGGCACAACCATACGAGTCTCATCTATCTACCGTTGGGGACATCTCGGGCGCCATCTTCGACCCTCCTATAGGCACCATTCACGAAAACGCTGCAGCCGCGCGCAGTTACCATCACTCAGACCGGCTTGGACCTCAATCTTCACGACAAAGCCTCTAAATTCCACGACGGCGTACACAACAACGAGCCGCTACGCAAAATGCAGCGCCCTAGCTTCGGCCAGTCGCCTCCGCTGCACCATCCTGTGCCTCAGCATGTCTCGACCGTCCCGCAGCTGAGGTCGCCGCCACCCCTGACGTCCTCTCAACCACAACACCAGGGGGCTGCGACCTACAGCAACCCTTACCAGCAAGGCCCGGCACCGGGGGCTGGCGGCAATGCCTTTGGCGCATACGGCAACTTTATGAGCGATCCTGCTGCCCAGTTTGGTGTCCAGCTCGGTCAGAACGCCTTTGAGGCTGCACAGAAGCATTTCGAGTCGAATGCGAACCGGTGGATCAACTTCGCCGCGCTCAAGCACTACTTCAACGTCTCCAACAGCTACGTCGTCAACAAACTCGCGCTCGTCTTGTTCCCCTGGCGGCATAAGCCTTGGTCTCGGAAGCAGACGGCCGGTCCCAACGGCCAGGAAGGCTGGTACCTTCCGCCGAGGGACGACATTAACAGCCCAGACATGTACATTCCAGGTTCGTGAGCCATATCGCCACCCCATGCGATTGGAAACTAACCATTTTGCTCCAGTGATGGCTCTCGTCACTTACATCCTGCTCTCTACGCTCCTGGCTGGCCTCCAGGGACAGTTCCAGCCGGAACTGCTTGGGTACAATGCCTCGAAAGCTGGAGTTGTCATAATACTGGAACTCATGTTCCTCAAGCTCGGATCGTACTTCCTAAACATCTCCAGCGAGTCACAGCTTCTGGACTTGGTTGCGTACTCGGGCTACAAGTTCGTGGGCGTCATCATGACGATGATCGTGGCCGAGCTCGTCAACAGAGGCCGTGGCCATGGAGGCTGGGTCGGCTGGACCATGTTCTTCTACTGCTACCTTGCAAACTCTTTTTTTCTGGTAAGTGGCCCTAATCTCCGCTCGTGCGTACTTTGACTGACTCAGATATTACTCTAGATGCGGTCGCTGCGATATGTACTCCTGCCGGAGAACTCCGGAGACCCCCGGGGCTCCATGCAGACTAACACGAGGACAAAGCGGAACCAGCGGACGCAGTTCTTGTTCTTCTATGCCTATGTTATCCAGCTGGGGTTCATGTGGATATTGAGCTGAAGGACTGATACTTCAGTGATTATCTACCAAGACAGAACGACTTTGGGTGGCATCCCTACAGTTGTTACGCCGACGAGAGGCATACTGCACCTTCTGCGGAAGGGTCATTGTGAGCTAGCGGCACAACGATGCATGACTTTCAATTGTGCTGCAAGTCCGTGCTCGCTCAATGCTGCGGTATTGCGTTCTCCGTTGTAGAGTTCCGGCAGCGACTTCCCAGACTTGACGCACAATTTATTGAATCGGCCTGGAGACAAGTTCATGCCGAGCCACGAACGAAATGAGCGCCCTTAGCTGCAAGGCGTTCTGGTGCACAATTATGAAGATACGATCAAGGTGTGATGAACGAGGACAGTCAAGATGTTGTCGTATGTACGTTTATTATATAGGCCCGGCACATAGATAAAAACAAAGGCGATGTGGTAGAATTCATCCATCCGCGTGTTCTTTTCTCCCAAGCTGCATGAACTGTGCCCTCGTCTTTGCCTGCGAGTGTCGCACACGCGGGCATAGTCCTCTTCAGGGACACGCATCAGACTTGTGCAAAGTCTTGACACCGACTACGTCCTGTAACGAGACGGAATCATCCATATGTCCGCCAGATGGGTTTCCCGTCGCCCGGATCATTGCCCCTTCCAGGCAGTATCTCGCGCAGGAACGCATTGATGTCACGCCCAACCTCCTTGGCGAGGGGCTCCCACTGCCTGGGATAGCCCAGGCTGCATTCTTCAAACCTGACGCCGTCTATCCAGTCGGTCCTGCGGATGTGCAGGTGCCCGCTTACGACGACCTTTGCGCGGAACCGCGTGTGCCAGTCTGCCGTCTTGCGCGTGCCGCACCAGAGGCTGAAGCGCGGTATCCGGGGCAGGTAGACGACCTTCTCCGTCAGCGGCCAGTGGTTGACAACCACCAGCGGCAGGTCCGGGTGCCGGTCGCACGCCCGCTGGAGCTTGGCCTCGAACCGGTCCACGAGGGCGGCGCACCACTCGTCGCGCGTCGCAAAGGGGTCCGGGTGCAGCAGCACCTCGTCGGTGGCCTGGATGTCCTCCTCGAGCGCCCATGCCAGCGCGTCCGCCCTCTCGACGCCGTCGGGCCGGAAGCTGTAGTCGTACAGCGTGAAGATGGGACACACGACGGCCCGGTCGCGCCCGTCGGCGAACTCGCCTCCCGGCCACACCTCGAACTCGTCCTCGGGCGTCTTGACCCCGTACGACCGCGCCACCGACACGCACAGGTCGTACTTGTCCACGCCCCGGGCCTGGCTACTGCTGCTGCTACTGCTGCTGCTGCTGTTGCCCGACTCGCTCGGGATCGTGTACAGCTCGTGGTTCCCCGGCACCCACCACACCGTCATAAAGTGCGCCGTCGCCCACCGGAACGCGGCGTGCAGGTGCTCCAGCTTCTCCCCCATGTCGCCCGCCAGGATCAGCCCGTCGTCGTGGTGCACGCCCTCGTGCAGCGCCGACAGCGCCTCCCGGTTCGAGGCATAGCTCAGGTGCAGGTCTGCAATCGCGTAGAGCTTGCCCATTGCGTCCCCCTTCGTTTGTCTTTTAATCAAGGTACGTAATAGTGTCTCACATGAATTTACCAAGGGCCTTCGTACTCTTGTTTGCGTGTATCTGTTTGTGTATATATGCTGTAATTAATTCATTGATAAAACATCAATGCAAGGTAGAGAGGCGTCGTTGTCTGGAGTCTCCCGGATTAGCCGTCTGCCAATATAAGACCGGTTGTTGAGAGAAACGTCGTCCGGGCCCCCACTGTCCACCAGCGGACCTGACGAAACCTAAAAGATCAACTTACTTGTGCAGCATGTGTACATGCATCCCTGGATGTGTGGTCGGTAAAGGGGTTCGCCTGTGTTCCAAGTGTGGCAGTTTGTTGCTGCGGCTCGTGCTGGTGGTTGAATCAAGATACAGCCTCTCTCACACGTGGGTGGAGGGATGACAGTACGGAGTACGGCATATGCATTCCCAGTCCCCCATGTCTCTACCTCCTCGACTCGCTACCCCTCCACCTCCCCGCGCGAGATCTACTTGCTTGTTCACCATTCCCGGCAACAAAATCACCTCACGACGATGACCCGCAGGTTGGGAATTCCTCTCGCGACCGCTGACCGTGTGCATGCTGATCCAGGATCGACACAAGGTGTCAAAGCCGCAACTTCTCCGTACTGCGAAATCAACAACACACACTACATTCGCACTTGATCTTGAAAAGTCATTATGTTTCTCATTTCATGTCGAGCTTGAATTTCTAGAGATTGCATAACAGATAGCAATCGCTTCTCTACACTCATAGTCGAGAGGTCGGCGAGCTCTAGCCGTCAATCTGTTCATCGCCCGCATCCTTGCATTTTTTTAATGTTGTATAACCAGCACCTAGCGCAAAGATGGGAAGCTCAGTTTGCCAAACATTGCATGCCACCAGCCCGCTTAAGAAGCCATGTAGGTGCTGGCATCAATGCCCTCCTTGGGGAACTCGGGGAGAGCAACTTCGAAACGCTTCTCGATAGCCTTGAGCACCTCTTGGTCGGCATCACTGCTGACAAACGAAATGGCAAGACCCTTGGTACCGAAACGACCAGCACGACCGACACGGTGCAGGTACGAGTCGGCATCGGCGGGCAGATCGTAGTTGATGGCAAGGTTGATGCGCTCGATATCAATACCACGTCCGAAGACATCAGTGGCGACGCAAATGCGCTTGTTGAACTCCTTGAACTCCTTGTAGCGACGGATGCGCTCTTCCTGGCTGACGCCAGAGTGCACAGCGATCGAGGGGAAGTTGCACTCTCGGAGCAGCTTGTCGAGCTCCGTGGCACGCACAGTGCTCTTGACGAAGATGATAACCTGGTTGAACTGCAGGTCATCCAGGAGCTCATTGAGCTTGCGGTTCTTCTCCCGCTCCTCCAGCTTGATGTAGTACTGCTGAAGACCGTGCAGGGTCAACTTGGTGTCCTCATCCACGTAGTGCTCCGTGGGGTTCTGCATGAACTTGCGGCAGATGGGCTTGATCTCGTCCGAAAGCGTGGCACTGAACATCATGACCTGCTTCTGCTGAGGAGTGGAGCGGAAGATCTCCTGGACGTCACGGCGCATGTCTTTGAGTATGTTAGTACGGGGGATGCAATGACTGTCAAGACAAAGATGAACTCACCAATGGCGTCAAGCATCTTGTCGCACTCATCGAGCACGAAGATACGGACACTGCCCAGACGAAGGTGCTTGTCCCGAACAAGAGCATTCAGGCGTCCAGGAGTACCCACAATGATGTGCGGGTGGGTGTCCTTGTTCTTCAGAAGCTCGGCGTCCTTGACGATGGGAGTACCGCCATAGAAGACACCCGTCTTGATGTCTGGCATGTACTTGCTGAATCGGTTGTACTCGTTGCGGATCTGGAAGGCCAGCTCACGAGTGTGGCACATGACGAGGACGGAACACTCGCCAGCAACAGGCTCGACCTGCTGCAAGGTGGTCAAGACGAAGACAGCAGTCTTTCCGAGACCGGACTTGGCCTGGCAGATGATATCACCACCGAGAAGCGCCTGGGGAATGCAGGTCTGCTGGACTATAGTTTCGGGCGAATGTTAGACTAGACTTGTGCAAGACGGATGTGAATTGAGCGGAATGACGTGTTTTAGGGCAGCCGAGCAGGTTCGTCCAGTATCGCGTCGCGTCGCGTCGCATCGGGAAGCTGCGGTGTCGCTTTCAAGAATCGCATTCGGTTTTGTGGTCTTTCAATCGTCGTAGCGAATGTCCGTAGACGTGCGCCTGAGCAACTACTGCGCACTTGGTGCCAGTGCCTCGCGGAGGGCTTTCACCCGTCTGCTTCAGAAGAGACATGCTTCTGCCACACCACCACTATCTGATATTTCACTGGCAAGTTGGCCGTGCTGAAAATGGAAGATAGCTCATCGCTTGAGTATGATGCAGAAGCGCACCCATGCCCCATGAAGGGGTAAGCAATTATGCCGCCAGGATCAACCGGCCCAGCATCACCGCGAGGGGCTACTGGTCTGGGCTGAAGGTGGCCGATCTTCCACGATCGAGACTCAAGTCATTGTCAAGGACCGAGACTCTGGTCGCTGGCCGGCTTGCTTTTCGACTTGCGAGGACTTGCGATATTGGACGAACGCTCGACGAGATGGGAGGGAAGGACACGACATGCCAATATGGCGTATTTGAAGCGGAATAAGTGAGACTGTGCGTGGTAGACTAACCCTCCGAAGGATGTTCGAAACCGCAGTCGGCAATGGCGCGCAGAAGCTCGGGCTTGAGCAGGAAGTCGCGGAAACCGGTGGAGTGGATGCCGACATAGGAGCCCTTCTTGTCGACATTGTTGCCGGCAGCGGCAGCATCGGCCTTCTTGCCGTTGGAGGCCGCCGCGGTCTCGTTGGTCGCGAGCTCCTCGTCGGAGTAGTCGATGAGATCCTCCTCGGTAGACATGTTGGCGAGTGTGAGGTGACAGTGGTTGGATGGAAAAGCTGGCGCGTTCGTGACTGGCGCGCGAGAAGTGGTTCGATATAGTCAAGTGGCAGGCGTCCTGATTGTCGAGGAATGCGCGTGCCGACAGGTAAATCAATGGAGATGGAGGCGCTGATGGGAGGAAGAGCTGGATTGCTCGTGGGATCGACGGGTGCGACTGATGGCCAGGAAGAAGGATGATGTTGTTTGTGAGGAAAGGCCGGGACAGGGCAGGGAGCGCGGGAGGGCGGGCCAGGCAGTGCCTGCTGTGTGCTCCGTCCAATTGCTTCTGCCGCCTGCTTCGTCCAGCCAGCCTGGCGCAGGCGTGGGGCCGTGCGGCTCAGCGTAGCCTGCACCAACACAAGCTGATGCATAAATGTATATGTGCATGTGCACAAATTCAGTCCGTTACTCAACTTGTGCATTTCTCTCACAGCCCCGTGGGGCAGCTGCTCCCAGCTGCGGTGCCACTTCAATGAGAATCCGGCATGGATTGTAGCCAAGCTATCTAAGAACCTCCCGACTTGGTACTCAAGTATGTAAGGTATTCGAGCAAACCTGTGGAGATACGCTGCCAACTGTTTACAATCGCTTCCTCGGGCTTGTGCCTCTTGCTTTGACTTCTGTTTGCAATGGCCAAGGCAAAGACAGCGGCTAACGTGCCCAATCGACACATATACACACGCATGTCCTTTCTGTATCAAGCTGCTGCATATCTAAGCAGCCAACCCCAGGATGCGAAGGGCGCGGCCCAAGAAGTTGCGGCAACTGCTCAGAAACAAGACATGGACACCCAAGACGGCAGAACTCGAGTAGCACTGTCGCGACGTCTCATGACCGACATGAGATCGACCTCAAAGAAGGCCCAGATCTCGCTTACACCAGCACTCAAGCACACAATCTGCAAGTATTGTGATACTCTGCTCATGGAAGGCCAGAACAGCACCACCAGTGTCGAGAACCTGAGCAAAGGTGGTAGGAAGCCATGGGCCGACATGATCGTGGTCAAATGTCATACCTGCGGTGGTGTCAAGCGATTCCCAGTGAACGCACCTCGTCAAAAGCGGCGGCCAAGACGCGACGCAGCTTCTGTCGAAAGTACAGGGAAGCAGACAAAGGAGATATCTCCCGATCACGAGACGCTTTCGTCTGCCATCGCAACCGCAGTAGAGAGCACTTGAAACACTGGGCTGCCGCGCATGTCACAATCCATGCTTTTTCTTTGTCGCTGCCAGAGATTCTTCCCTGGCACAGGCATGGCCTCTCGGGCAAGCTTTGCTCGACATGGCACGAGAGAATGGAGATACCGTGGGATCAACAGGCTACCTTCTACGGGTATGATCCGGCCCAACTCTACAACTTGTTGCGAATCTACCCTTCCAACGTCACCCAGTGCTAGCGGGACTCTCTCTGCAGCGATCATGACTGACGCCACGGTCAATCTCGATACATAGGCTCCCTCACTCGAATATATCGCAAAAATGCACACATCGGCTATTGGGGAGCCACATAAAGCCGACGACCTGTCAGTGCCGTTGCACTTCCACGATGTTGGGACTGCAATACTTGTCATTTCCGAGCCGACTTCTCGATCTGGTATGGCGAAGTTCGGCGGCCTTTTCCGAAAGGGTCCTTGTCACGGCCTGACACATACGGATCATTTGGAAGAGAAGGCTCTAGCTATGGTCGATCACGTCAGCGACCACCAAAGTGGTACGAAAGTGCGCCACATGACTCCACTGATTGAGTCCTTGCGCTGACACTTTCCCGGAGGCAAACACCTAGACCTCGGTGCCTCAAGTCAGCACTCTTTTAATCAAGGGAAGACAGCAGACCCCGATGTGGCGTCAGCTCTGATCAGGCGAGATCCGCAAGAGTCACCAGTCGTCAGTCAGGCCTTTACTCGGGCCTTTACTCGTGTCATCCTAGCGAACTAGAAAAACATCTCGAGCGACCAGATTTCGGTACATCTCCCAGACGACTGATCACGAGGATGGCGAGTTGACACATATTCACGACACGACAAACCCGTGACCAGTCATACCCTTTGCCACAGCCGGGCCTGTGAGCAATGAGCAGGCCCCGCCTTGGTTTGCGTGATTAGGCAAGCAAGCGTGTTGAACACAGCTCGTGCCTAGAGGCTGGGTCATCCGTCGTGGAGTCATAGTTATTGTGCCGATTGTCTAAGTACTACTGCCAAAAGTCAAGGCGATGGCGAAGCAGGTCCAAGCTTCGCCATGATACACTTACCAGAGGTCATTTCTACAAGTGCTGAGTCCGCGGATAGCAAACCTGGTTGTGTGAAGCAATCCTTCCCGAGCAGGCAGACATGAGCAAACCGAATCAGGCAGGCAGGCAGGCAGGCTCGCGCCACGAACTTGATTCCAAGAGCACGCTTGCCACCGAATGATTGCGCCATGACATGTGATTGTAAATTTCAGCACATTGGGCAGACAACCGTCATCCAGGATACATGTTGTGCGCCGGCATCGCGATCGTGGACCAAGTCATCAAGGACGCTGATCGCACGATGAGGCGATTCGAGAAACGAGTGTCATGAGACGTACGACCATCTCGAGTGCCGGGGCCCACCGCTCGTTGGCAGACTCGGCTGGAAGACGACGACAAGCCGAGACCAATGCCATGAACCCGGACAGAAAGCTTGCTTGACATCATCGAACCTCTGTCATATTCGCAACAAGGACAGCGTAGTCAGTTCCAGGCCTGCGTGCACAGGATCGCAGACTGAGCAATGCAATATTGACCTATCATTATTATCGGGCTCGAACATCGTGATGTCGGGTCGCAAACAATGATCGGAAGATGTCATCCTTTACCAGCCATCGTGATTGTCCGTGGCGTGCCGTGTGAGGCCATGGAAAATGCCAAGAGAAAGAGAGAGAGAGAGCGCCATGGGAACCCAACCGGACCCACTCCACCATTTCAAGCTCAACGTCGCTCAACCTGTCAAACCTACCATCGTGGTACCCAAAACGCCTCATCTTTTTTCGGGAGTGACTCACACTTCCATCCATCCATCCATCCACCCGGACTTCAGACTTCTCACACTCCTCCCGCTTGCTCACACGCCAGATTCACGATCCACTCCTGGAGCGCGCGTGCTCTCGCTGGTTCACCCATACTGGCTCATGTTTACTCACCCTTACCCACCTTTACTCACAGTTGCCCATGTGTACTCACACCCCCCCCCCCAGGGCAATCACTAACACACTCACTCGCTCACTGACCCGGCAACCTCCCCCTGATCGATGCCGGGTCCCCACGTTGCACGTTGCAGGCTGCAGGATGTAGACCACGTAGAGTCGGCGAGGAGAAACATCTAGAAGGGAACCGAGAAAGTGCACTTACGGGGTCAACCCCTAGTCACACACGGGAAGGTTGCCGTCAGACAACGTTATGCCCAGGGGGGTTTCTTTGTTGCCTGGCCAATGTCTTCCATCCCGGTTTCGTTAGAACTCGAGTCCAGAGTCCAGAGCCTGGAAAGAGGAGGAGGGGTACCGTTTGTGTGTGTCAACAGAGAGGACCCTCCCCGGCGTGGGAAGGTATTCACGGGCTGCTGGTCAGTTGCATGCCTAGGTAGGTAGGACGAGATTCGTGTAGACATGCTGTCCTCATTCAGCGCCACCATGAAAGCTTGGATAACTGACCTGATGGCATCCTCCTTCATGTACATACTCGGTGAACAGTGACGACTCCAGACCAGAAGTGGCAGATATAGAGACGAGTTCGAGTGACGTGCACGCAGGGAAGGATCGTGTTTCGGTTTTCGCGCCCAAGAGAGCCGATCTTTAGATATTCAGAAAACTATCTGCGAGGTTGTGTGTCTTTGGAAATCTCAATCGAGAGTCCCGCAAAAGTCTTTCTAGAACCCGCTCGCCATGCTCTAGAAAAGCTAGCTGCTTGGTAAAGATACTTTTTGAGTGCGGCGCGCAACACCTTTTCAGGCCAGATAGGATAGTGGTAGCTAAGGAGAACTGCGCCTCAAGTGCAACCAGCCTGGAAACAATTGTTTCCAGGCACTTACTGTAGCAAGTCCGCATCTCGGCAGCTCGCTCGTTGGCAAGCGATGACAAGCATCGCGTCATCCTCGTTCTCGTCCCCAGGTATTAAGTCCAGGTTGAATAACAAACTCCATGTGTATGCATCCGGGCAACCCGCGAGCACCGTGATACTGCTGTGTCCAGGTGCTCTTGACTTCGTGCCACCAACTGTGCTCCCCTCTCTGTTACCCGAACGCCATTGTGAAATGATGACAAGCAGCCTCTCGATCGTACAATAAGCAGCTACAGACAGACAAAGCTTGTATGCCAGTTCTGAAAATGCACGCAGTACGCTTTTTCTGAGCCGTGGCAAGACTCATGCAACACACCCCCGCACCCGGTGACAAAGGGAAAAAAGCTTCCACGCTGTGTGGTAAAGCTGTAGTGATACCTAGCTGCTTGCAGCAGCCGACTAGTTCAAGACACCAGCCCACATTCCAGGGCCGCCCCGACCGCCAACGGCGGGGTGGAGGCTGGGGATGGTGTAAGCAGGAACTTCATAGCAGACACGCTTCCTTGAGCTATCAAGGGTCTCTCGGCCAGAGATCATGGCATCGGGCCACGCTCGGTCGGAGGTTGAAGTTGGTTGGCTGGTCAAGAGTTCGCGGACATTGTCCTGAAGCGCATCGCACGAGCGCTTTGTACCGAGCCGATTCGCGGAACGCGACTGGAAGCCAAGAGAGTATTTCTGCAGATCCTGCAAGGCGCGTGCAGCGTCGGCAGCATCATCAAAATCACAGCCCCGGCTCGTGGTCGGCGTGTCCAGCGACATGTCGAGCAGGTCCTTCGCAACCGGGCCAGTGTAGTACTCTGGCGAGGAAGTCATACGGCATTCGTCATAAGTTTCTGGGACAGACGCGATGATCGGCTTCAGGCTGTACCGCTCACTGCACAGCTTCGCGTATCGGCATCGCGCCTGTACATCCAACTTGTTGGAGAACGGCGCGCTGACCAAAGACGAAGCAGACGAGATTGAGGATGAACGAGAAGTCCGAGAAGTGTCTGAGACCATTGACTCTGGAGACGAGGCTGTAGACACCGAGTTGGCTAGCGACGAACGACGGACGAGGCACGGATAACCTTGAGGCGATGTCTCAGATGACTGGTACCAGCGGTCCATAGTCTGAGTTGCGGCGGTGTTGGCAACCTGGCTCATGGCAAACCCCATGGAACCTCTTCCGCTCAGTAGACAAGAGGCAGCGCTCGCGGCAGGAGTGCTGGGTCCGGTCATTTGAGGGGTCAGGCGAGGGGTGGGCAAGAGACCAAGTGCCGGCGCAAGACGGACTGGCGCGCAACTGCCCGAAGCCAGCGGCTCCATGACGGGAGGCGCACCGTAAGTCTTGGGTGTTGGGGTGGCGTCCCCATCGAAGCCGAGCCTAGAGGCGTGGCGTGGAGGTGACAAAAGACCGCCAAGACGAGGTGACGGCGTAGACACTGGGAAGTCCTGAGCCTTGGGCGCGGAGGGGCCGGCCTGAACAAGACCCTCGATGTTATCGAGCTCGGGGTTGAGCCTCAGAATCAGATTCTTCCAGTCCTGATACTCCATCTCAGCTGTCAAGCTGCCGACAGCGCCGGGAGACGGTGGTTGGGAGGGAGTGTACTTGAGCACGATCTCCGTCCACCGCTGGAAGACCGCATCAGTGATGTGGAGCTTCCAGTTGACAGCCAAGAGGAAAGCCATCTCGTTCTGGTTGATCTCGTTGGTGGCAAGTCCAGAGATCTTGCTCCAAGCTCTGGCGGAGTAGTTGCGATCCTGGAGATACTTCGAGGCCAGTATCAGAGCGGCGAGGAACATGCGGCGGCCGCACTGCAGGGCACGGTTGACGTGAACGTCATCAGGCTGCTCCATAGTAAAGTCATGCGTAGGGACATGAGGCTTGATGAGGATCAAGTAGTAGAGTGCCACCTGAAGCGTAGAGTAGCTCGTGCGAGAACGGCGGAGAGTCTCTTGGATGAATGTACGGAGTGGCAGGACAGCTTTGCTGCCGAGCTCCTGCCGATAAATGACAGAAGAGCAAGGCCATATCGCCTCGACGATCTGAGTGGATGAATCTGTATAGTGAGTTGTTGAGTAAATGTGCACCGTGCCACTGGGCGCTATATCTGTATGTCATGGCTTACCGACGAGATTGTCAACGAAGTTGTGCTTGCGCTCACATTGGCGAACCAATACGGGAGGGCATCCACTCCTGGTGGATGCGCCCACCCTGGTGCGTCTTGGGTTCTGTCGAAGTTCCTGTGGAACCTCCGAGCGAGGGGCACTCTTGAAGTACGACTCGGTATTCTCAAACACCTCGGAGGAGGCTGTAGAAATAGAAGTGTCGTCAGAGGACTGCGAGGCCGCATCCGACCAGACCGAAGTCTGGGACGATGAGGCGGAGGACGCTATCGATGCATTGTAAGGGCCGTTCTGGATAGCGTATGTGGTGTAAGCCAGCAGCTGTTCGTTGCTGCTGGACATCATGATGTATGTGTGCGGTAGAGGGCGTAGCAGAATATGCTACCTCCAGCCGTCCGTCAAAAGCCAACTAGTTGAAACCGTTGTGTGAAATGTGATGAGACCGAAGAGAGGGCGAATGAAGCGTCACGACAGCATAAAAACTATCGCAAAGCTCGCAATGAAAAGGTCGGAAGTGGTTGCGTCTATGCGAGGGCACAAGCGCTGACCAGAATTTCACAGATGGTTGTACCGGTAGACGAGAGACGGACGACTGGAGTGTTGATAACAGAAATGGCAATGAGCATAGTGTTTCTTGTTGTTCTCTTCACAGAAGGAGGGAAGAGAGTGTCGAAACTCGACAACAGATGGAGTACAGGGCAACAGCTCAGATCGACATCGAGCTAGTTGTGTACTCTGTCTTTGTCGGTGTGGTGGTTTGTTGTGTTGTCGAGGGCTGCGAAGCCGGAGGGCGCTATGCGCTGCGATAGAGGTATCGTTGAGGCGTGGTGGTGGTGGTAGTGATCAAGTGCGGGTCGGATGATGCCGTGCAGGGACGAGGACGACGTGCCAGGGATCTGTCAGGTACGAGCTGCAACCACGACTTTGAGACTACTCTTGCAAGCAGTTCATGCGGGGGGTGGGTAGTGTGGTTGCTGGCGCGACTCGAAGACCCTTATATTGGGGTGCACGACGAGGCAGCAAGGTGTCGAGAGGCGATGGCGGAATGGTGGCCTCGCCGAGATGATATGATGGGTGAGTCGCGTGGTGTGACACCAAGGGGCGACGCCAGCCGGTTTGCCTTGGGGCGCTGCTTCGATCGATGACTCCTCTGGTTGGGTGGCGAGGACAAGCCGGGCGTTGCCGCTAGGCCGTTGTCGGGGGGGCGAGTTGGCCTCTGCGTGAGTGTGAGCACCGAAGGTGGGCTGGGGCCTAGGCTGCGGTGCCGGGGGGTGGAGGCCCAGCGCCGGGAGAGCCTAAGAGGACTTGGAGGGGGGCGAAGAAGCCTGGAGCTGGATGGGACCAGACCAACAGAGTGACTCCGTCGGGCACGACAAGGAGCGTGAAAACGGAAAAGAGGCTGTGTGAGCCACACAACTCACGCCTGCGGGAGCCTGGGCGCGCAAGAAGCTTTCTTTCTTGTGCGAAGAATGATGACAAGGGGATGACAACCGAGTCTGTAGAATGAGAGTGTTTGCGACGGAGACAGCCGCGAAAATCGAATGCTGTGCAAATAACAACCAAGTAGAGAGACAGGGGGTAAAGAGTTGAGGGGAGATGCGACTGCGCAATACTAAGAATATGCGATACTTTCTTGTTTCCCTAGAGGTCGCGGTGCTGTTCTGTAGCCACTGTCGAGGTCCTCGTGGAGGGTGCACGCACACAAAGGCTCACTAGGCTTGGCCGGGGTGGGCGAAGGGTGACTTGGTGCTGGTGGGCCTGATGGTGGTCACACGCCGTGTGACGGGAGATGAGTCGATGCGAAGCGGTCGTGTCTTCTTTTTTTTTTGGTTCCTTTGGTTTTCTGGTTGATTAAGGAGTCTCGTGCTTCAATAAGCTACGTGGTCGTAGAGTGCAAATGAATGCCACTGCGACCAGGGGTGACTTGTGTGTGTAGACTGGAGGTGGGATGGCCGTCCAGGCAGACAGGAGAGGCGGGTGGGTAAGAGGTGGTGAAAGATGGCGAAGCAGGCAAAAAGCGAGAATGACGGGATGCGAGACCTGGGGAGAGCAGTACCGCCACGGGATCGAGCGAAGAAGACGAGAGGAGAGCGCTTTGGGGAGGGCCTCCTGTGGTCGAGTTCGGACAATGCCGCAGTCGAGCAGACGTGCAAAGTGCAGTCGCTGGATGCTTTCTTTAGATCTTGGAACCGAACATTGCGACGGCCTTGTTCGATACTTGGGAAGGGGGAGGGAATCGCGAGCCGCCAGTGCACGGGAAGCGGGCGAGTTTTGAATGGGGGTGGGTGCCAGCCATGCTGTCGACAATCCGGGTGCCAGACAGAGGTTGATCGTCGCACGACGGGCGCTGCAGGCACGCTCGCTGTGGTTGGCTGGCGGCGCCCAGGCCTGCCTGCCTGTCCAAGTGCCCAGGTGGTCGGCGCTGGTCGTCTGGCACGACGACGGCTGGGGCGGGAAGAGGGGGGGGGGGGACCTGCTACTACTCCTGCTGCTGCTGCATCTCGCGCCTGCTGCTCCCCAGCCAAGACGACGAGGTCATGGGCGAAGTCTCTGCCTATTGTTTCCATCCCACGATGTGTTCTGCTACCTACACGATCTGGCATCACTCAAGGCATGGCAGTTACATGCACACGCACATCCACACGTTCACACAAAAACGGAACACGGCAGGCTGGCAGGCTGGAGGCTGGCAGACAGGGCGGATGGCCGGCCCACCCGCAACAGCGACGACGAGGACAGCCGACCACGACCAGAGTCATCATGAGCCATGCTGCTGCTGTTTCGGGTCGCAGTCCCAAAGAACGGTCACAGGCCTCGACGACTCACTCATTCTCTGCCCACTCGATTGCATGCTCACGGCCAGGGGGTGCTCAGAGTGTCGTGGCGCCTTTGATGAAGCGGGGGCTGGCGCTGGCCGGGGGCTCCTAATTGGCCTGCATTGAGGGGGGCGGCGCGGTGTGGGAGCATGCCATTGGCGGGCGCGCACCTGGTTGCGCACGCCAAGGGGGACGCCCCGGGAGTTGGTCGATTGTGCACCTGGGCAGCTCCCTCTCGAGCTCTTTCGTGCTCGTGTGTGCAAATTGTGCGTGCGTGAGAGCACACAGGCAGGCTTCCACGCGGTGGCCAGATAGGCAATCTTTGTTGGAGAGCGCAGAGCAGGCCCTGCGCGCCCCTTCTGCCTGGCCCAGCCCTGAGTGGCTGGGCTGAGCTGGCCTGCAGACGCCAAGCTGATTAAGACGTATTCTATTGGCCACAGCCTCTGACGGTCATCTCCACCCGGTGCGCCAGCCCCGGCCTAGCGCGTCCTGTCTGGGTCTAGCGCCCCTGCATAGCTGCTAATTTGACGCAGCACTCACGAACACGACCAAGAAAGCTGCTGCGTGCGGAGGCAAGGCGCAATGCACGTCGGGCACACGAAGAGTCATCGCTGCCCGCCCCCCACCTGCCCAGGTCTGTGCCTCACTCATTCACTCACTCAGGACGGTCACTCACTCTCGTGCAGGCGGATGCTTGATGTCAGGGCACTCGCACAGAGTCTCACATGCCCACACGAAACGGGGAGGGCCTCCTCGAGAACACACACGAGACGGGGCCAGCACAGTCATCACCACAGCTGGAAGAGAAAAGAGAGGCAGCCCAGCGGCGGACGGAGTCGAGAACAACATCGTGTTCACCATGCTTGCGCCCGTCTACACCACCCGTAAAGGGAAACCACATGCTAGACCCAGATGCTAGCCAGATTGCCATCGCCGGGAGCGACTGAGCCAGTTTACGACGGATGGGCAAATGTATTCCCCACCTCGACGCGAGTGGGCCGGATTTGAAGTGGATGACCAACCAGCCAGACAACCAGGCGTGTGAGGCTGCACAGGCACAGACAGATGACATCGTCAGCTACTCCAGACCACGACGAGCCCACGAGCTTATCAAGCATCGCGATCTTGAGCTGTGCCAGCCCGCGATACGCCTGTGGCGCCAATCCTCGTCCCTCCAGCAGCCATCATGGCTGGGGAAGCCGCCCTTCATTTGCGCAACCCAAGGTACATGATTTCCTAAATATGTGGCAAGCCGGGCGTCCCGTCCATTAACCTACCTGCGCCACTGCATACAGGCGCGCAGCGTCTAATTAATGCTAAGGCGCTTCCCCTCTCGCCTCCGCCACGTTTCGTAATTAGCATCACGGACAGGAGGACTCCATGCAAAGGGCTACCTGTAGTCTCACATTCCCATGATCAGCTGAAGCGGCTCATGGGCCCTGTCCTGCAACCCAGAACGCCAGCAGACGTCGTCTTGTCTGCTGTCGCTGTCTCGACTCGCATTCTGAAATGCTGCTCGCCTTGCCAGTCTCACCCGCTTTGCGACTCTAAGTCAGAGACAGCAAACTCTATCAGGCCCTAGGCGAGGCGGTTGAGGCTCACCAAGCCTTGGCCGGGCTTTTCGCCAACTGCGGCCACTGTCAAATCAACCCATGCGCCCAATGCGACCGTTTGCTTGCTTGCCAAACGTCCTCGTCTGCCGAACGCAGCACAGCACGGAACACAACGCGCGCCTGGTCGGCTTGCCCGAGCCGCCTTTGCATGAACCGATATGGGCAGGCTGGCGGGGACTTATCCGATCCATTGCACTGCTCTGGACATTCTTGAAGCTGCCGCAAGGCCGTCGGTATGTCATAATACCTCGAACCCCAGGTTGGAGCGAGGCTGCGCAGCAGTCTATTTTTGACGATGTCATCAGGGACTCCTCCGCCCCGTCCCAGCTGTGGACACTGCCTTCTGGAACACTCTGGCAAGGCCCCTGACCCTGGTGCTTCGGGGCGGGGTTATTGACTGTTGGCTGCACCACAACCATGCGGAAACCATGCTGCAAAAGGTCGAGAAACCACGTTCGGATATCCCCCCCCTTGCCCTGGCTGCTGTCAACGATTCGGGTTGCAAAGCCAAGTGGCAGAGCCCAACCCGTCCAGGGCCTCGCGGATCCAGTGGGATCGCCGTGGAGACAACTCGCCCGCCACGTCGTCACTTTGGGCCAGCCCCGCCCTCACATGGCACAGCAGCAGGGTCGGAGGGACGGGATGGACAGGGTGTCACTTGTCACCGCTTCTGTTTGTCATGCCAGACTTGACGGAAGTGCCAACATGTCTCTGGTGACAGCAATCGAAACCCCACAGCATAGTGAGGGACTCGTGCTATGGTGCGGTGTCGTGACACGAACCAGCCTGCCAGGTTGACAAAGCCGGCGACAAGTCGGCCAGCGCCGATCGTGTTCAAGGGAGAGACGATGAGATGGCCGGACAGGTCGCTCAACCTATCTGCCGACTGCAGGACAGCGTCCCTCGGCCTGCAACACTGCCCAGCTGCCGGTCCCAAAGGCCGACCTGTCATGCCACAGCCCGCAGTCCGCCACACCACCAACTGGGCCGCGCCAACGTGTGCGGTGGGTGTATTTGACTGAAGCGTACTGAAGCGGCAGCAAAGCTGTCGCAAGGCTGGGAGATTGGGCGCTATGAACCAGCGTGATTGCCTACACACCACCCACTCGGACGAGCAGCGGGACGTTCCATGGGGGGGTGAAAAACCCTCATTGTCATCAATCTCTACCGTCGTGACGAGTGGAAAGGCGGATTGACCATTCCGGACCCCGTAGCGTGTCCCATTGGTCGGACCAGTGAGGACGAGCATGGCAAAGCGCCAGCTCTCGCCCAGTCTTTTGATAATACTCCAGTCGACACCAGTTTGCACGTCTCACCGTTTGACGCTCCTGCAGGTAGGGCAGAAAATGGGCCTGGTTCCAGCCCCCGCCAGTGTCGGCTTTAATCCATCGCCCTAGCGTTTGAGCAATACTGGGTTTCTGGGTTTTCGAACCCGATGGATTGTGGTCGACACTTAAGGTTTGATGGGATGCAGCAGCGCGGGGGGTCTGTGGAGATGATAGAGCGAAAAAGCCCACGCGTGAAGGTCGATGATGGGGGAATGCCGCGCGGCAGAAACGACGCTGCGGATGCTCGATTGATTGGGGCTGCCGTTGGCTCTGGGGCCTATCTCCCCCCGAGACCAAGTCACGTACACGTAGGCACGAGCGGAGAGAGAGGAAGAAGAGAGAGGGAGGCCAACACGGACTGGTGTAAAAGCCCGGGCCTGAATATTGAACGACGGGGATTCCAATGTGCACACACGGGTCCGGCCGAGACAGGCCAAGCAGGATTTGTAGGTCCATAGGTCCAACACGAACGGCTCCTCCGTGTCGTCGGGTCGGGCAGGCCGTCCGTGGTGCGCACGATAAAAGCTGGGCACGGGCAAAGCAGGCAGGGGAGGGAGCTCTCTTCTGTCCTCGCCGCCGGTCCCGCCCGGTGCCGTCGCTCCTTAGCCATGGGCAGGCGGCTCACCATGACGGCACGAGAGCTCTTGCTCTTTGGAACAAGACGACGAGAGAAGGGGATTCGCGATGCCCCCCCAGTGTGTCTTTGTGGTTTCCAGGGCTGGACACGCACTCACCGGTTCTGGGCCAATGCACCTGGAGATACTACTGTATATGCTGCTTTGCTAAATACATGAAGGGCACGTGACTGGCTGCCTCCTGCCAATGCATCACACCACAATCCATCTCTTGCAAACACCGACAGACAGCACAGGTCCAATATCGGACTGCGCCCTCAAGCTCACACAGCCAGCCAACACATGGCGTGATGGGTGAGTCTATTGTTGAAGGCGCCTCACCTGCTGCCGCGGGAGCGACAACGGACATGCGGAAGGGCGGGCGGCTCCGTGGCCGTCCCGATGCCCCAGCCACTCCCTCCCTACTAGTTAGACTGGGCTGTCACTCACTCACTCACCACCACCACCACCACCCATAGCGGCCCCGATTCTCGGCGGCCTCGAGACCTGGCCCTGTCGGGACCACTAGTACATCCGGGCCAGATACGGTAGATGACTGTTGTATTGTTCTGTCGGAGGTTTGGCGTAGGCTCACTCGCAGCATCGTGGTGGGGAGGGGGGGGCTCATTGAATTCAGAGCCCGCCCGAGTGCGGTCCTGTGTTGCGTCTGTAGTATTTTGTCCGCTTCTCTCTCTCAGAAGCTCGCTTCGCCTCCCGCTCCCTCTTCTCCTACCGTAGTCCCCGGCTTTGCATTGACTCGGATCGTCAATGGCCTGATCTGCTTATGAGCGAGGTCTGTGGCGACGACGACGGCAGCAGCACCAGAGAAGAAATGATGGTGTAAGTTTAAGTACATGGTTTAGTCATCGGGCTGGACCTGTGGAAGAGCCGAGCCGATAACAAGAAAGTGTTGCGACGCTCGCGTATCTGTGCTTCTCTTGGTCTCCCCCGGTGGCTTCATTATGAGAAGCGTGGAGGGGTGGGTGATGTCTCTTGTGTGTGTGTGTGTGTGTGTGTGTGTGCTTGTTCTGAAGACGGCGTGGGAAGAAACCATAATGCTAATGGAGGCAAATTGAAAACATGCGATGGCAATGTTTAGAGGTATCCCTTGGTTGCCATGTAGGCTTCCTGCGTGGAATGGTGGCACGTATTAAAACAACGCGGGAAAAAAAGATTTGCAATAAAGAAAAAAAGAGAATCACAAACTCCAATATAGTCCTACATGACGACTAGTAACCGGTTCCATGATGCCTGCTTCAACATATCGACATAAATTCATGCTTAGATTCTAGACTTGCGGCTTAGAAAAAGAGGAACAATGACAGGAAGAGCCGATGTGCACGGCAGTGTCCACACTGGAAGTATCATGGGCCACCTACCGTATTTATATCTATGACCTTCAAAAGCTCAGTTATTGCTAGTCGATTACTTTGAAGGGGACTTTACAGTTTAAAAACGAAAGGCCGTTTGTAGTCGCCAGGACCTTCAAAAATGATGAGACAGATCAAAATAATAACTCGCGAGGAAAACCTTTTCGGTGCCATGAGGACTTACAGGGAACTCCTTGGTCCTATGAGCAATTTACGTTGTGGGAACGACGTCGACGAGCCAGGCAAGTCGATCTGTAAGACTGCAAAGAAGTCAGCAGCCTCTGCTGTCGTTCTCGCACTTCAACTCATCCCGGATCTGATTATCTCTATCCAAGAAAGAGATTGGCACTACGCGCTCACTTCTCACGCCACTGTCTTCAGACCCGAGAACACGAAACCCCGGTATACTCTATCCCTCGCGGCAAATGCGCAAAGCTGACCGACCCGGAATTCCTAACACAGCAGCACACGGGTATTCTTGTCCCGTTTCCCTTGTCCTCCCTACAGCCTAGACTCGACGAGATCAAAGAAACCCCCGCGACGCCTTATGCAAACCGCCTGGCCTGTACACAGGGAACCACTTGCATAGCCTGCACATATCATCTTGATGTCGCTGTCGTTTTCATTGTTCTCAATCAAGGCGTCGGAAAGCAGGCCCGAGAAAGCCCTGGGGCCTTCGGAAATCTCATTCCATCATACCACCTCACAAACGCGCGCCACACACGCAGCCCCTTGTCGATGGTCCGGGTAAAGACACACACCTGCAAGTGCTTTCGCGCATGCGGGACCCAATTTCTCGTACAGGCGCAACATCATTGTATAATTCAGACGGAGAAACCCTTCAGAGAAAATGAGGTTTAGACAATGGGCGTGAAACTAATATGGCGGTGGTGGTGTTGGTGCATTTGTATATATCTCGGCTTCAACGGACAAAGACTGGCTAGCGACTGCGTCCTTTAATAAAGCGGATGAAGTATGCTCCCTGTGCTTCTTCTCGCCGTGCAAATCAAAGCGTAGCTCCACTGGAACGACATCTGCGGAATGTGCTTTGCTTGCTTGCTCGCTGGCTCGAAGGGCGGCGTTGTTATCTCCCAGAGCAAGGGTGTTTTCACCCTGACGGCCTCAAGTGTTTGAAGCACAAGGTCACCATCACAAGAGCACAGTCAACTTGATCTACACCACATCTTGGAACCATAAATAGAAATCAAGATTGGAAAACATGAAATATTGCTAGCTGGTGCACTCGGCCAGCCTGCGAATCTACAGAACGAAAGCGTTGCACACGCATTAACCCCCAACATCTCCGCAGACACACAATTTCCCCCATATGAGATCGGGGCGCCTTGTTCCCGGCACGAGGAAACCCCCCTACACATCCCAGGCACTCGACAGCTTCACGCGGCAGTTCTTGGGCTTCATGAACAAGTCCTCGTCGTACACCCAGTCCTCGAGATTCTCGGGGAGCCGCTCAAACACAAAGTTCCACACGAGCACCGTCACGACGAGCTTGAGCTCGAGGTACGCGAGCCGCTTGCCCCAGCAGACCCTGGTGCCGGTGCTGAAGGTCAGGAAGGGCCCCGCGCGCGGGTTGAAGGTGAGCTCGCCGCTGCCGTCCTCCGACTCCTTGAGCCACCGGTCAGGGTGGTACTCGTCGGCCGGGTACCCGCTCTTGGTCCAGTCGTCGACATCGTACGCGCCGGCGTGGCTGCGCGACGACTCGCTGCGCAGCGCCTCACCGGTCTTCTCCGGCAAGAAGCCCTTGGAGGTGTACGTGGGGCCCATGAAGCTCAGGAATAGGACCGTGTCCTTGGGGATCGTGTGGCCGAGGATCTTGATCTCCTTCTTCGTCTCTCTCGTGATTCCGACCGCGGGCGGGTCGATCCGCAGCACTTCTTCGATCACGGCATCGAGATAAGGGATCTGGGCTTTGACGAGTTCCTGCAGAGGAGGCTGCGCCCGTTGGCTCCATGCCTCAGGGAAGGCCTTCCGGAGTGTGTCTCGGAGCCTGGTCTGCACCGCCTGGTTGGCTCCAATCCGCTTGACAAGGAAGCTCAAGGTGGCATGTGTAGAATCTTGCCCGCCCAAGAGGTACCCAAAGGTAACCTGGACCACTGTGTCCGAGTAGAAATCCGGTGCTCGGTTCTCCTTCTTCGCCGCGGCCGCTTCGCGCATGACAATAAAGTCCATTGCCGAGGTAGGCTTGAAGTTGTCTCCTTCCTCCTGCAGACGACGCACCGCATCGCCAATGTAGGATCTTATGATTGTGTCTCGATCGTGGTATGCCTTTTTCATCTTGGCCGTCCTGTTGTTGAACAGGTGGAACAATTTGGGCGACGGGACCTGGAATGCTTTGCCGGATGCCCCAGCAATGGTAAAAAGCGCGCTGAGCATGTCTGTCAGCTCGGAGGGAGGGAACTCGGCCGGCTCAGTGGTGCTGGCGGGCACCGTGGCAGGTTGCTTCAGCTCCCCGAGTTCTCTGATGTACTTCCTGATCTGAGTGTCGTTGTCGTCAATGTTCAGCGCGGCAGCCGTGATGATGTCGTAGGTGAGGTATCCCAGATCCACAGCGGCGTCGAAAGCACGACCCTCCGCCAGCTCTGACTTGAACTGCCAGAGCTTTACAATGCTTAGGACTTTTTGGTAAGATGCAGGAGCATTAACCTGCGCGAAGAAAGGATTGTCAGCACAAGCCTGGGTGTTGTTGTCCGAGTCCTCACCAGCCACCTGGGGAGTATACCTCGTGTAGAAAAGAGGGCGTCATCAAGTCCTTGCCCAACGCCTTGGCGGCTTTGAACGCCGGGTTGTCCTCTTCCATGCCAATGAAGTGGGCAGGCATGACACCATGCCACACCGAGGCAACCAGCGGGCCCCGGCACAAGTCCTTGCCGTGTCGAAGGAGGAGGTCATGAACTTCTCGATAGTCGCCGAGCGCCACGGCAGCCTTCTGCGTGGGGCCCATGAAGTACTGGGAGACGGCAGTACCGTACTTGTCAAACTGCTCAGGCCAGAACATGCGGGCCGCGAGCCCTTGATCCTTCATGGCTTGGAGGTAGGGGACATCGCCCAGGATACGCTTCGCGGACTCCTCGTCAAAGGGAATGCCTGGGAGCGGTTTTGGAAGGGCCTGGCGGTACAACAAGTAGAGAGACAGAGCCACGCCTCCGGCAGCAAGTAGACTCTTGCCAGGCAGGGTGTCGATGCCTGCCAGGAGGGCATCTGCGGGACTGAGATCCTTGGCCATGGTGTCGTCCTGGTGATTCCCTGAAGAGCCAGATTAGTCTGTGGCTCTGGTGGTCGGCTACGAGGGCATTTGGGCGGAGTGCCGTGCCACTTACACAAAAGCGGAGGAGCAGGAATGTCTTTTATATGTGAGCTCAATCACATAAGCATAACGTACGTACGTACTTGTCCACTCCACTGCGGCGGCTGCGCGGTTGAGAGCCGGTCAATCTGGGCCAGGGCATAGGCTGGCGTCTCGGAGCATCCATCCGGATAGGGGAGGTGAGTCTAACCATGACCATGCACTCTGTACGTAGGGTACACAGAATGGCGCTGATCTGGTCAGCTTGGTGCAAAGGGCTTCTTCCCGGCATGTGGGTGGCCGGCAGAGGATCCCTGGTGCCAGCGACAGCTCCGCTCAGACCCCCTCAAAAGGGCTAAAGAGCGAGAAACGACAGGCACGGGGCCGCGCCGCCGAGGGTTCCCTGGGTCCCGTTTCAAGACGGGCCGCTGGAGAGCTGGGGTGGTGCCTGGCGGAGCAACCCATAGTCCGTGGAGCGACACCTCTGGCAGGTCTTGACATGTCGCCTCTGACCGTTCGATGTGCCCTTGTCTGTAACGCGGGCTGCTTGTCCGTCCGAGCGGATGGATGGCGGACGACACTGCGAGGCACGCCGGCATGGCGTCTCTGTGTAGGTGGGTGACCCGGAGGGTGGCTCGGGAGTTTGCACGGCGCTGGGCCCTCGCCAGATCCATGCAAGTGCGGGATGGTGTGGATCGCCCTCGCTTGCAAAGCGTCCGTCTTCCGCCAGAGACTGCACGCGCCCACGACGAGGAGGCCTGGCAGCTTCAACGAGGTGTTGGTGCATGGTCGACGAGAGAGCCCAGTCTGTCGTGTTCAAGCAAGTAGCCTGTGAAAAGCCATCGCAGCCGGCTCGGGTCAACCTTTGGTCGGTGCTGGCGTATGTGGGCGTGAAGGAGGTGGGCTTCGCTGTGTGGTTGGACTGGCCGTTCAAGATGCACATCGTATCTTGGCTACCCTCTCAGTGCCAGAAGGCCGCGGTCCTTACCCCAAGTCGAGACTAGGCAAACGCCCTTCTCGAAACACAAACCCCGGAGATTGTGCCTTTGACGCACCACCAGTACTTCGATCTGAAGTGTGTTCGTGGCGAGGGCCTGCGTACTTCCCATAGCCTACGTCCCGGAGACTTTTCTCGGCCCTCATCAGGAGATAGTGTACAACGAGGTACCCGAATACCCTGTACTATCCTGTTTAAGTCCTCATCATCTCCGGCGTGCCTACAAGGTTCTTCTTCTTCCCCCACAGACCGCCTGGTTTCTTTAGCGAGGTGACAAACCCCGGGGCCCTCGAAGGCTCAGCATAGCACAGACAGACGACGCGTGACTTGGTTGGGGACGCTGACCAAACACAGTACAGGCCGCCCCAAAGCATTCTCGCAGAAACTTGCCATGCCCGTAGATTCCAGTGCATCATGCATCGGAGTGCACACTTGCCGCGCAGTCAAGTGCTTATCTCGCTGATGCCCGTATCGAGTGCCGACCCCCTGCATTCCAACGTGAGCCTGGCCGAGCATGCCAGCATTGTGCAATCCCAACTGCCGGCGTCATCCCACAAGTTCAGTGGAGGACGGGCAGTGTGCGAGGCAACGCAACCCAAGTGGACGCAATTTTCCGGGTTGTGATGTTCCTCGGCGGTATCGTCTGCAAGTCCCCATCGCTATCTCCGCTATCCTCGCTCCATCAGCACACCCCAGGCTGGCCAAGATCTGTCACGAGCCTGGCAACACAGTCTTGGGCCGGATACGATGCGACGTATTCCGAACGTCCAATGGTCGTCATTGGCTCTCCAGCGGTTGTGCTGGCACCACCTTGTTTCGGCGCAATCCCCCGCAGTCAGCCCTAAGTCGAAAAGCTCCATGGACAGATGGGTAATCACTCCATCCTGGATCTCATTGGCCGCTTGACCCATACCCGAGCGTCTTATTGACCTCAATGTAAGACGGCATAGCCTACGTAATCGAAGAGTGGCGTGGTGAAACACCAAGAGCCCTGGCACGAAGAAAGTCCAAAATCCCAATCATCAGCACTACTAATTAACACCCTGACCTCAGCGCTACGTATAATGCAGCCACAAGCCGGTAGGACTCGGACAACTAACCGCCAAGTGGAGAAAGAGATGCCTAGTCACCTTCTTACTCAAATCCAGGTCAGCGAAACCTGTCCAGGCAGTCCACACGTTATGCTGCCGACGCGAATCGACCGGAGGAAGAGTAACCGATGCTCCGGCTCATGCCAGTAGTGCCAAGTGATCACTCGTGGGTTATGTCCGGCCCCACTCGGGGTCGGCACAACCATTTCGAGACGACCATACGCAGTACGGCGCGCCTTGGCTGCGTAGGACGCCTGCTAGTCGCTACAACAATGCCTGCAATGCGAGTGCGGATCATCATCTGTCGCGTGCTAATAGCCCGTGACCGATGGACATGGACGCACAACTTTGGCAGTTGCCTGACAACCATGGGCACGACGGCATACGGTGAAGAAGGGGGTATCATTTCTTTCTTGTCTCCCAAATCAAAAACTCCCACCACATCAAGTCGTTATGTGTATATATAAAGCTGTCCCTTACTTCTGGCCATGTCACATTGGCCTTTGTGATCGTCTCGCTTGTCCCCCCCGGCGGCTAGGGGACACGCTTATCTCCCATGCGGACGCGAGTTCGAGCGCGGCAACTGAGGTCGTGTGTCAACGTGACAAGGATCTACATCCATAGCCTAACGAAAGCTGGAGCAGTGGTCGAGACGGATCGAGTTCCTCTTCATCACACGGGAGGGGTGTCGTGGCTGACGACGAGGAGATACTTTGCTTCTGGCACAATCACCAGTTCCTGCTTCTTCATCCGCAGCCGCAGCAGTTTGAGCTCGTCCTGGTTTGGCAACATCCGAGAGTCAGCACTTCCCTTGCATCACATCGGTACGGCCATTTTGGCCAATGGAGCAAAATGCAAGGCCTGCAGGTGTGGGTGTCGCAGGATGCCTCCCCTTCTGGCTGGCTTGTAACGCACATCTGAATCCATGTCATCCACCAGAGCTCCTGCTGAAGTGATGAAGTTCCACACCAGGCTCGCCAGCTCCTGGGCGGCCTGCGCCTCGCTTTCGCTTTCCGAGGGGACGACGTCGGCTGAGAACGAGCCTGAAGACGGGATCTGGAGCGGGTTCGCACTGCTGTTCTGGCTGCCTGTTGTCTTTCTGGCGGGTCTTATGCTAGAAATGTGCCCGTTCGTCTTGAGCACGGCGCCAGTCGTCCGGTCAAGCATGAGCCATGCCTTGACGCCGGGTTTCCTGGACAGGCGGTGCAGCGCCTCGTCGATTGAGTCGGAGTTGGAGGTTGGCTGAGACAGAGGAGAGAGGGCATGTCAGCAGCTTTCAGACACTGTATGGCGGGCTTTGTGAGTGATGCCTTACCAGACTCTTGTCGGCCATGTTGGGTTTGTGGCGACAGCTTGTCGCAATGGTGCTCAATGCTGTGATAGAGAGATTGTTTACTTTCAAGCTCCTCGAGCTTCACAGCAACCGACGATGGTGGGTGGCCTGGCGGCAGGGGTCCACTTCTGTAGTCTCCACTGGTGGGGTATCAGAAGCTGGCGACGCCGCTCGCTGGTGCCAGGGTTCTGCCAGGTCCCACCGCCAAAAAGTCGAGGATGGTAGCGCGCCGATGACTGCCCATGATTGTGCTGGATGCTCGACTTGCCCTGCTCGTGTGCTCGGTTCTTGATACTGCATCGCCACACCTGATGCCGCCGCAGCGATGGGGTCCAGCGCCAGGAAGAAGAAGGAGAAGCAGAAGGACTTCCAGAAGCCCAAGCTAAAGGTGGGCAAGGCGAAGCCCAAGGCCAACAACTTTACCGACACGAGCTTCAAGTCGAAAGCGATCGTTCTGCAACAGCAGCTCACCGATAACGCCCCGACGGTAGTCGAGAGGTTCAAGCACAACTTCTCCCTTGTCGGCTCGCGCTCAGACACACACCGGCGAGATGCGCTCGCATATTTGACCAGTCAACTCTCCACGAACCCTCCCACGAATCCCGTGGGCACCTCGGCACTTCTACACAAAGTCCTGCCCATCATGTCCGATTCGTCAAAGTCGGTCAGAGCCAACTTGCTCAAGTTATTGCAATGCCTGCCGGCAGATCAGGTTCGGCCGCACGTGGAGAGGATAATTCTGTATATCCGCGGTGCCATGACAAACATCTCGCAGGAGGTCAAGGACGATGGCCTGAGCTACATGGAGTGGCTTCTCGATACGGCAGGCGACGATGTTGTGGCCAGCGCAGGATGCTGGGTCAAGCCTCTTAACGACTTCATTGCCGTGCTGGGATGGAGCATACGGCCTCCGCCCAGCACAGGTCCCAAGTCCGGCTGGACGCAAGCGCCTCGGACCACATTCGGCGCCAAGAAGCACGGAGAGTCGTTCCCGAGACAGATGATGGTGCTGGCCAAATTCCTCGAGGTGGGGTTCCGCGCAGAGAGCTCGCCACCGTGGACACCCCGGGACTGGCTGAACGGCCTGAGCGTCGTGCCGCGCCATCCCGATCCTTACGGATACATTGGGCTGTTCAAACCGGCCAGAGATGAGGACAGCGAGATGTACAAGACCAAGCAAGACCGGTTAGAAGTCTTCAATAAGAAGTTTCGAGAGGCCATCGAGGTGGGTGTTGACTTAGGCAGGAAAGAAGGAGGCACTGCAGGTCGAGCTGCCGCGACGCTCGCGGCGACCCTGCTCAAAGGAGCTGGCAGCGGCAATACTGCATCACGATTTGACGACGACGACGAACAACACCTTTGGGCTGGGTATATTATGTAGGGTGTAGTCTGGGGGAGAGCAAACGAACCTGCTTTTTGTTGTCGTTGCAGTCAACGGCCAAGAGATACCAATATCATTATTTAGCGTTCGCAAACTTCGAGAGTATCACAGCAGCGGACTGCACCCCAAAGTTCTGGAGCACCTGAGCGGACTTGTCGACACTGACGATTGGTCGAGGATTGATTTGACACATACAGAAGCTGGACGCGAAAGTCATCCTGCAGCACAATCACCCATCTCAGCAGCGTTTTCTGCGGTTGCCAAGCGGGATGACTTGTTGAGCAGTCTTTGGCACCTTGTCTCTATGCATCGAGTCCTGTTCCCGAGCCACAGCACACGTTTGCGTTCTGCCTTCCTCACTTGGCTGTATGTTTGGGCAGAGATTTGAGAACGCCATCCGATTCTAAGTCGCGGTCTCCTTCTTGCAACATCAGGACCTACAGAAGCCCTGCTGCCTCACAGATACCTGGCAAACTGAGCTGCTCCTAAACAGAAGCAGCCCTGTTCTGGAGGACAGACGCGAAGCGAATCAAGCGTTTTGTGCACAGAGACGAACTGCCTGCCCGCGCATGCTGCACATCTCTAGGGCAACCACCACCACCATCACCTCAGGCAGTCACTCTTTCCTCGACTCGCATAAAGCCCTCCTTCCTCTTGCAACGGCTTCAACCACTTCCACCTTCCTTCTGCCAACGCAGAGAGACAACGTCTTCTCGATCATCGACCGTCGACTATTGAGCATCCTCGCCTAGGCGTTTCAGCAGCAAGCTGTCAAGCAGCCTCGCGTTAGTCGCCCTACCTGTCGCTCATATCCCCTTGCGGCGACGTCACCACCTCGTTGTCCCATCACGATTCACTCACTCGGCTAGCGGCAGACTTTTTCGCCCGAGGCAAAGCTCAAACCCCTTCCTCTTCTCAGAACATCCGTTGACCCTCTCCTTTCAGGACGCCCACCAAGGTACAAGAGTTGCCTCACTCCTGCGACCAACTTCACGTCATTATTGAGGTCTTCTCTGTCCTCCGCCAACAACTCGCTCAGCCATGTCTACCAACGGACAGACCAACGGTCATGATGCCACTTCTGGCCCTCCTGCCACTGTCGGCGAATGGGCCCCCAAAACCGACTTCAACTACGAGGTCACCGACGATGGCGTCCACTGGGAGCACAACGCCCGTGTCTACGAATGGGATGGCGATGAGGGTGAGGTTGGCCCAGAGCACCCCGAGTTGGAGGCAGCCTTATTCGGCCCACCCGAAGAACGCGGCGGCCATGGCATCAACTTCGCTGCGTAAGCTTATTCTCACGATAACATCACGATAAACTCACAACACTATGCTGATCTCCATACCACAGGATCGCCGAGATCAAAGTAGAGCAAGTTGGTGTCACCAAGGTCGATCCTGTTCGAAGCTTCGACACCGCAGGTTTGCACCCCGCCATGTTGAAGAACGTGCAATTGGCCGGATACCGCGTGCCAACTCCGATCCAAATGTGGTGCATTCCTGCTATCCTGCAGGGCCACGATCTCATTGCCATCGCACAGACTGGTATGTCAACAGTCCGGATTAACCCTCGAACGATTATTTGTGAGACAGCTGAGCTGATAATGGAGAACCAGGCTCGGGAAAGACCGCCGCCTATCTCATTCCTATCCTCAGTCGCCTGATGGGAAAAGCCAAGCAGCTTGCTGCCCCCCGCCCAACGGCGCAGGACTTCCGCGAAGGCAGTGCCAGACCTGTGACTGCTGAGCCCCTTGTGGTCATTGTCTGCCCTGCCCGAGAGCTTGCGGTGCAGATCTTCAACGAGGCAAGGAAGTTCTGCTATCGCAGCATGCTCCGACCTTGCGTCGTCTATGGTGGCGGCCCACTGCGCGATCAGATCGCCCAGCTGCAGAGAGGCTGCGATGTTCTTATTGCATCGCCTGGCAGATTGGTCGATTTCATGGAGCGGCCTGGCGTCCTGTCTCTCCGTCGGGTCAAATACATGGTCATTGACGAAGCCGACGAGATGTTGGACGACGGCTGGAGAGATGGCTTTACCAAGATCATGTCAGGTGGCGGTAAGTGACTCTTGCAACCACAATGGGAACGACTGCTGACATCCTGCAGAGCAAGATGAGGGCGACGTCAAGTACATGATGTTCTCTGCCACCTTCCCTGCTGCTGCTCGCCAGCTTGCGAAGGAGTACCTCACCGACAACCACGTCCGCCTCCAAGTCGGTCGCATTGGTTCTACGCACTCCAACATCAAGCAGGATGTCATCTTCGTTGCTCGGGAACTCAAGCAAGACGCCGTCTTCGATATGCTCACCACCATGCCACCTCAGAGGACTATCATCTTCGTCAACAGTAAGCACGCAGCTGATCAGCTGGATGACTTTCTGTTCAACAAGAATTTGCCATGCACCTCGATGCACGGCGACCGCACGCAGCGAGAGCGCGAAGATGCGATGCGCAGTTTCCGTGCCGGAACTACCCCTATCCTGATCACCACCGGCGTCACTGCTCGTGGCATTGACGTGCGCAACGTGATGCATGTCATCAACTATGATCTTCCCAGCATGGAACATGGAGGCATTCAGGAGTACATCCACCGTATTGGTATGTGCATACCCTTGACATTCAACGTGCATTCACAATCCTTGATCGCTAACGCGCCCATTTACAGGTCGCACAGGTCGTATTGGCTATGAGGGTCGTGCAACTTCATTCTACAACGAGCGTGATGAAGGTATTGCACCACTCCTGACCATGACACTTCTTGAGACCAAACAGGAGGTACCAGATTTCCTCTCTGGCTTCGTCCCTGAAGGCGGTGCTCAGGCACCGCTGGTCTTTGATGACGACAGCGACGACGAAGGCAATGCTAACGGTACCTCCAATGATGCATCTGCTTCGGGTTGGGGTACAGATGCTCCTCAAGGTGGCCACCAGCCTATCAGCGAAGCTTGGTGATCTCGCCGTAGGAGAGCGCGTCTTATGAGTCTTTCAAGGGCGTCATGGGATCTCCATGGAAATTGCGCGATGGAGATGACGAATGTGATTCCACAGAAGGTGACGAGGGCCAATACCGCCAGGTCAATAAACCATAAAGCAATGTACCTGCAGGCTGTGGAGGGATAGACAGGACGACTCTCATGGCCTGGATAATACAAAGTCATTGACTTTAGTTAGATTATTCAGAACACGGATTCCCGCGATATAAGACTTGTTCAATCACATCGCTTTGATGTGACGATAGACTTATATGGTTGATAGCCAAGGTAAGATGGTCTCGGTGATAAACTTTCGTGTAAAATCATCAAATGTTGTTCGAGCTCATGCGTGCCTGGAAGCGGCATTGTGGAGACTCACGAGTGAGTCAAAACCATCCTTTTCTCTGCTTTTGAACGATCGTTCTGCCAAGGCTCGAGGATGGCTTCAACTTGGGTATCCTCAGCAGGAGCTGCTTTTGAGGTCGTTGGCTCTGCCGAGCCCTAGCCATATATTTGACAGCGATAAGCACTTCTCGACTCTGTAAACCCTCTTCAGCTCCTCTGTCGCCTTGTCCACGGGGTCCTAGTGTCACCCACTGCTGAGAAGACCTGCATTCATGTTTTATTTAGCCACTGGGCTAACATGCTTACCCAAAAGTTCACCCCTGGCATGTCAGGGCATTGATTGTACTGGCGACCGCGGAAGGTTGTGCGAAAGTCATGTTGTTATGGGCTGTGATTAGGACCAGGGGCTGTCTCTGTGAGGAAGCCAAACACACCCTCTCTCTCTGGGTGTGGGCACTGCGAGCAGCAAGTAGCACTCCTCTCCCTCTGTCTCTCTCTCTCTCTCTCTTGCCGCCGTTGCGCGGGAAGAAGAAGAAAGCCTTTTTCACAAAAGAGCACATGGAGCAAGCAAAGCACGAAGCCGAGGGGCGGGCACCCCAGGACACGTGGGAGAAATTTGATCTCGGGAAAAACTACCCTCAGGAAGCTAGAAGGAAACCCCAAGCCGAAGCACTCATTTAATCAGTGGTTCATGGATAAGTCAGTGGTTCATGGATAAGATCAACTGCTCTGACGAGGCATTGTTCTGCTTCTCAAACCGAGGCACGACAATTGTAGGCGGGATGCCCTCTCGTTCAAGACAAAACCTCGAGGCACGCGATTCAACAAATACTCTTTCGTTGCTTTTGAAGGTGATTTTACGATTTTGTGGTGGGGTGGCGCCATACCGCCGCCGCCGGCATGACACTGATGTCGATTGGCCAGAGCGGTTGGCTTTCTACATGTAGATGATACGCATCTCGCTTTTTCCAAGGCCAGGACTAATATCACAGCTGCTGGACAAGTTTGGCCCAAACCTCGCTTTTCCACTACAACCTTGGAAGGGCTTGCCATGGCTGTCAACGAGCTGCGCGCGTGATGGAGCTCTCGATCAGCACGCCCCCGTCCTCCATATCCTCGGTCCTGATCTCGACCTCCTCAAAGGGCAGCAGCGGCGTGCCGGCCGGCATGACGTGGTGCCGGTGCCAGGGCCCGACAAACATGCCGTCCGGGTCGACGCTCTCGCGGACCTTGCGCCACGTCTCGAGGTCTTCCCCGTACATCTGCTCAATCTCGGCGCTGTTCGAGTCAAAGTTCTTGGCCCAGTGCGGACGCCCGCCCATCTCGCGCATCAGCCACTCAAAGGCCTCGTAGTAGCGCGCCCGGCACGGCGGGTCGGTGTGGTAGGGCCGGTAGAGCGTCGCGTTGAGGTACAGCGTCGGCCCGTCCTCGCAGGTCGGGTCGAGGAGGGGCCGGCTGTTGGGCGCAATGTCCTTGGGATTGGAGGGCGAGGTGTTGGACACGCGGACTTCGACGGGCGCGTGCACGTAGAGGCCCTTGGCAGAGAAGGGGATGCCGTGCGGCACATAGTCCGGGTCCTTGGGTGTGAGGTGGTTCAGCCAGCTGCTCATGCGCCGGATGAACTCGGGGCCCTTTGCGAGGGGAATGGCCCACTCGTTGACAAACTGCGAGTAGAGGCAGTTCATGAGCAGGGCCTTGGTGCCCTGCTGGACGGCCTGCGACTTGGTGCCGTTGCGGAAGCCGTACTGCATGCCAAAGACGAACCACTCGACCCACGGCAGCACCCGCGGGAACCAGTGGCCAAGGTAGAGGAGGTTGTGGTAAACGTAGTAGCCCAGCTGGCGGTCGTAGTACGAGACGGGCGGGTCGTGGCGCGGCTCGTCCGTCTTGGAGGCCGACCAGGTGACAGCCCGGCGGGTATAGGGGAACCACCAGACCCGGACAAACTCTGCGTGCGTCCACAGGTCCTTGTCCCAGCGGTTGAACATGCTCAGGTCCGTGTCGACAACCTGCTGCCACCGCAGGGTATACGCCGGCACGGCGCGGAAGGTGACCTCGGTGATGATGCCGACGGCACCCAGGGACAGCAGGGCAGCCCGGAACAGCTCTGGGTCGTCCTCGGAGGAGCAGTACCGGGTGGTGCCGTTGGCCATGGTGACGCGCAGAGCGAGGATGTCCTCAGACACGAGGCCGTGGCGCAGGCTCGAGCCGTGGGTGCCGGTGGAGATGACGCCGGCGATGGACTGCTCGTTGATACTGCCGAGGTTGGGCATGGCGAGGCCCTGCTTGTCGAGCTCCTCGCACAGCTGGAAGAGGCGGATGCCCGACTGCATGATGACGACGTTGGTCTCCTTGTCGAGGGACAGGATGCGGTTGTAGCGGTCAAGGTTGACGAGCCAGGACGAGGTGCAGGTGAGCGAGCTCGGCGAGTGGCCGCTGCCCGTGGTGGTCACACGCCGGCGGCACTTGGCCGCGAGCCTCGTAACCTTCTCAATCTCGTCGAGCGACTCGGGCTGGATGTAGAGCTCCGGCCGTGAGGCAAACGTCTTGGCCCAGGTCCGGTGCAGGTGGTCCGGCTTCACCCGGAACGGCACATCGGGCTGCGGATCGCCGGCGACGGCGGCCGCCACGGTGGGATGCAACATACCGGCGGCGAGGACTGCTGAAGGGCGACACCGCGGGGTTGCCCGTGTAGTTGCGTGCTCGCAGCTGTCCAGAGAAAGATTGAGGGGAGAGAATGGCGTGGGCGAACCGGAAAGACAACCACACACATGCGGATCCTGATAACGCATTCGACGGGCCCGGCTCAGAATGGCATTTGCGTGCTTTCGGCAGGTGGGGCACCAGGAACAGCACGCACACCGCGCCGCTTATGTAATGCAGCGACAACGCATCAGAGCCTGAGTGGGCACTCTCTGCGTGCTAATCAGGCCTGTCATTGTAGTTGAGAGGGCACATCTGCAGATCTACTCTGCACGTACCAGCCAGCCTGGCAGTCGCTATAAGTGCACCGAGCACCATTGCAGTGCACAGGCTGGCTCTGTGTGCCGTCCTGTGCCGCCAGAACAGTCATGACGACTTAGACAAAGGCCCTCTGTCAAAAGCCAATTACAACCGAGCCCACTATTTGAATCGGCCACTACTGTGGGCTGCGGAAACTCCCGTGAGCTTCAGGCACTCTGGCAGACTGCCAACTCCACAGGGCCGTCGATCAGTAAGGCAGCTTGATGTTAGCCATTTCGCCTTGCAAGCCACCATCACTTCCGCTGTTGTACGGCAGATCAGGCCACGTGCCCGCACGGCGCCACAGAGGTCGACGCCAGATCAGACGCTCGATTCTTCGCCGAAAGACAACAACATATTTCACCGTCCTTGCCCACATCACCAGCCGCTGAGATCCTGGTTGGTCCAACACCCTCCGAGCTTGCGCGCACCCTAGCCAGCGAATCAGGGACCGTGTCTACGCAGCCTCGGCGGCAATCGAAGCATATTCGGGTATTTGACCCGGCCACTGACTGACGAGAGATTGTTGTTTAGCTGCAGTCAGCACGCAAAGTCCCCCACGATCACCACCTCGTGCACAGGTCATTGACGTAGGGCTCAGTATGTGCGGCGTGCATATTCTCCTAGGTAATCTTCGAGCTCCAAACTTGGGTATCATTAAAGATCAACAGAAAAGGCAAGCCGGGCCAAGGTAGCCAGTGCCGGGCAGCGAGTACCCGTGTCCCCCGCGTCCGAGACAAATTCGTGAAAGCAACGCCACCAATCAATAACATCCAGGCGCCGAGGTAGGTTGCAGAAAAAAGATAATACAAGTACTGGGTCGTCAAATGTCGTAACCAAGGAAATAAGTGATAGGACAGTCCATGCCAATCATCCAATCGTGGCAGCCAAAAGTCCATATCCGATACAAGCAGCCGCGAGGCTATTTTCGTCTTATGCCAGCCGTGAGGCTCCGTTCTTGTTGTGACTTTTCTTATCGGTTTTTCCCCGCTCCTGTGTTCATCTCGCTTCTCTTTTGCTCAACGTTGCTTTTCGTTTTTGATGCAATTGGTGAATCATGGCTCCGAGATCGTGATGTGGTCATCAAATGAGGTAGTGCCGCAGCGGAATGCAGCAGGAAACGCTCGTACACGTATGAAGAACCTTTGGCGATGAAACAACAGGCACGACATCCCGTTTCCGTAGGATTTGCCCTACCCTGCGATCGCACTGTCCGTGCCTTCCACCAGTGCTGCACACTATAGGACTAAAAAAAAATAGGTGTAAGATGTGAAACTTTGGTCGTATGGTTCCTTGTCAAGCTGACACGTGCACACATGGTGTGATGGTACCTAGTGATGGCGATGGCGGTGGCCAGAGGAGCCCCCTTCATGCCGGCTCGAGTGCCCGTGGCGATGTGAGTGAGAATGGCTGTGGTGTTCTCGTTCCCGGCGGGACGAGGTCTGTTCAAGATCCCGCTCCAAGCCTTCGACCCGGCGTCGCTGGCCCTTAACAATGTCTTTGATATGTGCGATACGGTCGAAGTCGACCTCGAGTTCGTCCATCTCAGCCATGATGTTCTGAAATCGCGCAATCTCGGCATCGGCGTTGTCAATGAGGTTTCCTGCGCGATCGTATTGCTGGAGAGTGACGATGGAGCTCTGCTCACTGAGGTACTCGATCCGCTGTTGGATTTGCTGCATCAATCGGTCGAGATGCCGTGAGAGTGCCGCAAGGCTTGAGCTGTCAAGGAGGAGCAGCCCTTGGGAGGATGCGCGGCTGGCGGCACGCGAGGACGACGAGTTGGCCTGTGCCTGGTGGAAGCGGAGCAGCTGCACCTCGTCGTCCGTCAAGCCCAACTGCGTATCGGGAACCGCGTTCGCCTCCGTTGACGGCATGCCTATGGCGCGCGGCGCGCGGCTCGCTCAGTTCGACTGGCAGGGCGTGCTACGCTCTATAGGAGCACTGCCAAAGGCGGGGTGCTGTATCGATTCGATCGCTCGTGGATAGCCCAGAAGCGGGTGGTGGCGAGGCCAGGAGAGGCGGCAATGGTGGACAGGCGGGTGGAGGGTATACGCGATGCTGTTTGTCCAAGCATCGGGTATGACGGCGCGCGCGGCCTCATTGTCTCGGGACGGCGGCGGCAGATGGGATCATTGTCTCTGAGGATCCAAAGCCTCGCGAACAGACAGCCGAGAAGAGCGCGTCGTGGGCTCGGCAGCAGTGGCTGGGGATCTGCCGTAGGGACAGCGGCGGGCTTGCAGCACGGATAAGCACGGGAGACAAGGTGTTGCTGTCGGAGAAACGCGAGCGGGAGGGCGCTGGGAGGCGGCGGCGGGTTTGCGAGATGCTGAGGCTGCTGCAAGTCACAATCGTCACGGAGAGCCCGTCCAGGGTTCCTGGCTCCCTCAGACGTCAGGGTGCAATGGCATCCACTCCTCTGCGCCGGGACTGGGATTGCTTGGGTTCGGGTGGGAAGAGGTTCTGGCGACGCGGGCTGAGGAGAAGCTGGAGCCGGCACGGCCCTGACCTGACCTGACCTGAGGCAAGAGCGAGTCGCAGCGCCCACACACCACCCACGGCGGTACCTTCCCCATCAATCAGTTGCGTTGCCGCCCACCTCGCCCGGCACGGTTCCATCTTCACACCCACCACATGCTACCCGCCGGGCAGCTCTCTCGCCCAAGCAACAACTCGGCCTTTTCTGCTCCTCTTTGTGTTACCCTCTTGTGCCTGCCCAGCAGCGAGCAGTGGCAGGCACGTGCGAGCCATTTCATGGCCCCGTCCTGCGACTTAAGCACAGCCACCTTGTCCACCTCCCGTCCCACGCAATAGAGCACAGCTCTGTGACGACCTCGACCAGCACAGCGCACGAGATATGCTTGTCCGGACCTCCTTCACAGCCAAAGTGACCCGGCAGCCCTAGACGTGCTCGTGGGGGCGTGGGCGGGCTCGCGCAATTGGGCGCCATCACGCCGGATAATGCTGCAACTGAGACAATCTGCGTGCTTGTGCTTCGTGCCGAGGGGATGTTCCCATGCAAGCAGGCGCCGCACCCAACAGTGTCACGTCTGGCAGGATGTCCGGTCCATGCTCCGGGGTCCTTATGCATGCCTCTACCCAGGCCACTGGGTAGGATGGAGCACACCAGACCAGGGTTCAAGCCCGCCCAGCCCCAGCAAACATTCATGGTCACGAGGCTCGCGATTTTCCAGAATGGCCATGGAAGCCCCGGCCGGCTCGCTGCAAACCATTCATTGCCCAGCGGCTCTCAAGCGGAAAGCGACCAGGGGCCTGTGGTTGAAAAAAGGTCTTTTGCCCTAACGACTTGGCTGGAAGCTGACGAAGGTACTGCTGCAGCCCGGTATAGTTACAGGTAGTGATCATCCGCTAACTGCTTGCCCTGGAGTATGCGGGTGCTTGTTCGAAGTGGGTCAGGATGGACAATGACACATTGTTCGAGCTATGCCAATGCTATTGTCTCACGATCTGTCTGATGCACCAGCAGTGGTGAGGCATTCCGTCCCGATCAGACAAATTTGGATCTGGAAAGTACCATCCTGTCTGGAGCAGCCGCAGATAGGTCAGCCAGGCACCGACCACTCTGAGCGACCACCAAGCCCAAGACCTTCAGACGCCTGTATGCTCGGCGGCAAATTGCCCGGCCCTCAGCTGGTGTTCAATGCTGCTGGCCCGATCCGCTCGATGAGATGATTCCGCTGCCAAAGCTAGCCGGGCTTTGGCACAGACCACTGTGACTGTCTTTGAGGTGGTACTCTGCGACGTTCCTGCCAACAAACAAAAAAGAGGTCATGCACGGCGGACGTCGTCTCGTAAACTCCCGAGACAGCTTGTTTCACCAACGCACGGCCGAACTCTATGTGCTTGGAGAAGCAGCCGCCCTGTGGTGAGACTGGCGTAGCAGTTGATCTTTCAGCTGCGCAGCACCACAACTCTGGAGCCCATTCTTCCAAAGCCTTCGAGGCTGCAAGAGAATATTGGGCTGAGACTGTCATACACCACATGCCTTATTGTGCCTGAGCAGCGTTCCACAGACGTCAGGCGGTTCGTGAGTGAGTCCTGTTCAACCAGCATTAGATGAAGGAGCTCAAGATTCTGCGTGGGGATCGGAAAGTCCCATTATTGATTGCAGACGCTGCTCCTAAACCAGAGTCCGCATGAAGATCGCTACGTGTCAACATTACTTGCATCAACCCGCTCTCGCTGCTTGGAAGGTTTGGTCCAGCCACTGCCTCTTGGTCGGGGTTTTCGGGGTGCAGCGTGAAGCAAAATCTGCAGACAGCGTGTGTCGTAATGTGGTCTCGCCCGCCGCAGACTCTGTCAACCAACTTCATCATGAGCCATGCCATGATTGAACATTATCTCAGTACATATCACTGGGGCACGAAGCTTCATGCGCAGGGCTCTGGCAGGTTCAGGACCAGGATAGTTAACATAGCAAAGGTGGCTGACACGTACAACTCAGTTGTATGTCAGTTTATGAGTTGCCCGCCGGCTAAACCGGATGAGAACAGCGCCAGTGGTCCGAGTCGGTGCCGTGCTTCGTGCTCAGTCCAACGTTCACCGCGGGTGCTCAGTTGGTCGCTGTGTTGCAACAATGGAGATTCCTTCTAGTGTGTCAAACAAGTTTGCAATACTTGCAGAGCGAAGAAGGTTCTCGTGCTGACGAAGCTCTGCAGAATAAGATTAAAACACGGTATGGTCTTCGAACAGAAGCATTAGGAGCCTTGCTTGGCAGTTGGGATGAGTCAATAAGCTAAACACAAGAAATGTCGTTCAGTCACGAGCGCTAAATGTTCGCCTCTCAAGTCGTTTTGTTTATCGCTTGTCATGTTCGCTCCGTGGCTCAATCTGGGACGTCCAGTAATTCGGCGAAGATATTCTCGTACGAGGAGCACACGAGGCTCTGGTCATTATTCCACAATTTATCCTCCAGAGCACGCGTCAGGTGCCAAAAGCCATGCACGCCCACCACAAGGGTGAAGCTGATGGATACAGAGCCAACTTCTCAAGAACTGCATTGCGGTGACTTGCACTCCGCCATATGGCATATGAGCTGGATATCCAGTAAACCATCTCAGGTCAATGCTACTTCTGCTATCCAAAGAGATCTGACTAGACACTCCGCATCTTTGGTGAATGACGCAAGTTCGATTGAATAGGTAGCCATTGTCTTGGAATAGGAGAAATGAACTAATCACGACGCAGTTGACGGATCTCGTGCTTCCACAGTTGCCACTGTAAACTGGCATGTGTAGTAATGATCACAGCATGGCGAAAATGTCTCTACCAATAGCTACAGCTACGCATATCCTTAGCATTAACGGCGATCATCAAATACGCAGAATTGACGCGTCTGCACTCTTCAGCAGTCGCACGAGCCTCTAATATCGGAACAGCTTGTTCAGACGGCCTACTGTCATTAACTTGGCTAAGTCAGTGGGATGCCACAGACCAAGGCAAGACAGCCATCGCTGCAATTTCAGCTAAATGCCTCGCGAGTGAGCGCACTCGGCCTCGAAGCCCACGATTCGACTCTCGATCCAAACCGTCAGCATTCGCCCTTCTTACCGCGAGACCTTATCCGCAGCTTGCAGCATATATCTCAATCCCGGTCCTAGAATAGGCGATGAAGTCAAAGCGTGTCTCGCACTCGAACGTTTGGGGCCGTCACATCACCAGACAGGTGTCATGCAATCCCTTCTCAAGACCCCGTTTACACGGCGTACTTGTCGCAGGATTGAAGACTCCTCCGGCTGTAGCTTATTAGTTACTCGACAAAAAGAAGACCCTGTCTCTTCCGAACCCTTCACTACCACCACCTTGGACGACCTCGCCCCCGATCATGGCCCGCCATCATCTGCGCCCGCTCCCACAATGCAGTTTCCCCATCCACGAAAGTAGTCCATCGGGGAAGTTCACGCCTGTATCCCAAACTTTAGGCATATCCAGTACAATAGAAGACACTCAATACCGACGTGGCAATGTACAAGGCAATCAGCGTGAGCCTGGCTTTCAGACTGGCCGAACGCCACCCCGCTGATGCCGGCCAAGACGGTCAAACACTACCAGGGAAAATGTTCCTCGCTGCTCGACGACGACCTTTTCTAGGCGGTGTTTGTCAGAAGTCCCCAAGACGGTAGATGAAGTATTGTATTTCCGTGTTGCTACGACATCTAATGGCTAAAAGTAAGAAACGTTGCTTGAGTATATCACACGCCGCACAAAAGAAGTGATTTCCTGTGGCGGATTACTGCTTCCAATTTCTCGATCGTCCGCCTGCTGGACACATCCCGACCCTATGAAAAGATCAGGGTTTAGGGAACACAAAGACTACGGCGAGATGAGAAGCATTTACGCCTGCATCTATATTTTTAAGCCAACAAGCCAGCCAGCGAGAAGTCATGAGGCACGCAAAGCAAAAAGCTCAGGGACATGGCAGAGAGACACGGGGTTGCCACCGAATCAGGAACATCGGGATCAACATCCCAAAGGCTCGTTCGCCTGCACGGCCTGTTAGCATCGGTCAGGAACAGCTTCTCCGCCATCCTCGACATTCATCAGCAACAATTATTCTTCTGTATGACACGGGTATATCCGAAGGCGAACGCAATCCCCGCTCCCCGTTGTCCTCGGCTGAACACGACACTGAACGGCCGCCGTCTCGAGTCAACACATGTCAAGATCCTTAGCCTCTCTCTCAGCCCTGCTTCAGTCACTCGCCCACAATGAGTGAGGCCATTGGGCGATGGGACCAAGGAGATTGCCGGTGTTGCCGTAGGGCTGCCTGCCTGTCCGCATGCCACCCTGCCTGCTTGAACAGTAACAACAAGAGCCAGTGAGTGAGTCACCAGAATACCTTTCCACCACGCAAGGTACCACCTCCCCACAGCATCAGCCCGACGTCCGTCCACACGAACACGGCCAACTCCGAGAAAAAAAAGAAGGCCCATCTCAAGCTCGCAAGGACGCATGAAAAACAGCCGACGACTAAAAGGAAAACCCACTTTATTCAAGGCCCACCAAATCTACCGGTACTTGCGTGCGTGTGTGTATGTGTGTGTATGACGCCGCGCGCACGACCTCGAAAGCAGCATAAGAACTGCTAATCTTGTCCGCCCAGCTTTGATTCTTCTAGAAGGCCGCTAGAACAGAAGTTCCCCGGACCGTGCCCGCCGCGCCGCCCCCTTCGGCGGCCGGGCAAGGGAACACTGGGTCCAAGCCAACACACACCTCTGGCGGAGACTCCGCGTGCGTACACACAGACATATCTTTGAATGTCACTTAATGTACTAAAGGTAGCCTGGTCTCCTTTGCCAGTTTGCCGGTAGAGGGGGGAGGGGTGCGTGCGAAAAGTGGTCAAGTCGAGCGGGAAGGGGACGGAGTCGGGTGCTTCAAAGGGCCGGGCGTGGGCGTGTGGGCAAGCAGCATTGCGCATGATAGCGCCTGGAGAGGGGGCCGTGCAAGCGGCAATGAGAGCGCCAGCGCGGCGGCAAGGCGATGTTTAGAAAGTGGTCATCTCGTCCCGACGACGACGACGACGACGACAGCACATCTTCTGAGCTGCCCCCCAAGGCGGCGTGCGTCTAACAAGGTACATACACAAAGAAAGCAGACATTCCACATAGCCGCGGCAGCCGCTCTCATCTGGAAATGGAAGCACCCGCACAGAGAGCGTGGGAAGCGGTGACCATTCTATAGTATAGCACTTAGCGTAAGTAGCACCTCGGCGGAGTTACAGCTCTCATTAGCACGACACCGCCATTTTGATTGCTTCGCTCCCCAACCAAAATGGCACGCTGACTGATGCCGGGGGACCCTCTAAAGCTGCTGCCGCAACCGCAGCTGCATTGCCGCCCTTGTCCGGCCGGGCGTGTGGTAACGACCATCATAACACATCGAGGTCCATGCTCGGAGCTGTGCTCCTCTTGCTCCTTGTCTTCCTCGTCCACTGGTTCCAGATGTGGAAAGCATAACGGTGAGGGAACAACGAACCGCGGTTCCATAAAATCAGAAACGATGGGTTCGGGTTTCTCCTTCTTCTCCTTCTTCTTCTGCGCGCGAACGGACCGCACGCGCGGCGTAGATCATTGCGCTTCTCTCCACAAACAAGCGGTGTCACTTGGGCATTCCTTTCTTTGCTCGTCCATAAAAGGGGGGGGGGGGGGTTGGTGCGAGCATCTAGCACCGGCCGACGCTCAGCTATATGCTTTACTACATATAAATAAATACTTAGTGTAACTATGTACAATGACCGTGCGCAAAAGGGAGGCTTGTTCAAGTTGCTATGGGCGGCCAAGTCTCTCTCTCTCTCTCTCTCTCTCTCGCTGTAAACACTTGAAGTAGCGTAGCGTCCAAAGGCGCGCGCGTACACACGGACACCGCGCTAGAAGCTTTCGAAGCCGCCGCCGCCGCCCATCATGGCTTTCAAGAGATGCCTTTCCTTTCCCACACCGCAACAGCGCGCGCGCTCTGACCTCGCCCCTCGTCCCAGAGGGAAGGGGGCGCGAGCGTAAAAGGCGGTAGCCGCTGCCCACACACCGTGATTTTCGGCGAAGCATTTTTGGTTGGGGGCTGGGCTGGGGGACCCCATTTGTGGGTTGAGATTCTAGCGTTAGGGGGCCTACGCTACGCACGCACGCACGCACGGGAGAAGAAGACCCTGATATTCTTCATGACGTCCCAGCTGAGCTGCTAGTGCGATGACTGCAGCAGGTGCGTAACGGGGCCACAGGAATTAGCCATGTACTGTACGCAGTACAGTCATGGGGGGCGTAGGTGCTAAAGTAGGTAAGGGTGCAGACACGAGATGTGCGTGTCCAGTATTACTACGTAATTTGAATTTCGCGGACATGTATGGCAATTTCGCACCTATACCAGGGCCGCATATATATATATGGTAATAATTCCAACAAGCCGGGACGGACTCCTGACAAATCGCGCAGCCTGCTCACCCGCCCGTGTGAACATACAGTAGCCAGCCAGCCAGTTCGGCCAGCTGCCCCTAGTTACCCAAGGTAAGCGTAGGCAAAGTGGACCAGGGACCCGGATCAGGGGGGGGGAACCCGAATGATCTGCAGACCAGGCGGATCTCGCAGAGGCCATGCATAACTGCGGAGCTAACCGGCCGATCATGCGTGCCTAAATGCACTGCAGCCCGGGGGGGCCGTGCCATGCCATGCCATGCCCACGGCTATTTGTTAGCGCGCTGCAGAACAAGTCACATGTGACGGCCGGGCACCATCAGCACCCGGGGCTAAGATTGGAAGGGGACGCCTGGCCAACGGCGATCCGAGCAGGAGGTCCTTGATCCCGACGTCACCTGAATGGTTGACCTCCAAGCCTGAGGAATGCCATCCCAGCTTCAGATCACCACACCCCTGCCCAGACAGTGTTCGTTCCAAAGGCCACCACAAAACCGTCTGAAGATCTGGAACCATTGCCAGTTGGGGCAGGGGCACCTTTTCGGTCGCCTCTCGAGTCTCGATTTCCGGACACGGTGGTTTGTCTCGGTTTCCCGCACAAGCGGCGCGCAGTCCCGCCTCGACATGTCCGGCGATGGGCTTGATGCTCAATCGACCCCAGGGCATACGACGACGACAACGAAGCGGTTTGACGCTGGTCGCTTAACGGTGGGACCCTTGTCTACCTTTCAAGGGGTAGTTGGCAAAGTTTCTTGACCAGCGAGCTCAAACACACCGTTGCAGAACTACGTACGCACGTAGCCAGCTAAAAAGCCTCCTCCGCCCCATCAGCGGTCCGAGGCCCAATACAGGAATGCGCGCCCGCGCCCACCCGTCGTCCAGCCGCGCTATTAGCTTGATCGACCTGCAGCGTTGGCGTGAGCTTGCAGGTGGTGCTAAGAGTTGTGTAGCGTCGCTTGATTGCTCTGAGAGTATGTATATCTATACCCTTGTTGATGCTGACGCTCCCACTCACCGCCGGGACAAAGGTGTACACCAGAGGCCACAGGCGCGGAACGTCCCACGGCGCCTCTTGAGCCTAAATCTTGTCCAGGTCAACGTATGTGGCAGGAATTGCGGAGTGGCGTGAGTGATTATTGCCAATCAATGGACGCTTTCCAGCTGCCATCATTGAGATTTGGCTTCCACATCTGGAGGTTTCAACGTCGAACTTTTTGTCTCACCCAGCAGCTTTTGTCATGGCCGTGATGTGGTGCAAGGCGAGTTGGGCGCCACGAGACCCCATTTTTGCGCAGAGCTTCCCGCCACAGAGACGTGGCGCACGTGGTGTCTCTTGCCTCTGCATGTCTCTCTGCATGCATCAACAATGCCAGCATGGCAAGACTCTGGCCCAGAGCTTGATCCGCAAGAGCACCACTGTGGACAGTGTTGGACGCGGGATTTCCACCTAAAGGCTACAGCGATATCGCGGCTGGGAACTATGTTCTCATTTGTCTCCATATGGGTTTTGTGGAATCCGTTGCGTTGCCTGCAGCGGGACGAGCGCAACACCTCCGGGGCCCGTTACGCCGGTGTTACATGGGTTGGCGTCGATCCCGACTCGGCTGCCGCCCACGGCAGATGCTTGAGCAGAACCATGTGTTGACGACTCAGACTTGACCGTCTCGGTGCCGTCACTCGAGCTTTGGTTCTGGCGCGCCATGGCACGCTATTGAGGATCTGCACACCCGCACGTGGCATGCGCATGTCTTGCTACAGGAAAGGGGCCAGATTGTCTTAGACCAGCGTAAGGCCACAACGGTGGTCTCACGGAGTTGACCACACTGCCCGTAGTGTCTTACTTTTTTTTTTTTTTTTTTTTTTTTTTTTTTGCTTTGCCATATGGAAACCGTTGTGCGGATTTTAGAGCATGGACTTGCTGCCCACAAGTTGCCAGAAACCCAAGCGTTCTGCAGGGCGAGAGAATACGTGATCGCAAGGGATCCAGACGTCTCGTGACTCTGGTACAACAAAGTCCGAACTACTACACGATACGTGGCATTGACGTAGTGTGGCGCCCGTGCGTAGGGAGGATCCGACTAGGGGGAATTGGCGCCGCCATGCCCACAGCCGTGACTGCCTGTTCAGTAATGTGCTTTAGGCTTGGAATGCTTGGATTGCTTGTCGAGCAATGATGAAGAATATTGCCTTCGGCTCGAGCTGACGAAGTCGGACGCCGAAGTGGGCCGCCACTCTCTGGTCTGGTGTTTTTGTGGTGTCTGTGGTGCGCTGTGGAATGCGGACGCGATCTGCATAACCGCGAGGGTCTCAAAGCCAAGCCGGTAGTTGTACCTGCTGGTTGGCTGCATCAGGAAAACGGGCCAGCTTGCACGTGGCTAACTGCAGGTCTTGGTTTAGTGAACAACCACTTCCGACGTATCATTTCCACTGTGTGAATCGTACCATTCGTTGGAGTGTCTTGGAACATAAGTTCCATGAGTTGTCTCACATTGTGCAGAAATAACCCGCTGCAGTGGCCTTTACGTTTGGCGCCGTGCATAGCGATCCGACCGCACCGAGAAGGGAACACACAATCGCCAGTCCTGACTGACGTCTGTGACGAAGACTTGCAGTCGGATGAATACTCGGCTTGGCCTCTGCGACGCGGGACTTGCCCCATGCCATGTCAGTTTCTACGCCACTTGCATAGATACCTGCCCATCGCTCTTGAGGCGACTGCTGCGACGAGTAATTGTAGCTGCCTGCCCAAGCTTCATGTGCGGAGTGCGTACCCGGCCGGCTCGCACTTCAAGGACACATGGCTGAAGAGATTGAGGTCTCACCATCTGTGGACACCCTTAAGATGCGGACGAGGACAGCCTGTGCTGGTGATTTATCCGCAATGCTAAGCGACGTTTCGGAAGAAAAAAGCTATGGCGCAGTTTGAGGTTCACGCGCGGGCGACGTACTAGTTTCCCTGTCCGTCGTCATCCGGCATTCTGGGACAGACACCCCGTGGCCCGAAGGGGGGATCTTCGACAAGGCAGGGACTCCGCTCTCGGGATATTCCACGGGCCCAGGCAGCTCGTGCACGTTGCTGAGACAGCCACCAACGGAACTGGTCTGGTTAGCCGACAGTGTGCATTCGCTTCCCGCCCAAGGCTCGGCTGGTTCGGTCCAGATTCCGGCAGGAACACTATACGATCTGCAGGACAATGTTGCGCTACAGACATTCTTGTGGCCTTGCTGGAGATGGGGCTCTTTGTCCGCAGCGCGAGCCGCTGCGTCTGACCTCTATTGCGCACATGTGGCGCGTGAGCCTGTCATGCCGTGTCGGCGGGAGCTGGGGGGGGGGGGGGGGTTCGACTTGAGCCGCAAATGACGATGACAAGATTGCCAGGCCGAGCTAGATCTGGCCGAGGGCAACGCAGTGGTCACAGTGAAGGCAACGCAAGGTTGCATCGAACCAGCCCAGGACCAAGCCGAATTCATGGTGCAGTCGTCGGGGCCCGGGCTAATGCTCCGCCAGGGGGTCGGTCATGATTATTGGACATGGGCGAGCGATGGCACAGCGCACACGAAGCATGCCGCGGATGGTGGTAACCCTGAGGCTAGCTTTGGTGACGAGTGAGTGTGGTCTTGAGAGAGGGAGGATGCTTGCTTGCTGATCGCTGCCTTGCGAGGCCGCTACTGCTCATTCAGCGTTGCCCACCTCGCCAAGGCGTCCCGAGGTCGTCCAAACGCCTTGGCGTGCTGGCGCAGCGCACCCTTGCGCAGCCACGTTGAACCAGGGACCAGCCCACGGCGAGCTCGACACTCGATACCGTCTAGCGCTCTTCTGGGGTCCCCCTTCGAGGCTGGCTCGCGTCCACCTGCCTATCCCTGCCTGGCTGCCTGCCTGGCGAGTGGCTTCCTGCCCCTGTCGTGCTGCCCACACGGTGGCCGGCCGGCTGGTCCGCCACAACGTCGAGAAGCACTGACTGAAAGGTAAAGAAGGCGGGCTTCCCTGGCGACACGGCGATGATGGGGTAACCAACCCAGGACTCCGCGGGCAGGCGAGCAACCATGTCTCGCCATCCAGCCGGTGGCATGAGCTAGTTCCGGCTGTTTCCAGTCTGCAGTAGCTCCAGCGCCATTACTGTTGACAGAAGCATGACGGCCTGACTGATTCCCGCAATACCCTAACCTAAAGCCACCCGAGAGCTGACTTCGGAAAGGCTCGCATAGCCCGCCGGCAGGTTCCCCGTGCTTCGCCCGGCGTCCGATGAGTCGACCGTGTTTGTGATGGTGGTGGTGGTGGATGGGCCGCTAACCACTCCGTATGTAGAGCCAGCCATGCAAGGCGCAACGACTTGGCAGCGCGCTAAGCCGTTTTCTGGCCGTGAGGATCATTTTGAAGCGTCATGCGCGGTTAATCATCAGCGCCCTCCAATACCATGCAGATCATATAATCATTACAGCATGATGGGTCTACGAGGCATTGTTTGCTGTCCATGACTGACTGGATGCACAGCACTCAGCCTTCGTCAGGTCACACCCGGTAATTAACAAGCATGAACGTGACGGGCGGCGGCCGTGGCCCCGAATCCCCCCCCTCGCGCTTGTACTCAGATCCGCGCGGCACGGGACAGCAGATTGCAGGCCCGAGAAAAAGCAACACGGAAACGTGGTAGCCATCACGCCAGCGCGATAGCGCGAACGCTAACGGAGTGTGGAGAGCACAGACACGTCGTTCTCCGTACATACTCCCCCCCCTACCCTACCTGCTACTGACAACGAACTGCCGTCCATAGCGCCAACGGCCAACCACCCACCCACACACACACACACAAACACACACACACGGCACGATTTCCACGGTGCGGGCTGTTGGAGGGAAAGCTCGCAACATCGTGCACTCCTAAGACAACTTATCACCGGTGGCAACGGCATGGGCCTGGGGCAGTTCCCAACACGACCAAACATAAAAAGATCTTCGCAAAGCACGGCTCCTTTTTGCACGGCATGTTCCGCGCACCAAACCCTTGACGAGAAGCGTCCACATTTGACTCCTAGAAATCAAATCACGCCCGGAGCCAACTTCCGGGGCATGCCCTGCCTATGAGTGATTCTTCTCTAGAATTCTCCCTCCGTAAAATTATACCACTTACTCATTGGCCGCTCTTGCCGATCAACACACCCGGCTGCTCCCAGAGTGCATTGACCTTCGTCTCAGGGCAATATAGACTTCCCGGGGCCGGGGGAGAGAGAGAGGGGGGGGGCCGCAAAAGGGCTATATGAGAGCATCACTAAGCCGACGACTCAAAGGCAGCGGCGGCAGCAGCAGTAAAAGCTCGACATGTCGTAAGCCGCAGATATAGGACAAGGGTAATCTGTGTATGTGCGCGCACAGCTGGCCCCCCCTAGCCGCTTTTCATTGTCGTCCGGTTCCGTAGCATCAGTGTAACAGTTTCCCTTACCCGAGGATCAGGATCAGGATCGACGGGCGGCGTCGGGGGTGGCGGCGGACGAAGGCCGGCTAGCTGGCTGGCTGGCTTGCTGCCCCCCCACCCTGGTAGCATCACCGTTATTTATGCTTTTCCCAGTCCAACCCTTATTTGTCTGTCATGTTTTCATACATGCTCGTAAATCATCTAATTATTGCTCCCCCAAGGGCACAATGGTCCCCGTAAGTTCCAAGGGTTGCAATAATGTGTTCCAGCTAAGCACAGGCTATCATCATATCCAGCCGCGTTCTGAAAGTCTTCCATGAGTCAGAAGGTCTAATCCATCGTCACTGACATGTGCAGACGTTACCCACACCCCTTGCTGAGACAGACCTTGTCTGTTCGTCTCACTAGGGCACGCGGGCTATATGACAGGCAGCATTCCATACAACGCACTAGACAAAAGACCAAAAAAAAAGTCCTGTCTCATCTCGGTTGTGGCCTGAGCCACACCGCTCAATAATCTCAAGTGCATTCGCATCTCATGGATCACAACAGTGTGCACGTTGCACTACGGGCATCTGTAGGCGGATGGCGGTGGTTTCCAAAAAGAAGCCTTGGAGCTTCTTCCCATTTATTTTTTTGCGTCGTCATCGTGGAGACGGGGATCTTGACTTGTGTCTGTCTTCTATCTAGTACGTCTCCTTCGTACAGCTCCAAGAATCGTGACCCAGAGACTATCGTGCAGCTTGGCGTGAGCCGTGCGCATCATCTCGTGTATGTACATTATGTTAAAGAGGGATATAGATATGTAAATATCGCCGTGAAGAGAACAATATCAAAACAGAAAACAGAACATGGCTCGAAGGAATACCCGTGGGGACACGCTCAGTGTAAAGAACGAACAAAACGCCGCTGCCGATGCTGTGGTATCTCGAGATGCGCCAGTTTGATCGTGAGAACAGGCGAGAATAGTAGAGAAAATGACCCAGGAAAAAAATGAAGAACTCCGGCACGATTTGTTGTGCAACTATGCAGGTTCGCTTTTGCTCTCGACATCTTCAGAGATGGCGTTCTGGTAAAATGAAGTAGGCTCTTGTTGTGTTGGGTGTGAGACGCTTGTGGCAGGTTTTAATGCATGCCCACGCTACCGTCGAAGCTGTGGCAACCACGTTCGTGACGCTTCATGTTGCTGCGAACGCTGAAGGCTTTACCGCAACCATTGTGAGGGCACTTGAATGGCTTCTCGCCCGTGTGAGAATGGCTGTGGATGCGAAGAGAGCTCGGCCGAGAGAAGGCCTTATTGCAGGTAGGGCAGATGTAGCGATCTTGGGATTGCGGAAAAGAGGCAGCCGATGATGGCGAGATGTAGTGGTGGTGTTGCCAAGGGTTGCTGCCGGATGAAGCGCTAGGCATCGGTGCAGGAACTGGGGCAGGAGGGAACGACTGACTCGTGAGTTAGTACTTGGTCATCACTAGTTCGGCTGACGGATTTCGACTCACAGTTGGCAGCGGGCGCTGCTGGTAGTACAGACCAGGACCGTGGGGCTGGGCGGACGGAGGCTGCGTTGCAAATGCCGGGGGGTAAGGCCTCTGAGAGAAGGATGACGGAGGAAGCACATGGCTACGAGGTGGCGCGGCTGTTGAGAGGAGCATGCGTTGGCCATCTTCGACGGGCGGCGTGGATTCATGGAAGTAACCTTGCGAAGAGGCTACGGATCTTGACGAGGGAGAGCGGCGGCCATCAAACGAGATGTCAGAGCTCATGGGTGGTGTGGGAGGCAGGGCGGCTTTTGAGGGGCCACTGCTGCTGTAGTGAGAGGAGCTGGGGCGCAGCTCGAGCTTAGCAGGTGGTGCTACATGCGAGCCACGTTAGTCATGCGAGCACAAAGAATATGGAGATGCCTTTTGCATCATGGTGGCCAGGGGCTTACCTTGGTGATAGCTGACAGGAGAATGCTCGGCCGTGGGAGAGCCGGCATCTGCCATGACCAAGAGGTTGGAGATGGACGGGAGCGAGCATCTTGGCGCCTCGTCCATGGGGGGTGACGGCGGAGCGCGAGGGTATGAGTGATGACTGAGGTGTTGAGAAGAGTAGATGGCTGTAGACATTGTGTATTATTGCTGGCTGTTCGTGCGTAGTGGAAGCGGAAAATGCCAGGGAGGAGTCGATGATGATTTGAGTGGGCGTCTCGGTAAGGTAGTTTGTTCGCACCAAGCCCTCCTTTGACCAAGTGTGAGTAATGGTCGTCTCTCGGTTGCGCTGCTGGTGGTCGTCACTGCTGCGAGTCGTCGAGAAACAGTCGGCAGAAGTCCTTTTTCCCCTCGAGACTGTATCTGTATATCACGACTTTGGTATTCGTTGGATATCCCGATGGGAGGACAAGAGCGGTTGAGGTGGGAGGGTGGGAGCGAGGGTGCTTAAGTAGGAGGGCCATGTGAGATGCGGATGTGGTCGAGGGGAGGAGCAGACCACAGGTGGTTGCGACATGTACCGCGCAGGGGGTAGAGTGGGTGCCGGACAAGGGCGAGCACGGCGTCCGTGTACATGAGGGCGGACGGGCAGTACACGACAAGTACCTGGGAGCCGGGACGGGACTGCATCTCCCAGATCGGCCCAAACGAGGCAGCGTCGAGGGCCGATCAGGACGCAGCACCAGCGGGGATGGGCCATGGCTCTGGCGAAATTGGGCGTGGGTCGCGGCAGCCCTGGCCAAAATCAACGTCAGTTGATCGCCGGGACTGCGACGCCAATACTCCGTAGTATTTCGCTGTGCAGGGGCAGGGGCTGTGGGTGATGGATCGTGGATGGATCCCGTCAGGGCCACACCTCAACGGCGCTGCTGCTGCTTCTTTCCCACGATGGGGGTGGGTGGTGGTGGTAGTGGTGGCGGCGTGTGGCGTGTAGCGCCGCGAGGTGTGGCCATAGGCGAGACACTTGACTGCGTCCGAGTGGGTGGGCTGGTGCACACACTCCCCCCCACATCCACATCACTGCACGCCCCCTTGCTGTCAACGCTGGGTCTGTCCGTTTTCCCACGATGCCCGCCACAGAGCACGCACCGACAGTCGAGACGGGGCACGAGAGCCTCAAGTCAAACAATACAACATCGGCAGTGCCGTAGTGTCAATGCTGCCCCGTGTTCTGCCATGCTGTGGAATTGCCTGCCACGGTGATGGCCACCAAACGACCCCATCATCTCACTGTTCGGCCATTACGCACAACATAGGGTCCGCGAGAAATGTGTAGATGCTCGCTGCTCCTTGAGCTCCCGAAGCGGCACAGGCCGTCTGAGAGGCTACCATAGTACGTACCCAAGGTAGGCCTTGGCTGATGCAGCGATCCCCAGTGATCATGACTCCTATCATCGATCTAGGACCACACAGCGCAGACTCGTGGCTCGAGAGCCCCGGTTTTCCTCATCCCCACCCCGACGGCCTGGATAGACCCCCAGAACCGTTGATGCTTAAGGTAAGCTGGCTGCTTAGCCTTTGGGTGGTGGTGGTTGAGCTGTCGTAGGCCCTCTGTGGCCAATGGCAAGGCGCCACCAGCCTGTCCGTCCTGGAGAACACACATGTGCGTCCCTTCGGGCCACTACTGCCTCTTTGGGTGCATCTGCCGCTCGGATCCCACGATGGATGTCCTCTGAGGGCTTGACATCCCTGTGGCCGTCCCCTGCCCCAATCCTGGCTTCCGTCCACAACCGGCATTCCCCTTGACGTCTTTGTGACAGAGATCAGATCTTTGCCAGCCATCCTCGTCTCTGACCACACTTGACGCATGAGCAGCTTCAGCCAGCTGTGCTCTCACGCTCCTGTACCCGCCCTCGCTGCAACCGCATCGGGGGCCCATGTTGAGCCAATTCCAGGGTCCCGGTACTCGAGTCCGCTCCCCGCCCGTCATCACAGTTTGTCGGGATCTGCTTGTCAGGCATGGTACGACGACGTGGTCTTCATGGATTATTGTTTCGTCTTGGAGAGGTCCGTGGCCACCACCCCGGTTGCTGGCAAGGAAGGGTTGGCATCCAGATTGTTTTGTTTTGTTTTGGTCTTTGTTGCGAAAAATGGGCTGTCCACTGGGTTGCATCCCACGTGGGAGCACCCCGTCCCAGCTCCTGCCCGTAGTCGTGGCATGACTTCGCAGCCCGCCTCACTGCACTGACTGCACTTGGCTTCTCCAGCGGGGCCCTGTCAAAAGGCAGCATCCTGCGCAGTAGCAAGCTTGCAGTACTGTCGCTCAATGTGCCCTTCGTTTCGTCGGCAAGAAATGTGAGGCGCGCAGCTGGTCTGACCGACCTGAGGAAATGATGATGAGCAGAAGTCTACTCCTTTTTGGGGGGGAAGAGAGAGTTCACCATGATGGTGGCTGGAACAGGGAATATCGTGGGTGAGCCCGCCCCATGCAGGATGCCACGAGATGAGACCTGGAGCCGCCCTCGCCGCCATGGAGACCACACACACTTCGGCGGGAAACAATAAGAGACGAAAAGAACCCGAACTAGTCGTGCCAACGCGTGGACCGTGCTCCCTGGGGCCGCGACTCCGCTCTTGTTGCTGGCTCCAGCAAGGTTGGTCCCTGAACCGGCACCAGGCACGGCAGAGGAAAGATTTCCGCCAGAAAATGTCAACGCTGAATCAATCGGCCACGGGCCGGTTTGTGCGAACAACCCAACGCGTGGCAGCGATGGGCGGCTACTCGGAGCAAGAACTGCACATGATGTGCAGCCGCAAATGGTAGAAACGTGAGGAGGTGCTGCGTGTACTTGGTGAGGCCATTGGATCTGCTTCGATTGAGTGGAGGTGGGATACGCAGGCACTGGCCAGGCCCGCCATTTCGCAACTCGATACAAACAGGACCGGGGAGCTTCTGCCACGACAGGCTGGGTCATCCGGGTGCCTCGCCGGAAGCTCAGAAGGCGCTGTAATCTTAGCTGCGGATACGCACGCTTCGTGCAAGGCTGGCTGTACTGCGAGCTTGTCATGACTTTGCTCGCCTTTGGTGGTCGCACTGGGGTCCCATGTCAGGTGATCGACATCTCAAGGAATTGAGAGATGTCACGCCAGGATGAATCCCTCCCCCCCTGGCGGATCTGTAACACATATTGCGACCGGATTCATGATCGCCGCAGTCGAGCCTGGTGGCCGACCATGCTCAGCAGCAAGCCGCCGGATCGGGCCCGCCAAATGTCTGCTGGCATAATCACCGACGTGGGGCGAGTAGCAGGCATACCATGTGGTCGTCGCTCGTCTCATCATCGAGTTTGCCGCCACAGAAATCGTCTCCGTTGTTCTTCCTGGGCCGTTTTCAAATGAATCCATGGCCACCTGCCCGGCGAGTCGATCACTACACGGTGTCCATAGCGACGTGGTGCGGTGGTGCTTGCACGCTGCTGACTTGCAAACTCGACAAAGACCAAGGAGATTTAGTTTTTTTGGACACCGCCCCTCGGTCTGCGGGGCTAGGGTGTACATCGCTTCGGGCAAGACAATCATGAGCACAGGAAGCATCCCGCGACAGCCGCCGCTAGTGAGGACTCGTAACTGTCTTGCGGCACAGGAGGCGGGAAAATGGCCAGAATGAGGAGTGGGTATCCGTGGGAAGTGGCGAGCCCACCGACACGTGTGAAGCTAGCCAACCTTGGCTTGTGTGCTTCTGGCAGATGGTGTTTCGAAGGGCTAAGCTCCAGGTCGGGGGATGCAAGGAATGTCCAAAAGGAAAAGAGTGGAGCAGCCGCCGCTCTCGGGAGAATTGCACACAGCCTGGACAGACGGCGTTTCACACGTTCCTGCCCTGCGTAACAAGGGTGTTCGACAATTGCAAATTCCAGGCCGCTCGAGACGCTGGGAAAATGGAGTGGCTCCAGCTGACGACACCCATGCATTGCACGCACTCACTGCCTGGAACATAGGGGCTATGCGCCGCCCGTGTTTGCTCCCTGCCTTCGGCTGCTCCCCGGAACATGTCCATCTGCAAGGTTGTCAGATATTATGCCTCGAGGGACTGGGAAGAGGGCACGCCAGGCATCCGGTACAGTATGTCATTTGCCTGGGATCCATGGCCAGACCCAACCACGGATCCTGGAGCATCCCCTCAGCCACGCCACGCGAGAGTCATCAAGGGCCTTGGATGAACGGGACGCTTCCCGTGCTGTCACGACCATGCAATGTTAATCTTCTTCCGAGACGATCAGCAGCGCCTGCCGCTTTGGGTAAACAGGCGCGACGCTGTCTCGAGTGTGGTTGGTTGACTGTAGGGTGCTGACCGCCATGTCAGCATCTTGCCAGGCGAGATCCGGGAAGAACACGATACTCTGTGTGGGTCGTGGTCATCAGCGGCAGGCTACTCGAAGGATTGTCATCATGAAGGAATGTGCAGCTTTGACCATGGCCGCTCAGCCAGCCAGACGAAAAAGATACACCTGCGCGGTCCTCGGTACCAAAGCAGCGGCTGGAGGATGAGCCGGAGGACCAAGCCCTGAGGCTGGGAGTGCTGTGCGATGTGTCAATCTGCTGTGCCCCACGGCAGCAGCCCGTATCACCTGCAGCTGTCTGCCGCATGGCTGGTGCCAAGCAGCCGTTGAGATGGCCGCCCGCCGCTGTGCTTGTGGTGCCGTGGGAGATCTATTGTGGGCAGACAGATGAGTGAACAGATCGTTGCTGGCCATGCTGTGTGGGTTGGGTGACACTCTTGTCGCGCTTCCGGATTGGTGGAACAAGTTAGCACGGGGCTAAACCCATCTTAGGAAGCAATTCGCAGGGCGGCGCTAGCCCTCGAGGCACCCGCATTCGGCATGGCCCCCATGCACGTGTTTCCGCGCCCCCTGTCATTACGCACAGATTGTCGTCAACGCACAGCACTCCACCGACAAGCTGTGATGAGGTGAATCTCGACAGCCCTGTCCAGAATGTGATATGAAATGTACGTGACGACACAGCCAGATGAGATTTCCCGCCCCCTTCTGCCCGCAAGGCCCCTGGTACCGGTCGTTCTAGTGCCGGAAATGCAGCTGTCGAGGGCGATACCACGACCATTATATCATAGCAGCTGTCCGATATGAATTGTCATCGGCGGTGCTAGTCGTTTCAGCATCAAGCCACCTGGAGGTTCCGTACGAAGGCCAGCTTCTCCGCAGGAACCACGAGTTGAGACGAACAGTCGGCTCGAGGTCCCCGGAGTATGAACAGAGAGAGTCCAGACGGATAATTAGTACCCAGTACACAGCAGGACCCCCATCTCTTACGCTGGGGCCTAGAGCCGTCATCACCAACCAGACCGGTGTCAGCAGGGGCGCATCGGTGCTGGCTCCTTGGACCTGTGACGGGCGATGATACTTGAATGGTTTCCAGAACCACGAACGAGGGACTGACGGGCTGCACTCAAGCTTCCACCACCACCAGCTCAATGAAATTTTAGGTCGAGTGGCATGTGCCCAGCTGGGGAGCAGCAGCTGCTGCAGGGCTGAAGTGGAGGATGGTAATAGTGGTTGGTGGCCAGCCCTCTGCGAGCACGACACGCTGGAGTGCAACATCAACAGCTGCACGTAAGAGAAGCCCCGGGGGGCACAGTCCCCTTGATGCTACCCTCCGGGGCAGGCTCGCCATGCGCTGGCTCCAACGGCGCCGCCCGCTGTGTGCAGTGTGACCTCGCCTGTCGCCCCGTGTTTTATTTTTAATACTCGTACCTTTATGTATTTCTGCATCTGGGCGGCTCGAGGGGGGGACGGCCCCAGGCAGCCAAGCCCGAGCCCCAGCGACCGCTAAGGCGGGGGCGCTCGAGTGCTTCAGGGGCCCTGGCGATCCGAGCAGGGATGGCGTGCATTAGATCTTCGCTACCCTTTCCCTTTGCAGCCTCTTGCCCCAGTTGGGAGCCGCGCACGCGCACCCGACCCGCTTCACACGCCCGCAACAACACGTCCACGCCCACCCAGCGACATCATCGCCCGAGCCAGCCACCAAGCCAGCACTAGGCATCGTCACCGGCCTCCTCGAGGCACCCAACTGCCGACACTACCCCTTCGGGCACTAACTGCGTACCTGCTGAGTAGGTCCCAGCACAAGGCTGTTCTGCGTTGCGGGCAACCATCATGCCCACGTGCCAATTAGTTGCGTCATCTGTGGCAGTAGAACTGGCCGACTGTCTGATTGACTGGACTGGACTGACAGCAACCACGATGCTCCCGACGGCCGTCTGTTCACGAAGCACGTTCTCTCCCAGGTCGTCATCCCTTCGCCGGCTTTGGAAAATGACCCGAGCGCCCCAAAAAGAAACAAAAGGACACGGCAGCTTCTCCACTCCGAACCAGACGGCGCTAGTCGGCCTGGATGCCTTTAGTGGCTGCTCAAAAGGACGGCACATGAGCTGATTTGCCCTCCGCCATACGACGCCTTCTGGCGTCTCCCCTCAGACCACATGGCAGCGAGATCGCTTTAGGGCTTCTAGCGGCCTTCTAGCCTGCGCTGCTTAAGGCGCTAAAAGGCCCGCCCATCGCGCCAGCACGTCCCTGGGCCAAGGCATGCCTCACCATCTACTTCGATGATCCCAGATGCTTGGGAAGCGCGATCTAGGGTGCTCCCGGCTCGACGTCACCGCCGGGCAAGCATGAGGGGTTCTGACGACCAGCTCGAACTCTCTGCCTTGGTGGAGCTACGCAGTAAACCGCTGTCTCTGCGCTGCTCAATGCTCTTCACGGCATCGCGGCGTTTCCGACAGTACCGTTCCGGGCTCCGCCGCTCATAGTCGCACAGACACAGCTGCGCCAGCCGCATGGAAACGCTCTCACGCCAAGTGGTGCTTGCCAACAACGAACAAGCGACGATCGGGATGGCCGCATGCCTCGATGTTCCTGCCCAACCGTTGCCTTGGCAGCAAGTCGTGCATGCCGAACAGGATTGGAAGAAGCTCAATCGACCTTTCCCTCCGTGCCGCCATGACGCCAAGGACAGCCAAGTAGGACCCGAACAGCTGCTTTAGGCGGTCTTGTTGAACAACTCTCCCGCGGTACTGTCGGATCTTGCTACTCGCGACGCCACACCAGTGCCGACCGAAACCCAAAGCAGACCCCCTGGGCTAGTTTAGGCATGCCGTGATCAAGCCAATGACCACGTAAACACAAAAAAACACTAGCCTCGAGCTTGTGATCCGCTTAGCGTGTTCAGAAACGTGCTCACTCCCAACGGGCAAAGGTGCTAGCAAGAGCTAAACGTGATGCTGCCATGCACTGTCATGACCGCTCGCTCAAGAATCTGAATCGACTCGCGAGCTCTACAGGGCTGTCGTGCTCGTCATTAGCTAGTTATGCCTGGTCGCCAGCCTGCAAGGCGTGCTTG